CCGGGACGTGATGCTAAGTCAAGGACTTTCCATAAATTCAAAAAACTTGCGTGATTTGTATGATTTCTTGGCTAAGTCTCCTGCTGTTATGGAAATGTCTTTAAACATAGCTGCGAAGTCTACAGCACAAATTGCGGCTAAAATAGCGCATCTAAGAGGCATTGATTTGTAAAATACACATAAGGTAGGGCTATCCTGTCCAGTGAAAGTTTTGAAGGCTTCACTTCTGCTACCTTTTAATTCCGCTCTTAATGATAAAAGAATGTTCTTCAAAAAGTTCAAAAAGTTACCTGTTAGATCTCATGTCCAATCAGACTTTTGAGCTTTCTCTTTAATGGATGAAAAACGCGAGAAAAGATGACTAGTGATTCACGATTTCTTATTCACACTGTATTAGGCCAGAGAAATTACTAAGTAAATACAGCTTTGTGTCAAAACTGAGTGATTACCTAGATTTTGTACGACTATTTTTGTTCTTTTTGTATCTTGTTATTATAACAAAAGATTCACGGTGTGCATTTCATGTTTATGTTGGAAAAGGTGTGACTAATCGTACGCGAACTCGTTCATATTGGATTGCTGCAGAATAAGTACAACTTGTTACATGTTTAACTGACCACAATAGTTTTTAAATTACTCGTATACCAATGATAGTTCTGCATTCCCTCATTGACGGCATTCCACACAGGTAATAAAGGGGGGTGAGGTAGTGGGGAAGGAGACGTCCTCACTCCCCTACAAAATTTGCCTGTAAAGTTGTAGAATACGCTGGCCTGTAACTGCACTTCTAACAAAAAGAAAAATTGGATATTGGTACAGAAGTGATGATGACTACGGGTACAGTCTTTAAATGATAGACCATAAGTCCTATAGTCCAGTCTACGGATCCAAAGTAATTACTACGGCTTCGGATCCGTACTTCTCAACAATAATGCGAAGTTATTCATGCTAACTTTGTATCTGCAGTAGTAACCTTTCTACCAATGTCCACGTTTTCCATCTATTAAGAATGGCCACTATACTAAGACATTTACAGAGTGGTTGTTGGTTGTTCAGGCACTCGAATAGGTGAGAAGCTGCGACCACGGGCAAACAGTCCCAAAATTTTGAAATCGCCTAAATATTTTCTTGGAGATTTCATACATCTCCTTAAATTCTGTGCTCTTGGCTGGGTGTATAAACCGTACGTTTTAAGGCAATAACAGTTGACCCCTTTTCAACGACGTACAGTTATCAATAGGAAACTCACAACACAGGTAGCACGAACACAAAATACACTGCCTGACTGCTGTGTCAGTTATATTTCGGTTTATTTTGTAGAAATAGACTGAAAACTACATTCCATTGTATGACCACTAAAAATATATCTTTCCGTTTTAACTTCAATTTTCAAAATAATCTTAAATAATGATTTTCCAGCATCATATGTAATAAAGAACCTACATTAAATAGAAATGAAAAGAAAATATTTCCACTAATTTTACAATGTATTTTTTTAACGATCAGTTATTTCATTTACTTTGGAACGATCCATTGCGGTTGTTGTGTGTCATACTCTTTTGTCTTGAAGCTCAAAATTTTATGATGTACACAAGTAATTGGCAGTTCGTGACTTTTTGGACAGTTCGCGATTTTTTGGGCAGTTCGTGATTTTCTTTGGTCAAGATGTGAAGACAACAAAACAGCGGCATCGTTAATAATTCTGGCCAATTTATAGCATCTAGAGAGCCGGTTTCTCCTTGAATTCGCAAATGGAAAACTTAACAAAAGCTCAAAATCGTGCAGCCAAAAAAAATTGGAACCCTTATTTCCGACTGCTTCAGGTCCGCTCAGTTTTGAGTATTACCATTGCGTATGCATCTTCCCTATTAAATAATCGTTCCTATACAATTATAAATAATTTTATAACAAAACTGGCTAAAAGGAATGATGAGGTAATTAGCAGTATTCCTGCTCAATCTGACAGCATTCTTCCAAGAGTGTTCACCGATTTGATTAGCAATCTGATCTCTCATACACAGCTATTACAAGAACCTCGATGCCGAGGATCGTTATCATCCGGCTCGCAAATCTTAGTACTGATGCATACCCTGTCAAGAAGGGTAATTTGGTGCGTTGTAATACTTTTTCTTGATGTAAAAATAAAATCCTGTAACTGACGTTCTTAAACTCATAATATCCTAAATAAGCTTTTTCTGATTGACAGAGATCAATTTTTTTAATCTTCACCTCTAGACGCCCAAGGTGACATCCACCACAATGCCTTATTATAATCACGGCGGTTTAGGCGGCGCAGGCTTTCTTCTGGGTGATCCAAAACCCTTCTTTTTCTTGGTAAAGCCAATCGGTACCTCCCAAATCTTTCTTGGTATGTGTGTATAGTATGTGAAAACAAAGGCTCTGGTAATGCCCTGTCCACAACGTGTGTGTTTCAAGCTCTGCATTCGTTCCACGTTGTCTTCTCTTCGCTTTAGCAGCAACGCTTTCCTTCTGGCGGCCGCCTGAGCAGATCGCATACGCGCTAAAGCTTCCAATCTACGAGCCATCTCGATGCGTCTCTGTTCCTCTCGAAGTCGTTCCTGCTCCGCTTCCTCTCGCCCGCGCTTTTCGTCTTCTGCCCGCTGGCGTTCTGCTTCTTCCCTGCGCAACCTTTCCTCTTCTTCCTGTCTCAACTTAGCTTCCTGCATTTCAGCTATTCGCCTCATCTGTTCACGATACTCCCGCTCTTCCTGCAGCCTCCGCAACTCCTCCTCTGCTTCGCGTATTTTCTCTTCCTCCAACATTCGTTCTTCTTCTTCCCTTTGAAGTTCAAGGAGCCTCTCTTCTTCACGTCTCTGTTCTTCTTCCAAGCGCTCCATTTCTTCTTTTCGCCGCCGAGCTTCTTCAATTTCCGCCATTCTTTTCTCGCGATTCATTTTTTGCTGCTCAAGTTCTTTCTCTCGCTCTCTTAACTCTTCTTCTCGTTTCTTCTTCTCTTCTCGTTTCTTTTGAACTTCAAGCCTCCTTCGCTCGGCCTCAGCTGCTCTCCGTAGCTCTCGTTCTTCACGAGCCTTTTTCTTTGCCTCTTTTAACCTCTCCAGCGCCTCTTGTTCCTGTTGTTTCGCCTCTTCCTCCTCTACCAATCTTTTCATCTTTTCTTCTTCGATATTTCTCTGCTTCTCTTCTGCCTCTGCTTTGGCTAAGGCTGCCTCCTCTTCACGCTCTTTTAATAAACGCATTTCTTCCTCCCTCATTCTCTTCTCTTCATCCTTCTTTTTCCGTTCCTCTTTCCTTTGGTCCGCTCTGATTTTAGCCAGCTCCTTCTTTGTCAATTTTATAGGTTTGGAAGGAGCGTGCGCGTCTTTCTTGTCAAGTGGAACTTCTAGAGCAACTTGCGGCATATCTAAGGTCTGCACAGACTCCTTCCTCGTTTTTGTATAATTGACAGCAGAAGCGCTACTACTTGGCTGATTATCAGTAGCTGACGTGGCCTTACTCTGCTCCTGAATAAATTGACGTAGTTCATCATCCATTCCATCTAACATATCTGGTGTATTGAATGCTTCAAAATCTATGTTTTCAGGATCTACTGTAATTTCATCTTTTTTCTTGGCAGATTTCCCATGTTTTCCAGATTTCTTCTTCGAATCGGCTTTCTGAAATAATTCAGACGGAAAATATTTTATAATTACGATTGCTTATTCTTAAGTTTGGCAAAAATATTCATTTGGGGCTTAAGATTGGACATGGACATTCTATGCCTGTATTAAAGCCAGCATAGGTCCTTCTCATGACCCTGTTTTTAACAAAGAGCTTAGCTGCCTTGTTGGTTTATAATTGACACAGTTGAATTTCTGCCTTAAGAAAATTTCTCGTAGCGTAGAGCCCTGGGTACTTTATGGGAATGGGGTCAAACGTTTTAGCAAGAAAAAATGTAGGGATAACTCTTGATGCACAATTTCATCAGCACCACACAGACGGAGGTTCTAACTGAACGAAATTTATTCAAAAATTATTTGCCATGTCATTTCCCCATGAAGTTTGTCAAAATTCTCGCTATATCGATCAAAATGTACTTACCTTTTCTTTAAGTTTACTTGGTGTCTTATTTTTATTAACCAGTGCCGCCAAATCGGACAAATCGTTCTTTTTCTCTGCTACAAGTGGACTTGTTCTAGTGACCAGTCCTCCTGAAGAGGAATCGATTCCTTCTCCCTCTTTCCCAATACCCTCCAACTCCAGTTTGCCATCTCTAGGCGCATCATGTTTGTTAAGCAAACTGCTGACTATCTGACGGCGGGCTTCTCTTTCTTCGTCTGTTGGTTCTTTCACCTCTTTTGCCTTGTCGTCGCTTTTTAATAAATTCAATTCTGAATGATCAGGTTTCGACTCAGCCTTGTTTTTACCAAACGGCTTTTCAATGACGTTTGACGAGATGGGTTTAGATTGCTTATTTATTTTAGGTTTCACAGCTTCAGGTTTAGTTGGACTCATCGCTTCTTTTTCCATACTCGAGAGGCTTGACTTCTCCACAGCTTTCGCTTCAATGTCTTTTTCCTCAGCCCCAGTCTCTGAACCTCGACGGCTTCGCGTAGACCTATCACGAATTTGAGGCTCTTGCCCAGACTCGATGTAATTTCGCACGGCCTCACCGATACTCACGGGAACACTTCTCTGGTCTTCTGTTATTGGGGACGATGGCCGCGATTTCTCGATGTCAATGGTTTCCTTATAGGGAGAAGGAGGTTGATTATCGTCCACCTATTGGATATAAATTGAGTAACGTAAATGTTAGCGAAAGAGATATGGAGCATTGTAGAGGAGGCAGGATACTACCATAAAATAGAAAAGAACAGGGGCGTGGCCAGGATTTTTCAAAGGAGGTGGGAGGGGGGAGGGCTGGGTTCACGGATTCAAATTTCCGCGCGCCTTACTTGAGGTGGGTTATGCCGCTGCTCTATCCTGTGTATCCGCAGGCACTTATTCACGCAGCGTGTGGAATAGGCAAAAGAGTATCTAGCATTGGAAAAGTATTATTTAAATTCTTCGAAGTCACGCGTTTTCACGACCTGAATCATACCGTTTGAATGTTGTTGCCTTCTAAAAATCTGGTCGTGGTGGTTGTTTGGTCGGTGGACAAAATCTAAGCTTAGCGGACGGCCAAATGATTGTCCTTGATAACTAACTTAGCAGCGACTTCAAGAAATGTATGGAAATGTTTGTAAGTATCGTCAGTTTTGCCGTTTGCAACATGACCAGCCATCACTCTTAAAGGTATTTGCCACTTCAAATGATTGAAAGCTGCACATGCAAAAATTCTGTCAATTATGACTGAATCGTAAAGTACATATCACATCAGTGGAAATTAAACCTCGGCTAAACTGATCGTCCAGAATAGCACGTGCTTAAAAATTCGTCCTAGAAAATGATTATTTCAAAAGTGTGTCACTACCCAAAATACAGAATTTAGGGAAGCAAAGGGAAATATACATTAAAATAAACGCACCTCTCCGACTAGTTCTAATCTAGCTTCTGGTAAAAGTTCTTTGTGGAGTATTTGTTCAGCTTTGATCGGCGCGGGAGAGCTGGAACGAGGTACTGTCGCTGGAGTGGATGTTGGTTTCTCTGGTGCACTCAGGAGGGAATCTTTCACTTCTGAGAAAATTTAAGGACATAGGAAAATGTGAGAATTGATAAAAAATTATGGCGGCATGGTCATCAATAAAGAAGAGATTTGTCAGTTTTTAGCACGTTTGGGTAAAAATGAGCGAATCACAATTGAATTCCTGATGGAAAACGCTAAGCACTTACTCAAACACGTATGATACACTTTGTTAATCGTAACCATTTTATCAACATCGGCTGTCACAATATCTTTTAGTAAAGAGCTTTCACTTTAGGTCTAAAAGAATAAAGCGCCTTACCGACTATCATGACAGATAAGCCTAATGTGGATTCCCTTCAAACCCCCGATTGGAATTATTATTTTACTCACTGAATTAGCATATCTGTGTTGTTTCAATTGGATATTCATGTTCTCGGTTATCTAATGCATCATTACATGCGCATGAACGGTGATCGGTAACTTTCCTTTTTCAAATTGACTTCATTAAAAAAAGCTTGCTGACAAAAATAGATTTGCACTCAAGAAATTTGTGGGACTCTATTAACCTCTTCAGTTTAGTTCCGTATATCCATTATCGCCCAATATAGATGTATTATTTGAGTAATGACATTCATTAAATCTTAGAGGCCTCCGACACAAAAGGCACAGATGGTGTAATGTGTTCATAAATAATTCCTGTTAAAAACCAGAGAACGGAATTTTTTACGCATTTTTGCAAGATACGAAAAACGATTATCCAGAATCGAATAAACCTTTTCTAATAGGTTCTTGCCTTGTACATAGATCGAGTTTGTCTGAAGGAAAATCTGTATAAAGAGATTGAGATGTCAGCAGAATCTGTTTGTACAGCTAGCCGTGCCCACTCGAGATGTAAATGTGTAAATTTAAATTCAAACGCACCAAAAATATAACAATCAAGAAAGCTCAGAGCATAAGAAAATTTTATCACTCATCGCGACAAAATGAAATTTTATCTCAAGTTTATGAAATACTCGGCAAAATTAAGAAGCAAATCCTAAAGCAGAAAGAGAAATTAATGATGTAAATTCAGGAAAAGTGTTTTTTTTCTCAAGTTACATTCTCATTGTTTTCAAAAACAGTTCTGCTTTTTTTTTTCAGCAGTCCGTTCGCGAAAACCCAAATATCTTACCTTTAACGCGCGAAGGGAGTGCAGAGTCTTGCACAACGGCGATGCTATCATCATGTATCGCTGTGTCAGCGATAAATTTTTCCACTGGTTGAGAGGACTGGACCACAACAGTTTCTGTTTCTTTGAGTTCCTGAGTTTCGATACTGGACGGCGTAGTCTCACTTTCATGTGACTTAAGAGGCGAAGGTACTGACGTCAGAGCCTCATCTTTGTGCACCTCTATTGTTGGCATTTCTTGTTGCTCCTCCTCAAGTTCTGTCGCTTCCGTCAGAGTTTCTACTCGAAGACGGAAAAAAAAAAACGCATCTTTTTGTTATAACAATTACTATAGTTTTAAAACAAGTGAGGAAGGGTTTACTCAATCTTCGAAAATAGGCACCTCTAACGTCACGAAGTTTCCTTCATCGGGGAGTGAGATAGACTGCTCTCGAAGACTACTGACATTTTCTTATTTACTATCAGATGACCTTTATACTTCTGTGTACGAGATACATCCTACGTTTGAAGTTCTTTCGCACGATCACAGAGGAAAAAAACCTTTTCATCTTGGTTTTAACAGGAAAGGCCCGCACTTGAGATAAAGGTGCCTCAATGATTCTTGTCCAAAGAGCGATCCAATCTTCAATCAGGCAATCTAAAATCAAAATGTCTAAAACGTTTATTCTTACAAAAACGGGATCTTAGGTACCTGGTTGAGCGGGTCCTAGGTCTGAGCTTCCCTTCGTGTTTACAGGTAGCGCAGAAGGAAATTCCTTCTCAGGAGGACCATCACGGGTAGAAATAGTCAGCTCTACAACGAAAAAAAGGGAAATATACTGTGTGTGAGTCTATTTTCAGTGGAGTGTGGAAATCAATTCGAGATTCCTTGGTTACTTTTTGCAGCTGAGATTAATGTGGAAAATTCGTGTCAATCCCCCAACCAATCAAATGAAAAACAAAGACCAATCGCGACTGGGTCAACCGCGCTTTTCCACGATCGAAACCAGATCCTTTTTTACTTTAAATTGCCATTGGCTTGTTGAAGTAGTTGCCTTTTCTGATCGGTTGCTGCAGTTTTTTTGGGTTTGGTTTAACGACATTCCAAAATGTACTTCACGATTCATTTGAGTCTCCCTGAGTTACCTTTTCCTCTGCGCAATTTTCCCAACAAAAAAAGTTTTGTAAACAACTAAAATTTCCATTGATGGTCTTTCTTAAGAGGTATTATATTCCGTTAGCGACCACAGATGCTTCATGTTTTTGGTAAACCGGAGGTTTCACTGATCTCAAAACAGCTCTATGCAGTGAATCTGGGAAGGGAAATCTCTTGGTACCAACGCTTACACGTTCAAACGTTTGAGACTTCCTTTAAATTGTGCGAGATCCTTTCGGAAGCTTCGTAAGTGAATCGCATAGTATTCAACAAGGATCTCACAAAGCTCAAAGAAAACCCTTACCTTCTGCGATGCCATTTTTGTCATCACTTTCAATTGTTTCATCAGGCCAATCAAATTCTCCTCCCTCACTGATACAAGGCCATTCCTGGTCAGCAGTTTCTTCTTCTGGAAGCAAATATTCATATACTCCTTCGACCACCGGTTGTGATCGAACGACAGTCTCGGAAACCTGGGCCAGGTCAGCCTCACTTCCAAGAGTCGCTCTCGTTTCCGTGCCTTCCTGAGCCGATTTTGCGCTCGATGTCCTCGTGTCGATGTCAGTTCCATCTTGTGTGTCTTCTTCTTCCGCAGGACCACTTTGCCGACTCCTGATATGTCTCTCGCGTACGGAAGATGACGATTTCCTACCATCTTCTTCAGCAGCAGCTTTTATAGCATCTTGCCATTGCTCGCTGGTGGAAGAAGAAATAGCCGATGAACCTCGAGATTTAGCTCTTGTTTCGTGTCGAGATTGCACTGAAGGCGAACGTGGCGACGCCGAAGCCACTCGAGAGGTAACCGATGGACTTCTTGGGGGAGGAGAAGGGCTTTTTACAAGTTTGTCACGGGCTTGTGATGGCATTTCCGAATGCGTGGTATCTCCAAAACTCGCCCCGTTGGATGTCCGTCGACATGATCAGCCATGTCGTCTTGTAAGATGAAAAAATCATCTCTCACACCAGGCCACGTCGGTGACGCCTCATCTCGGTCTGTTTCGGCCAAATCTGGCGAGCTACCGACACGTTCCACGTCACGTGACCTTGCAGACTGACCCCTATTGTAATGTGATACGCTGGAATAGCTTGCACTACGACTAGAGTGGAGACTGGAGCGGGTTATTCTGTTCGTTGTTCCTGTGAAAGAAGAGGTTCATTTCAGTCAAATTTTATTGAAGTTTTGAACAGAACACAGAAACACCAGGAACAACGCTGTTAAGGCAGAGCTCTCGTTTTCAAATAATAAAGTATTTGCGCGACTATCAAAGCAAGACCGAGAAAAAGGTTAACTATTTTTCCATCAATCGTACCAGCACTAGAAGCTCTCCTTTGTATGCCAACCTTCTCCTCTCTTCCACTCCGAGGAGATGCAGCGCTCGATGGTCGACGAGAACGCTTCCCAGTTTCTGTTTGATCGAATTGTGAAGGAGCTTCGTCTTCTTCCTCGATCACATTTGCTGTTCGGTTCCATTCCTCGGTCTAAGGTAAAAAGGTTAAGATAAGACTGCAATTATAGTAGGTGTATTTTCACACTTATATTGTCTACACTGGAGTTTTTCTATAGGGCGGTAGCGGGAATATTGCTTCAATCGCTTAAGAATCGGTTGAAACTTTTTATTCGCGATTCCACTTTTGTATTTTTAGAATATTCACCATAGCTTTCGACAAAATACGCCACTCCCATTTAATGTTTTATAGTCTCAAGAAAAAACTTTAACTTCGGGAGAAACTTAGTCAAACTAGATGAAAGAAAATTGGAGTTTTTGATAGGCGCGTCTTGATGGTCAGCGCGCTCGACTCCGGGGTTCGAACCCTTTTCAGAACTATTCTATTATGTTCTCACAATACAACGACCCGTCACGAAAACCTGAGCAGGAGCCATTCTCCTAAAACACGAGAGTAAGATTCGACAGCCATGCGAATCGCTCTTGTATACAAAGTTTATCCTTAGGGATGGTGTATTAGGATCTAAATGAATTGCAGAAGTTCTATCTAGGGCTTCACTTAAAAAAAGTCATAACTACACGTCACACAGAAATTGCCACCCTTTCTCAACACTCTTTTCCCTTTTTAAAACTCTCAATGCGATACCTTTCCATCAGGACTCGCGGCTAAGCGTTGAACCTTGGTTGCAAAGTCTGGCGTCGTTCCTCTGGATGATCCCAACTGGAAAGACGGCGAGGGACTGCGACTGAGTCTCATTCTAGGATTGGGACCTCGTCGATGAAATCGACCGAAGCCTACGTCAGCATTTATGATCTCATCAAGATGGTTTGGCGTCGAGCCAAGTGCTAATAGAAAAATTTGTGTACTGAGATGAAATTGAAGTGCAAGTTGTTATTAGTATGTATCAGTTCAACTAGTTGGTTTCCAATCAGCCGCAATTTGGCCAGTAAGTTTAATCGACAATTCATCGACTTTTAAAGGAACGTTGGTAATTGTCAGTAGCTGATCAAGTCCACGACGGATTTCTACATTATCGCGAGAAAAGTGTTATGTATCATCAATTATTTTAACTTGTAGGAGGAAGTGCACCAACAGAACCGGATTCGATTTCACCCTTACATCATTTGTGATAAAAAGAATCCCTGATTATCGAATTAAAAAGGAAAAACAGAGAACGCACTTAAATTTGCCTCGCGCTCAACAGCCATTTGTACACGCTTCAAACAAGAGCACACCTTCGACAGGTGGTATCAATTTTAAATGAGATAACTAAGGAAGTCTGTTTTCATTTCAATAGGCATAAAACGAAAAAAAAACAACGATGACTAAAACAAAATTAATGGTCCAAAATGTTTCCGCACATGACACCAGAGTTTCTCACGTTTTACTCTGATTGGTTGAATTCTCCAATCAATTTCTTTCCTTTCATACTAACTTTTTCGGTTGCGAATTTAAGTCGAAACATTTCCAGAGGTGTTCCAATTAGCTATAAATAGCGTTCGTTTCTAACACTGACCTCTCGGAAGAGGGGGTGGTTTACCACTTGTAATCCTGGGGTTAGCCCTTGGTGACTCCAGGGTGGGTGGGATGGGAGCTGTTTTGGGTCTTGATATCGAGTCTTGAGCTTCGTGGGTTGCAAAACCAAAAGCCATACTTGGCATGGACGGCGAAAATGTAATGGTATTGCCTCGATTTGTTCTGGGTGATCCGGGCGATGAAAAGTGGGAGAAGTCTTCCAAAGTTTCTCGACTAGAACGAGAGAAGGTAATTGAAAGGATGATAAATATAAGTTAAACAACGATGGTAGTAGACCTAATTAAGCCATTCCTTTTTCAGGGTACTGAGAGGAAGTTCAGCTCCCTTATTCTGCTTAGCCTATAGAGCCCCTAACTATGATAAAAGGTTTGACTAGTGTGCCCTTGGAAATTTCTACAAGGCACCCAAATTAATCCAATGAAGAAGCTTAAAAATCACCACCCCTCTCAATTTTCTTTATTTCTGAATTCTTGAAGTAATTACCCCTCCATTCCAATGTCTGGCATGTGATCGGAGGAAACAATTCTGTGTTCTAAGTGTTCCTTGCTGTGACTCCACCCAGCTGGTTTGCCATATTTCATGTATTCTTGTATTATACCAGTTATCTCATCATCATCATCCAAAAAATGAGAGTAGTGAGAAGCAGTGTTGGTAGAGTATGAAGTTCTTGTGGAAAATGGAGTTTGTGATCGAAATCTTCTGTGAGAATTTTGGCCCCTGAAATACAAAGAAAATAGATCTTACTTAAAAAGCAGATAATCAAACATTTCTTTTAGCTTTCAGTGTATTCCAAAACGTGGAGGGTTTGTCAAATTTTGAATCCCAGTACTTGGAAATGAAGGCCCTCAAAAAACAGACAGAGATGTTATTAGGAAGCTCTCTCTAGATTATGAACTACAAATGTGTTTTCTTGACTTTTGTATTTCATACCTTGCTTTTTTAAGCTCTTCAAGGTAATAATCTGGATCAGCTCCTGGCTGAACATTTTTATCAGCTGTCAAGTTTTCTGAGTCAAGGTAGTGAAGAAATCTCAGGAAAGATGCCTTATCTCTCTTTGGTTGCTCTCCTTTCTCTGATGCTTCCTTTGGATAGTCTGATACTCCTTCCCAGGCTTCCTCTTCCTGTTTAGATATTACAAAATGATATTTTATTATCTGAAAGTCAGCTGTGAAATTTTAAAGATAAAGTACAGTCAAAAAATTTTGTTCTAGCCTGAAGAACAGGCATATTTTTGGGGGAATTTTCAGGCACACAAAGACAAGCTCAAGGAGAGTGCAAAGGAAAGTCATTTGTCAGGCAAGGAGCCTGAAAAATGAAGAAAGGACAGCCTGCTGAGAAGGCTAGATTCATTCTAACATCTGCCTACCATCTCTCTGACCACTAAGATATAAGTAAATCTAAACTCCCCGAATCTTATAATCTTACCTCTTTCCCAAACTCAAGTACAGAGTTGGTTAGATTTCCTACTGTTCTGAGTTTAAGGCCTGCCTCGAAAACATTTTCTTTCTTGAAGTGGCTCTCTTCATTACTATGGTTACAAACCTCATCACTTGGGGTGAAAAGAAGAATTGCACCTTTACGAGTGACAAATGTCTTTGGGAGAGCAAGTTGTCCATCTTCCAACAAGAGGCTGCCATTTGATCTTGCTGATTTGTTTCGAGATGATGAATGATTTGTCAAATGAGGTAGAAGTGGCTCTATAGGGGACTGGTAATGAGAAAAAAATTGATGAGCATGAATTGCAATAAAATCTTGAGCTGGGTCATTGAATAGACCTTGAGAAAGTTTTTTGTTCATTTCTGAAGGCAAGAGACAACAATAGGCTCCAAACTTTTTCCTTGTCTCAAGGCACTGATTTTTTTCTTTATCCTTAGCTCAAGAAAAGTAAATAATATCTTTATTTAATTAATAACTCACTCTAGCTACTGACAATTCACCTGTTTGAATACCTAGCCTCAGAATATTTGTTATTATGTCCAAATTAAATTACCAGTGATAATTTCTTATTTCAGACCACCTATCATTTTGAGTCTGATTGGTTAAAAAATTTGGATAAGTGTTTTTGGATCAATCACAGAGCAATGTACTGAGTGAAAGCAATACTGGATTACTTTTGACACTCAATTGAAAATTGCTCAGTGTCACTGGTCAAAAAAAACTATAAATGCACTGACAAAATTTGCCAGTCAATCAGGCATTACTCTTTAAATGCCTGATCTCAAGTTATAAGCTTAGTTTTGAAACAGATTATATTGTTAATGGCTTGTAAAACATCCTTTAAAAGACAGAATGATTTTGCACAAATTATTTTTACTCAAGTGGAATATGAGTGCCAAGTCATTAGTCCACGGACAGTATAGTCCTTGATCAAGCTGTTTGCTCAGGCCTTTTTTGAGGGATTAACAATCGTGACATTTCATTAATTTTAGGACAGAAGGAAAATTAACTGAGCCAACTTGAAGTTTGCATTTGTTATCCTCTATCTCTTGTAATCCAAACTTCTCTAATTAGAACTTGGAAATAGTAGCCGACATATTTCCTTAACCAGCTGTAAGGCTTACTTTCGCCATAAGGATTTCCACAACACCCGTTTAAAAGTAAGGTTCTTGATAATTAATAAGTCTAAATTTGCACCCCCTTCTTTTCAGTCAGGGGGTCTGACTGTAAGATTATATTTGCGGTACCTCTAATATAACAATAATATTTTGCTTTCCTTGAACCCTCAAAAAGTGAAATTCAGCTACAAGGGAACAGAATGCGTACGTCAATAAAGAGAAAGCTGCGACTAAGACGAAGCAAGAACTTAGCAGAAATTCTAAACATCCATCTTGCAAGGTTTGACAAATCAGGCAACAAGCTTGGCATTTCTTCACGATGACAAACCGCAGCGATAAGCTGCTTCAAAAATAGCCCTTTACTTTAGCATTATTCCTTCTTTTAATCGGTCTATCGATATTTTTTTCCAAATTAAAAATTCAAATATTTCAAGACTCTCGTTTCGTCGACATCGCGATCTTTTGTCTTTCGTGAATTCATGCATTTGCAGTGAAATACGAATCACAATAAACACAAAACCTGAGTGAACAAAAGAAAAAGAGCAGTTCATGTCTTACCGTTTGATCCGAGTACGTTTCACATTGTAGATCGCCATCCCAACTAGCTTTCCCTCGAGCTAGCGGCGAAAACATCTAACTCAGGGCAAAAAATATGACGCTAAAACATTCTACGACACATTCAACGGACCGCATCACGCCATCTTGACCCATCGTCTGGTTAGGTAGATGCACGAAACACCATATGGTCACCATGCCAATATGCTAATATGACAAAGGTCAATTAGAAGGTCTGCATTTGGGCCATTAGCCGCTTCAATACACTCTAAAGAAATAGGGCTTAGTAAAAAATATAGGGCTTAATGTGGCTATTACGTAATAACATGAAAACTCTGAGAAAGGGCTTGAATTCAGTTCTTTTATCCAGTTACGGGGGCCATTAGGATCAATGTCAGAATAACTTCCCCTTCCTTAACCAACAACAGTCAATCGTTGCTAGATGAGCATCTCGCGGTCTTCTCGCGAAGCGTACCGGTGGGGGCTGTTCGAGGGTCTTACACCTGCCAGTACCCTCTCGCATCTCTCGCGGGCACACTTTGCTCTCAGGCTCAACTCGAGAGAAGCGCTGTAGATACTCATGCGCGGTAGTGCTAGCAGGCTAATCACATGCCCCATCGGTAATAAATGCTTCATGTTATCCTCCACGTACGCTAAAAAATTACCCTCAGTAGCCTAGAAGGGGATGGAAGGGCTATCAGAATATCGCACAGCTTAATGAAGATCAGGTAAATTATATAGAGACAACGAAAATTCTCTGACCCCCCAGACGATAAATGACTGGTCCCAAAACTATGGTTAAGATGGTATCATAGCTAAAACAAGCTTTGATTAATAAAGCAACAGTGCTTCTTGTTATCAATGTAATTCCTATAACACAGGACGTAGCAATATCACAGTAGGCCACTCTGAGTTGGTAACCTCTTCGCACACTTTTTATTCAGTTCACGATAACTTATATTTTAAAATATCACACGAAATTTCTAAAACGTTAAATTATCTAAAACTTTGTAAACTACCATTCCTCTTCAGAATATAATATCTAAAGGAGTGAGTATAATGTCTCTCCGCTGAAATTTTTAAAACGTAACTTACTTTCGATGTAGGAAATCGAATCTATAGCCGTGAAAGATAAAATGATCTTTAAAAAGTCACTTGAGATAAAGCGAACCCTCAAAAACACATCAAAATGTAAATTATTACATGAATCACCTTCAGGAAAACTTGTGCGAACACAATGTGTATTTAAGAGTGTGAAATCATTTATTAAACAAGAGTGTAACCTGGATAATGTAAATATGTTCAAGAAATTTTTTTCACACAAAGGCTACGAGTAAAGCGCTAAAGAACCGTTTTGAAGTAGTGGCAACAGCGTATTCCAGTCCTCTGGTATAGCTATTCTAAATATACACCTTAATTACAATAACTTTGTCTAGAAAAATGCAAAAAGCAAACATGAAAAAGGCAATTAGAAAATTCACGTCAACAGGTTGAGTTGATTTAAATTCATTTACCAACGTCTCCTTTCATTTTTTTAAGCATAATTTACAATTGTGGTATATAAGATAAACTGGAATAATCATGATTAGGATTTTATAAAATAATTCCTTTTTAATTTACTTTTTTAATTTTTCACTTTTGCTTTCAACTGAGACAAAGTTATTCCAATTAAGTGTATCTAAAGATGCCACGTGATTATCAAAAGTCACTGTCAAGAGCCTTTTATCTCAGTGAGAAGGTCCTCATAAAAAGGCACGAAGACAGCCAAGTTGTGTCCAACTACACGAGAAAACCTGCCGGTAATCTCGGACAGTTCCGTATTCACACTTGTTAGACCCTGAGGGGTACTCGGTTGGGTGGATTGCCCGCTCTCTCTGCTTCCCTTTTGAAGAAATCGTCTCTTTATGCTGTTGAACATGAAGTCGTACGTACGTGTGGCTGTCCAAAAACAATAAAAAGAAAGACGTGTCAGAATAAAAAAAAAACTTTTCAAGTTTGAAGGAGATCTTTGCAAGTTGAGCCTATTTTTTCTAAACAGGAGTTCTGGGTTTGCTTGAAGCACTAATGTCTTGCTGGAAGCACCAATGTCTTGGTGGTGATTTGAGTTAAGTTTCCGACTAAGCGTTCTCAGAAAGAATTGCAGTGTTCAATCAAGAAACAGATAGTCTGAAACGGTAGGACCACGAAGACCACACCCAGTTAAAAGGGCCTTGTTTGGGCCAAAGACGCCCAGGATGAAGCCGTGGTATGTTGAAATGATAAGATGGCAAATTGAAGGGTTCAATGCTGGTGACACTCGGTGTAACGAGGGGGAAACCAATTTGACGTACTTACTAATTAAATTAAACACTGTGTGGTCTGAAGATGTGATTCCTTCTGTTTGTCCTTTCAGCAGGTCCTTTTGTTGGGAAGTGAGTTTATTCAGTCCTCTTTCTTGCAGCAGCTTTTCAGTTTCACGCACAGTCTGTTCATACACTCCAGGGAGAGCAGAAGGGAAGTCACTGCAGTAATATAAACTAAGGTAAATTATGAGCCACAAGTAAGTTTTCCCAGACGAGTTGACGATTAAGATTTATATATTTTTTGGGTCTTTCCACAAGTGTGGTACAAAAAAAGATCTGAGTGGCCATGAAGAATCCAACCTCAGACCTTTGGATTCCACGTTATGCTCTACAACTGAGCTATAGAGAACTTTATGGTTTGCTAGGCCTTTTAAAAGATTCACTTATGTCGTGCGTCCTGTATACTTCTTGGAGCAGCATGTCGAAAGCGTCGCGTGAATAACTAAAGTAAAATAGAAACTTGGTAATCAAAAAAAGAAGGGTATTTGTTCGTCTTTTCACGAGCGTGGGACGAATAACATAGAGTCAATTTTTTCTGATTATTGTGAGAAATGCACCAATTTCACTTTACCCTTCAGGAACTCCATCCAAGAGAATGTACAGCACTTCCTTAAGGTTGGCTAAATATGCCGCATCTGAGGCTAACTGCTGACCTATAGTGTTCAGGGTCACCAGCAACACAGCTGCAATCAGAGTGGTTCGCCGAACACTCCACCTCATCTCAGCCAATCGGAATTCATCCATAATCAAGGTCTGCGAAAAAACAAGGAACTTAAGCACAGAAGTTTGTTAGACGCGGACGCCGACCTACTTTTTGTGCACTCTGACATCGACTTATAAATTGGGGTGAAAGATGTTTCTTTTTTTTATCTTGTCACGGACATGAGACAGAAAAAGACTAGAGTCTCCGTGACGAATCAAATCTCAGACATTCGGATTCCGCTCTCTGACGCATTACTACTAAGTCACAGAGACTCTGGTGAATTAGGTCATTACTGGGTTTATTAGTGCATACAGCTAGCATCAGCAATATCAAAAGTGTCTGCGAGTAAATAGAATAAGAAAGATTTTCTAACCTGAAATAAACAGAAATGTTTGCCATCTTTCTTGTTCTTTTTACTCATACAAGACATTTGATATTGTTCACCCAAGCAGGATGCAAGGACTCTTGGCAAGAATGAACCAAGTGGCTAAGTTCATAACAGAGTTCTCTGTAGCTCAGTGCTCAGAAGAGCATCAAAGCACATAATCTGAAGTTCCGAGGTTCCATTCCTCATAGGACTAAGAATTTTTTATTATATCCTATGCATGTGAAAAGACAATAAAACATCTTTCGCTAAATGGTACAAAACTGTTGAGATGTGGATTGCGACTGGAGGGTGAATTCACCTGCTTTCAGTGCATTCTGACATAAGTATTAGGAGTGAAATTTTCATGAAGTAGAAATCATCAAAGTTACATGAAAGTCTAAGAATTCCGTTGAATACCTAAAGTGTAGCTCAAAGATATAAAACTAAAACTTCATTGCATAAAATTGCATTTAATTACCTCTGGAAATGGCCAGCCTGCCTCTCCAAAGATTATTCCTAAATACCCATGCACCAACACATCAATTAGATCAGCATCTTGCAGTTTCTGTTTGAAGTCTGTGGTGTCAACTGCTTCTGCAGAGACCTCTGCAGCAGCCCTAAAACCAACTCCTGTTGCTACTTCTGCTGCTCGTTTTAGCCAAACTTTAGTTGACATGAGACCTCCTAGAGAAGGCAGAAAACTATCAAATGTAGCTGTACAGTTCCAAAAAAACATGCCACCTTAGACTGATGGAAACTCTATGGGGAGGAGTACATGAACCATAGGAGCATTATGCATGTTAGTTATAATGAAAGAATCTCTGGAAAAATTAAAGAGAGATACAGTACTATTCTATACATTTCCTGCACAACCTGTTCTTCCAACCAGGGCTGCACAACTTTTCCATTTTAGTGACTAGCTCACTCAAGAAAAGCTAAAAAGGTCAAGCATTTTCTTGCCTTTATTTGTTCAATAATTTTTAGTCAAAAGGTAATTTAAGTACCTGGATTGGATTGAAGATAATCTTTAAACTTTTTCCTTTCATACTCAACTGACTGCTGCATAAGATGAGGTTTAATGGTCTGTAGCTGAAAGTTAGCCATATCAACCTTCATTGCATCTATCAAGCTAAACACTTCCCTGAATGAAAATAGGAAACAATAATACAGGTTCAAGCTCAAACTCATGCCTTTTGTTAATTCATATTTTCCAACTTTTTATCAGCTCACCTGAAAAGGTCCACAATATCTTCATTCAATAGGATCTTTTTGGCTTGTTCATCTCTTGCTGGCGCACACATTTTGCTTAGGAAACCAACAATAGATTGTGCGAGTTTGGAGATGTCCAGAATACCATGATCAGCTTGTTGCTTTATAAGATCCAGGTCCAACATTTCATTGATGTGTGTTTTGAGTGAATTTTGATATGGGAGAAGCAATGAAAGAATGTTCTGTAAAATCAACAGGGCAAATGTGAGCAATATTATGACAAATCTACCCCATGTTAAAGTTAAATTCTTCAAAAAATTATGGCCCCCCAAAGCTAGCATTACACTTACTAATAACTACACCCCAGTACACTGTGCACTAACAAGATGTACTTTCATGTAGGTGTCCTGGGAAGGAAAGACGTGTTCTGAATTATTTGAGGTTATGTGTTGCTGGCACTCTGCACCTTAACACTACAATCTGTGACTCTGAAATGAGTCGTTATGTATTTTATGATTGGTCCTTTTTACCCACAATTAAACTAAACTCTTTGTCAGTCCTCCAATTTTCTGAATCTATTTGGCTCTCATGGCCCTACTCCTCCTCAGGACATAGCACAGAGTAAATGTCATTTTGGATGTCAAGTTCAAAGAACTGAACTGTGAAATTACTAAACTAAGTGTAAAGTTGAATGTATTCTTCCCTACTTTCCCTCGTCTCCTTGCAAATTTACCTGACTGTATACCCTCATGTAGACTTAATATTATTTTTAAACCCTTTTATAACCACAGAAATGTCCTTAACTGCAATACACCCCAACAAACATGTAATAAAAAGCTTTGTCATAGAGTTTTCCCTTTTCTGCCTGAATTTTAAACTAAAAGTGTTGTTAATATCATCAGTCAGTTGACATTCAGCTCTAATGAATGGCTAACACCCGGAATGTCAGCTCAGAAACTCCTTATGATAGCCATTTTACATTTCCAAACCATCGATAAAACCAAATTATCTATATTCTGCTTTACTCATTTCATCATATATTGATTACCTCCTTAAGTTCTTGTAACAAGGATAATGCCTGATTAAAGACTGGGGGCTTCTGATTAAGTTCTTCCTGAAGTTTATCCCAAAATGCCTTATGAACAACATCCCTAACTTGTCTTTCAAGTCTAGAAAGAAAAAAAGAAGCATGTTGAGACAACCATAATTATTATAGTTTTGAATTATTCATCTTTAGAATGCTAACCCTTTAACTCCCAAGATGTGATTGTTAATTCTCCCCTCTAGCTGCTACACACTTCCTTATAACTATTTATGAGGATTTGGTTGTAGATCAAGACAACTTCTCAAAAGTTTGAGTATTCTCATTACCTGTTTGCTAGATAATGTATGGATGTTATAGGGAGAGGTTACATCCCAATTTCTTTTGGGAATTAAAGGGTTAAGCACTCAAACAGAATCAGTTACAGTAACTGCAAACAGAACCAGTAGCTGCTGATATAGTAATAAGCATTCAAAATATATTTGGAAGGATGGTGGGTATCTCTATTAATGGGAGCATGGTGGACTGATGGTCAGAGCACTGTATTCTGGAACAAGACATCATCCTCTGCCTGATGCTTTTAATTACTCTCACAGTGCTTCTCTCTTCCTTGGGACATAGAAGGCAACACCAAAGAATGCTTGGAGATTACCTGCACTGCACTAGCATTCCATAAAGGGGGGATAGACATTCTCCTATTCAATAAGTGCTAGTGACAAAGACCTGGAAGAAGCATCAACAATTACAAGCTCTTACACAAATAATTGAAAATAAAACTTCCCTTTATTAAATAAGTAATTTTGCTTTTGACTGAAATACTCATTAGGTATCAAAAAGGCAAGAATATCCATCAGCCAATGATTTCCTACGTCAACTTTTTTACATTTCATGGACAAAAAAGACTCTTTCCTGAGAATCGGCACATCATGATGATGTTACTCTCGTGTGAGAGACCGTCATAAAATGTGTCAACTGTGTTCAGAATACAAAATTACTTCCTCTAACGTTCGCTTCGGTTTATCTATGTTTCTCTTTGAAAAGGAGGGGACTTCAGTGTAGCTACCGATCACTGCTCTTCAATTTTATAGGGCGAAATATTCTTTAAGAAATTTTTTATAAAATGTTGAATATGAATTATTTTCAGATATTCACATTCATGAATTACAATGCTGGGAAAATTATAACTAACAACTCAGAAATTAAAGTAAATAAGCCGCGAGCTTTGAGATGATAAACTTTCGGCAAAAATAGAATTGTTCGATGGAAACACTTTACCATGATTTCGTCTTCACCAACAAAGTACATCTGGATCCTCGCGAATTTTAAATTTTCTTAGTAAGTAAACACGCGCGCGCTTTATCGTTCTTGCTATTTCGCGATGTAGTGATGAATAGTAAAAAAAATGAAAAAGTAAAGCCCTTTCTTGGGGTACTGTTAATAGAGTTACCAAATGAATAAAATATCTTACGAGTTTTGAGGAAGTTCCGTCTGAAGTTTGAATGAATCATCCATCAGCAATTCGTGAGCTAAAGCCATATGTGACACAATCTTAGCAGTCTTCCGTTGACTGTCCTCTGAACTGTCAGAGACGTTCGCACCATCTTGAGGGCCATCCATGTCCTCTTTTAACAATTCCTCTTAATTGTATTCTTCTATTCCTTTCAAAATACTTACGATCTGACGTTCATCAGCTGAAAAGGGTATGTACTGCTAAAATTTCTTCAACAAAAGTCACAACAATAAACATAGATATGATTCTGTTCTCATTCCCTTGTTTTATTAAGTAACCGAAAGACACTGGGAATTAATTTAGGAAGTAAGTTAGTACTTTATGTAAGCTTCATATAACAGGTCGACCGTTCAAAATGTCTCTTTTATTCCCTCAGTTGGACTCAGTTCCAACTCAGTTCGAGGTATTAACTATATTTTCTTCATCTACTTGTTCTATTGACTCGTGGATAACGCTGAGAAGAGGAAATCCTCGTCGTCTATTTAAAAAGTTTTTAGGTTTCTCTTGAATAAAACTAATTTTAGACTACTGCTACCTAAGGAGAATTGAGGACTAACCTCAATGAACTGTTCAGTGGGTTCACCCTCCTTACCCAACAGACCATTCAAACTGGTAACGGGGGAATGTTTACCGAGGACTTTTCACGTTTTCCAGTCATAAGAGGCCGAAATGCAAAACTTACGTCAAAAATTGCGAATAAAAACTAAACTTTCGGCCAAATCTCACAGATGCACAGTGGGTGGGGAGTGGGACGTGCCGTAAGATGTTAATCATGTGATGGTAAGTGATCAGTGATTGGCTGGCATAAGGTGCTTCGTCTCGTGACTATCACGCTGCAATCGACACGACAAAAATAGCGTCAAACTCTCCTCATCCCCACTCTTAGAAAAGTACTTTCTTGTTCAAGCAGACAAGCCCATCGACATGTCGTTCGCTTCTTTAGCTTTTGTGCTTTTCGTTGCCTCAGGTAAGTTTATTTTGAGATTTTAAACATCATTTCAAATCTTTTTTGGAGTTCATTTTGGGCGAGTAGTTTCCGTTTCCCTAAACTGGCCGAACTTTACCTAAGTTTATTATGTCATTCAGAATGGAGATTTTCGCCGAAACGAATTTTCTTTGCCTCAGTTAGCATTACCCGCGAGCTCCTTACCAACTGAGACATTACTCTAAGTTTAAGAAAGCTCAATCACATTTTTGTGGCTCCAGTATCGATGGTATTCGTGAATACCACTCATCGCCAGTTGGAAAACATATTTTCCTTTGCTGCAATTTCAGTTTCACACTATTAATGCCGGAAATAGAGCAACCATTATTAAAACCTTTTAATCATTTCTTGGTACTCTCCGAATTCCGAGGCCCATCTTCTGCTGAAAGAAGATGGAATGTATTGCTAAATTTGTGTAATTGAAAACTGGCTCAATTTGTTAAGCTACTATCAATTTTCAAGTTCCTGACATATGCAAACACTGAGCCCAAACTTCACGACAACAAAATCCACTTTAAGGAATGTTCAAAGAACTGAAACTTATCGTCTAGACATTACGACTGTGTTCTTTATAGTTAGTTTAAGAGATTGCTCGCTCGCCAGACGGAATGGGAGGAGTATGTAGAGGACTGGACAAGTTTATATTCAGCCCCATTCGAGTTATGTCGTGGATTAATTGTAGTAAAAATTTTTAGTGTTAATGGTGTGCAAATTACATAGAATAAATTACAACCTCAAGAAAATTCCAAAATTTGTCAAGATCAAGAATCACCCTGGACTCACTGAAGCCCCTACCTAAACATTTTATGTAAAGGCAAAAATTTCAATTTGCACTCGGTCCTAGAATGTGGGATTTTTTTATTGAATATGAATGGAACAAATAAGGTTACAACTTTGCCTGAAACAATTTTGCAGACTTGCAAAACAATGTTTTCCAGCTTAAACAACCATAGTTCCCAACTCTTGTGTGTTAATGGTAGACTTGAATTAGATAAAGGTTAGTGAGTACTGTGAATTTTCCCTGATGGCTTATTATTGTTGAAACAAATATTTTGTAGCTAGTGCAACCCCTTTGGGACAAGAGAGATGTTCATGGGGACCATCTTACTGGTGTGCAAAGTACAAACAAGCTGTAGAATGCAATGCATTGGAACATTGTCGCGCTAAAGTTTGGTCTGTAAAAGATGAGGTACGTAAACACCTTTTTGTTTATTTTCTAGACATCTGGAGGGAAATTTTGGGCATTTTTACCCATGATGAGTTGGTGCCAACATTCTTAATGTTTAAAGGCACAAATATATATATATATATATATATATATATATATATATAAAGTATATATAAGTTGAAGTTATACGTCAGCATGCTTAACAGATAACTACCATTGACTAAGGTCCAACCTCAAAATAAACACCCACATCAAGTAAGTGCCCACCCTGAAGGTAGGTAAATTAACAAATACTGAGCCTCTAATAACCACCCACCCCTTAATTGACAAAGTACCACTAAATGACTTCCCCTAAAGATGGAGTTTTGTAGTATTTTTTAGACAGCTTTCAAGGAACTGTTAGATTCTGCCTTAGTTCATCTTTTAGTATTGTTATTATTCAGTGTGTTGTAAGTTGCAAAATAAACTTAATACATTCTTAAGATGGTGAAAATTTGATTAGCACCCAGCGTTGAATAAGTACCCACTTCCTCAAAAAGTTAAGTAAGCACTAAGGGCCAGGGCCCTCAATCGAATATTAAATACAGTTGCTAAGTTATGTAATGTTACTTACAAAGAATGATATCCCAAGCAAAATGCCTTTTTATTAAGTTGAGAAATCTAAATGTGTACACACTCTCTTTTATCAGGTAGCTTGTGATGTTTGTAAAGAACTTGACCCTTTGATCAGAGCATACCTGGAGAAAAATGCAACTCAAGTAAGTCAGTCATTTAAGTTTGATTGTACATGTCTTTTTGTTTTTCTCTGATATTTTGAGAGCCGCTAGTAGAATTTAAAGACCTCACAAAGAAACACTGTTCAGAACTTAACTCAGTCTCAAGTAGAGTATAAAGTAACACAAAAGTGAAACTGTGTACAAAAAAGTTTTTGTAATTCGTTACACCTAATGTTTGTGAATGCTATCAAATGAAAGTAATAAATTAAAACAGTATTGTTCTTTTCTGTCTTCATGTGTGAGAATCATGGACTATTGCAGGTTTTAAAGAACTATGCAATTTTGTAAAATTTAAGTCTGGACCATTAACCCTAACAGTTGTAGAGTAAGTTGATACTAACCGTCTAAGTTACAGCTATATCAAAAAAATTTTTTCAGACAGAGCTTGTTACTCTGGTAGAGGAAGCTTGTGAGAAGTTTGCTGGATCTTATGCAGAAGTGGTAGGTGACAATTCAAATAGATATTAAGGCCTGAAGCTGTTCACCTTCTAGAACTTTATTAAAATCTTCCCATATCCCAGCAAGTTTCAACATTAAGGAAGACACTAAGTCTTGTTGATGGACCACAGCTCCTTATAGATACTAAATACAGTGTAGTGAAAAAGCTGTAGGAAATTATCTGCTGTAAAGTCTATCTCCATTGGTGACAGTAGTCACCTTAGGTGATGTTGTGAACTTAACCCACAAATTCAAGCTCAAGACAAACTGAGAAAAAGAATTTGTTGGTTTCATTTATCCCTTAATCCTTTAACTCCCAAGATCTGATTGTTAATTCTCCCCTCTAACTGGCACACAATTCCTTGTAAATAAGTTATAGGAATTTGGTGTTAGGTCAAGGTAACAACTTCCTGATAAGTTTGAGTATTCTCATAACCTGGTGGCTGGATAATGTACGGATATTATAGGGAGAAGTTGCAAGTTAATCACTTCTGGGAGTTAAAGGGTTAAAGGCACACATAATGTCTTGATATCACCCTTCAAATTACTAGCTAAGCAGCAAAATGCATTTTACAATAATTTTCAGATCTCCATAGATGGTAATCTATTATCATTTGCTTGCCTGAAGTAATTGGCTTGACTTTATCCTCTACATGTATGTCCAAAATATGTACAATTGAAACTTATTACAGATCAGTTGAATTAAGATATAGTTTTGGACTGTTAAGTTTTCAATTGTTTTGACTCATTGACAAATATCTTTAAATTAATTGCAGTGCAAATCCTTAGTTGATCAGTATGAACCACTGCTTATGAATACCATTTTGGAGTACTTGGTAAGTTTTTAAGGTTTTATTATTGACAGAAATGTCCAAATTGAATGCCTTTTCAGTGCAGTCAAGATGTATTAATGTGTTTTTAAAATAAATTTCTTCTGGTTTCTGACAAGAAACTTAAAGTTTCAAACCTCAAAGGAAATTGAATTAATTAGTGTAAAGAAATGAAAAGTCATGGGAATTTTTATTTCTAGTTTTTAAGTTAAAGAAGGTTGTCAGATTGTCACCAATGCAAAGAAGACATCTGCAAGTCATAGAATCAAACTTTAAAAAAAACACAGTGTAAGATTTAAACTTTCTCTGATTAAAGGCTGATCCTCAGCAAGCCTGTACAACTTTGGGATTATGTTCAAGTGAGGTGAAGCAAGTCGACGCCAAGCTCATCTTCAAGCCTTTGAAGAAACAGATGATAAAACTCATGAAGCCTCTTGCTCTTGCTGCCAAGCACAAGCCAGTTGTTGTCAAATCCAAACCAGTCAAGGCCTCTGTGGAGTGTATTTTGTGCGAGTTTATCATGGACAAACTTGATTCTATCCTCAAGCAGAATGCCACTCGGGTGCGTAAAAGATTCAGGAGATAGATACATGGGGGTGGATTAAAAAACAAATTACAAAATATTCAGTGAACACTGGCATACAAGCTTTACTTTTTTGCTGTGTTTATTTCTAGAGTCGAATTTCATTTTGTATTTTTATCTTATCAGATTAGTACAGTTTGTAACCAGACAGTATTCAGAGTTTTCCATCTTAGTGACTTTGCGCAGTCCACTTGTTATTTCCTTTGAATTCTTTGCAAAACTTTTTTTCCAGAATTTGAGTTGCCAATCTTGGGGTGCAGATTACACACCAGTATTTGCAGTATACTGTGTCTTTTCAAAACAATGATTGTTGTTACCCTACCCTTTTAGAAACTCTCTTTTCAGGGGTTCACTAACAGTTTTTATCATTTGGATTTATGTTATACAACTTTACTTCCCTAAGACATTTATGTCTATTTAGTTACAAATCAGATTAGTAGCACTGATCTATTGTCAGATTATAAGATTAGTTCCGTTATTTAGAGGTTAGATACTTAAATCATTTGACTGTGTGATTGTGATTGGTATCTTGTTGAAGATTAAGGAATGTGGAAACGTGAGAAAAACTTTTCGCGCTTTAAACGGAAGATGTTTTCAACAAAGCTGCGGACAGACTGTATTTGTAGAATAAGGTTGCATCAAGATTTGTTATTATTCTATATTATATTGTTAACATGCAGCCCAACATTATACTCTTTCTGGTTTGCGATTTTATATATTGGCTAATAAGATTTAACTTATTTTCTTCAGGAAGAAATTGAGGAGGCTTTGGACAAAGTTTGCAGCTATTTACCATCTTCAATCTCTAGTGAAGTAAGAACTATTTTTATAGTAAGAGCTTTGCATTTCTATCCTAAATTTTAGCTAGAATAAAAGGATAAAGTCACTCCAAGCTATGCAGTGCATTGCAGAATCTTTAACAATTTTCTGCACCTTGTAAAGATACTTTTTCCCCAAATTTTAACACCAGTCTTGTTGTGAAGGATGATCATTTGCCTTCCAGTGTAGTCACTACAGTTGTGGATCACACATCTAAAGTTTCTGCATTGTAAAAAGAGCAATAATGTTATTATTATTTGCAAAGATCATGCCTGTTTGATCTCACCATAGGCTTGCAGTAGTTTATTATTTTGGTTATGTTGTAGGCTCTAAAATTACTTTGGGTTTTTTTTTTGTGGCTCCTAGTGTACCCAGTTTATCAATCAGTATGGTGATGCAATCTTGCAAATCCTTGCACAAGAACTTGACCCAAAAGAAGTTTGCACAGCGCTTCAACTTTGCACAAGTCAGGCAAAAGGTAAAGGTACTTTAAAATGGAAGATGTCCATAGCTAGAAAAACATAAGTCCCTTACCAACAACATGTATTCAAGTAAGGTTATTTAGCTGTACATTTTAACCCTTTCACTCCTAAGATCTCATAAGCATTTCTCCTTACTATCAACCATACAATTTGTATGATGTTGGTTCAGAGAATTTGGTATAAGATAAACTAACAATCCTCTTTTAAGAATTGTTATATTTCTTAGTTCTCATCACTTTTCTGCTTGATATTGTATTGAAATTGTAAGGAGAAATTTTGTCTTGGTCACTGACAGGGGAGTGAGAGAGTTACCATATTTACTGGTGTACAAGTTGAACTTGTGTATAAGTTGACCTCTCATTTTCAAGGTCAAAAATCAGATTTCTAATCATTTCTAGTTAAAGAAGTAAAATTCAGACTGATAGAAATATCCCAAAAAGGTAATCTCTTATTTCTGAGAATTTATTAAAAACAAGGTGAATTAAAAAAACTGCAGAGCAAGATGGAACGGTGTGGTGTTGGGGATTGGCCCTTGTTTATATTACCATGATTTAAGCATACACAAGCACTTCAAGTTACTAGAGAAGCATTTTACCATATTTTGAAAATCGCTTTGAAAGTGAAATCTTCTTGTATTTAACTAACCTTTATCTTTAAGTCAATGTTGAGTTTGAAAGGAGATTTAACGTGCCTTTGGTTACAATTACATAATTGATCACTTGTAGTAAAGTCATTATTGTACAATAAGAATTGTCTAGAATCTCTCTTTACTAGTAGAATATGTATTGATCTTAAGTTTAAAAATATGAGATATTTTAAGGAAAGCTAAGCACTTTACAGAGAAACCTCATAATGCATTACATGAAGAATCCTTATTTTAATAGATTGGCACAAGTTGTTCCCTTTAAAATGAGAGCATTGAAGAGGGGACACTTGCTCGTGAGATTAGACTTTGCCACTCTTTTACCCATTCCATTAGTGAGAGCAATTTCCCACTGCCATACCAAGATAATCTTTAATCAAGAAATAAATTTTATTATGAACAGCTGTTCACAACTCAGATATCACATACTCGGTTGTTCTTTTGTCTTTAGCCATGGAGAAGCCAAAGATTCATCTTCCGAAGAGTAATGAGACTTGTGAAATCTGTGACACTGTCATGACTTACTTGAAGATGTTACTGGCAGACAATGAAACTCAGGTACATAACAGTGATGTATACATTAGATAAATAGATTGCTGTGTTTTTGTTCAGTAATAGGTCCCAGTCACCAGCCTTCTGCTGTTAACCACTTTATTTAAATTGCTCTTTTTTGTGTGTGTTTGTCGTAGGTGTTATTTCCTGTTACATTCAATGAATGATTAGTTGATTTTATGTTTGTTTACTTTTCTCAGCAAGAGATTTTAAATGTATTGAAACAAGTTTGCAGCTATCTGCCAGAGCAGCTCTCTTCTGAGGTATAAAACACAAACTTATAAACTTTCTTTTACTCTCTTGTTGTATAACATTTAGTAATAAGCTTACTTGTCAAATTACAGTGTAAATATGAAATTCTTGGCAATACTTGTGACTTGTAACCTAAGTATACAGGTACTTAACAGTAATATTTACAGTTGCCTGATTATTTTTACTTTCTTTCTTGTCTGGCTTTGATTCATGTCTAAATAAAATGGAATTAGGTTAGTCTAACACATCAATCACTCCAAAAAAATTAACCTTTGAATATCCACTAGTGCACTGCCATTGTGACTGAGTATGGACCAGCCATTCTGAATCTGATTGCAGAAAGTGATCCAGAATCCCTATGTGAGGTAAGTTTTTCCTCTAACATAAAAAAGTGAGGGGGGGGGGCGCTTATTTGACTCTTTATCTTCAGAAGGGAGTCAAGTCTTGCCAAATAGCTTGTGCTTTGTTGGTTTACTCAAAAAATGTCATGAATTTTTCATCTTCAGTTTGTACATTGAAGATATGTGTTTAATGCAACCAGTTTCTCTCATGGTCTACCACTTTTTATGGTGTTGCAGTGGTCTACCCTAAAGAACTCAACTGTCACTGCGCAGTTGAAAGTGCATTTTCTGCTGAGCTATGCTAACAAAACTCCTCTTTCAGGAAATTGGACTGTGCTCTGCCTTTAAAAAGATGACATTGAAAAAGGAGGGCAAATTCTGTTTCCTTGGTGCCTCATACTGGTGTGAAAACAAGTTTAATGCAATCCAATGCAATGTAAGTCAAGTGGAGCAACCTATGCCTATTTCTTGGTAGAATTTTGTAAAAAATGAATTCAAGTTTGTGAGTTTGTGTTAAAGTTAAAGGCATGTCAAAAGCAGAATGTCCATCTGATTCCTCTATGCTTTCAAAATGATAACACAATTTTTTCAACTGTCCTCTATTGTAATTTGGGAAAATTTTCTATAATCCATTCAACCTTTTCTATGGTATACACATTTTGTCATATTCTGAAATTTACCAGTAGGTTACTGTTACAACTCACATTTTTTTCTAGTATTGCAACTTTTCTAGCAATTTTTGATCAACATGTGACAAGAGTGGTTAAAAGTGTACACAAAATAAACGTTCACCCTTGTCTCAAGATCAGTCACACAATATTATTCTGACCTAGATAACGCTTTTGAATCAATGGAAATTGTCACATTGAGATGTAATATCCTTTTTAATATAGAGCAAAAATGTGTGCTTTTTATCTTCTCAGGCTTTGAAACATTGCACAGACCATGTGTGGAACTGAAGGCAAAACACACCGCCAAGAGAGAGCCTTTTGCTGGATTATAGTACTAATGATTAAAAATTAAAAGTAGCTTGTTGCATGCCTTACTCTTCTAAGATCAGACTGGGAGCTACTAGCTTTAGCCATTTGGTAAACTTTGGTGTGATAAACTGCTGTTGTCACTTTCCACGTGTGTGTGTGTGTGTTTTGTGCAGTGCTTACCCTCAATAACAAAGATATCCAATAATAACAGTTAGGGAGTTATCTTCAGTTGAGAACAACACTCGGAAATAAGAATTCCACTTCATTTTTTTATGGTAATATTTTGCTTTTAATGGTAAGGTCAGCACTTCTAAAATTATATTAAATGAAAACACCATGTAGCTCATTTATTTGCCCGAAATAAAATGACGATGCTTTTCTTACGTTTTCTGCTCGGTTTTTAAGATGACATTTCACAAAGAGGAGTTTCCTTTGGGGAGGGAGATACCACCCCAGCGATACAAAACGTGCGCTAAGAATGCAACCATTTAAGTCCGCTAACCCTTTCTTCATCATATTAACGTTGAAAGTAATCCAGGCCATGGCCACTGATTTTACGTTCTTCTCTTACGTGTATATTTTCGCGCCTAATGGAGGCTATGTATTGGTTATTTAGAATTCGTACGAACTCCTTTTTCATTTATTCTAGTTTCCAGTCCCCAATCAAACATAGTGGGGTGCTTCGGTTGAAAAAGACTGTCGTCAAGTTTTTCAGGCACTTTTTTACTTAGCAACTGTTCGAACACTTTGTCAACGGTTATTAGGGAAGTTATCGGTCTGTAATTCTTGAGCTCCTGAGTATCGCTAGTCTTGAAAGCAAGCGTCCATTTTCCAGTAAGTTTTATATGGAAGATCAATTTAACAGCAGTCATTGTTTTTCAATTTATGCAGTGAAGAAAAATTGGACACAAGAAGCAAGGATCTGGTGATCGTGCAAGCCATTAAATGACGGTGGCAAAGGGAGGGTTCCAATCACACACCACGCGGAATTTTTCTATTAAATCACCCATCAAGGACAATTTTTTTTTGACCAATCACGCGTCACTTAAAAAAAGAGTAAAGATTTCAACCTATCGGATGTATCATTAAAAGTTATATTACATTCAACGGTTTTTATCCTGGAATATATTGCGTTTCATTTGCCATATTGCTTTTGGTTAGACAAGTAAAGACGACTCGGGTGTTGAAACGAGACGCTCCGAGAGCGTTTACTCAGGCTTCGTATCGCAATATCAAATCGTACTTTACCAGAATAGAACACAGTAAAAACAAATCAAAGAATCAGGATATTTTACACAAGAGTTAAGCCTAGGTATTTACTCTTCGAGTTGCTTCGTTGAGTATCCTCTTCATCTAATAGCTTGTTGTTTGCCTCACCTTCGAAGTTCTGTTCAAAAAGATTTTTTATTTTTTTCAATTCAACATCTGAGGTGTTCGTCTGGGCATCATAGTCGTCCTAGTTTGTTGTTTAATAAGTCAGTAGTCATAGTTTTGACAATGTTTTCGAGGTTTGAACTCATTTCTGGCCCATTAGTCATCGAGAGAACTAGTATGGACTTTGCTAATATTTGGCTATCTAGCTCCAAGATTGAGTAGACGTCTACGCCACCTTTACTATTTATATTCTTCTGTACGGCAGTAAACGATATAACGTGGCTTTTGAATCCGTTTTGGTCCAAATTGTTTTCCTCGTGTACTAACTCATTGCTAACATTGCCATCCTCTCGGGCGACACAAAATGACACCAAAACTCTAACGTATTTTACCGTTTCAGTAATTTGGGTTGACATTGTCTCGGATCTTTCATTCGATGGATTCGGATACTTTCTGGTCTTTCTGGATACGATCTCGCGCACCATCACGACCAGGCGGTCGACAAAAACAACACTGAAGTTCATAGTCCTTGTGCAAATGTTTAGTATATTAACTTATGCCTAATGTGCTACGATTGTTTGGACCAACCAGGAAGGTCAAAGACATCAAAGGTCAAGCGAAGGTCAGCAAAGCAGTGTCACGGCTGCCACGGTTTATTGATCTTTGTTAAGACTCTTTTTGCTTTGAATGATTGGTTTACTCTTAGGTCAAAGGGCGTTCACTATCACGGAAATCTAACTAGTAAGTCTTGTAAACCACGCGTCATGCACTTGTAAAATAGAAGATCACGCATTACGTTGTCATGTCCGGTCCCGCGTCACGCAGATAATTTGGGTCCCGACAAATTTTGGGGCCATTGTGCGTCACGCAAAAACCCTTTGCCAACCTTCTTAAATTTGATTAGCATCTGGACCCTGAGAGGTGATTAATGGATGTTTAGCTGTAGTGTCAAAAAACTTAATCACCGTAGCTCTAAAGACAGCACAGAGTAACCTCTGCGGACAATTTTTTTTCAGCTGCGACCATCTTTCCCTGTAAATGGACTCTCCTAGGTATCAAGAGCGTTAGGATTGCTGAACCCATTGAACAGCACATCCTAAATTTGAATGTGGACTTATGGGGAAAACTTTAAAAAAAGAGCATTCGAGGAATAACGAAATTTGCATTCTCTCTCCTATCTGCTGATTTGCAAACATGCCAGGCCTGCCAAAAACCCGCTCGGGACTCTCTGTCACACTTGTATACATTTCGGTACTTGACAACAATCTTTAACTGATCCAGACTGCGTAGGAAATCTTTCCCTTTCTCGTCATTTCGAATTCCTTCTTCTTATTTCTAAACCAAGTTCCTAGGGTCTCCTTAGCCGTGTAGAAACAACTGACCCTGGAAACGACGAGGACTTAAACAGTACAAAAATAGATAAACACAGCTCCAATTTTACTCCTTCGTGACTCCTTGTAACTTTCTTGAGACGGAGCGTCAGAAATTCACAAAATGGCATCCTTAAAGACGGAAATCGGGCTACATCTTCAGAGTGAATCTCAGAGTTGTTCGTTTGACGCCACAACCCTCCCAGAGCTTGTTGCTGAACATATTGTGTCCCTCATATTGTGTGCTTCCCCACACCCTTTTTTGCTTACCCGCCCCCTGGTATAAATTATGGTCTCTAAGCTAAAACGTTTTATATTTTACAGCCAAGAAACTTCTTTCATTTTCTTGAGGGCGTAGCAAAATCATGACCCGTAACTTCTGTACGTCGACTTCCCTGGCGTTCTTCGATCAGTTTAAAGTGCTATCCTTCTGATAACCGACTCATATCCCCATTGGTACTTATACTTATCGTCAACAGTTAACTTTCCAACAAACATAATTAATCCTTTTTCCTCGTTGTACTCTATGTTTATTTTCTACTTTCAGGAAGTGTGTGTAGACAAAAATTACTAAGTAGCTTTGCGATATAGATTTTCCACTCACAACACACAAACAAACGAAAAAAAATTAAATTCAACCGTATTTACTTTAACATACCACGCTCGGGAATAATTATTTTGCGAAAAATCTTGTAGTTCAAAACTGAAATTGTAATATTTGAACAAGGAGACTTAAGGCCAAAGAAAGACTTGTCATAAATTTTCGATTTTTAATCCTCGGGTAAACTTGTCAAGGAGACTTACCAAAGGAAGACTTGTAATAAATTTCGATTTTGACTCCTCGGGAAAACTTGTCAGGGAAAGCTTCATAGTTACCAGGTACCCAAATAGGCTATGGGAGTCACAAAAACACTTCAACGTCTCATCTCTGTTTCATGAATTACATATTTCCTTGTTGTTTATCTATTTACACATGTGTTTCTCAGTAAGCAAAATAACTTATGAAAGGAAGGAAGGTGGATGCGGTAACATTGCCGTTTTTCCTATTTCATTTTCATGTTTCAGTTTTGAGTAGATGTCTCTGTTGCTTTCGCAGTTGATATTTTGAGGTACGAAAGAAAATGATAAAATACGTATACGTTACAATCATCATCACTGTTATCAAAACAAAATAAAAGGGGAAACCAAGCATTTAAAATCACCTTCTTCATTAACGGATTAACTTCGATAGATTCAAGGAAACTTGTGCATAATTATTATTTTCAGTAATCTGGCGGGAAATTGTCACGAAAGCAAATGTCACGAAATGAAAATACGTTTGTGGGAAGACTCTCTCAGTCACGACCAGCTCTCTAAGATCCTGGTAAACACAAATGAGAAGATCCAGTGTTATTTTTCCATAGGGTATATCTGTTTGTTAATATGACAATAATCATGATTGAATTTAGGAAATCAGAGATGGTTTTCTTACAATTTTCAGGTCACTGCTGGGATACGGCAATGATCAGGGTTAGAGACGAATTGTTTTTATTTTTTTTTCTTTCTCTGTAGCGTGAGAAGCTCTAAATATCTTTTTTCACTAAAACAAAATTTAAGCTGTTTAATCATTTTTCATCCCCTGAGGTTTTTTCTACTGTGTTCTCGAGACAAAGAGTATCAAAAGTTTCTTGCTTTAAAGTCACGAAACATTTCCCAGTCCTCAACATTTCACATATGAACAATACTCGTACCCCCCTCTAGAGCAAAATTACAAATCGTTTGGTATTTTAGAAGAAAGTATATGTTGATCATAATAATATATAGCTTATTGAACAATTTTCCTCAGAGTTATTGATTGTGATGGTCAGGAGTAAATCAGAATATTTAAGAAGACTATATCATGTATTTCAAGGGAAGTTTGGGGTAATTTTATTCATTTTCGTCGGAAAATTTGAAACAAACATTAGAGATTGCTAGTCATTTCTCTATAGCAGTTCGCTCAGCGCTTTAGTGCTGTATCTCGTGTTTGAAGTAAAAGTTCAGGCTCGATGTGATGAATGCAATTTGGTGGTACATACCAAAATGGAGGGTTTTATTGGCATATGGGATCATCTTGACGGATGGTAAATTTTCTAGCGCACGGAAGGGTTAAATCTACGGACTGTGGCGTTTATCTTAGGGTCGAAAACATTGTTGTACCTGCCACAGAACGGCTTTTACGGCTGGAAGCGGGAAGGACAGCGGTTTTGGTGCATTCAAGATTTTTTCAGGCTTTTCCCTCGAAAGTTTGAGTTTTTATCGGGGCACTGGTTAATTTATTAGTGCACAGACGTTCATTTGTGTGTTTTTGCGGCGAGCCTTATGCGGCGATTTACCTTTCATGCAGTTTTGCTTTTATTTATGATGGACTGAGGTAATCGATTCATTGACAATGGCCGTGGTCCAGTGGTCGCGCAAACTCTGGCCAAAAGTTTGAGGAATTTTGGCTATTACTGGATTGAAGATTTATTCCATTGGAGGTGCCATCACCTTTCAAGATAATTTGAGCAATTTCTTCACCGAGGAGCGCGGAATAGTAGATATTTTTCAGTGTATTTTGGATCTGTTGTATGGATCGGCGAGAATCCGTGATTGGTTCACGCGCGTAAGAGTCGAAATTTAAAACTCCCTCCTTTTTACTCGTTCCACAAGCTTTGTGGCATAATAGTAATAAAGTTTAATCGAGGAACACGATGTTTCAACCGTCGCACTTTCAAAAGATGGCCCAGCATTTGGGCATTGACTCTCTGTCCTACGAAAAGGAATACAATGGATTTATGACAAAGTTGAAGAACTTTCACGAGTCTAAGGGGTAAGATGAGGAATAGTTTAGAGGCTTCTTGCTAGAAAGTTTCTGTGTTGTTGCGACAAAGCAGGAAATTTATTCTGTCTAATGTCTTGTCGTCTAGGACGCCATTTAGACGATTGCCGTGGCTAGGAGGGCAATATTTAGACTTATACCTCTTGTACCGTAAGGTAACTTCAGCCGGTGGCTGGGTGAAGGTAGGTCGTCGAAAATTCCCGCGTTTTCTTCCAATTTTAGACTCTCACTCCTCTATTTTTACGTTTAAAGAACCACTGAGTTGTGACTGAATCCATGTTTGTCTATTTTTTAGGTTACAGAGGAGAAGAGGTGGCGAGACATTGCTGAAGTTTTTAATTTGCCGCCAACATGTACGAACGCCGCTTTCGCTTTACGACAACACTACTCTCGGTAAGCGACGTTAAAACCTCCAATTGCATGGACATTTTGTCTATTTAAGAGTTCCACGTTCTAATTAATAGCCTCTTGAGTTGAAATATGAACGCAAGGCTACATCTAGACGGTTTAAGACCATAGTAGTGACCATTGAAACTGATTCATGTATGGTCCTGTTATAGGGGAATAGCTTATGAGCTCGATAGTTAGGGAGAACTTCCGTTATCCTCAATAAGTATTTACCTTTAACTTTTATTCAGGTTAAGATAAAATTAACTCTGTTTGTAGATCACCTTATGGAATTTTTGACATCGTGTGAAGTTTTAACCGAAGAATTCTATAATTTCCTTGTTGCTGGGGATGTCCTGGCCTGCTGTCACCAAGATTGTTTCATTTGAAAGTAAAGGACACGTTTTTCCCATATTTCCGTAATCTTTTTGGTAATTTTAACATGGGTTATTTCTGACGGCTTATTTCCGGTTTCCTAGATTTAAAACATCACTTTGCCTTCCACTACATCATATTCTCGTCGAAAATTGATTTTGAAAAAGCTAAACAAAAGACTTTCGTTGTCTCTTTGTGCGTGGTTATGTTTGTTGTGACCCGTCAGATCGAATTTCTGTACTTGTCTTACTTTGGTCCGACGTGTAAATTGTTATAATTTTCGTCGTTCGTCAAGTTAATTTTCTGTATCCGAAGGGAAAGTATCCATTGGACCGGCAGTGAAAGCCTTGTAAAATGTGTCAGGAGCAGTATATTTCATTATGCAAATGAAACGTGCTACTTTGAACAATTATTGTCTTGTGGCAGAGGTCGAACATCTTGTTACTTTGTACAGTTACGAAGACACTATGTTGTAGAGTAAATTTGTTTGAGATAATTTCAGCGAGTAGAATGTTTTTTAGGGGTAATCTAGAATTTTAACATCTTATTGGGTAATTGTAAGCTTGTAGTCATTAAAAGCTGTAACAGGCTGAGCAATTTCCTACGTGAAGAATCTGTACCTTATGTATGAAATTTTGATGGGAAATGATTTCACTTTTGTGGTATGGACAAGGTCATCGCACCATAATCATTATGCATTCATCTATTAAAGGTGCTCTACTTCTTTGCAGGAAAGGCATCAGATAATTGTGTTGTAACATTTGTATATTTTATATGACTAGTTCTCTGTTATTCTTATATTTCAATGTTTACATTTGAAATGACATATCCTCTATTAAAGCTCATTATTTTTATAATTTAGAATATATTTGATGAAAATGTGATCTAAACCAAATTAGTTTTGTATAATTTATTCTCTTAAAGGCAGAATAGATTATTTTGTTGCATAGATAAAAAGACAAATTCAGAATAAGAAACTGATGATGAGGGATTGGAAAACTGCTTGCTCAGTGTTTCATATCCAAGATGTCAAAACAAAAAGTTAGCCAGGTAGAAGGCTGATATTGATTTTCAGTCATACAAGCTGAATCTTTAAGTCTTCTTTTTTCACAGCTACATGCTGATCATTAGGCTCATAGCAGTTTCTTGGGAAGATCTTTTTTTGTAAATCCTTTTTCTCCTGTCTACTTCTGACAGGGGCTAAAGAGTAATATTTAAGATGTAAAACTCAGCTTGCTGTATTGTTATGTACATCGGCCTATAAATAAGACTTTGTTTTTAATAATGTTGTTGACATCATTCATTTTAGCTATTTGGAAAGCTTCGAGAGAATCAACTTCTTTGGGGAAGATGCAGAGGATGTTCTAGCAGCTGGAAGACCCCATACACCAGTTGGTGGAGGCACATTCACTCAACACGTTCCTTCAGTGGCAACAACAGGTAATTATGTCATGTACCTTAGTTGTGCAATCAGTCGAAATTGAATTTTCTGGTTTGTCTTGTTTCTGTTGTTTTCTTAGAATATTGTGTACAATTTAACATTAAGAATTCATTGTCCCATGAAAAATGAATGTGATTTAAGTAGTAGCAATACAATTACTTAGTATCCATTAATGAAACTTTGGTTGGCTGGCATTGTCAAGAGACTTTCTTTTTTTGGAGCAAAAAGTAGTGCTGAAACTGAAATAGAAATTCAAGTAAATGTGAGACCTTATTATTCAATGTAAGAAAATTGAACATGTAACAAGTTATTGATTAGTCCCCAAATTACCTTACTGACTGACATAGTGAGTGTATTTAAACACATTTTCATAAAAGTTAAATGTCTGTTGACTTACTATGGCATATCTGGGGGAAGGGAGATGTTTGGTTCAGAGAGCAAGGTAGTAATCCCCAGCTGTTTTGGCATTTCAAAGTTTACGTTTTTGCCTTAAACCTGGTACAATGAGGATGTCAATTTGAAAGTGTTTCTCTGAGTGTCACAACAAAGCAAGGAATAGAACTCATTGACTTCTAAAATCAGGTTCTTAGCCCACCTCTTTTTTTTTTTTTTTTTTTTTTTTTTTTTAGATTATATTTCAGTCATTTCCACCAGCAAAGGTACAGTATAACCTCATTTATGTAGCCTTGTCACATAAACAAATACTTTTATACTTTTATAATTTGACATGAAGCACTCTGGTACTCATTTAAATCAGGATCTTTTGGAAACACACCTGTAAGGATGGCAGTGATTTGGAATTGAATTTTCCTCTCTGTTATCAGATAGAGACTCTTTTTTGGAAGTGAAATGGTTTACCAAGATCCCAATCATTTCATTTGAAAAATATATTGTGTTAGAAAATTGTGGTCTTTCATGCAAGTAGAAATTGTGTAATTTGCCTTGTGAATTAAAGAGGGAAATTAATGGCTATCAAGACTTAATGAAGGAACTTTTGGCTATGAGTAGTTATGGTGAAGTGTATGAAATAATATTCATAAAATGTGAGATTTAAAAGTGTAGTCAAGACTAGTTATTGTTCTTCTATATTGTACATGACTGACAGTTGTTTTTCTCTACTTTTCAACCTCAATAGATCCAAAAAGAAACTTTGACAAGCTTGTCCTTTCTCTTCAATGTGGCATGCCAAATGAAGTGGATTTTGCCATTAACATTTGTATGCTGTTGTCAAATGTTAGCAACTCCGTGTTCAATCTCAGCAAGGTAGGGATGAAATCAGTGTTTCAACAGCATGGTAGTCATCCACCAGTGATAAAAATCTAGCAAAGTTAAATGTCTTGTCATTGGAAGATGTAGTAGCTTTTCTGTTGTGTACTCTACAGTGAAACAATCATTTAATAATTTATTTTATACTTACTTGTTTACATTGATTTCTTGACAATCTTGTCTTACTGGCCAGAGTATAGAAAACAAACTCAGTGTAAGAAACCCTGGTTTCAGAGTCAATTCCTTTAAGGTGACAAATATATTTGAACTAAAACTACCTGGAGAAAAAAGATAAATCTCACTGCATCACTACAAGGGAAAGCAAGGCTTCTGTATCTGTAGAGATATAAATCGCAAATTCTACATGTATTTTTTTTTTGTATTGCAGCAGTGGAGCTTGATCATTATTATAAATATGAATTTGAAGTAGTGATAATTGATCTTACTAGTATGCTTAAGGTTATTAGAGAAACTGTTAGGAGTGGTATATCATTTACTTATTACAATTTTAGGCACCTGCAGTGGTGGATACATTACTTGCACATGTTGGGGTATTTTCTGAAGGTATGTAGCTATAGCTTCAATTTGTTTTAATTAGATATTCCACACTTTTTCTGGGTTAAAAGAGATGAGTGATACTTTGTAAATTCACCATTCACTTATCTCATCAATTAGAAGGGAGGTAGGTGGGATGATTATTTTGCTGATCAGATAAAGAATGGATTTTTTTTATATCTGTGCAGGATAAATTTTCAGTTAGAGTTAAATTAAAGAACTGAATGTATTTAGGGTAAGTTTAAAAAAATTATTCTTCACCGCTACTTAACAAACTTAAAACTCTTATGTTTATCTTAAAGATTCCCATGGACTAGGAGAATTATATGAACAGTGGTATGCAAAACAGGATATGGAGAGAGATTTTACAAGGGTAAGCTTCAAACAAAGTCTCAAACATTTCTAATGACTTTGCCATATTTGTGGTTTGTTTTGTTTTGTTCATTCATTATTCCAAATAAAAATTTAAGAAGTTTCTCTCAAAGACAAATTAATAATGGAGCAACCATTTCATTAACAAAACTGCAATTGAAGCAAAGACTTTTTATGTCAAAAAGTCAAGAATGGAATAACAAAAAGTAAAACAGGGATATTTGTGTTCTCAGATTAATGACTTTTTTTATTGAACCATGTAACAAGGCAAGAGTTGCTTGATTATTTTGTTGAATTGTGCTTCTTTTCTGCAGTTTTGGAAGGAAGGTCTAACTGTGAAAGGGGTTGAGGACATTCTATGTAGTGACAGTGGTATGTGTCAAGTAATCATAATAATTATGATATTAATAGTAACTAAAGTGAGAAATAGATGTTTGTCCATTGGATGCGATCTTTAGTTTTGAGACATTAGAGTCAAGTGTCAAGACCCTTGAAACAGGAAAAAAAGGAGTTTAGCAAGATTAATTTTTCACACAATTTGAAGTTTCCCTACCTTTCATCTAATCTACAGGATGAAAAGCCTCACAGCATGCATCATTGCCAATGGGGCAAAAACTTCATCAAACTTTTTTCATGGGTCGTTATGATGTATCAGACAATAACCTCGGGAATGTTATTATTTTACTATATGCATGACCCACTTCATTATCTTGAGCAAAAGTTCACTCAAACTACTACCCATTATAAGGGTTTTGATAACAAATGGCAACATAAGCAAATTCTGTGATCTTTTGTTTTGTTTTTTCAGATGATAAGACTACAGACCAGGGATCTCTTTTTCACCCTTCCAGAAAGAAAATTGGTGCTAAGGATGTTGAGTGCCAAAGAATTTCTCAGGTGCTGACCCAAGCATTTACCTCTACTTTTATTTATTGGTTACTTGGAAAGGCAAGATAATGGTACAGTTATCTGGTCCTTTTGCATTTAAGTATTTTGGATTATACTCTTTAGTTGATTTCTATACTTTGATCAAGTTAAGTCAGAAAACATTTGTCTGCGTGTAGATTTTATTGACACGGCTCTACATGTAGTACTCAAAACAACTCTAAATCTAAGGGTTCTTATTTACATGTATGTTAAATGGATTGTTGCCTATTACAATGTTTATTAATTCTTGGTAGTTATGTGAAAGGGACTGTTACTTTATTTCATCTCCACTCTAGCCCATCTGTTTCCCTTCATGTAATAGGTGTAAACAGTGGAGAAAGAACAAGCAGCGGTGTTATTTTTGAGTGTTTGCCTTTTTCATGATAATCACTCCTCTCTACATCACAACATTGTTACAGCTGGTAAAACAACAACCTAATCTCTTTTTATATCATCTATGAAACATTTTTTAATTTTTTGGGTGTACTCTATTTACAGGTTGGCATGATCTTTTACAACTTCTCCTTTGACAGTGCTAATGCTGATGTGCTTGCAAGCCATCCATTGTGCTTGAAGTAAGTATTGGTAGTGTTTCTGGGCATCAAAATTAAGTAAAAGGCCCAATGCATCTCTTCTTCTTGTTGATTGTTCAAGTTAAATCTCCTGTGAAGCAATATGACTAATTAGAAACAGGAAATCATAACCATTAGTTGTGGTCACTATCATTATCTATATTGTGTAAGCCATTTTGTTGAAACTTTTACCAAAGCAGGAAAGAAAATAAGAAACCTAAGTGGATATCTCTTTTTCCCCTCTAGGTTCTTAGTGCTGTGCATTTGCAGTAATCATGGATTTCTGCAAAGAATGGCTTGGGAAACTCTTTCGAATTTAGCAGAGAAGGTAAGCATCCAAATACAGTATGTGTATTAAAAATTGATTTAGTAAATCATTTGAACCTAGAACCAACAGTCAGTTGATTTTTGATTGTCATGATAAGGTAAAGTCATTTGGTTCTGAGGATTACTTTCACTCAGCTTTTCAAACCAGTCTATAATCTGGACAACTGTAGCCTCACCCAGCTGATCAGCCTACAGTATTAACTAATTTATTATTTTTCACAAGAAATTTGCTCTCTCATTCTTTATCAGATGCTAATGGACCCAATTGAGTCAACAAGTACACAGATGTTTTTTCAGATGCTGCATTGCTTTTTAGATCATAAAGATCGTTACCATGTCATCAATGGTAAGCTTATATTTGCTCATGAATTTTGCAAGGCTTATGTTAAAAGAGATTGAAGTAACATCATCTATGGTGAAAGAAAATCCCTTGTGGGAATTAATACTAACTTCTGCTCATGATGGTTTATGTTCATTAGCCATGGATGTTTTGGGCAAATTGTGTACCCTGGAAAGAAATGATGAGGTTATAGAAACTGGCCTTGAACCTGAGGCTTATCAATCACTCATTAAAGTTCTGATTATCAGTGATGTTCAGGTAATCAAAATACATGTACTTGAATAATTTTATTTTAGTGCTCCTTCAAAAATGATTCTAGTTTAGGAGAGAATATTGACTTCTTTTAGTCACTTGCACCTGTAGCTTAGCTGCAGTGCTTCGTGGCACTTGCAGGTACATTTAAAGCAGAAATCTGTGTACTTAGTTAACATTTTAAAACTGATGTAATGTCATATATGAGACTATAGTTGTCTGCTATCTCAGTTTACAAAGGCAACTTTAAGCAGAGAGAGTTAATTAGAAAGTAGCCATGTACTGTAGACAGATACAGTAATTACACATATGCTGAAATGTTGTAATTTCTTTCAGTTGGTTTTGTCTTCTCTGGAATCACTCTACAATTTGTCTGGAGTAGGGCAAGTGACATCTGATCATATTGCAGAGGTTAATCATAGTATTGGTAAGTGCAATGCAAACTAAAAGAGTGTTTTCCATCTTATCTTTGCTTGACTTCTCAGTAATATCATTTAGAGTTTCAAACAATGAGTGGGTATTTTTATTTAGATATTCTGGTGTGTTTGGTGACTTTGGATGCAGAATCTTTTGGACCAGAAGCCTTATCAGAGGTGCAAATCTTAGAAAAAAGGATTCCAACTGCCTTGCCAGCAACACCAAAGCCACAACCAGCTACAACACCAGGTTATTACACAATTAGTTGTGGTGTCAAATATTTTGAATCAATGATCAATTATTGAGAATTGCTTGTATTTTATCATATATACACATGCATGTATTGCTCTTCATCATGCCTCCTGAAAAGGACCCCACACATTTTATAATGTCCTCATTGTTATTATTTTTCTTCATTTTCCCACGCTATTATTTATCAAGTGTAACAGTTGTTTTGGATTTTGATCACAAGCAATGATGATCAGCACACCAATAGCAAAGATAGTTGAATGATTTTTGATGTACCTATTAAGTATTGTGTATAAGGATGCTAGCAATCAGTGTGAAAAACTAGTCATATGAGAAAGAGTTTTTGCTTAGTTGAAGGTGGAGTTGAACATGCAGTATATTTGACATGTTCTTGTTTTAAAATGTGGGATGGGATATAGTAACAAGGAGGCTAAACCTTTAAAATGATTTTAAAAATTAATGTTTGTTTTTGTTCCAGTTGCTCCACCACAACCAAGAGAACCAGTTCAACAACAGCAAGCCCCATCTTCCAGTCCATCCCCTGGTCCAGTGACCAGTCCCTCTCCTACACCAGCCCCCATCAAGACAACAGGAACTGAAATTGACCCAGAGACTTTCACTTTCAACTGGTAGGTCCACTGGGCCACTAAGCTCTTGTTTGCTACACCACAATTAGTGTGAAGTAGATTATACTCTTAGAATATTAATGGCCAGTTAAGAATTCAAATACAGATGTAAAGAGGAAATTTGTCCTATTGATTCTGGTTTGCCTCTCTGTGTCCTCCCTTATTTTAAGAAGGACAAGTTAATTAAATTACCAAATCAGTAAAATAATCATTTTACTTGTTTGAATTTTCAAGAATTCCTGTTGATGAAAGTACAATTAACTGCTACTGAAATCTCTTTGAACTGCCCCTTTTTATTTCAACTGGGCTTGGGCCAGGTTTTTACATAGTTTTGCAAATGAAGTATTTGTATCAGTGTTAGTTAACTCCTAGTGATTGTTTTTAATTTGTTTTGTTTTGTTTTGTTTTGTACAGGCTTCAGGGAACTTATGAACATTCACCTGGAAATTCTGTTTCTCGCATTGACATATATGCAGACTATCTGTCATCTTGTAGTAGACTGGCTAGAGTAGGAATCCTTAATGCAACAGCATTTAATCGCATCATCAAGTAAGTGATGAGTTTTGTTTTAGTCAGGATTTTTGAGTCAAATCTTTGCTATTAACCTTTCCTCTCTTAGGAGTTACCAAGAATAAATTTACTCCTAGAATATATACAATTTATATATATTTTTTCTATCAGAAAGATGTTGAGAAGTAAGAAAAATGTTAGTTAAGGGACATTATTTTATTTCTCACCAGATTTTTAGATCTAAAACTATCATGAATGTATTGTGTGAAAGGGTTAACATTCTTTGGTGGAAGACTTGAGATTCTTTGAGCCAGTCGCTTTGGACTTCAGATGGAAAAGTTTTTTTTTTTAAAGTCTTGTCTTAGTCATTGTGTTGTGTTCATGGGCAACAGGCTTTACTCCTATTATCCCTCTCTACTCCAAGGAGGATGAATAGGTATTGGTGGACTGTCAGGGAAAGTGGATGAATTACTGGGAGTTTCCTGCTGTTTACTAGCATCCCGTCCAGGAGGAGTAGTTATACTTTTAGTTGCTTCATGCTAGTGAAACCAGGATAAGCTTCCTGTAAGCTTGACATTCCTTTGAAAAGATCTGTGTGAATCTGTCAGTGACACAGTTAATTTATTTTTTTGCAGATTGGCTTTCCCTGATGGCCAGCTTCGAAGGGTGCAGTCTGGGGTAAATGTCCAATACGTCCTAGCAGGTTTAAAACGTAGAGCTAACCCACTTCCAGTTAAAAGCCGAACAGATTCACCAGCACCTCAGCATGTTGCAAGCCCTCATCTAGCAACTCAGCAGCAAGGACAGAGAATACCCCCTGGTCAGCAGGTCATCAATAGGACTCCCACCCCTCCTGTTCAGAGTCAAATTTCCCCAGGATGGAATCCACCTAAACAGCAAAACGTGACAGTTGCACAGCAAACACTCCCTTCATCAATGCCGAGGCAATATGAACAGAGGTCCACACCACAGGTTTCTGTGAGCAATCAACCACAGATGCTTGGAATGGCCCAACTTCCAAGAAGACCAAGTACATCTAGTCCGGGAGCCATTCAAGCAACGGTAGATCAGGTTCGTGTATGATCACGTCAAGTGAAAAAAGGGCACAAATTTGTCCGTAAAAAGAAATTATGTTCAAATCGTCAGACAATGGTTTAAGAGATGGCATCATTGTATGGTGTGATGTAATATATACCATCTGATTTGTCTGCTGACACACTAAAACTCTATGTGAATGATTGTTCAGTGTGGAAAAAAATAAGAGAGTTCACATGAAAACCACTGTCAAGTTAGTGATAATGGTCTCCCATTGGTAACTTTAAGTACAGTTGTTCATAAGTTATGGAAGGCTCACTCAATGCACTGTAGTTACCTACTGGTTAATTTTGTTGATGATTTTTTTCCTAGGGAGTAAGACAATTTACTACACCAGCTTTGCAACAGCAAAATCTCCAAACTGTGGCCAATCAACGGCACATGATCGGAGGTCAAACGCAAAGGAGTCTTGGTCCAACTGATAAGGCTCAAACCCTTGAGAGAGTAGCAGCTATGCGTAGAGCAAGTGTGGAAGGAACTAGTGCTCTGCAGGCACAGAATCCACAAGCCCTCCAGCATCATTCCCAGGGGAAGAACATGCAGAGAATGCCCATATCTTCCCAAAGTCCAGGCCCATCTAGAGGAGATCAACAGCAAATGGTTCACAGCATGCCACCAACTGTGCAAGCGTCTCCAGGTCAAAAGGGCCCCAGTGGTGCTTATCCAGCTCAATCCATCCCTGCTGATGTACCTCGCAGTCCTGTTCCTCCACAGATCCCACTATTGAGGTCTCCACTTCCTTCAACAAGGTCTACACAGCCACTCACATCACAACCAACTCAGACACCACTTTCAGTAGGGTTCATACAAAGACCTGTTACAGCAGCAGAACCATCCTCATATCGACCAACAGCCGCCTACCGGCAACAAGCTCCTGCTTTTCCTCAGCAGCAAAGTGTACGCCCTGCACCACCTGCTTACAGTGGGCGGCCTCTGTATCACGGGTCTTACCCACCCCTTGCTCCTAAACCTGCACCAGGAGTCAATGTTCAATTATCTCAAGAAAGCCAGTTGAGGAAGAAAGTTTCCTCTAGCACTGCCGTCGGCGGGAGCCATCCCGGAACTCCACAAGTAGTGAGACCTCCCTTTCTTAGGGAAGAAGTTACAACAAGACAGATGTTTGCTCCTCATGAGAATGCACCCAATACACCACCCTCGCCTGTTTTGTCCCCTTCCTCAAGGAGTGGACAGCCGTTCAGGGGTTCTCAACCAGACTTATCGGGTGGACATGGTGGAAGAAACGTCAGACCTGGACTAATAAAGAACAGCAGACAACCTTTTTCTGGGTAATATTCTTTTTTGTTCTCCTTGATAACTTTTACGTAATACATTTTAAAAATTGTTCACACGTAACCTGCAGGTATTTAGCTTCGCAGAACAATAACTTGATGATTGCTATCCAAACATTCTAAATGCTTTCATCTTAAATGCCTTCAAAATCCCAGAAAAGCTACGTCTGAATATTGTCTGAATGCGGCTGACGGTGTAACTTTGTGAATGTTCTCTTTTTCTCGCAGGATTAGACAAGAAGGTGTCGTCCTCATAGCACAGGAAGAGAGGGCAGCAGATGTTGTTTCTTCAGGCCTTCTAGAGGGCGCAGCGGAACAAAAAATTGTCGTCATAGAAAACAAAAATAGAACAGATATCATCCCAAATAATTCGCTGTCTTCAGCGCACGCTAATACTGCCCATGAGCATTCAAAATTGTCATCTGGGAACGCGTCAGTTAATACCAGAGATGAAATTTGCAGATCGAACATTGATGAACATTTTGATCAGTCATTAGAGAGAATGCCGTTGAATCAAGGAGAAAAAAACTCTCTTCAGAGTATACCCAAGTCAACTTTGTACCCTTCCAGTAATGGTTCTTTAAAAAGAGACTTGAATATACATGCAACCTACGGGAGTAGAACTTCTGCATCAAACGAGGAAAACCTGAATGGTCAGCGCGATAATGCCAGTGATGAGTTTGGACAAGTAAAGAGGCCAAGACTGGATAGTAGAATGTCCTCCCTTGAAAATGAATTAGAAAATTCTTCGTCGATACCATCTAGAACTGGAAGTCCAACCCCTCTTGTTAATGGTGACATCAAGGCTGATCCAAGGAACAAACTGATTGATAAACTTTTAGATAAGGATTTGCATTTACCTCTTAATGGCGTTTGTGGAATCGATTCGTCCGATATAGACCTTCTTGCTTCCGACGGAGAGAGACTCAGTAGTAGTAAGGCGTCATCACCAGATCTCTTTGGAAGCGAAACAAATTCGGATTTTGGTAAATATTTAGAGGAGAGCGATACAGATACGGGCTTGTTTAGTGATGTTCTGCAAGGAGATTTAAGGATAGATCCGATGGAGAATGGTACTGAAGGCACTCACCAAACGGCATCGAAGATGCCAAATTTTCCCGTGGGAACCTGTAATGAAGGTGCAGTTGTATCCAGCGATAAAGGCATTCCTGCTGGAGTTACGCAGCAACAAGGCAAGATTCCTATTCCTCCAACGGTGAGACCAGACCCCGTTCCTGGCCAGTATAATGCTGCGGTCAATCGGACATCACTTACAGGAAATTCACCCTGGAATTCTACAAACAATGTGAATCTTGAGTCAAAGACAGGCTTAAGCCTTTCGTCAGCGTCTGTCAATGTACAAAAAGTTACATTTCCACATCAAAATAACCAGCCGAGTTCTCAGCAAATGGTAGTAACTCATGATTCTTCATTCATTCAGCCTTTTACGACGCCGAAAAACATACTGCCCAGACCTCAGGGGCCAGACATTGTCAATAGCAAAGCTCCAGTCTCTCAAGGATTAGGTATTCAACAACCCTTGATGGCTTCATCTTTTCATGGAGGGCAGCAAATTGCTGCAGATCAAACAGCCTTACCACATGGAAATGTCGCTCCGAGCAGAGGAATGCCACCCGGCTGGGCCCCAAGTGGAGTTCAACATCAGCAACTGCCGGTAGCACCACATGCTGCTCGCAGGGTTCAGCCTGCTGCTGCTATTGGATTTCAGGTAGCCTCACCAGTTGGTGCACCCCTGGTGCCCCAAGGTGCTACTGTGCCTCCTGGTTCTCTGAGCTTGGGTTTATCACCTGGTTGGCAGCCTCAGTTACAACAACAGCAAAAATCTGTGACTGTTCACCCGGATGTGACGACTCAAGGTGTGGCCACACCTGGGGCAGCGATTCACGAGGCAACATCTACGTCTCAAAGTAGACCACCAACTAGCCCCATGCAGTTTCAGCACCCTGCCATGCCACCAGCTGTGAAGAACGTAGTTCAAAACCCAGTTGGATCCTTGCTAGTTACTCCGACTGCTCCTCAGGTGTTTGCACCTACCCCTCCTGCGCATGTTAGCCAAGCCGAGTTTTCAGCACCTCAGATGGTGTCTTTCAAACCTTTTAGATGTCGATGGACTACTTGCTATAGGTCAGTGATATGTTTTGTTGGCTCGACTAAATCGACTTATTCAGTTGGTAGCGACATAAATTGCCAGAGATAGCGCATTCACTAAACAATACATACACAATATTGTAATAACTCGCCAACAACGGTTGCTTCATTGCCAAAGAACACCGTCAAAGTGGGATGAATGTAGTAATTGTTACATTGGGGTGCTTTAGTTAGACACAGGTCAATGCTGCTTCTGTTGCTTAAAAGCGAAATATATCAACGAACCGAAAGCAGATTTTACTAGAGAAATTACAAATTGATCTGTTTTTCCTTTTATTGTTTACAGCTCATTTGACACCAGCAAAGAGTTATTTGCACACGTGGTTAGTGAACATGTCCCTCGTGACAGTCTGGTCATGTCGTGTATGTGGGAAGGTTGCCCATCAGTGCGCCGCTCACGTTCGTCACTTTTATTTCACCTTCAGGTAAGTTTTCCTGGGTAAGAAAAAATATCTTTACTCTTTAAACAAAGAATAATTGAAGCATCTTAAAAGGTTCTTTTATTCGGTTTTTTTCCGCTTTCAGTCTCCAAGTCGTGGATTCATTCAAACAAGTGATAGTTGAAAAGAAAATTTATTCCCGCTGTATTTCGGATTTGGCTGTCATTTGTTAAGAGCTGATGTTGTTATGTCTTTTTTTTTCACTTTTTCTCGGAAGTGATTATTGTAGTCACTTGTGTTTACTGAAATATCAATTGACTCCAAAATGTGAACCAGGTCGCCTATTTTGGACTTTCTGGTGCCAAATGTGTAGATCTCTATCCTCCACTCATTTCGCAACAATGTCAAAAATTATTGTCACAGCTAACCTTCTAACTTTGTGTCTCCGCAGCAAAAACACAGTGAAGCATCACCCGCTCCCAACTCTCTCCCGCCCCAACCAGCTCAACACCAGTCTCCTCCTGTGCAACCTCCTCCACAACCTCAGCGTAATCCCCAGCCCAATCCCCAGCCTCCTCCGCCTTCCACTCCGTCCACGTCATTTGTTCCTGCATATCACTTCTTAGCTCGCATGTTGCAATCATTGCAGGTTAGAAATATTTGAGTTATACGGCCGTGATTTAAGGTGCTAGAACGGGAATTGAAAGCTTATAGTCTAAGCGTTTTAGCAAAGTAGTTTGTTGATTATCGCATTCGGAGGACTTGTATTCCGGTGGTTGCACGATAAGGGATTCTTAGTTGCCTCGAATTCAATTTTTTTTTAATAAAGCTTTTTAGTAATTAGGCGCCTCACGGAGTAAAAATTTGGAAATTAAAAGGACGGTTGTAATCACCTTTAGAGGAATCTGTGATTAACCCGTCATTTTAAAATGTCGAATTGTCTTTTTATTTATGATTCTTTGTAACCATTCTCGCCTGAAAAAAAAAAAAAAAAAAAAAAAGAGCTCATTTTAAGACGTAATGAACTGTAAACTTGTATGTCCTCAGTTGCTTCTCCGTTTTCATTCTCTCCTTTAAACCTTATTGTTAACGTTTGTCCACCAGGGTGAAGAAGAATCGCCGTTGACGAAGTCAGTACGGTTAACTGCAGCCCTTGTTCTGAGAAACGTGGCACAGTACTCAGCTTTAGCCAGGAGGTAAGTCTTGTTAAATTCTTGGTATACTGCTCCTCTCCAAATTATAGCTTAAATCACCAGTTTCTCTTTAGGTGTTAGGAGATAGGGTAAGCGAGTGCCTCGGTCAAGAGGAATTTGATATTAAATTAACGGCAGCAACAAAAATTGCAACTTGCAATTGACATCCTGCTAATTTTTACATATCGTGCCTTGTCGATAGATGTACAGTAGACTCTTATTATCTGTGTCTGACCTTTTGACTTTCTGGTTTTGTCTGTATGTCTTTTTACGGATGCAAGTAAAGTAAATTATTTTTTTATTACGTTACAGCTTATTAAGACGTCACGAAAGTCGACTGTCACTTATTGCCATGTCCAACTCAGAAGCTGCTAATGCTATTGCGGCCTGTCTCTCTGAATTGTCTCCACATAGAAGGGGTTCGTCAGAAGACTCTGGTGTCTTTTTCTGGGCACCAAGCAGATGATATAAATTTTATCAAAGTAGGGTAATCATTCCGATGACTGCATCTTTTGCTATCAAATCTGACGCTCTTTGAAGACGAAATTACGAGAATCTAACAATAGAAGAAGTACACAGGCTTCTTTGGTAATCTTACTCCTTTGAAGATGGCACAAGTTTTACTGTTTCTTCAGAACTTGTGAGAGCGTTTTTGTTTTTGCTAAGGTTTTACATGCGGCCTCAAGTATTTTTAAGACTTGCAGGCTAGAGATAAGTAAAAAGCGTCTCTGTGCTAGGAACTTACAACGTGACGTTGATAAAGAAATATTTCGTTTGTATAGAGAGAGAACATTATTGGAACAGAAATATTCAAAGTAGCTGTTCATACCTGATTAAGTAATATAATTATTTGTACAGTTCTTTTATGACATTCGCTTCTCCGTTATGTAAGCTCTTCTCCAAAACAAGAAACGCCATGCATTGAAATCAGTGAAGAAAGCAAATTATTGAGCTCGGTAATGTACTTTTTATTCGGAATGTTGGGTTGTTATAATAATAAATATTGAATTATAAACTGAATCTATTTTCATTCACCCAGTTAAATGATGTCCTCTTAAGATGTATTACTGACAGGTCTTTTTCTATGGCATCCTGTTAATGATGCTTACTCTTTTCTTTGTTATCCATCCATGTCTGTAAATAATCATTTTGCATTATTTATACGTGATGATAAGTTGTACATAGCGTACAAGTATACTTCGTTTGGACTGCGAAGACACCGGTAAGCGTTGGATTACTATAGCTTAAAATATTTATAGTACTGGAATCCACTTGGTGTCGGTTTTTTCTACATTGTTCATGACTTTGCAATGGAAAAAAAACTTATCGCTTCCTCTTTGATCAATAAAATTTTTGTATCACCGTATTTTGTGGCCTTTATTGATTATTGAGATCTAATGGAATGAAAACGAACAAACCTAATTTGAGTTGAGCAGGAGAAAATTAGATCTAACATACCGAGCACCCTAAACGGCGTTGTGTGTGTGGGTAATTGTCTACTTGATGATTGAGACTACCTTGTTTCCAGGCTATTTGTCAGAGCAAATGCTGATCACGGGCGTAAGAAAACACGACAGAAACATGTGAAGCCGAAACTTGAGACCTTCTGTACTGTCGTCCGTGTAACGAACTTTCATACCTCAGTTCCATGCTGCTGACGTCTTACAAACAGGCTGGTCTAAATTTGAAAGTAGTGTTTTGGATGTTAAATTCCCTTATTCAATTCAAACTATGGAGATGAACGTCAACCTTCGGGGATCTACCTTTAATTTAGTTGCAGACTTTTATGAATCCTATGCCCCTTCTGTCCCAGGGGAACAACCTCTACCCTTAACTCGACCATCAAGACGACCATCAGACAGAAGAATAGCATGCACTTCTGTGTTTGACTTGCTTGTTGCAAATCGGTTGTACGGTTACTTAATATTAGGCATTCGGTAACGAAGTGGAAAAGACCTAAGTGCAAAGCTCTAGAAATGAAGCCAGGAACCGTGAGACGAACATGAGAAGGGGGTTTTCGTGGAACATGGAGCATATTTATTTGATGCAACCTTAAAGAAGATCAACTGCAAGATTCTCTCACGGTCTGTAAAGAATCTATTGTCAAGGCTAAAGTTTGGTTTGACGTGACTGGCCAATTAGTGAGATCACGCGCGCCGTACGTGAATACAAAGGGTTGAAAAGCAGGGAGAGGAAAAGAAAAATGTAATTTGAAATTTAAAACGAAAAGACTTTCTACTTAATCCAAGAGGGTTTCCACAGATGCGAGACTGTGGCAAGGGTACACTATGTGACAAAAAGACATGAAGTATCAATTTTAGAAAACAAAATGGCGGTCGGTTTTAGCGGAGCTCTTCAATTGACAGATTTGGATGATTTCATTACTCCATCACAAGTGAGTAGCCATTTGTTTATGAATATATTATAAACTTTGCTATTGACTTATCAAAATACGATTTCATTTTAGGAATGTATAAAGCCGGTAAAAGTAGAGAAAAAGCCAGGGCATGTAAGTGTATGATTAACTCTTCCATTTATTTTTTTATACAATAATTTGATAAAAAAATCCTGGGTATAAATTTATTAACCCTCTAACCCCTGAGAGCGGGTGACATCTAATTTCTCCTGACAATGTCCTCCCTGAATGAAACATTTAACTCACGAGAAAAAGGAAATGATCTCCAACTAAAGAAGCTCTTGATTACTATACAAATCCTCTTTGGTAGCAGCTTAAGAAATTTATAGAGAACGGTATGGAGAATATGCATGATGATGTCAGGGTGTAAGGGGTTAAAAAACTCTCAGATCGTGTTAACTTATCCCATGTTAGTAAGACACTCTTAATAATTAAAACTAAGCATTTCATTTGTATCTATTTCTAACTGAGAGAAGAATCTATAGCAGTTAGAAAAAAGTTCAATCAGTTGCAATAGATCAATCAAGTGATTGATCTGCTGCAGTGGTTCAACCAATATGATAATCTATCAGTATCTATAATCTTGTCCATTGATTAACATTTGTTACTTTCCTATGGTCAATCCAGGCCACAATGGCATATTTAAGAGGTTGAGTTTTAAAGTTGGATCAAACTAAAGGATTGAGTTCATTGATTGACCATTATGATTTTTAATAGTTGGCAAAAATCAAGATTGAAGATGATGGAAGTTACATTCAGCTTTCTGAGGTAAATCTAGAATCTGTGTTCCCAAATTTAAGCAGTAAAACTGTTATAGTCTGCATTAAAGCCTATTGGTCCACCCAGCTGGAGCTTATCCCCATTTCCATGTACCATGAAGTTGTCCCCCCCCCTGCATTTCATCAGGCTTCCCTGACAACTGGCTTGTACCCATTTACTCTCCTGGGTGGAGAGAGGCACTGTCAGTGAGACTAAAGAGTCTCACCCAAGAACACAACACACTGACCTGGCTCAATCAGTGCACTGACCACTGCATCTCCCATTTATAGATAAGCTAAGTTACTTAGTTCAATATCTTTCCCTTGCTAAGTTGGCAGTGAAGAAAGCTCTCAGTATAGGATATTATGTTAACTTGATATCTTGCTAATGAGAGAGTACTGTTGTTAAACTTTGTCAGGGTGGAGAGAAAACCAAACTCCAACGAGCACAAATAACACTAAATGATTGCTTGGCTTGTAGGTGAGGGATTTTTAATATTTAGGGTCTATAATGAAAACACCATTTTTTTTGTTCTTTTTCTGTAATTAATGTGTGCTTCCTTAATATTTTCAATTCACATACCAGATGGATTTAAATGGGCAAAGGAACTTCATGATTGAACATCATCCCTATTTCCTCAAATTACTTGTATGGAATAATTACCCAATTCTTTTTTTTTTTCAAAGCAAAAAATGTATATGTTTTCAAAGGTATTCCCCAATTGGTATCTCTAAAAACTGCCTAAGGCTATCCATGATGTACTCAATCAAAGCTCTCTTTTTTAGATATAATCTCCCTATCATAAAATGAAAAGAGCTATCTGATCTGGATCAAACTTTTAGCCAAAATTATGTTTACTTCTAGTGGCTGTATAACATCAGCAGAAAGTGTTCTCATAACCCAACAGAGTCAGGAAGAGTTGTACAAGATTATAGAAAACAACCAAAAACTTGCCAAGGTATGTGTGTATATAGTACCATTAGCTTGCCCACCAAAATGTAACAATGACTTAAAATAAAGAATCTGGCCACTTAAAATAGAAGTAAATCAAACATAATAAGAACTGAAAATAATATAATGTACATGTACTAGAAACAAAAATTTGCAGTTGAGGTTGAGTAGACATTAATTTTCCTTGTCACCATCAGCCTTAACCCTTTAACTCCCATGAGTGACCAAGACAGAATTTCTCCTTACAATATCAATACAATATCAACCAGATAAGTGATGAGAATAAAGAAAATATCAAGTTGGAGATAATAAGTTGATCCAATACTAAATTCTCCAAACTAAAATTATAAGAATTGTGTGATTGACAGTGAGGAGAATGACAAATTTGATCTGGGAGTTAAAGGTTTAACACAGTTTTGTGTAATGAAAAAAGTGGTTTGTGATCTTGAAGTAAGTATAGATGTTCAAACTTTAAAAATTCCTTTTTATTTTTTTTATGTAGGAAGGTAAACCAGATGGGCAAAAACTGATAGTAGTCTCTGTATCTCCTCAATCACGTGCTTCTGTTGCAGCAAAGTTCCAATTAAACATTACCGAGGTAAAATAGCTTAATGTTTCCAAGAAATTCTCTTTATGAGTCAAGATAATGTTTTCTAACCAAGATAAGTCCACGAAATTATTCATGTACTCTTCAGCTTACCAAGCATAATTTACCAGCTATAAAACATGAATAAAGTTTTTCCTTCACTTGTTATTCAGCATGTTACTCTCTGCTTTAGTCATTAGGCAGTCAAATCAGTATACCTTGTTGCTCTGATATGTCTAAGTTGTCAACTGGTAGTAATTTCTCCCGAAGAATTCCTTCTGTTTTGTGTTTATTGGCATTAGAATTCTCTTTGTAAAATAAATTCCCTTGCTCTTTTTGCAGACAGCTAAAAAATTAACAGCTTTTCTCAAAAATCTAGGTAAGATGCCATCAAATATCAAATAAATTGTTTATATTAGGTAAATCATATGACAGTAGGATTAATTAACTATAGTTGCAAAAACATAGTACAAATAAATAGCTGTATACATAGATATGGTAACATCCAGATTCATTCAATGCATTCTTGAGGTAACATGATTCTTTTATGAAGCTAACTTAGGATTAATGTTAAATGTGCTGTGAACAAACAAACTAAAGAATTCCCTATTGTAATTTCAGGTGTTCATCATGTTTTTGACACTACTTTTTCAAGGGATTTTAGTCTCATAGAGAGGTATTAATAATTATTACAAGTCAGACCTTTTGTATACTTTATTTTAGTTTCTCAATGTGATAGGGGTTGAAAAAAGTTTGAAGAGATAAACATGATTGGAACCATGAAAGCAGAGAGATTTTTGTAAAACATTACCTGAAAGTTGAAAGAGACTCATATTGTGTATCGTACTTAACACTTGCATGCAAGAACCAAAAAATAGAGCCATTCATTTCACATGTATATTAAAGTGGCATCGTGACATCTATTTATGAATGATGATTGTGCTTCTGCAAATGGCTTGCTTATTTTGTTACCTTTTAAACTGTCTGTATTTTGAATTGCATTTGGTCTCGCAGTGATCAAAAAGGGATTCATTATCAATAATGTGTGATGCAGTTTAGAACAGTTTCAGGTTATATGATGTTAAGGATGTTTTATGACTTTGGTGATATATTTCGATAAAAAAAGAAACTCCAGATCAAATTGAGCAGAAACCATTTTGACTTGGAAGTCCATGTAACGTACAACATATACATGTTACTTAATAGTATGAAACAAAAGTATAACAAGCTGTATTCAACAATTTCTTTTGTAGTCAAGAAGAGTTTGTTCAGAGATTAAAGGCACAGCAATCTGGAGAGAAGGAGTCTGTACCCATGTTGGCATCGGCTTGCCCTGGTGAGAATAGTGTTTTCTGACTACTAGATCTCTACTGTTTAGATCTTAGAAATTTATGTTTTAAGTATTTTCATTGGTTTTTGTTCAATTATTCCTCATTTTTTTGTTCTAATTATGATTTCTGAGCATTTATTTTGGAGAAGAGAAAAAGTAGTTGTTGTATTTTAGTTTATTTCCAATGTATTACTTGCAAATTTCATCCCAGTCAAAGCTACATTTTTTGTTATTCACAATCTTTTTGATCTTGTGAAATGTGCATTCCCATCAGAGTTCCTATCATTATGTAAGATGGAAATTTTGATAATGTGCTAACAAGAAGGTCAGTACACTGTTATTTCCCTTTCAGGCTGGGTGTGTTATGCTGAGAAGACTCATGGTAGCTACATTTTGCCCTTCATCAGGTGTTTGTGTTTTTTTTTTTTTCCTGTTAAGATTGACTGGTTGGGGCTTAGATTCCGAGAGGGATTAGACACAGTCAATTACAGTTTTTAGTAGACTACAAGCAGTCCCTCTTTTTCACTTTAATGATTTAAAAAAAATCAATAGGATAAAAATTATTTTAGCATGCCACAGTGAACTTTGGTAGAAATGCCTACTTTTTGTGTACCAACTATTAGAGTTCAGCACAGGATGCTAACATCAGTTTTTTAACACTCATTTTTGTTTTTAACTTGCATGACAGGCAAAAAGGTAGGGACTGCTTGTATTCTAAGTTTTTTTAAAAACGCTTTTTGGAGGTGAAAACTCTACAATTTGAATAACTGAAGGAATATAATGAATATGCTGTGTGTGAATGAGAAGAGAAAAGTCTGATTCTTCCTTTTCAGTTCTGCTTATCATAAGTTCATGCAACTTTTGTTGCATACAAGACATTTTTGGTTACTACATGGTGCATTTTTCTACTTGAGTTGTCATTGAGAGTCTGATTTAGATAAGGTTATTATGCCACAGCTGTGTCATTAGCAGACTGCATGTTGACCACAAGCAAATGCAAACATATCTCTCCTTCACTATCCTTGTGTTTTAGCAAGACATTGATGTGGTGAGCCTTCAGATCACTCTACATCTCTTTATCCTGTTAGGAGTGTACTTGTCGCAGTAACTAGCAAAATATACCAGAGTATCTCTGTATCTAATCTTAGATTCTACCTCTGATCTCTTTTGAAGCACAACAAAATCTCCGCAGCAGATCATGGGTTCTCTAATCAAGGATCACTATGGGAAATCAATGGGGAAAAAGTATGATTTTGCATGAACCCTTCACACTCAAATATTCATATTGCACTGTTCTCTCAACAGTTCCTATGGTACTGACAGGGAGAATTTCTTTGACAATCAGGAGCTTCTTAAATTGGTGATCAGTTCCTGTTTCCTTGTGACCTTTACATTTGATTCAAGGGTGTTACTGTTTGGAGAAATATTGGAAGCCAGTCACTCAAAACAAATTCTGTTGTTTGATCAAGTGCACTTTCAAACAATATATACCAACCATTTAGTTTGTGTAGGTCACCTGTTCCTGGGACACTGCAAAATTTTAATATTTTTCCTTATTTTTCTGAACAGACCAGATGATATCTATCATGTGACCATAATGCCATGTTATGACAAAAAGCTTGAAGCTTCCAGAGAAGACTTTTATAATGATATCTATAGAACAAGAGATGTGGATTGTGTTATTTCAACAAGTATGCTCCTCTATTTTGTTTTAATGAGCAAAAGAGCTGCAGCTTTGTAATTGGTTAAGTGGTTGTTGTAAGGGTTTCTAGTACTAAGTTAATGACAGTGGGTCAGAAAGATTGATGGGTTGGAAAAACCTGCAATCAGGCATTTCGTTTTAGAAAGAGGAAAAAGTGATAGCAGATGGCTGAAGGGGTAGACAGCATCCCACCCGCCCTCCCTCTCCGCCGTTCCATTGGCCGCCTTCTGAATGCCGCTTGCTGCCTACAACTAGCTATCATTCCGTGTTTTGGGTATGAAGGACAAATCAAATTTAAAAAATCAAAGGAACTTTTCATGATAGTTTAGGTACTGAGTGGTCAGTGATAGTTGAGGAGAGGAACTGTTTGCCTTAATTGATGTACAATTTTTTTGTGTGTTTTATTAAAATACAGCAACTCGTGAAATTTTACGTTTAGTTTCACGTGGAAAACCGATATTGCCCAAATCGCCAAGTTAGAAGCGCGATATTGTAATTCCAAGTGAAATTAAACGCTGGCTTCTAAAAAGCTTTTAGATAAGTAATTTTTTGTTTTAGATTAAAGTTCTTTGTCTCAGACAGTGGCTGTTTGACTTCTTTTTTTTTCCCTTTGCTTAGTTGAACTGGAGAAAATGTTTGAGGAAAAGAATGTGAACTTTGCTGAGCTGGAGAATGCTGAACTGGACTCGTTGTAAGTTATCGCACTTTTAGGATATGCCATGTTTGCGTTTTTAAGAAAATTTTGTCAAGGGTAACCGAGTTGTTCTTCTGGATGTTTCAGGTTTTCAAGCATTGATCAAGAAGAACTTGTAGGCCATTCTGGAGGTGGCTCGGTAAGATGCTTACCAGCGTCTTTTTTATGTATTTAATTTCTGTATTGCATGGATCAATGTCTTCTGAATTAGAATAAAAAAAAACTTTTTCTCAAATCACGTGTGTTTGTATGATAACTTCACTTCTGAGTCACATCCGACGAGACATTAACAAACGATCCCGTTTTGATGAAAAGGTCTGTTCCCATTTCTAGTCTTAATTTAATTTTTTCTTAATTTGCGGAAGTAAATGATGTTTGATTATCTTATTTCAGGGTGGCTTTCTGGAGCACATATTTATTTACGCTGCTAAGGAGGCAAGTTTCAGATAACAATTTGCAAGGATACTAATTAAAAGACATTTTGCTGCAGATATTCTTTTTTTATCTCTATCAAAAGTTTTCTTGATATTTAAGCAAATTCAAAGAAGACTTGTGGCCCTCCACACTAACAAACTCATTCTATGCTAGTAAACTTCCCTCAACTGTAAAAAGTACGATTGAATGTGACCTGTGCAATTTGACTCAATAATTGATAGTTCATGTTTGTTTAACGACTGATATTTGTAATTTGCGTTTACACGTGTTATTTTTCTCAGTTGTATGGCCAGACTGTTGAAAACATAACCTACAAGACTCTAAGGAACAGGGACTTTAAGGAGGTAACCTTGCAGGTAATGGCAGCATACGTTCGTTATTACTTTAGCTCAATTAGCCGTTTGGCGAATGATCCATGTGCCTTTCTTTTTCAACATCTTCTTTGTGCAGGGTGCTTGACGTGATTCTGCTCATTGACATTAGTGACCAGTTTTAATTTATCGCCTGGGAAAGGATTCCCTTTTTTTTTTTTGGGGGGGGGGGATACTCTGTAGTATTCAATAGAATACTACAGAACCTTCGGGGGATTAAGTAAAATTACATGACAAAATCCTCCAACTCCCCCCTCCCTGTGATAAATAATGAGCGGTCCCTTAGGGTAACTGAATGCTGTTGGCCCAGCCTTAAATTTCATCTCCAGCCATGGTCTCATTTCTTATGTTGTATTGATTGCCTCTGCGGGCGAGGTCACGAACTCCAAGTTTTTTCTTCAGGTCGATGGTAAAGAAGTCCTCAAATTTGCAGCAGCTTACGGTTTTCGAAATATCCAGGTTAGCTTATACGAATTGCTCAGTTGTTACTGGAATTTATATATTATACTTATAAAAATGTTTGTGAATGATTGTAGAATCTTGTACAGAAAATAAAGCGGGGAAAGTCTCCATATCATTTTGTGGAAGTCATGGCATGCCCGGCGGGTGAGTCTCTTTATACAATTGTATTATTTAGTTGTTTCTGCGGTTTTATGTTTATGGAGAGGCAGCAGGCCAATAAACACTGCATTCCGAGGTCTGGGTTCAAGTATAAACCAGATTGCCTCTATCCTCCCTGGCTAGCAGTATAAATGACAACCATCAAACTGTCGGAGAAAGCTGAAGAAATGTGGGGGGGAGGGGAGGGGAGAGGTAATCTGTGTTGGACTGGTATCACCCCTGCATCTCTCTGTGGAAACCATTATTCCTGTTTGTTGAACTGTGGGGTCAGTTTGAGTATCCGTGATTAACATGAGTGGAATAAATTGTTGGTTTTTCCTGGTTAAGGCAAGAAGCGTGAAAATGAGAAACACAGTCGTGTTTGTTGGAAAGCAGTCAAAGTGGACGTCAGCTTCGATTTAAAATTCCTTTAGAAGTAATTTGGATGTGGCAAACATTTCAAGGTCCCAAATTAAACATCTTGCCCTTTTTCGAAAGATCTGTGATGATTTTCTTGAGTTTGTGTTCGTTTGTCGTTCCCAGGCTGTCTCAACGGAGGTGGCCAGATAAGGCCAGGGGATGGAGAAACGTCAAAAGAGCTAATAAGTAGACTGGACGAACTCTACAATTCATTGAGGTAACCTCCATTACCTTTCTTAGCAGCATGTTGCTGTCGTTTTCCATCGTGTTTCTTCGGGCAGCCTCTTACTTGAAAAACGATAGCTCGTTCAACCAGAAGGCATTCCATCTTAGTGATGCATCCTTTCCGAAGTACTACTAAACTTAAGTTCGTTAAGACAATTTTTGAAGAGAAAAACAACTGTTGTTTGTATGGTAACTGCGTTCAAGGGATGTTACCTCTGGATCTTATTGAAACTGTGTATACTATTTTGTTTTGGCCAGATCAAGAAAGCCGAGTGAAAATCCAGCGGTAGAAGATTTGTACAGGTGAGATGGATCACTAAATGTTTTGACTGTGTATGTTTAGACTTGGCAACTACGCGAACGGGAGACGTGACGGCTTAGTGTTTACCCGCTGGAAGTCTAGAGACGTGCTCTGGCAAGATCACAGTACGGTGTTAACCAAGAGTAATGTAGATGAAATGGCATGCAATTAGTGATACCGGCTAACGGTATTTGGACGGGGCGCATCAGCAAGGTTACCTCAGACAGACGAGTAGTATTTATAATGAGAGGACTTAGAATTATAGATACTATTATATGCAGATGATAATACAACGATCCGGGTAAACAGAGAATCTTGAGTCCTAATTCCTCAACATGACCTTACCTGACTGATGAAAACTCCCAGTCTAGTTAAGACAAAGAATATGATATTGTGATGTGATCTTTTTAAAGTTGTTGTTTGTTCGATATTTTAGAGAGTGGCTCGGTGGACAATCTTCACAAAAGGTGTGAAAACATTTTTATTTCTTATAATATTTACATGTTTATATATCAAGGATAAGTTAACGAACCTAGAGCCTCAAAAGTTTCTGTAGAGCTATACGAGGATACGGTTTGTCAAACAAGGCCAAATACGTAACAGAATCAAATCAGAACTGTTGTTGTTTTAAAATGTCGGAGCGAACGTCAAAGAACGGAAGGGGTGAAAATGGCTAACTTGTTAGCCTTCAACTGGAATCTTGGTTTCCATTTATTTATGTTGCTTTTTTATTCTTTGAATTGGAGAGAAATATTAAAATTGTATGTAGGTGTACTACACATTGACTGTTCAATCAAAGCTTAAGAGGCAAGTGATTGTTTAAATTTTATTCTGCACATCATTGCAAGCTGGCGGGGGTACTTGCCTCATGAACACCACTTACTCAACTTGTTCGCCTCAAATTTCGGTGTTGCAAGCTGATGAAAGACATTGCAAAAAGTTGAACAGTTAAGTGTTTTTAACACAACATGTTGCCTCAACTTGTTGTTATTCACCCCAGGTAAAAGAGATGCTTCACACCAATTATCACGAGGTGGAAAAACTGAGCACAGCACTGAATATAAAGTGGTGATGCATTATCGCAAAATGTCACCCAGTCAGCATATCCCGTGGGATCATGCGGAGCCAATCACGATCGAGATTTTTGCTTTTTCCAATTAAAAGAACAACCGTTGACTCAACTCCGACATCAGGCTGATGTCGGAGTTGCTATGCTGTTTAGCCTCAGGAGGCTCGATAAAAAAAAAATGATAGAGTGAAATGGTGATTGTATAATGACGTCATGCCATCCAAGATTGTCAAATTCTATGACAGTGAGAACCAAAACTTTTAATTGATGTCTTTTGAGACTTTTTCTCGGAGCGAAGTATCGTTTGCAAAATCTATTTCTTCTAATAATACTCAAGTCGCAGCAGTGTATTTTTCATAGGGGGGACTATTTAAATGAGTGGGAATACTCTAAATTTAAAAATATTTTTTCAAGAGAAAATGTATAAGAATATCAGAATAACGCGCATGGTTTATCTCACGATTGCGTAGGACTCATATTTGAAATTTGTAAGTGTTTATTTCGAATGTGTTTATATTTAAAGTTCTCAGACTCAACATATCTTGTGGAACCTCATTCTACGTCTTCTATTCTAATGCAAAACATTTCGCTTACTTTAAATAAAGATCTTACAACTGCTCCAATTATACTGTGTCTACTTTCTACTTTTTGTATTTAATTAATCCTCTTCTAATTTAATTTTAACTTTTTTTTAATCCTGGGAAAGAAAACTCGTACTTGCCCTTGCTATACAGGGAAAAGAAACTTGTAAAAAAAGGAGAATTTTTTACATGTTTCAACTCCCTGTACTGTACCTAAAGTTATCCAGGCCCTTTTTCAACATCCCCAAATTAGCAAAACTTAAGAAGGATGGGCTTACATGTACTCAGGCAGATAAATTAATAGTCATTTGTCGATGAAACTGTCCGTTGATTGATTCATTTTCTCATGTGGGGCAGATTAGAGAACTGGGTTCCACCCCTAATTCCTTTGCCATCCAAACGCACTCGGCCGCACAACAACCGCGACGGACTGGGAATAAAAGAATTGAGGTGTACTTGAATATAGACCAAAGCAAAATGAAAGGCAGATGTATAATAACAATTCAATCCAAACTACACACAGCCTACCTCTTGTTTGGGAGGAGCACTGTAACTTGGATGTGTCGACACCAAATTGAGCCATCTGTCGTATCACGTTAGGTCCACAACTGACAGCTAGAACAAATACATACAGGAAGTCTAATCTGCTCATCTAAACCAAACTCAGTCGTTCCAGATCATTTTCTCTTCACGTTGAAATCCCGAAGAAGGATTTTTGATAGGCACCGCTAAAGCAAAGTTATCAGGGAGTGTATGATCTACGAGTTTTAATCTGCCCTTAAACCCATAGTAGTCGTTATGGTCGGGGGAAAGATTTTTAAGTTTGGACCCTCGAACTAAACTTGTCATACTGTCAAGCCGGGTTTGTCTCATCGACTCAGTTTTGTGTTCTTCTTTATCTGTTAGCTCGTAGAAATTTCGCATGCTATACTCAGCAGGCTCTTACCATGGCTCAGTATCTCTCTTTAAAAATCTATGGAGTGTAAGGTTTTTTAATTGTTATTATTATTATTATTATTATTATTATTACTATTATTATTATCATTATTATCATTATCATTATTATTATTATTATTATTATTGAAATTTCACATAAATCACTAGCCAGAATCACAAGCCGAGTGAAGACAGTCAAATTAGTCTTGGTAAGCTTTTTTTCAAGTGGAAATCAATAACTCAGTCGTCACTCGACCGCATTTCTTAACCTGACTTCCGAGGTAAGGAAAATTTATTACAAACGGTATTTAATTTTAGACCAATTTTCTATTGAGCGTCGAAAGGTAATCTGGGATTGCTGTACTGCGTTCGGCGACAAGATAACAATAGGTGCCCACACCACCTTGTCAGTTAACCAAACAGATCCAAAATTAAAAACATTGGCAATTTCCCTTTCCATGAAATGTTCTAATTGGCTCTTCAAATTACTTTGGTTTTGGTTTTACGAAGCCAATTTGGCGTTACTCACCATCTTTCCGTCGCATCTCTAGCTTCTCCCAGACAGGAACAGCCTCTGAAAGTAAGGAATGATATTTGTTTTTTAATAAATTGCTCAGAGAAACTGCTTAGTAGCATTGCTGTTGTTGTTATGTAGATTATTTCGAACTGTGGTAAGATTGTTCCAACTCGGGTCTCATTAATCTCGTAAACCATAAACGCATCTTTAACTTTGTTATGTTATTACAACTTGAAATTACCCGAAGCTCTATAATTGGGGTGAAACTGCGATTCTTTGTTCGAGTCAAATTAAACTAACTCGTCTGCACGAAAAATTTGGCATGCGAAGTTAAGCAGGTGTGATAACACTATGTATGGAGCAGAAGTCGGTTCAGTTCCTGAGATGATAAGCGATCAGCTAAAATCCTGTGACGCAGGCTTTTGAAATACATCAGTGTGCTTATATGAGCTATACAATATGAAAAATGTTCACATCCGTACTCAGCTCTTTCTCGAGAATCCCGCTCGTGATCAACCGTGTCATTCAGAAAGACTGGGCTAGGCTGTAACAGTAAACCGCAGACCATACACCGTCTTCACTAGAACGGGTCACTACTTTCACTACAGTGCATGTCTTGCTGTGCTCCTGAATTCTAGTTGGAACGTTCGTTTGTCAATTAATTATGAACCGAATTTTGCTTGTAATTGATTGTTATCATAAAGAATAGTATTCTGCAATTTTCCAATCAACCTGCCACGCATTCTTTATCAATAAAATTATCAAACATATATTTCGTCGAGATAAATGTTTAACAAACATTCATGCTTCACCAATAAGTTTCTTTTTCTAAATTAGTTATGGAATGATCGTGGTTAGTTGTCTCACTCTTTTCCACTCCTACAATGTATCTAAATAACAAACTTCCACTTCAAAACGCAATCAAATAGAATTCAATTTCCTCTTCGAAGTAAACTCAAAATCTTAAAAGTTAACACTTGCTCGATGTTTGTTCAAATTTTTTACACAGTTTTTCTTAGTAATTAGCCAAAACTGTATGATTCTTGTGTCTGATTTTCAAGCAATTTGCTTAATTGCTTTGATAAGCAATCATTAATTATTCAAGATGGAGTTGAAAAAACTTGAAACATTTGTTTGCGGCATACTTTCAGCTGATCGAGGCTAGAATCCTTTGAACAACATACTGGCGAAGAAAGACTTATTCCAATGTTTGAGGAAAAATTAACGAAAGGATTTTTTATTTGATTCGTTGAAATTTTTCACTAATTATGGTCTGTTCATAGACCCCCTTCCCCCTTCCCCCTCCACGTTTCTGAGGATGTAGCCCAATTGGACAGCATAATATGGGAAAGAGAAACGTTAAGAAAATGCAGATGACTTTTATGTGTTTCGTTGTGTTGTCCGGTTCGAATGAATTTGCGAGGACCTATGATGGGTAAATAATTCCAAACATACATATGAATTATACATAGTCTTCAAACGGGAATCTTCACCCGAAACTGATTTTTCAAGCGTCTTTCTTATCTTTCAAGCCGACAAGAAATGAACTATTGCAAAAAAAAGATACCTACTAGCGATAATGCAGAGTTCTTGACAGTTTCCTAGGTTCGTTTTCATTTCTATTTTCATGGAAAATTCATGATTATTTTCTAGTCCTTTTATTAAGTCTACTCAGTCCATAAATAAAATGTTCCGAATTGATTTATCTGATAGATATCATGATTACGAAAACGCCTCGAAACAAGCGGTCGCTCGAAGGCAATTCGGCATGAGGGGACAGAGAGTTACATATGATTTCATAAATCAGAAGGGACTCATCAGCGTGGCGCAAGAAACTAAAAATTGGAAACACAACCTTAAATTTACTTTAGGAAACAGCACGTCAACACGAACTCGCAGCGTGTGATCGCAAAAAGTGATCTGCGTTGCGCTTCGTTACGTTTTGTGATCGTGAGTTTCCTCTATCGTCATGAACATTTTTTGTTGAAGCGATTCATCTTATGTTTTGAGTGAATCGATAAAATAAAAGAAATTTTCCAAATCGGTGCCACCTAGGTTATTTTAGCCTTTTCCTGATTATGAAAGATAAATTGTATCGTTATTTTAAGTAAGGAGAGCAAATAAAGGATAAACTGAATCCATACTCACGGCAAATCGAGCTCAAGATTAACATTACGACGAGTCCTCTGAGCACCATATCTATTCAGTTTCTGATACAAAGCAAGGAAAGTTTCTCTGGCACAGATCCGATTTCAAGAATCCCAATTGGTGACCGCCTTAGACGCTGGTTCTTTTTGGTTAAATTAAGCTTCATTTTATACTTTTCCGGAGATTTCAGTGACACCTGCGTATCTTGGTCGATAAGATGTCATTCATAACACGTCTAATTAGGTATCCGTTACATTAACGCATTTAGCCCGCCACAAAAGATACTTTTCAGTCAATTTCCACAAGTTACACTATCTTAAAAGCCTGTAGAATTTGCAAAATAAACTAGTTTGGTGTCATCTGTTATTGCTCGTCCCGGCGTGGCATTTCTTTAATTGCCTTTTATTTGACGTAGGCGGAATTGTGTTCTATGAGAAGGTAATCCTCAGATTATTCATCTCTTGCCTGCTAATAAAATCCCTCAGCGCTTTGGAACAATTTCTCATAAAAAAGATCAACATATTTTGACGTGACCGTCAATGATTGCAATATCAGCCATTGAATGACGCAAACAAAAATTGTGACATCTAAATATTTTTTCAAAACATGGGCAGTTTTTTTTTGTCTTCGTTTTTTCTTTTGCGTTTCCTCTATGGCTTCACCGACACTGAAATTTAACCATGTAGGCACTTATGCTTCATGAGTGCGGTTTTAAGGGTTTTTTATGTTAATGCAGGCGAGCCATACAAAGACAGGAAATGTGGGTAACCTAGGCTGTTAGAGGTCTCGAGTATCACTTCCAATTACAATGAATGCTTCACAGTATATTTATGTCATCGCGTTATCAAGCTAAACATCTTTTCGAGGGGGAGAACGTAAGAATCGGATAAAATTAAAAGATTAACTGCCGTCCAAAAACATGTGTTGCCTTTACAGAACAGTTCGAAATCACTAAGTGTCAAAGAGAAAGGGAAATTGAAACTCGTTCTCGATCTTTCAATTAATCAGGTATAATGAAATTTTCTTTAGAATTTATTTTCTCTTATCCACCTCCGGTTCTCGTTCGAAACAGAACTCCCGCTAGTCAGAGTCTGCGGTTCATTAAGGAAAATGTTTTTTTCAGATTATATCTTACTCTTAGCGAGGGATCAATTTCCTCCCAATTTACAGGCGAAACAGATTAACCGAATTGAGTTTTCCACAATATTTTAATCCATAGGCCTTATAAGATCTGATTCTGAGAACAAATATACTTTTCTTTAATCATTATTGATGGGTTTGACGCATTCACACTCACTTGCATTTGGAACTGACTTTTCTAAAGGAAAATATCATTTCTTAAGAGTCTTTTTGACAATTTTTTTTTACCAATGTGACCTTGCTGGACATTATTATCATTTAATCAAGATAAAGGAACTGAAACCCTTTCCTTCGATTTTATCTGATCGTGAAGAATTGCAATAAATATAGTGTTGCCGGCCTAATTTTATCATTTTTATTCATCGACATCTTCAGTGGTTTGAAAAACTAAACCGATAGTTCGCCGACCCTAATGTGAAAAGCTTCCTTTGTAGACACTAAAGGTAAACAAGAAAGAACGAGACATAGGAAACATCAACTATTTTGACTGCAGGAAAGACTCTATGAACAGATTATCGATTATATTTCAGTCGTTTGATGTATCGGCCTGTCTAAAGATAGCAGCCAGAATTCAGAATGAATGAACTCATTTCAAACTTGCGGCCTATTTGTTAGACACTTAGAGGGTACATTACGGTTGCGTTTGTCAAAACTGGATGGAGTCAAATTTAATGTTTTTCCAGTTTATTTGGTTTAGTCACTCTGTTTACTCTAATAAACGCGCAGGCCTTTGTGTAGTTTTTCATTTAGACAAGGAACACTTTCAAACACTTTATTCTTAAAAGCCCCTCACGTGAAAATATAAAGTGGCATATGGATTCTAAGCTGCATAGTTTAAAGGTAAGTTTCCGTAGATTTAAGACTCCAATATATTCATGCACTATGTCTCATTATTTATCCGATCTCTTCCTATCTTTTAACCATGTATAAGGCGCATTTTTAGAAACGCATATTATTACAGTAATGGTTCATTCTGCATACGAGCCCAGTGGCCCATTTAGACATAACTCATCCCGGTTTCCATAAGATGAAGTGATAGGGCTGAGTTAATTAATAGACGATTAAATCAACCTAGGGTTAGTGAACATTTTTTATCACAGGTTAATTGATTTGCAATCAGTTAAGCAATTGCTACTTAATTTCCTTCAGGTTTTTTTTTTTAACACTAAGCTAAACACCCCTCATACGTACAGAACCTTCGTCCTGACTTCGCTTTTAAACTACAGCAGAAATCTAGGGGAGGGGTTAGGATTTATTCTGGAGTAGCGCTGGCTGCTTTTCGAAGAACCGACCTCAGGAGTATTTCTATTTGATACTCGCTCTTGGTTGAAAGTCAGGCAGTCTATCGCAGAACCCCCCCCCCAAGCATTTCGATAAGTTTCCTTGAAAGTTCACTGGCAGTGAGAATTTTAAAAGTGTCTTATTGTTTAGTGACCCGGCCGGTTCTCAAACCTGAAGTCCAGTGTACTGCTTGATATGCTGCGTTACTCAATCCGAATCAGGACAGACAAGGCCTTTTATCCCAACGAGTACCTTGTGTATAATTATTTTTTTAAAGCATGAAAACAGGAATAGTTTCAGAACACGTCGCAAATGTATTCTGCCAAGAGAATATCAACTCAGGGTCGAGGTAATAAGTCACGTAGCTACTCAATAATAAACGGCAGGGATTTTCAAAATTAAGAAATCATCAAGATCGAGCCGGTTCGCTTTCCGTAAAATGAGTTATATTGCGCCATTGCCGCTTGATAACCCGCGAGGTAATTCACCTGAATCAACCATGGCAAGATATTCATTTCATCTAATCAAACCCTCTCATGAAAGATCTTCCACGCACCTAACTTGTGGAGTACAGGGGAAGAAATACTCAGGCTTTAAGAGGTGTGCTCAGAAGTTACGCTTTCTCAAATTGTGTTTTTATCGTCTTGACCAAAAAATGTCATTAAGTCATTAAAGTGAACAACACAAATCACAAACCATAAGCCACCAAACATCACACATCAAATTTGACCACAGAACCACCAACCCATCAGCTGTTATTCTCAAACTAATAGCACCGCAGAAACGCGCACTGAAATAAGATTCATTGGAATTGGGGCATGTACGGGGGATAAGATCTCTTAGCTGATACTCTCTTGTCTCAAATGGATTCTGTTCATACAATAAGGTTATAGTGAGTTCTATTTGCGTTACTGTCGTGATTTGATCGATTCACAGGAAAGTGTTGATTCGCATAAAATGGAATGTAGGAACTGGACGCCAATATAAGCCTTTTATTTCAGTTGATACTTTTTGAAGAAAGGTTTTTCAATGTGTTTTACGAACGTCGTGCTTGCGAATGCTCAGTCCCAAATTTTATGTCATATGGGCACAAAATCGTAATTATACTGGTTTAGTGTGTAAATATACATAGCTATTAGTGAGCGTCACGTACAAGCTAGTTTTCGGGCATTACACAGAATATAAATTTACATAAAATAAATAAATATTGTTTGATAGAATGCTAAAAGTCGTTATTTGAGTAACATAATTATTTTACAGTCAGAATATTAGAACAATAAACATTTGGATAAACATTTGGAAAGGAAAAATAGAAAATCTTGGTGTCAATGTAAAAGACTTTTTAAATATTCGATCAAGCTAGATCGATTTAGCAGGTCTTATTTTCTTGTACTGATTTAAGAGAGTTTAAAGACCGCACCGTCTTAACTTTGTGCGGTACTGAGTTCCATGATTTCGATACAATGTATTTACGATTCTAAGCCGCAAATTGATGTTGGGTCTCGAGCACGTCACCAGGGGGTAGGTGTAAAGAAGGAAACCCCGCCCCCTCCCTCCCAAATTTTCTTGTCAGGTGGCCCCTTACAAAATTTTCCTAGCAAGAACCGCACTTACAAAACCGAAAAATGTATAGTATATGCACAGTTCTCTTGAAGATACACACTTGAAAAGTTCCAATCCTCTTTAAATTAGAAATCGAAACCGATGTTCTTGGCAACTTTTTACCCTCTGCCCCACAACCGTGATTTCTGTTGAACAAAACTGATCATTCGTTCGTTCTCTCTTGTCGGTGGTTGCAGCCTTTCGCGACCAAATGGAATCTCAGGAAAGTCCGCTGTTCGTTCGTCTTTTCTCATATTCGTGCAATTTGCCATCTCCTTCCTTCTCACTTTATTCCGCGGCAGGAAATTCCTCTGTAAGTGCCAAGATTTTTTCCCCTGGTTGTTTTCATTCGCGCATAGCAGCTTTTCAAAGGACGAGAACAAGTCAAGGAAAAGGTAAAAATACAGTACAAACACCAAAAAACCAACTTCAGCGTTCATGTCTACGGAACGAACACAGTGTCTCCAGCCAAGGTAAGGACGAATGTTTAGTTCTGATTTTAACGCCTGTTATAAGGACTGTGAAACACGTCCTTCTCAGAAAGCCACACACCGATGCTCGGTTGCTGAATAACTCATATTTTCCGAAAAAGCCTAATTAAGTCTTAAAATAATTGGCAAAACCCTTGACAACTCTTTTACAAAAATCTTTCAGTTTCCTCTCCATTGTGGCTTCATACTGTACAAAGCGATTTGATTTGAATTCACCACATGCACACCTGCAAGAGGGCTGCATTTGCATGAAGATAAAACAATAACATGTTGATACGCTGTCCAACATTTAACAAAGGAAACCGCATTGGTCGCTTATTAAGATTCGACTTTATAGCAAATTACCAAAATACTGCTTAAACTTTAATGTTGTTTCAACATGGCGCTGAAGTCGAACTAATTTCAAATTTCTTCAAAAGCAAAAAGCAGCTCATAAACACCATCAAATCGAAGGGAAAGTCCTAAAGTTCTCCACCAAGATCTCGTTTCGCACTTTCTCATTAATGAGTCGATTATTAATTCACCAAGAAGACAGCTATTAAGAAAGATGGATTTCCTTTTGTCTTGTCACCAAAAACACACTGACAATTTAAATGCTTTGAGAGCAAACCGCCATCACTTTAAGAGAAGCCACACGTTGAAGCTACAAGCAAAAAATCAGAAATTCACCTGACAAAATTTAAATGTCAATGAGATCGATTCCACTTAAAATATAATTGGCCGGTTTCCAAGTTTTCAATTTTGTTTTACCGCGAACGCTTAATTTGATGTGCTAGGAAAATTATCTATATTCCTCTGGTAAAAAAGGCCAAGTTGTCCGATCCACGCTTTGAAAGAGATAACTGTTAACCATCAAATTAAAACACCCTCAGTTGTTATTACAGCAATCCAAAGTAAAAGCGTCTGAGGTGAAGTAGTTGCCACCAAATTATTTCGTGTCCCCTACCTTACTTGGCGAAAGAGGGAACATCCTCACTCGAATGACACTCTAAATTTAGCACATTTACTAGCAGGTGGTAAATTGCCAGGGAAACCAAAGAAAAGAACATTTGGTGTTAAAATAATAAAGTTGTACATCAAGAAGCTGAATTATTCTCGATTGACTGATTGATTGAGGTAGTATCACTAAAGATTGAGGCAGGCGAAGTGCGATTAATTGAAAAAGATAAAGCTGTGATGTCAATAAAAGTTAGTTTTGATTGATCCACATGTCTTCAGTTCAGTGCAGAACGGTATCTTATTATTTTCCCGTCATTTCATTTTTTCTTTCACATTTTTAGTTCATTCAGACCTCTCCGATGTCAACTTTGACAAATATCATTTGCAGGTTGCTGTAAATATTTATTTTCACAGGCAATTATTCACAGTTACAAAAGAAATAACATTTCATAACGTAACTTACAGTTCTGTTTTATTTCTAATACAACTATTACAGCTAACTCGACACTACATTCTAGTTATAGCATCGCTGAGTTAACAATAACACAACGCCTTCAGTAAAAGATCGAAATAATTTCTAAGGAATCTAATTACTTAGTGACTTTCTTCTGAGAGAGATTGATTTTGTCTCCTAAGCTCAGAGCCATTCCCTGCAAAGAAATCAAAAATAAGTACAACAACGTTTTCACGAGGTTACCAAGCAATGCAGCATAATGAAGACACATAAGAACCCGTTATCACTCACAGGGGGTTCCCCGGGAAAAAAAACCTTCGCTTCAGGACGAAAACGAGTAATTTTCCAATTATTTCAACTACCTTCTACATAAGATAAAAGCACGGTATATGAGCTGCTCGTTGGGATTAGGAGAACCACACAGAACACTAGAGAAGCATCACCTAGGGCTGAGAGGTTAACCCTTTTCACACCCAAGGCCTTAATATAAAGTGTCTTTACTGTTTACCATACTCATTTCATAAGGTTAAATAATTTAATTATAAGTCACAAAAAATAACCCATAGTTAATATTTCTCTATCTTCTCACCACCACTCTTTTTAAAATTGTACCACTGACATAAGGAAATTTTCCTTTTAAATAACTCTTGGGAGTGCAAGGATTAATATAAAATAAAACATCTACGAGGCTGATTAGAGTTCTCAAGTTATTGTAGAACGTTTCATCTCACGCATGGGACGATATCACTAAACATATAATTGTTATCAAAAAATCATTCTTACCTGGCTCTTAGCTCGGATGCGCACGTGACCAGTAACTGAAGGCCCCGATTGGTCACTGGGCTTCTCGATTGACACGTTAGCCAAAGCATCTTCTCCAAAAATACTGCGGGCGTACAAATTTGCCGCCATAAAACCACATTCACCTGCCAACGCCTGCAGAAAAACGGGGAAGGGCAGTTAGAGGGCTGGGTTATGCGATACAAAAAATTTCAACACTGACCAGCGAACAGTGTTCCATTACAGGGAAAGTGCCATTGCTTCCATACCTTGTCTGGGGTCAAACATTTCATGTTAGTTGAAGCAATCAAGTGATCCAAGTATTCACGGAGATCGGTGATGTTTGTGTTCACAGTCACCTAACAAAGATAAACACGTTAAGGATCAATTTAAGTGCCTTTAAAGCAAACTCAGTCGCTGTATGAGCTGCAGCGCTAAAAAGGAAGAAGCTACTTGTTACAAACTTAAACCATGATCAGAGAAACAACAGACATAAAGGTGACGAGGCGGCCAACTCGCGGGATCTAATTCTAAACCATGAGTTACAGAAAAAAACTACAAGGTTCACATTGCTGCCAGCTTTCCTTAGACTCTTCCAGGACCATTAAGACACTATGACCTGTGATCGAGAACGTAAACTCAAAATTACGATGCAAAACTAATGACTAAACAACGACAATGCTTTTTTCAGTTGTCTTCCGCTCCATTCTTTCCAGTACTAGAAAATCACATTGTAGAATTGCGGAACTTTCCAGGTTTTCCGTGATGTATATTAATCCAGTCTGTCCATTTAGCACTTAAGCCACCCATGCCTTGAACCCGAAGGTTTGAGAAACGAATATAAACAACGAGCATGACCTGACCCTCAAGCGATATCAAAGTTTTGGTCGCCTTTTGCAGAGTAAAACACCGAGGTGCCATCACATGTTGGCCGAGAAAATACCACTCGTGATGATAAAGGTGCCTTTACCTTATTCTCCCACTCAAACTCAGCCCACATCCGCCTGAACTCTGAATCAGTGCAAGAAGCTGGTACAATGTAATCCATGATGTCGATATGAATATCATTCAACACCACACAGTTGCGGTCACCTGTACCTCCTGACACGTCATACACTGTGGAACAGATCAAAAAGACAACTTCCTCAGAACACGATGGCAGTGGGTATTTATATATAGATGGTTAACTATGGCCTATGACATTCATGGCAAACGGCAAAACGTAAAATCTTCCCGTCTTTTTTCAGCTATTTTTATACCTCTACAGTGAAAACATTTGCCTATCTTGTTCACTGAAGATTTCTTTCCATTGAGAAAGAAACAGGGAACCATAATGTTGGAAAACAAAACCAGGATGGACGCATGAGACAATATCGGACCAAATGGCCTTCTTTAAACACCGATACTCACCAATGTTTCCAAAAATAATTCCGTTCTCGGTCGACGAAACTTTCACATTCGCCTGAAAGTTGGCAAAAAATGTAATTAATTATCTCAAATAATTTTTTTTTTAAGATTACGGCCGCTCTACGTCGGGGGGCAAAGACAAACCGACTACATCTGGAGATCAGGACACTTCCGGTATACCCGCTAGAAATTTGTCAAGTTAGCCTAACAACACGTTGGCACCCAGCAGGGGTAGAGGACGGAAGGCAGTGGGCTCTAACCCGGATATTTTCATTTGAAGTCCTGCATGCTAACCATTAGGTCCATTCGATCCTGTTGCTACGGAAAGTCGCTGCTATGCGTACCTTAATGTTGGAGAAGTCGTTCGGTCCCAGCATGATGGGCTGTGGCTTTTCAACAAGCTTTAGGTCTCCTAAAATATGATATAAAAATGTTCAAAAGAGGAACGGTTTGTAACTAGTATTTGATAAACAGAGGACTGTGTCAAAACTTGACAAGAACTCTTTAATAACGGCTTCACACAGCCGCGCTCTGACCATGGTAACTTTCGTCCTTGACAAGTTTTCCTGCTTCGAAGTAAGACAAACATTCCTCCATCTGCTCTGCAGAGATTAATTTTTTCAATGAAAACATCTGACTGTGAGGCTCGAAACATAAGCTAACTTACCAAGCGTGGCCAGTTCCAAGGTGACGTTCTGCAGTGTGTCCGAAGTCTGATTCACGATCAGCAAGTCCAACACGATGTCATATTGATTCACGTTCACGTACGCCTCGGCATACACTGGGTCCGAGAAACCAGTCAGCTGCGCCACCTAACAAACGACGAACATTTAAGTATCTGAATTCTCCGTACTGAACTCAGTATGTTTTTGAATGAAAACCCTGGGAGAATTTGGTTTTTTCTTCAAGAAATTGGAGAAACAGTGTCTTTGCTTCTAGTATGTTCTATGGTCTTGGCGTCTAGTGTGTTCTCTAAAATTTTCGCTCCAATATCTTTACGCGTACAAAACATTTAAATCAGATGAAAGAACATGACCATCCAATTCGGTTCTGATCACCGGAAGAATTACAGCTGTTCCCAAAGGAAATATGATTAAATTTTCGGGATAGATAAAACATCAACAACAATAAAAACAACAAATTTTGAAAGCTATACAAAATCAATGATCATTTAACTAACTAGTTTGTATTTCATCGAACCGACTGGAATGTTTGTTCAACAGAGGTAACGCGTTATTTACCTTGTTTAGTTTAGATCCCACAAGCTCGTCGTCCTTCTTTCCAGTAGAACCTACCGCTTGAGACAAAGCAAGTGCAAACTGATCCTGGAGATTAATTGAAAATACACGATATTCAAACTCGAACAAACATGCGAAGCAGGACAAAAGAGATCAACATAACAATTATTTTTCTTACCTCAGTAATTCCAGAATCTGGTTTGGCCAACAGCTGCATGAAGGGAATTGGGTCATCAACTTGGATTGCCAGCGCCTTCTCAATTTCCGTCTGTGAATAAAAACAAAACCAACGGTAAAATAAACTAAGTTTAGCATCATCATGGAGCAGAAAAATCAGCACTTCTACTAAAAGTGGATGACTGGGTCGACTAAAAAAGTTTTCTTAAATTCATCTACCCCTCCTCTTCTGAGCGTCTAGTCCAGGTTTGTTTGCCTTGCGACAGTAGAACACAAAAAAAATTTTTTGCACGTCGACGACAATAAAAAGAGAAAACAAATATCGTCCCGTAGCTCTTCATAGAATGTAATTAACATCATATAATACATAAACAATTTTGCCAAATAATTCCTAACCATGGAAAAAAAGATTACAAATTCTTTAACCCAAGATAACCCGTATAGCTTACGAACAACAGTAAAACAGATTACAAGATGAAATACCTTTGTGAGTTTCTCCTCCTCCACTCTCTTGTCAGCGTCCAACATGGAGGACAGGGAGTTGCGACATTCAACAGTGAAGATGTTCTTCATGACTGGCACACGCTCGGCAACAACACGAACACACAGAGAAATACGATCCACATCGTCATCGGTAATAATCTGAAACGCAACACCAAAAACCGTCAGAATTGAAAGTTCAAGTGATACAAATTCCTTCAGTTTTACCTAACGAAACCGTATGACTGACTTAGCAAATTCGTGCTGCATACTAAACTAAACTCCAATCGCAGCTTATTCTCGCGCACTTCACGCCTTGAATTCTTTTTAGGCTCAATGTGAAAATTTCCTTTGCTCTGATTGGTCATTGCGACTTCTCTTTTCTTGGTTTTACGATAATCGATTAAAACGCGCACAATACCAATCTCTCTATTTCTTTTCTTTGGGGGTGGGGGTAGGGGGGCTGGGAGAAAGAAGAATTTCTCGATGAGAAGTGCCGTAAGTCACTGCACACCAGCTTGAAAATTACTTTCTTCACAAGCTACAAGCAAATAAGCACACACACCTTCTTTGGTAGGCCTGACTTTCCAAGATGCAAAATACTGGCCATGATGAGCATACAGTTTGCACAGAAGACCTAAAACAGAACAACAGTGTTAGAGTGCGGTTAAAAAACAATTTAGGATGCTTTGGAGTACATCACTTCACTACAACTACTTCAAAGAGGGTCAGTATTTAAAACAAAACAAAACAAAAACAAAAAACCCCAATGACGCTATGTAGAAATAACACAATACATCCTGAAACTCACATTCTGTTTCTCCTTGTCTTCCTCCAAGTCCAAATAGCGCAGAGCAAGTTTTGTCAAAGTGCAAGAGACGGCCGCCCCAACAAAGAATTCACCATCCAAAAGATATTGACGCAAAGGAGGTCTGTTGGAAAACAACAAATCGAAAGATTCAGTTATCTACACTCAATAATTACGAAAGCTCTAATTTTATTTTCACTCTCCTTAAAACTCAGAAAAATACTAGAGCTTTCGTTTTGACTACATAACTCGCGGTTTGCGTATCTTGAAAATCAACCTTTAACCCTTTAACTCCCAAGATCTCATTAGTAATTCTCCTTACCGTCTAACATACAGTTCTTGTGATGTTAGTTTTGAGAACTTGGTATTAGATCAACTAATAATCCTCTAACTGATATTTTTCTTAATTCTCATCACTTGTCTGCTTGATATTGTATTGATATCGTATTGATATCGTAAGGAGAAATTCTGTCTTGGTCACTCATGGGAGTTAAAGGGTTTAACATTCAATCCGCTCTTTATCTTACTTATCTCATCAATGCCTCTTTTGTGCTCTTCTTTCTCACCGAACTAATATTTAGTGATTTCCTTCACCTTCGAATGTTATGACAAAGTTCTTCTAAAATTCAGTGAATCTAAATATCACCTCTTCTCGTCGTCTTTCTTCGTTAGAGAAGTTATTCCAGGAGTGCTTAGAGCACTTTGGGTGGCGTATGTTCCATCGGCTGTCACCAGACGCTGCCCACCCGATGTCTGAGAAGCACTCTGATCTGAACCTAAGGAACACGCAGTGAAGAGGAGGTGCATAATTATTATTAATGCAAAACTGTTTTCGATGCATAATTATTTTCATGAGACATAATTATTTCAGGTAGAGTGAAAAGTCACGTTACAAGTTAAGCACAAACAATGACTGCAGAGATAATTATTAACAGCAAAAATGTGAAAAAATCGCTGAACGTATTTCCTAAAGATAAATATAAATTGGTTAACTCTCTAAATCATCGCCAGCCCAAAATCTGACGAGCTTTCAAGTAGGTTGCTCAAAACAACTAGCTTTAATAACAAGTAACGGTGTTTTTACCTTCTGTAACATCTCCAGCAGCTCTTCTCATTTCGTCATCCACAATGGGAACCTAAAAAAAATATTCGCAACATCGGTCACTTGTTCACATACCAGACAGGAATATGTCCAAATTACCGAACATAAGTCAATCATTTGGACCTGCTCCGGTCATAAGTTCGATTCACAACCACCTTGAAAAAAAAAAGTCCCATTTCCTTTTCTTCTTTCATTTCTTTCACCCTTAATTCATTCATTGATTACTTAGCAAGTGGATGAGTTGTAAAAAACTGTAGCTTACATCGCCCAGGGCCTTCTTGATCTCTTCCGTAACATCCAGAATATCCTGTTTGCTGCTGGCATATTCACCCATAATCCACAAGGCATGGCGGTGAATCCTATGAAAAATAGCACAAATGACAAAATCAACCAAAAAAAGGTTAAACAAACAAAAAAACAGCATCATAAGCTTAATCAATACGTCCGCATACATGTTCATGCGCAGGCCAGAATGGCCGGTGGTTCTACTGACATGAAGAGACCCACATGCGAGGGAAAGTTTTCCAAACATTGCTCATTGCTTCAGTAATACTCTTTCTCTCTGATGAAATTAAGAGATCCTTGCAGCTAAGAACACTACTGAAACGAGTAGTTGTAAATAGGACCTGAAAAAGATTCAGGCCCCTACGGGATTTGAACCCATGACCTCTGCGATACCGGTGCAGCGCTCTACCAATTGAGCTAACAAGCCAACTGGGAGCTGGTCAATGAATTGGGTCCAAATAAACATCCAAGTGACGAATGATGATTTTAGATATATGAAAATTCATATATCTAAAATCATCACTCTTTCTCTCTGTTAGAAATTTGTCAGGTTTTCTCGTGGTGATTGTTTGACTTGGCCCGCAAACCTGATATATCGATATACACTGTATTTTCATAATATGTTTTCCAGTCAGGCAGTTTTATCCATCAAGCTCCAGTTAAGTAGGTTTATTTAAACATAACTTACTTGACAGTCTTGATGGTGTGGAAGTTTTCTAACAACTTCTCCATGATTACAGGCTTCAATTGCTCAAAGCGCTGCACTGCTTCACGAACAAACACTAACACATCAAAGGCTGCTTGCTCATTACTGTCTCCCAAGAATTCCATCAGCTAAAGGGAAGACAAAAATTACACTTACACCAGCAAGGAAATCTACTCAGAAAGAGAAGTAAGACATAGCAGCAAAGGTAATGCAGTCTATCCTTTTGGCTAATGTGCATGTATGAGTAATGCATGATCTTGTTCATTAAATGAGTCACCAACAACTGCACATCAGCTTACAGTCAGTTAAACAAGTAGTTAACCCTTTAACTCCCAAATCAAATTTTTAATTCTCCTTACTGTCAACCATACAATTCATGTAATGTTAGTTCAGAGAATTTAGTATTGCATCAACTAATTATCCCCAAATTGATATTTTTCTTTATTGTCATCACTTATCTGGTTGATATTGTATTGATACTGTAAGGAGAATTTCCGTCTTGGTCACTCATGGGAGTTAAAGGGTTAATACATAAAAGCAGGTAAATAAGATTTTAATGGAAGCACAGTGTCCACTGTTAATTGGAAATTGGGTTGTTGCTTTCTATAGAGGGAGGTAAGCCTGACAATCTTGAGAAATACCTGTAAAACATCCAAAAAACCTCCCACTATTATGCTCTGCATAGAAAAGGCTTCATGTAGAACCAACATTGAACTCAACCCCTATGTGACACTACAGTGTATGATTGGGAATTGACCCAGGGGGTGAGGTGAGTACAGATATCACTCTATCAATCCTCCTCTACCAGACCCATGTTGTATGCATAGTGCATATGATTACATTCACTTACCAATGGTACGATAGACACAGCCACATCAGGAAACTTAACACTGCATGTGTGGAGAGTACGGACAAGCATCTACACAAAGACAAAATTCTAACATTAATAACAATACACAATATCCATTGAGGTTGCAGTCAGTACAGATTGAGTAAAATGAACAAGAGCCTCAAGAAATATTTGATGGCACTTCTAAATGTATGTAAACACCTGCCGATATCCACCAACATCCTCATGTTCACTGTCATTGTGCGTCTTGGTCACCTCCTTCTTTAGAACAGCTACAACCTGAAGAAAACATAATTACATATAAGTTCAAAATGTCATGTGTTCAGCCTGTCCTATAAGCAGGAAAGAACTGAAATCCCATCTAGTGTATTTGAAAGGAAAAAAAACCAAAGAGATCTTTGATCCACATGCTTCTATTTTCTCTACCTCATGAATGTTTCTTGAAGTAACCAGATCCAGCACAAGCTGCAAAGTCTTCTTGCGAACTTCGGGGTCAGGAGAGGACAGCACACGAAGAATATCCATCACTAATTCCTAGAAGGAGAAATTATTGTCCTTTATACAAAAAAGTTAATGACTTTGATAGATATTTCACTCTAAAATGATAAGCCTGTTTTTTGTCTTCTCTTATATTGTTGTTTTAGATTAAGTAAAAAAAATTCCTGTTTTTCTTTTCTCATACAATATCATAATCTGTCAGAAAGCAAAATGAAAAAAAAAAAACTCTGTAAAACTTAGACTAAAAAGAGAAACAGACCACATCGTAGAGAAGAAGAAATGTTATCTGTCAATCACCTTTTGTAGCTAAAGAGTTGTGATGTATTCTGCTGCCCCTCAATACATGTAAAAGGAATGAGACTCAGAAACTTACCCTAAGGACTTTCTCATGAGAAGGGTTGTCCTTTAAGGTAATCAGCCTGTCTAGTACAATGAGCTTCACATTGTTGTCACTCTCCTTCACAATCAGCTCAATGTAACAGGACGCTGCTGACTGATAGGTGAAGATAAAAAAAACACTGATATCATTCATCAACACATCCATGCAAATTGTTGTATATTTATTGATCATTTGATAAAATTTCAAAATAGCCTTGTATTAAAGAAGTGCTCTACCTTTAAAAGTCCATATAGTTATAATTTATAGTCAAGAGGAAATGAAATTAAAAACTATTACTCTAATGCACACTTGTGAACCTAGTTTGTATGTGCGTTTACTCCCTTATGGTTTGCTATTTCAGGTTATTTCCTTTCAGGCTGTTCTTTGAGAGTATATGAACTCTTCATGAAACTGAGTATGCTACTGGATTGAATATTTATTGCCAGGGACTGAAAACGACATTCTGAAAAGAAAGGGTGTATTCATAGACTTTCAACCATTAGCTAGATTGTATATGTACCTTAACTGCTGTGGGAGCAGATGAAAGGGTCACCAAAGTACCAGCAGCTTCATAGCGTACAGCTGGCGATGATGAATTCAACAAATTGTAGATGCATCGAATGAAGCGAGATCTTTCAGCTGGGTTGGCATGGCACACCTTCAAACATAGATTATGCATTACTAATTGATACAAGAGTTTAGTGTCAACTACCATCTTCAAATTCAGTAATATTTAAAAAACCCAATTTACACAGTAATACAGAATTGTTGCATGTGGACTTTGGGTAAGGAGTGGGCATGGTTTAAAACCCCTTTTAATTTGAAACTAGGTATAGACGTACATTTAACTGTTTAAGTATAAAATCTATTACAATTAAGTTTGTTTATACTGTAGATGCAACTACTACAGTATTACCAACAACACAAAAAGGTTGGAGAAAACAATTAAATTGAAAAAAAAAATACGCCTCCAGAATTATTGTTAAGAAAAAACTAATCTTTATATGTGACTGGAAAGTAACTAAGTGTGGATGCTTAAAGGATGTTGTCCTGTATAGGTTCAACTATGATGTTCAAGTGAATACAAAATTAAACCTCACAGTGATCCACCATAGTCACACAATGGGAAAATTACTTAACTTTTGCATGTAATACAATCTATTAAAAAGCTACATTTAGCACACATTTACAAAACCTCTTACAAAGAAACACAAAAAATAAAACATTAGGAATACCTTGTAAATCAGTTCAACTATAACCAACTGTAGTATATCACCAAAAGTGTTGACCTGATCTATACAAGTACTCAGGTACTCCAAGGCACGTTCCTTTACAGAAAACAGCAAATGAGTGTCTATGTATAATACAAGTGAAATCACCCATTATTGCAAAGTTTTACTATCGTTCTCCCCAGAATGTGGTTGCAGATAAAGTTGGAAAATCTTGTATATGCTAATAATGCAAGAAATTGTATGTCAGCTGGTAATTCCCTTTTCTAAAATTTCATATTACATAACCTATAAACTCCTATCCTGTTTTAAAAAGACTTTTGAACATCAATTTTACCCCCTCTGGTTTTTTCTGCAAAAATTGACAGGAAACCTCTTTCATTTTTATTTCACTTTTACACTATAGTCATGTAGTTCTTACTTGCAACCTACATATAGATTAAAAATAAAGCATCAAGATTTATAACATGGTGAAACAGTAAAAAAGCAAAGCCACAAGTAATTGTAAAATGAATTCAAACTTATTTATTAATTACCGACTAGTTATATTTTTAATATTACCTGGTCCACGTGGATAAGCATCATAAAGGCATTACGTTTACAGGACGCATCTTGTTCCTGTTCCAGGAAGGTGTGTACCAACTCTGGGGCATCAGGGATTAGAAAGTCAAAATTTCTGTTGAAGAAAATGCAGTTTATTACACAACTTATGAGAAATCTTTTATACCATTTAATTTGCTCTGACAAAGGGCTAACATTCAAAACATCAGCTTTGAAACTATTTATGGTGGCCAATTTATGTTATCAACTCATTTGATAATACTAAATTACCCTGTTATACTCTCCCACCAACTTAGCACCACAGTTTGTTAAGAAACTTACCCCTTTATCCATTTTATAGTTTTCTATGGTTTCTTTAAAAGTAAGGTAGGTGGGACAAATTTTCCAGAAGGCACCTTAATTAGTTGACAGTAGCCTTAAATGCTTTCATATATTTTGGGATACATACTGTATTTTTCTGCAAATGAAACTTAATGGAGTTTTCTCTTTCCTTATAAACAAGAAATTGTTCACATGTTATTGACTTTAATCTCTTAGAACACAGATATACAGATAATTTCTCATAATTAAAGTTCTCAAAAGGACATAGCCCAAGCTTTGGAAAGTATATAATTGTTAATAAAAAAAAAAATTATCCTAAATATATAAACTGCTTACCGGTAGATTGTGTAAATTGCCATTACAGCATTTCGTCGCACATATGAGTGACGGTGTTCTAAGCAGTTTCTGATGGCTGGCATGAGAGGTTCCAACAACTCAGCTTCCTTGAGAGTATAAGAGGTAATAAACATTTTAGATGTGAACTTTGTTACGTTGCTTGCGTAATGAATTTCAGATCCAACACATGTTGCTTGTCACACTAAAGCCCAAACCAAAGAAATACAAAACAACCTACCTGGAGCTTGAAACATTTTAACCACAATACAAATGTATGTATTAAATAATGACAATGACATTACAAGGAATACAGTGCATGCCAATAGTTACACACACCTTTAACTTGCAAAGAAATCTCAGAGTAGATCCCCTGATATACTCATTGGGATGCTGTAAATCCTAGTGTTGGTAAAGACAGAAGTAGACATTATACACTTAACCCAGAAAAAAAAAAAAATTTTAAACAATGGTCTTCTTGAAGTAAGAATGATGGGTTGCTGGTTTGCTAGAAAATCACGCCATGATTACAAAGTGACTCTACAAGAAATATCCTCTCTTTGATGATTTCCTTTCCTCTCTTTACCTTTCGGCTTTAAATTGTATTGATAACATAGGGAGAAAATCTTTTTTTGATCCTCTCTCAGGGTGACATAGTTAGGGTGCCTTTCATTAATTTTAATAAAACTTTGTTCTGCCCTGCTTCATTTAGTACTAAGAGTCAAGTTATCAGACATGTATGGAAAACAGTGTGGATCAATCAATTTAAGTTTACTTATATCTCAGGGGTGAAAAGATGAAAAGTTCACAAAAGTATGTGGCATATGGCCTGACTTTAACTGTAAGTGACAGGGTAAAATTTCCACACAGCCCCATACTTCATTATGCATTCAGTTCTTGAATAGAGAAAACAATGACAAAAACAATACATTGCTATTGGGAAAACAGATTTGTTTAACAATAGTATGGGGCTGTGCGGAAATTTTACCAGTTACAGCAGTGAGTGATATGATTTCCTTATAGATTGGCCTTGTTTTGGGTTTGCAGGCCGCTTAAATAAAATTAGGTTGTTCACACGATAAACTACACAGGCTTGCTTCCTCATATTTTCCATAAAAAGCCCTCCATTTTCCCCAAAATACATTTACTTTATAGAAATAACTTCAATCTACGTGATTTACCAATATCCATGTACATAAAATTCAATATCTGATCCTATATATATATACATGTATGTATATCTAAGCTTCCCTAAACTCTGCATGTGCTAATTTAGTGTTACACATTTACAGTTACGGATACACAAAAATTGTCTCGTTTTGTACCTTTCTGTATGCATCGCAAACCAGAATCATCTCCTGTAACAGTTTACCATCTTGGCCAGTCTTGGGAACAATCTCCCAGAAAATCAGAAGGAGTTTTTTGATGGTATGATCATCAAGTGGCATCAGAAACTTGATGATCACCATCAACAAGGAAGGCATTTTCTCTCCATTTAAAATTTGTTGGATCACTCTCTTAAGAGCCTCTGTTTTAACCCTGAGATCGCCTTTTTCTGAAAAATAAAAAAGGGGAAATGTTAGTTCTTTAACCAATTTTACTAGCATACTGAAAAAATACCGTTTGGGGTTTGTTTGACTTACCCAGATCCTCGGCAAGCTTTTGCTCACTCTGCGCCTCAGAATCGTTAAGAACATTAATCAAAGTGTAGCAAGGTAGTTCAGCCGTAGACATGTTGTCAAAAACGGTACCAAAATGCTAAAAAAGTTTGAGAAAAGTCGTCGTTCTAATCCACGTATGATAAATATGGCTGCATGGAATGTATCCAATTGACTCCGGTCGAGTGACGTGTCAAGGAGAACAGCGGATTAAGGGGTGTACTACGTCATGTATTACTCACCTGGCGTCGCAGCACATACAAAACTCTACATATTTCCCAGGAGCTTTATCTGATATAGGAGGCGTTTCACAGGAACAAACTTTGAACAATTTGACAGTAGCTTTTGCTAGAAACTTAGTTTGAAGGTTATCTGTTCTAGAAGCAGAACATTAATTAGAAAATATGCACTTTATGTTTTTTATAACTTGTTGAGTAACACTACACGCATTGCCGCAATAAACGCAATTCACGTAAAGGAGACTGACGCAAATGAGATCATAAAAAACTTAGAATGCAATACTTACTGCTCGAATGCACTGAGAACAAAAAAAGAAAACCAAAAATCTTTCCACACGCCTTCCGTATATCCCTGAAAAGTTTTAAGGAACAAAACAAATGTTTGAGGCATTTTATTTAGCACAACTGATTTTTTATTGACGGAGCAGCTGGTCCACGTTAGCTGAACTTAGCTGAGCGAAGACAGTATGAGAGGAGGAACTTTTATTGATAGCTGCTAAAACGACCCTTTAATTCTGGCACACACTGAGAAAACTAGTGCAACCTTTGTTAAGTGTTATTTCCAAGGCCGTTAGTGGACAACAAGAGAAAATAACAATTTCCTCTTGAAGACAGGCAATTAAAAAGCGCAGGCATAAAACTGACGCTTCTACAAACACCACCGGATCCCAATGCTACTTTTGCTTCACTAATCAGCTCTCTTAATGATTTCTCGAGGGAGGGCCTTGATTAATCCAAACGGCATTGCAGCGCCTGTCATGGTAAACTGCTTTATTTGCAACGCTGCGCGGTATCACCATATTTGGTCAGACATATTGAAATCGTTCTCGCGCCATTAGTCAGCAGTAAGAATTTTTCCCTGAGTGTCGTTTGGTAAAAGTATCCTAACCGTTAGGTATAATCTTACTGCCCTTTCTTCGTTTGATGTTCATTTACCTTGTTGATCATCATAGTTAATTAATGTTATTTAACTCATTTCTATGTTTTTCAGAAACCACTGGTTGTGTATTAAAATTTGAGAATTTATTGGTGCGTTCGCAACACAATCCTACGATCGTATGATAAATCCCTGTTTTTCCCTGAAACCGGTCCCGAATGCATATCTTACTAATTGAAAAAAAGTTCTCCTGGTCAGTCTCTGAGTTAAAAGATGGATTGCTAAATTTGAGAGATATTTCCATATTCAGTTACAAAATGATAAGAACAATAAAATCAGTTTATACTCAGCCTCAGGCAGTAAGCATATATGGCATTCAAAGTGTGCTATACCCTAAGAAATTTACACTCTTGAGATAGAATTCCGCTACCATGAGGTTAACCGAGGGGAGCTCCTGACCCCGTTTCACGCGCAAATTTTAAAGTAATTAACACCTCAAGTGTATTGTAAACAGAGTTTTACGCGTCACGAATTTAAAAGGAAAAAACTTCAAATCTCACCTTACCTTGCCTGTCTGCAATATTCACACATCACGTTTCTATCCTTTAACACCCTTTACGAAAATTTGCAGATGGAGTCTGTGTAAATGATGTTCAATTTTGTCACTGTCATCAATTCAAATTTCAGCCAATGCATAGTTTACACATTATATTTCGCGTCCATTGACAGGGATTTAGCAAATAATGCTTTCTAGTTTACTGATGTGCTCCGACTTGAAGCTCCATTCATCTCCCTAAAATGACCATTCTATCTTAGGTAAAAAAGCATTAGAATGATTAAATAATTCCCCACATGTTTAGATACATAAACCCTTGTTTGTAGTTAACGACTGAATCAGGACGGGGTATCGGCTGAGCGTGTGAACAATAATCATAGTGAATTTACGCAATGTAGATCAGTTTAGCTCGGGTTTAGTTCACCTGCTTTGCCCTCTATATAATCCTTTCTCAAGGAAGAAAGTCAAGTCTCATCCTATCCGGTGCATAACAACCGGAATTCAAGGATCCTCATATCAGTTTTTGAGTATTCTAAGCAAAACATAATCGACAGGTTTTTCTAAAGAGAATGTGGCGGCGTCACAGCAACTTTGTGCGCAAAAAAAAAGTTAAAACAGTTGGTTCAGAAATAACTAGAAATTTATTCGGTGTCATTTTTAAGGAAACAAGCAAAATAGTTTCGTAGTATGTCTCCATCGATAAACTGTGAAGAAGCCCCCTAATATTTACAGTAGCAAGGATTTTTTATTAACTTGAGCCAATGACTTGAGTTCGATGTATCTCTTGTTCGAACTCCGAGACACATACGAGACAAAGGAACAACCATACTAGTGAGGTAAGTTTGCTTTTTCTACAATGAAATAACAAGGCCGGTGGGGCACATGCATTCTTATATACCCATTCTCACACCAAGATATACACACGCGCGTGCTTAAAGCACACGCACTCACACAAATACTCACAGAAGCATTACTAAGGACTACTGGATGAAACTTGTTGGAGATCAAAATTAGTAGATGGAACTAATTAATACATGTTAATAGAGGTCATCACTTTCTTTTAGAATAGATGGAGAATACTTGACATGAGATATTCATCATTCTTAAAAAGTGGATCATTGGATAATGCAATTCACGAGTTTCATTGGCTCAGCCATCATGATTGCAATCATAGGTTGCGAGCCATTACACCATGCGCGCGCACGAGGACGACTTAAACCGGAAGCGCTTTCGTACACTGTAACATTCCGTTGGTTCTTGAAAAAGAGTTTGAATGATTTATCTGTATTTTAGGGCATTTTTAATAATGCAATTATTCCATTCGCGCTTATCCGGTACGAGTTACCTATAATCATCTCATCTCGGCCCTACGGGCCTCGTTGGCTATCCATCATTTCATATCAAAGGCGCACCTGGAATAACTGTTTGATGGATTTCCAAGTTTAAGGACCTAGGACTTTGATGCTGAAAAGTCTTCTATTCGTGCGAGACTCTGACAGAGCAAAAGATTTGGGAGCTAGTCTAGTGTTAAGGGTGGTCTAGTGTTATGGAGGCTCATTGTTACTGTTACACGTGAGGCTGTTTCGGAGTCAAAACTCAGATAGTGGTTAAACCTCAAGAAGTGGGGGGAAGCACTCGACAACGTCTCGCGTTTGCCCCTACACTTCTTTCGTGCTCTGGCCGCTTCCTGTGTGGTTTACAACAGAACAGAGCACGGCCAAGGCTTCTCCCTTTGTTAAGTAAATAAACCGTTACTTGTTTTTTTTTTCCTTGGGAAATGCTGTCCCTAAATCTTCAAGAATCTTGAGTAGTACTCAACGGCTGTAGCTGTATAACTGGATTAACTAGACCCTGTGAGCAGGGTAACTGGGATACCTGGATGGTATTGGATCCTTAGAATCAAGTGTAGTGATACCACGGGTGTCGGACTAGTATACTGAAATAGTGAGCTCAAGTCTGGCCAAGGGCACCTATTTCAAAACATAGGCATGCTATGCATGCAAGAGTTATTTTTTGTAGGGTGGATTACTTGAAACATTGTAAGTGGTCTACATTATTACACAAGGAAAGAAGAGTATTAACTCGGAAAAGAACGAAAATGTCTAATCACCTTACACACAGGTATTTTGTGGTAGATTATGTGTGTTGTGCGAATAAATGTAACCAAAAATAAACTGTATTGGTGCCACGGATACCTGTTAGTACAAAATGTAGACAGCAGACTGCAGACCGGGTACAAAATATAGACTGCAGACTGCAGAGTGGGTACAAAATGCAGACTGAGTATCTGAAGAGTTTTTACGTCTGGTATATAATAACATGTCATCTTACAGCTTACCGAGCGTCACGCAATCGCTTTTCCGCGATCAGCCTTCACGATTATTTGCACTATTGTGGTAAATTCCTGGCCCATATCTTGATGAAAATCGATCGTAATAAAATTTCAAGCTTTAAATATAGTCTTCTTACTTTGCACGCGAGTTGGTTGGTGTGATGTCTGTACAGATTTTACCAACGTAATAAAAGTAGATGACGTGAATAACAGTGTTGGTAAAGCAAGCTTAAAACGGCAGAAATCGCCAGAAACTACAACGGATACACAGGGCATGAGTAAGTTTTATTGATTTTACGAGAATAATGTTAATATTTCGAAATATTTATCGTTGTAAATCGACCATTTTTCGATCCCTATACTATTCCTTATAACGTGTTCAAATTTTCAACGGTTCTTCTCGTAACTTAACACCGAGTCACACAACGCGTGACGCGTTCATGAATTTATGGTTGGCGTTTTCTCGAGGCGTGAGCTTGGGCCGCCTGTGACAAGACAATTGCGTAAACAATACTTGACATAATAACATTATACACAAAAAACACAGGATTTTGGATCATGTATTTATTAAAAAAGAATATCCATACAACTACAATGAAAACAACATAAGATTCACCTTTCTGATCGTGAGATTAGTACCATTCGCACTGTTATCGTAGCTACGTTCCCTGGCATCAAGTGAATCCACAGGCGGCCCAAGCTCCAGCTGTGAGATGATCATCTTACGCAATAACGGTCATGGCGGAATTATAAGAGTTTGTAAAGGAATATTTACGACCGCTCTAAGGAATAAAAAATACGTCAAATTCTCAAAAAAAATACCTTACCTCGCTTCCACAGCGTATTGCTTGTTATCTGACCGCTTACTTTGATGAAAAGAGCCCATTTGAGCGAGTTGTTCATTTCGAGGTTTTCAACGTACATAAGAAAAGCTTTTCGCTATGGAAGCGAGGTGAGGTATTTTTTTTATTCCTTAGAGCGGTCGTAAATATTCTCATACCGTTGAACTCTTATAATTCCGCCATGACCGTTATTGCGTAAGATGATCATCTCACAGCTGGAGCTTGGGCCGCCTGTGGTGAATCCAACATGGCGTCTTTCTTCACAAGCAGTTTGCATCCATTAGAGTTTTGTTCTTCAGTCTCACGGTAGTAGTGTCGTTCAATAGACTGCATAGAGTATATGCAGTTTGGTTTCAGATTTCAGATTTTGCTCTTTACAACAAGTGCACGTTTTTCAACTACGACATTGGCATACAAGGCATACGAGGCATACAAGGCATACAAGGCATTCAGGGTTTTCATGGCTTTCAAGCGTTCGCGACTCAATCCGTTCCAGAATTACCGCTCAATAACATCTTTTAGTGTGGATTGGCCGCGAACAATACGACTTGTGTATGCGTCTGTAAGTATTTTGAGCGTTTGCGCCTTAATGCTCCAGGTAATCGTAATCCAAACACGTTAGAATACATAACGACTGACAAGAGTTTTATAAGCAAAAATCTCGTTATTCGTCATGTGACCCGGCCCTGTCCGTGCATGATAACGTCAATCATCATCAAGATAACACGCGTGATCAGCATGTGAACACCTCATTGGATCACAGTTAGTTGTCATGGTCTTGAGGGCCCAATGACCACTGGATATTATTGCGCAATTTTTCTATTTTGTGGCGGAGGAAAAAAATGACGACAAAAAAACAAGGCATTTTATGGCTGGGCTACCACAGGTACCCCAGTAAAAACCCGCGGTGTATTTTAGAGGCGGATCTAGAAACCCCCATTTGGGTAGTACAACGAACCGAATATGGGTGAGGAGCCCTGACGTCGAATGTCCGCTAAGAATTGATGTTAGAGTATCGTCAGAATAGAACATCCCAAAACCTGATCCCAGATACCTAAAATATAGACTTGAACCAGAATAGACAAGGTCCAGTCTATGTCTTTAGGGATTGTACCACGCAGCAAGACCCACTATCGCATTTAAAGCACAGGTTTCTTTTATTTATGCAAGTATATACAAAGCTGGTTATTTATAACTTAACTTCAAACCATTTAATATATCTCTAATTGGGCTCGTATTATTTAATCAATTTTAATTACAAGGAGATAATAACACTTACTACCACTGCTATTCAGTTCCAATGTAATATCTAATAATCAACGAAGTGCATCGCTCTAGGATATGATACACGGGTAAAGAAAAACTGCTAATATACGAAAATAACATTAATTCATCTGGTTCTTAAGGTGAAACGAAAATTACACTATTGAAATACTTTTGATTTTCAATATGAAATTCTGTTATAACCAATTTCTTGTTAAAAGATAATAATGCAGTAGAAGTAATACATTACAATGACTTGCAATGTTTTTTTTTTCTCGTAATGTTTGTGCGAGTTTCTCGCTTTTTGATTGCCATCCCGTGAAGTATTTGTCAGAAAATAAGTGAATTCTCTATCACAGTACGTTTTGTCATTTAAGACTCAAACTTTGAAATGATTAACAATAACATCAACAGATAAATAACTTAAACAAAAGAAAATGCTTTGAACACATCTTCTTACGGAGTTCTTCCCTTACAACCATACCGCACAAAATATTACAGCCAAGTTATTCATTCTTGTTTAAGACGTTCGTAGCTGGCTGCTTCGAGGAAGTTTTGGAGCAGTGAAACTGCGACATGAGTATGTGGCAAAACCTTGGAGGTTCTGCCGTCATTTTTGGCAGCTCTTCTGCTGATCTGGACGCCTAAAAAGGCTAATTGTTTTTCTGCATAGACCCTTTTACGTAGTTTCAAACTTTTATCACCTTAAATATTTTTTTCTTACATAAATATTTTTAACGACCAAATTTTACTCTATCATCTGGTTCCGCCAAGCTAAAACAAGTTTAATTTCACCAGAGTTTAATTCATTCGGCGAAACAAATAATAAAAATAAAGATGCTGAGCGATTTACCAGTTACACGCTGTGTCCTGCACAGCATTCAACAAAATTAATCAAGAGTACAAAAATAGGACAGGAACGGGGACCAGCCTAGCTTCCCGTTACAAAAGCTATCAAACTAATTAACCAATTTTTTTTGGACCAGTTATTCTTGGGGGGAGGGGGGAGGGAGAAAAAAGAATATAAGAACTCTGCCATAAGAAGATGTATACAATGTCTAGGAATAACTTTTCTTAAATGTACTTCTCTTACTAACGCAACAATCACCAGTTATACCTAATTAAATATATTTAATCTTAGGCTCTACCAGTAATATTGTAGATCATGTTATCTATGTATTTACACCATTTAAAATAATTTGCTTGACTCTTGATATTTTCAAGTCAAGTAGAATGCTCGGTTTGACAAGCCAGCTGTGCAAGATATTGTGCACTATCGAGCATTTCTCGTGCAGCCAATGGCAAATGAGTAATTTTGTAGCCTTTTTGATATCACGACCACATTTGACATTTTTCTATGTCCTTTGCAAGTAAGAAAACCACCGAGTATCTCAGTTGACTAGGGTTTAACCCGGTGCCTGCAGTTTATAAAAGGTATAAAGAACTAGTTCACATTCCAATCCAAAAAATTTCTCCAGGTATGACAAATATTTCTCCTTCTGTTAAATTTGTAACTTGTAATTTCGTTTTTTTTACTTTGACCAGAATCAGGATGTCAAAGCACTAAGGTGGAGTTCCCGCCACGACCTGAGTTCGAAAAATTAAATTCCATTTGAAATTGGAACCCTTGATAGAAAGCTAGCGATAGGGTAGCGACTGTAGCACCCTTCCACTATTTGTAACACATAATACTCTCTCTTTCTCCGTAACTTCACCCTTTTATCATTCCAAATGAGGGGTGGTTGGTACTGATTGTATTTTGTTTTATACTTTTGTTTTTTGATATCTGTCAAATTTCGGTGAGTAGTCGATGAGTCTATAACTTATTGTTCTCTTGTATGCCTAAAGCCATAATCGAGACTTGTGGCAAACACGTCATCAATTTGTTTCGTTTTTTTTTTTCTTGGCATCTAATAAGCCAGTCTAGTTTCGATCCATTTCTTTTCCTGTAAGGTCAAGAAGACTTGAGGTTTATTAATCGCAAGGTTTTCACTATTATTAACTTTAGTTTAACGGTGGTTGAAGACACACATTACGATGTTAGTCATATACATTAATCAACATTAATATAAAAATGATCATCACAGTTAACATGATGATCAAAATGTATTTAAATAAATACTCGTGTTTCTCAACTTACCTCTTCACCACTATATTTTGATGATGAAAGAAATACTTCATAATTTTTTACGAATTTTCAGTTGTTTATCTTAAAATATACAACAATCTATTTGGAAAATATGGCAGTTACGATTAAAAGTAGCATACTAAACATCTATTATCAAAATAAGTTCTTTAAGGGGATGATTAATGGCTTAAATTATTGGGAAGGATATCGCACATGGGCCTTCCTTTTTTAGCGTACTGTGTGCGCTGCACAACAAACCCACTTAAATAGATCAGTCTTGCCACAAAGGCAAGATTCTAAAAGACACAAAGGCTCGCATACACACCAAAAAGAAGTAAACATTAAATGAGAACCTTGAGTTCAAAAAAGGATCTCACTCAATCTAACTTAGCACTCAAAAAATACTTAGTAGTGCAACATAACAGTAAATTCTACAAACTTCAGGCAAATTCAACCCTTTCACGCGATCCCCTGTCATCAAACACTTTACATCTCTCATCATCGTCATCAAAATCTTCTTCCAGAGGTTTGGAAGACATGTCTTTGTAGTAGCTGATACTTTTTCCACGGTAGTTATTAGAGCGGCTCCTCGCATACCAGATGGCCACAACGACAAGGATGATTACCAAGCAAATTACAATGCTTATGCCAGCTATGACACCAGCAGAAAGAGCTTCTGCTGTATCGCCTGAAAATTACAGTTATATTCAAAATTAATTGCCTAATCATCAATAGATCTAAAAATTAAAAATAAACGAGCAGTCAGTGTCTTGAATTCACCACTAGGTTGTTCTCCCTAGTGGACTTCTCCGATAAATTTCCCTGGAAATTCGTTAAAAGAAATTTGCGATATAAGTAGATAACTTTCTCTGGAAAGTCATTAAAAGAAGTTGATGATGTAAGTAGTTAACTTTCCCTGGAAAGTCATTAAAAGAAATTGGTGATATAAGTAGATAACTTTCCCTGGAAAGTCATTAAAAGAAATTATTGATATGAGATAACTTTCCTTGGAACGTCATTAAAAGAAATTGGTAATATAAAATAACTTTCCCTGGAAAGTCATTAAAAGAAATTAGTGATATAAGATAACTTTCTCTGGAAAGTCCTATAAAGAAATTGGTGATATAAGAGGATAATTTTCCCTGGAAAATCATTAAAAGAAATTGGTGATTACAGATATAAGAAGATAACACCCTTTAGCCAAAGTGTGTGTAAATTCATCACCTGTATGTTTTGAAATTGCAAGGATAAGTTTTATGCCGATTATTTTAAGTACACTTGAAAACAGCGACCTCTCATTGCTCTCACTGAGAATGTTTCAAGATGGTTTCTGTTGCTATAGGTGCTTCCTAACAAGGGTATTTCAGTGATACAGAATTAAACTGAATGCAAATCCTGAGCTGGATACGAGTCTGATTGGCAGTTTTGACTTAAGGGTGCAAGGGGGAATATCATATTGATACTTGCATCCAAACAAGGGTTGGAGGGGGGACACAACTATTAAAAAAAAATTAATATGCCCATGTCACTCACTTAGCCACAATCGCTCAAATGAATCACATAAAACTAAGCTCAACATTGGCGTAGATTGTTTCAATACTCTAATCACCTCTTAACCTGGATTTTGGAGATTGCTGGCATAGTCATCTTTTCTTCTGTTGGAACATTTTTATACACATATGCCATAATTTGTTAACCAATTGAATCAAACAGAACACAGAGTTAGTATTTATAATTAAAAACCCTTACCTTTCCTCTGAAAAGCCACAACTGATCCCTTTGGGGTTATTACAGGAATCTTTGTAGTAGATGAAGTTGGGGCATTGGATGTATCTGTAGCATTTATAGAAGGGGACTTGGAGGGTTTTAACACAACATTATTAGATCTTGTTGAAGTTGCTTTCTGTGTGGTTTTAGTACCTTGGGTGGTGGCTGTTGTTGGTTCACGTGTAGAAGAGGCAGTTGTAGGGGCTGGCTGCCACGGGCCTTCCTTTCCAGTGCATGGTGTGCCATTAGCAGAAATATTCATTCCATTAGGACATCGACATGTATGATTTTTGGCGGGATCAGCTGCCAACAGGCAGAGGTGACTGCATCCTCCATTATCAACCTTACAGGGATTAGTAGCTGAAGAAACACCACAAAATGACAGTTATCATTCATCTCAAAGTAAGCCCATGATCACTCAATGTGTAATAAGCAGACATGGTAGTGAAATTTCATATGCCATGTTCCTGTAGAAGGAGCACTCACTTTTCCCTTTGATGTTGTGCACAAAGAAAAAGCAAAGCAGCAAAACCAGGGCTATTATGCCAATTTTGGTTGATAAGATAACTCAACCATTTGTTCCTCATTTCCTTCTGTAATTTAAGTGTATGTGGGCCAATCCCTTCTCCTTTTGGATTAGAATTTTCTGATCAGTACACCCATTTAGTTTCATTGGGAGTTTCCTGCTTCCCCTTATGAAAAGATTATACAACCAATAATATTTACATTATTACCATTAGGCTGACGGAGAGGATGAAACACTTTGATATCCATATGAGACCACAGCGTATCCTTGATCTTTTGATCAGACCCACTGAATTTGTTTAGCTTTTTAATTCCCTTGCCATTCTTGTACCAATCTGTATAGTACAACTGGTTCTCAAACACACCCAGCCCAAATGGATGATGCGGCACGATGCTGGCAATGAGACGACGGTCGGAGCCATCATACCTACTAGATTCTATCTTCTTCAGTCTGAAAATAAAAAATTGTTTCCAAATCAAAATTGCTTCCTTGTGGGGAAGTTAGGGATTTTTTGTCCCATGCTTGTGACAAAACAAACAGTTTTGATAAATCTTTGCAATATTTTGAAAGTTGTACCAAAATCACTCTGCCCTGAGCCCTGCTTTACCCAAAAAGAGATCTAAAATGAAACTCTGAACACCTAACATCTGATCCAAAATATAAGTTTCACCATTAAAATGGACAGCAATAAATGTTAGATATCCTTCATTTGATAACCATGATGGTCTAACCAATGACTGAAGTTCCTAAATTGCAGACGATGCCAATTGCATTTAAGAGTGGTGGCCAGTATTCAATGGTTAATATTACTGCTCCCACAACTTAGAGATTTGGACATACACCATTGATATAATGCCTTCACTGTGTAACCTTTAGAAGAAAAATATTACCTTGCATCAGCCCAGTAGATTCTTTTAAGGGGGTAATCAATTGCAAGTCCATTTGGCCAAGCTAACCCTTCAGAGACAATGACTTGTCTTGTATTTGGGTTTCCATCCATAGCTGCCTTTTCAATCTTTGGGTTGTGTCCCCAGTCAGTCCAGTATAGATATCTACAAATTAACAGAAAATTAACCCTTTACTCCCCTTACATCAGTATCCATATTCTTCAGACTATTCACCATATATTTCCCAAGGTGCTAACAAAGAGAATTTGTTTAAGAATCAAGAGCTGCTTTAGTTGATGTCAATTCCTCTATTCTCTAAAACTTAAGGTTTGATTCAAGGGTGCTATTGTACAGAGAAATTAGATGCTAGACACTCTTGGGGTTAAAGGTTAACAGGGAGCTCATACACTGCAACAAACACTCCTTGATGGTTGGCTAACAGTCTACAGTCCAAGGCTGCTTATGTTTCAGAAATTCCACTGGTTTCATTAAAATGCAAAATTATTTTAACATGTTGATCTCTTTCTGTGTGCATAACCATGCATGCAACTAATTGTACAAGCACAATTTTGGATCTCACCATGCATTATCTCTCAGTAATATTGAGGATTGCATGACAAGGATTTTCCTAACAGGTTGAAACTTTTTAATTTTTCTCAACATTCTTATCAAATGAGATCCAAGCACTATTTATAACCTTTCCTGGATCCTCAATGTTTTTCCACAAAAGGTTTGAAAGAATAACTTTACATCTTTTCAATTTTATCCTCTAAAAAACAGCTTTGCTAAAACCTTCCATTTAAAGAAACTACAAATCCTCCTACTGTCCCTTCTGAGTGTCACCTCGAGCATTCTCAGGAATGTTAATGTTGAGCTTAGTTGCCCATTCACAAAGTAACCTAATTCAGAGTCTCAATATAATTGATTGAACACTTAATATCATTAGATCTAATGTTTACATAATATTTCAAAGCAATAATTAACACACCCTAAGAGAGGGTCCGCAACAATGGCTCTTGGCTCATCTAGTTCAGAGTCAAAAAGTGTCAGTCTGTGAGAACCATCAAGTTCTGCCACCTCAATTCTGTTGAAGTACCCATCTGTCCAGTACATTTTTTTGCCAACCCAGTCAATAGCAATTCCATCTGGAGTGTTAGTACTGTTTTGTATCAAAACCTCACAATCAGCTGAAGTAAAAGAAATAAATCAGTATAAAAAAAATTAACATAGCAAATTAGTTTATAGTAGTTGGATGGGGAAAGGGTAAAGCTTGTGAAACCAAGGAAAATGATAGTTAACTACAGAAAGAGACAAATGGTGATTAAATTCTCTTACACTTCCCTGATTGCAAAGTTTTGACTTGAGAGTTTCTTTTTCTGTTGCCCATCAAGTAATTGGAATATCTTTACTAAAACACTCAATCTGTAATATTCTTATGACAGATACATGTAGGTACTAGAGAATCTCATCACTATCATACCTGCATCTCCTCCATGGGTAGGAATTTGAGCACGACAAATCCTCTCATCTCTGACATCTGTCCAGTACACATAGTTGTCATAGTAGTCATAGTCAATAGCAACAATGCCTTTCTGATTTTTCACAACTATACTGAATGCATTGGAGGTCCTATCCAGAGCCATTTTGTGAATACCAAATTGTGTGGAATAGAGCAGGTATGGTGTATTATCTGTGTGCATGAACAGGAACACAATGATTTAACCATTAAGAATGCCAAAAGAGCTTTCTTTTTACTCCTAAGTCTTTTCTTCAATATTCAAAACAGACACGTTTGTGGGTGGGCTGAAGAGCCCAGCCAACAACCACAAGAAATATGACAACAAGAAAACTTAATATAAACATATTTTAGACCCATAAATACTCCATAGTCCCATAAACAATTACTGTTCATCAGAACACAGAGGAAAAGTAAAAAAATTACCTTTTGCTTTACACGTTTTCTTGTCGGGCTCCAATTGATAACCTGGTTTACATACACACTTGTAGCTTCCCTTGGTGTTTTGACAATCTTGACTACACATTCCGTATACTTTACATTCATCAATATCTGAAACAAAAAAAAACCAAAAACAAAAAAAACCTCACACAGTTGAATCTGCTGATGTCCAACCAGCCATGTCAAAAAGAAGTTAAAACTTATTTCAAAATTGTAATAATTGGTTGAACCAGAAAACTGAAGATATCATAATTCTATCTCATGTTATTTTCTAACTACGAGGTATGGTTTGCCACAATTAACTTGAATCAGCCTGGTTATCTCTTTCCTGTATGTACTATTTGATCAAATTCCTGCTTTGGTGTTTCATTATGCAGCTTTAATGGTTTGGACTTTGATGGCATATCTTAACTGGTAGTAATTTCTATGTTATCAACTCAATAAAATTATTTCTAGAAATAGAAACAAAGAGTTGAAGAATTTTACATGCTATCTGAATAGACCAGGTCAACAATGGGAAATTGATGAAAGTTTCATTAGACTTGACAATATCTGCATGACTTGTAGAACAGCTGACATCAAGTCAAATGAAAAATGAAAAAAAATGTACCATCACAATTTTTCTTGTTTTCAGCAAGTACATAGCCTGAATGACAGGAGCATTCAAAGCCAATCCTCAGATCATTACATATTTGCTGACAGTGGCCATTGTGATCCATACACTCATCGATATCTAAACAGAAGTACATAAAAAAATTAAATTAAAACAAACTTTATCACAATTCTGTAAAAGAGCTCACTGACACAATCTACTAAATATCATTTTTCAATGCGGAAAAAATTTTCCACAAAAATACTTGTTTCCAGTGGCCTGCATTTTTATGGGCACACAGACCACTACATGTAACATACCGCAGTTTTGCTGCTCATCCTCCCCATCAGGACAATCACTATTTCGATCACAGACTTTGGATTTTTCAACACACTTTGATGTGCTTCCACACTTGAATTGATCAGCAGTACAGTTAACCGCTAGATAACAAAAAAAGCATTCAATCCATTAATTCTTTAGTTGGTAACCCAGATCATTTACTTTCATTATGTAGGGCAATATAGATTGTATATGAAGGCAAAACATTAATTTAGAAGGGAAAAAGCAAAAAGCTATGGAATCTTGTAATAAAGATTATATGAAAAATAATCTTCATTCTATGCTATTTTTAGGAGTACTTTTTCTCCTAGGTATAACCAGAACACCTTGGGGGGTGAACTGGGAACATTCACTTTCTTTACAATGTACATAACTGCACTCAACAAGAAAAAAACTACTTGCCCCAGTACACATGAGGTTAACACCATTTCTCAAACCAGTTTTACCAATGAACTTAAAAGTCATTCTGGCTACTTAACAGTAATATCTGGTGCAAACAGTTCTAAAACTAACCACAGAAACTAGTACTTTCATCTGACCCATCCTCACAGTTCAATACTCCATCACACTTTTTAGTATTTGGAATGCATTTACTTCCATCATTGCACAAAAACTGATCACCAGTACAGTTAACAGAAGAAGCTGAAACAACAAAATATGCACAACTTGACAAATGTAACTTAATTTCAAGTCTTCACTGAAGTCTTCTTTTCCCTTATCCTAGCTAATCATTGATAGATCTCACTTAATCATGGTAAAACAAACATCTTTCATGCCCTCTCATTCATGAACTATTTCTGTACTCACAACATCCAATCTCATCTGATCCATCATGACAATCATTTTCGCCATCACATTTCCAGTGACCACGGATGCAGGTTCCATCACTGCAGCGAAACCTGTTTTGTGAACAAACTGGTTCCCTGCGACATCCATTTTCATCTGAGGCATCACTACAATCAGAATCACCATCACATTTCCAACGTAGGGGAATACATTGCTGATTTTGACAAGTAAACTGGTTTGCACTGCAGGTTTTAGCATCTAAAAGAAAGAAAAGTAGAGTGTACTTAAACAGGTAACTAAACACATAATAAAGGTTTTCTTCGAGTCCCCCACTAGGAATCAAGCCCCAGACCTTTGAATTTCACTCTCTGATGCTCATCACTAAAAGAGAACTCCACCAAGAAAATGACTATTGGGAGTACTGCCAAAGTCCTGGGGTTTCAGTTGCAGGGGGAAATGTTATCTTTGTTCCACACTTGTGACAAAAGAAATCACATCCTTCTTTCAAATGAATCTTAAGGGTCAACAAACTATTTCTTACCACAGTGGTGAGGTTCTTCATCAGAGCCATCGCCACAATCATCATCACCATCACAAACATATGACCAAGGCAAACATTGGCCGTTGCTGCATGAAAATGCACCACTTGCACAACTTCCTTGTGCTGAAAAGTGTAAGTAATCACAAATTAATTTGAATTAGCCATGCACTTAATGCTAAAGAATAAAACTTGCGAAGACTGAGAGTTGGACTAAAAAAAGAAAACAAAAAACAAAGTAGGGATAGAGATAGGGAAAAAGTTGATCTGGGACTTAATATACTTGCATAGCCTATATGTAAACAACACTTTTTACATTTAATCCTTACCATTATACAGGATAATTGTCTAATATGAACCTGTTTCTGTTCATGACTTGCCCACCGAGAGGTATACTAGACTCATTGATTAGGCATCAGAAAGTTAAATCAAAAGGTACAAGATACAAATCCTTATGTGGAGAATTCATATTTTTTCAAACAATATCATATACTTACAGCAAAATAGTTCTTCCATTAATTAGAAGATAATCTAAAATATTAGTTACACCCTCAATACTTAAACCATAAGCATGCTTATACTTAGTTAAATACTTTCAGTGATTGGATAATTAAATCAATACTTCTCATTAGCCTTAGATCTGAACTAACAAGAGGTAAATTTTGTATACATGGTTTTTATAATGCTTACTTGTATGATTTGCAAATTTCTTTATTTTTCAATGTAAAGAAGTTATCATTAACCATAAAATTATCTGTTTAGTGTTGTTGCTCTTAAAAACCATATCTTCCCCCTGTGTAGATATGTTTACATTTTTTTTCCTCTTTGCAGGATAAATGGACTTCAGAAATGGAAATCATCAGTCTTCCATGTGAAATTTTAGTAAGACAATATTGTGTTGTGAACCAAAAAGCAATTAAAAGGCCACACAGAGAGCTAGCAATTAAAATCATATAGTACAAGTGCTTGCAAGGATAAGAGTCAGTGCCTTCCCCAAGGTTTGATACTGTTTTTTGTTTTTCTACAGGTTATGTTGGGTTGTAATTTATTTTAAATATCAAAATAAATCTAGAAGTACCCCGTCCTGAGCCATCACATGCCTCCTCATCAGAATTATCACCACAGTCATCATGTCTATCGCACTTCCAGCTGCTTCTTATGCATATACCATTATTGCATTTGAAATCTTGGCCACTACAGCTTACATTTTGTGCTAAGAAAATAAAATATTTGGCTCAAAGCTTAGATTTATAATAATAATAGTACAAAAATACATGGATTCTCCCAATTTATGGATTTCAGGCAATTGAGAATACCTCCATGTAGGTACCAAATGTTACTAGGATATTTTACTCTTTAACCCGACAAAATCTGATTACTTCCCATAACAATTCCATGCCTATTTTTCTCTTGAGATCTCTTGACTAACAGACAATGGTTTAAGCATAAATGTGGAACAATCAGCCAGCCATTCTTTTTTTGGTTGTCAGTTCTCATTAAAAAACATTTTCCCCAAGTCTCTTTAACCAATATGTATGACTTTCCATGCCTTAAGGGTAATATTGTAAAATTCCATAACTTTCAAGGGGGGCTATCATACAATGAAGTTAAGAATAATTATAGGTGTTTCAATGTGAAGTAAGTGAACTAAAAGAAGTAAATGTCAGAGGAAGTTTAGAAATTACCACTTGCTTTAATCTCTCCTTGGAAGGAGTAGGTTTCTCCTTCAATAACGGAACTGGGTAAAGGAGAAACAAATTATTTCTAGGGTAATGGGACCTGAAATGTTGCGTGAGAAAAGTGTTCTATGTTGTGGTCTCGATTACATTACTTAACTGATATGTTTGTCTCTATCCATTACCAGTTTCTAGAATATCTTTTGATATTGTTAGCAAAATCAACCCCACCTAAGGGTTAAAAGGTTAGATAACCATTGTTCAGCTGTTAACGTACCACAATTTAACTCATCAGAATTATCTTTACAGTCATCTGCTTGATCACAATACCACGATTGTGGGATGCATCGTCCATTGTTGCAGCGGAATTCATTTGCTTGGCATGTCTGGGGAGCTATAAGACACCAATGTAACAATAACTTCAACAACAAGACTAACCTGATGTCTGAGAACTGAAACCTCAGGGGCTACAAACTTAAGATTTGGTGGCCACTGATCACTGTTGTCACTGACATCGGACTTCAAATTTCTTGTATATTTTCCTGATATTAAAATTTGCTACTTTCAGGCAAAAGATTTGTGCCTCTGTAATATAACTCTGTCAATTTATCATGTACTTACGACAACCATCCTCATCTGAATGGTCCCCACAATCATTATCTCTGTCACATCGCCAGTGTGCAGGAATGCATTTTTCATTTGTACAGGAAAACTGTTCTGATCCGCATTGATATCGGGTTGAGCTAGTGGGACTAGATATCCCTGTAAAAGAAAATGGCAAGACAAACAAGCATGGATATTATCCTTACTATCAGTATATCAACTGCAGACCTGAGGAGGCCTGGGGACAAATTCTCCCATAGCCTCACTTCCATTTTAATTAGAACAATTGTACTTGACACAATCCAATTATGACCAAGTGTTCTGTTGTGCCATCTCTTCATATCTTTTTCAGCCAATGAAATTAAAATGAGACGAGATGGCAGTAATGTTTATAGATTGAGACTGATAGCAAAGAATTCTTTCCAGCTGTTAATTAGAATTTCAAATCCGTGGTTGACCCTTCCCCAAAATGGTTGGCTCTTAAGACTGCCAAATATCTGTTAAATATTTACATGTCTGCTTCCCATGAAATTTCGAGAACGACCAAACATTCCAATCATATCTGATTTGTTAAAAGAGGTTTTCAGTGGTCCAATGAAAAATCCGCTGGTACCAGTACTAGAAAAGAAATCGAAACCAGGATTAAGACTTTGGACCCGGCTTGGGACATATTTTCTAGTCATCCGTAGCTGATGCAATAAATCGCACGCGCTCAACATATGACGGGCAGCTGACTTAATCACCAAGGTACTGATGTCTGAGTCTTGAAAGCGATAAAGTAGGTATAAAAAAAGTAATCACCTAAACAGAACACTTTCCTTTCAGCGCCGCATGAAACAAAACTGGAACAAAGCGAATATCGATCTCTGTGCTATCGAAACCCACGCTAAGAAACTCGTGCTACTTCGCGCCAATACTGCAAACAATTGATATTTCGGAAAAAATACAGCGCGGTTAAATTTGTCACATGATTGATGAACTATTTAAGAAATTTCAAAGAAGTTGCCGCCAAAAGACAGCATTTCAAGCAGAAGTAACACAAATTAGAATATAGCGCTAACAATTTCACACGATCTCTTTCATTTCCTCACTTCGATTACGACCTTTGTACAAATATATTGTAGACGAGAAGCATCGACGAATAACGTTGTAAATATTTGAGGCGCCGAGGAAACACGACATAGGCTTTCACAAAACATAATATATTGACCTCCTACGAAAAGAATGATGAAATATCTTATGAATGGAAGAAGCTTACGCAGAAGCTTATCACCCACGTAGTAACCAAGTAGTAAAAATTTGCATTCCAAACAACTATGAAGTGAAAGATTTTCTAGACTTACCTAAATTAGAAATAACCTTTGTGCGATTAAAAAGAGTTCAAGTAGTTTTAAAATACAAGCAATACTTAAAGTATCCAAAAGAGTCTGATTTTTTTAAATATGGGCTTGAACTGTCGTAAACCCAGGTGTGTAGTACGCATCACTGAAGAAATACCGCCAAAATGAGAGCCATAAATTTATCATAATTGTACTTTAAATAAAAAGAGAAAGACGTTCAGAAGAGGAAAACTTTGACTTGAAAACGAAATTCGGGAGGTAAAAACATAGCCATAGCTTGACAGGAAAAAATGGGAAAAAAACGAAGAGACTGTCGCTATTAATTAGAGAAGAAATACGCCACGGTACGACGTCAAGCGAGAAAATACTACAAACATCCAAATTTACAATAGAATATCTTCATATTTGATAAAATCATCTTACACGTTAACGTTTTAGCTTTGTAAATTAATTCCACTGCACGTGGTTTCAATGCTTTCAATTTCAAAACTCACCAGGGTGAACTGTAGTGAAGATATAAACTAAACAGTATGCCACACAGACAACTTCGGTCTGCACACTCATCCTTACGACAACGACTTCAAAGCGTTTTAAACTTCTTCGTAAATGTTCGTTTCACTAGACAATAGAAAATAGCTTCGAACTTTGGTAACTTTTGACTAAAAGAGACTCCAGCCACGCTGGACTGAGATGAACGCCGGTGTATTAATGAATGAATGGGCGCGATCTCAATGTTTTGATGAACAAGACATGCTCACGCGCATCAATTGCGCGGGAAAAAGATGATGCAATATGCCACTCACACCTTATTCACATGTTGTGAGGGGGTCGAACCGACCTCCTTCGCAAAAATAGTCCCTTTCTTCGATGTTAAGTTTAAAATTGGCGACTTTATTTCCGATCTTAAGGTTATTTCTTTCTTCTTTTATTCTTTCCTTCTTTTTCCTTTTTTTCTGCGACGCCTTGTGCAGCTGAAACATTGGGATAAAAGGAAGCAGTTAATATTCGACTAGTCATTTCAGATTCGATCCAATACGCGTATGTTGTGAAAATTTCGTTTTTTAGCTAGTGTTCCTGTCACTTGTGAGGATCTTTCAGAATCATAACTCGAGGTATTGAATTATAATTTTGTATTTCGCAACTTCAACGGGAACATCGCTAAAAGCGTCACCCAGGGTATCTTCACTCGATCATTGCTTATACAACTGCTGTCAGGTTGTACACTCTAATTTAAAACGTACGACGAATTTTTACAGCGCTTTAGCAATACTGCCTCCTTTAGACCCAGACAGAGTTTTTTTTTTTCTGATCAGTGATTGTCGCCATGTCAAGAGGAAGAATGAAACCGTTTCAAAAATGCGAAAATGATAAGATAGGCGCGCTTAGCAAATACGTCAACCAAGTCTTGTGACTCGTTATATTGACCAACTTTACCACGTTGCTCTTGAAAACGATGAATAACATTTGTTCGTTTCCAAGCGGAAGAGAATCCTTATCACCGGAACACTTAAAAGCTTCAACTGCACCTGTAAAGGTGACATGTTTCAGTTCGTTTTTCATTCCTTTAAGCTAGTCTCTGCATTAGTTGAAGTTTTCCCAAAAAAGATACACTGTGTACTTCCTGCGGTAGTAAGACACGCTTTCACTCATTTCCTGATCGAACAAAAAAATAAACATCTTTGAATTTTTTATTCCCTCTTAACACGCTTGATTTTGCATCAGCTCGGAGGAATTCAAACTGCGACAAAATTTAATTGAATTTCTAGTGAATAATTTATGAGAAGAAGTCGGATATTTCATCCTTTTTTTCAGCATGAGACGACTCCAGCGAATGGTTAAAACGTCTATTTGTTTACACACACTAAAAAGTATGTCAGTTATTCTTTCACTAAATCTGACAGTTTCATTGAGGACCTTTAGCTTCAGCCGTCAGCATAAATATTTATGTTTATTTTTCGACCTTTTTTACCAACTCGGTATTTTTAGCTCACTTAAGTTGCTAGTCTCGTCGAATTTGATATATTTTTGTTTTGAAATAAACCAATGGTCGGACTGAAATAGAATTCCACTTTATATGCACGTCATTTTACAAACAAACTTCGTTAAATTTCAACTATTTGCGTGTAACTACCTCCAAGCATTTTCCCGTAGTTTATGGCCGGCTGGCTTCACAGCCGGAATGAAAACACAAGCTAATCCTGATTTTCTGTTCTGCACTGAGCTTATTATTATTTACCCCTTTAGTGAACTATGTAGCATATCGAAAGAACAAAAAGACAGATTAACATGTCACGATAACTTGATGATTCAAACAGAACAGAACTAATTGAGGAAAAAACAGTACCCCGATAAAATTCATAAATTCAGTCACGATCGAAAGTGCAGTTTATGGAAATAATAAGTCAAGTTTCGACCCTGATATCAATGTTTGTTATGTTTGGAATGATTACTATGCCAATTATCTCTCTGTGAAACTTTCGCAACCACAACATTACCCAAAAAGGCAAAAGCTTTCTATGTTGAGAAGCTAGAACATAGCATATTTATGTAGAAGTCAACTATTTGAGAATCTTCAAATCAGGAAAATAGCTGGAGAGCGTGAGGTAGCGAATGAAAAGGTCAGGGAAAAATCGATCTGGAAAAATCGATATCAGGTGTGCTCAGAAAAGGTGGAATCAACCCTCTATTGACATGGGAAAAATATAGCAATCTAAATAAAATGTGTAATGTTTAATCATTCTCCGCAAGTTCCTACGTCATATTCCGGCATAATTTCCCTTGGTTGCCGTGTAATTATTTCTACACCGATTTTGTTTTGGGGGAGTCGTTACGTTAGTGTTATGGCTGATTACGTCAACAAAGCCACTCAAGCTTACTCGTGCACAGACTTGACGTCGCTGTGTTTTCCGTCTTCTGAAGAGCTTTCTTTTCATTGTGATTTTGGTGGCTACAGGAGGTTCATCTGATTTAATTGTTCGATATTTTATAGCAAGGGAATGAGCGTGGGTCGTAGGTCGCGGGATCCGGTAGAATTTTTAAACTTATTTTAAGAAAAACACTACTTAGTTATCACAGTGGCTTTTTCATATCTTTTTTTTGAGCTCCCTTCCGGAGCCCAAATCATGAAGAATGTTTCGATGGTAGCTTTTAGCCGAGCTTAGCCTGATTGGCTTCTTATTTTTCTGCTTTTTTATGTTTTAGAGTTATCTTTCTAGCTTCACCAGCCAATGACACTGTCTCGGCGTTTGTCAATTTAAAGTCATGGTGGTCAGGCACAAGAGTCGACAAGAGAATCAAGAAATAAATGCGTAGAGTTTAGCCCACGTGCAGCTGTACCCTCCCTCCCCCAAGGTGAAACGCTTCCGTTTCACCTGGGGGGGGGGGGAAGTACGGCTACACGTAGGCTACCAAGAGTTCTGTAGTATAGCGTGTAGCCACAGCTGGTAGTGAACAGAATAGCTGCGGAGGAAGTAACTCTGTCTGCTGCAAACGAGAGACATTGATGTTCTAGAGTTGGCTGTGAACTATCGTACTTGTCAGTTTCTTGTTTTTTTTCCTCTCTTTTTGACACTTTTTCGAGTCAAAACAACAGGGAAATGAAGATGAAATCGGCCTGTCCCATTAACCCTTAATTCTCCTCTCTAGCTTTTACACAATTCCCGGCAAATAAGTTAGGCGAATTTGGTTTTAGATCAAGATAACAACTTTTACCTGATAAGTTTGGGTATTCTCATTAGTCCTTTGCTGGATAATGTATGGATCTCATAGGGAGAAGTTTAATGTTTATCACTTCTGGGAGTTACAGGTTAAAATCGGCCAGTATTTAATGCATGTTAAATCACTTGCCAGATTCCGTTTTTATTTCGTCGGAGGCTGCTTTCTTCGTTCGCTTATCCTAGACCTCTCATCCTCTACTGAAAGAGAGCCTGGAAAAGGCTAAAATCAGGACAAATGGGTTCCTGCAAATAGGTAGAATATTGAGTCCTCTTGATGCGGGGACTGAGCCTAAGAGTCAAAAAGAGTGGTGCCTCATGTTGTGTAAAATTGCACAAATGCATGAGAGGAAATTTCATGCAAGACGAAGCTAGCCTTCCACAAGCTTCTTTTTTATTGTCAGTTTCGAGCGAAGTATGCCATCACGTTTGTGCAAGTCGTTTATCTTCATTATGGTCCTATAATGAAAACCTGGTCATGTCTGAGAACATACCTTGGTTAAGGCATCAGGTGATAAAACACCTTGCGCTTGTGACTCAATGCACAGAAAGGCTTGTATACTACTGGTAGACGCGGTCGACCTGTGTTTCTATCTCTATTGAAAAACGTGACTGGTTTATTAATAGATTCTTTTAGTTTCCTGTTAATTCGAAACTTTTTCCTTCCACCTCACAAATGAAGAAAATATTGTACTCCAACGATTGCACTGATTGTTATCTTTTTGTTTCCAATTCTATCAGTTTAAAATCACGATTCCGCCCTTCTGCACGTGAAAGTCGTGCTAAACAGTGCCAGTATGCGCTCCAAACAAATCAAATATACCGGTGTACACTGGCAGGAATATTATGGTCTCTTGGGAGTTTAGAGAAGCTGACAAACTAAGCTAATCAAAATTTTACAGCGCATTGCGAACGATAAGGATGGAGGAAATATTATCAACAAATGCAGGAAAATATCATTTTATCACCGCCCTTCATCTCACATAAGGCTGAGTGAAAAAGTAAACTCTTAATCAGTGAGAGATAGTCCTCAATAACAGCGGCTTAAGTGGTCAGACTCGACGGCATATTAATTAAATTTTCCAATTTTCAAACCTGCTGCTATAAGTAGAACTCCTCAACAGCTTAACTGCCTCGAGAATGTTCCTTACGTACATCTGTTTGGGTTTTCAGGGTATGTGCTCGTGGCTGAGGAAGTCAGTGAGGCCCGAATACACCTAAACCAGCTTAAGGGTTGAGTCCCTGCGGCGCCGAGCAGATGAAAAGTGCATTGATACCTGTAGGAACTAAAAAGCACATAACATAATAATGATTTAAGAACCCATTGGCGTACTTCAATTCTTGGAAAGGCTGGTATCCAGACCTTACACGGACATAGTGGAGCCACACAATAGAATTATTTAAGCCCTTTTCATGGGCTAAATAAGTCACTGAGAAAAATTATTACCATAGGCACAGTAACAAAAAGAAATTTAAAAAAAAGCAAGACAAGAGCATTTAGCCGAGTCGATGATGTAACACTTCTTAACTGGAATAATATAGATTCTTGCTTCTGCCAAAAAAAGCTGCAATGGTACACGTTATTAACTACTGTCATATTTCCACCTCATATTCTTTACTCTGCGTCAACAAGACCAACAGTTTTCACATGTCGATCGTGGAATCGTCTCCTACACATGGCGAAACAATATCCATCCGGTCATAAAACGCGTCATAAAATAAACCACCCTTCTCTATTCTTTGTCAGAAATAGCCTCAAATTCAAATTTTTGAATGACACAGTCCCCACGTTGAATAATTGATCACAAATCGACCGATCAATGTCGGCGCTTACAACGGATAGTAAGAAGTAGACGTAAAAGTAGGCTGCCACCAGTGAAACGAAACGTGGTTTTCTTAACTTGCTGTTAAATTACTCGAGATTTTTTCGTAAGTAAAATTCAGGATTTAAGAAAATTAGAGTAAGAAATGCATTTGCTAGCATGATGGATTACGGCAATGTGACGACAAGGGCAATTTTTTGGCAGTTTTGCACTTTTATTGATCAGGGGAAAACACAGAGGAGAGGAGAGCAGATCAAGAAGCTGGAAAGCGGGAGTTTATGGAGAGGAAGCGACAATGATGGTCTAACCTTACCAGTTCCAGTTGTGAAAGGTCCTACAAATAAATTTCGAAACGTATGTGGAAACACGCTAAGTTTTAAAATGCCTGGCCTTATTTAAAATTCTATGTTTTGGAAACTACTATCGCCCACACATTTCCTCTGGGGGTTTTATAATTGAACAAACCGCAAGCAGGACAAATTAGTGTTTGTGCAATGTCACGTGCAACTATCGATAACACATGACTACAAGGGTTTTCATTCTCAGAGGCATGACAACTCCGTGGAGAGCAGTGCTTTCAGTTAGGGATGCGTTGCGTGGGATTATCAACAAATAAAAAAAATTCAACCGACTAATCAGTAACTAAGGTGATTAGTTGATCCCAGTGGCATGCCTTGATTCAAATCAAGCCATTTATATTCCATTTAAGCCCACGATTTTCCGTCACAACATTTTGAAGTAATTATCATGATAAGTTATCAAGAAAACTGCTCTCCGCCCGTACGAAGGTCAAGCATTCTTGGCGACAGTCTGCTGTAAGTAGTCCGCGTGGTATAGCTGTCTTGAATTTATAAAAAAGAAAAAACTGTATTGAGTTTTTCAAGTGCCGTCATAGTCAGCAGCAGTGCTGTTGGCTCGCAACACGAAGAATCCTGCTTCTTTGGGCTATTTCCTGTGTGTTTTGTTTGTTTGTCTTTTTTTACGCTAGTTACTTAATTTCAAAGCTACTCTGACGATGTGTATTGTACTAGAGTAAACTAGAGTTGAACGGGTGAGGTCTACTGAGCATGGCCAATCTTAAGAATAACTAGCTGAATTACGGAAATATTCTGGCAACATGGGCCGTTAGATGGGTGCTTAAGTCCTTCTCAAGTACGTAAAAGGCAGGAAAAGTCTTTTTTTTTTTTACCAATTTCGTGACTATGGAGACCTTTTCAAAGTGGCTCTCGAACCGCCCGTCCTCAACGAACTTACTACTCTTGCCCAGACAACCATATTTTTAGATCACCACAAAACTACTCTTCTCGTATATAGTCGTATTTCACGACCTTTCTACCAAAATATCCACCTTGCGTCTAAAATGGTAAGAGAGAGACAGACTAGACTCATGTTTCGTAAACGAACCACAGCAATTGAGGTTGAGTTCTCGAAACTGGGTTGCACACAAAGTTGTTCTTTACTGCGAAATTGATAAGTTTGGGGTTCGTTAGAATCCGCAGATTTCCACTTTGTCCCAAGCTTGAGACTCTCTCTTTTGTTTTGGCTTGAATTAACTTTGAGCTCTGAGTTAGTTAAAAGGTCTTAGAAATTTCGTGTATCCTTTTCGGCCAATCCGATGTCAGACAATTGCTACTTAGCTTTTTCAAGTCATGAGAGAATTGCTTTCTGTTTTGCGTCATTACGTGTATCATGGCTACGTTTACTGATTTACTTCCAAAAATTCAACATCAAAAACATCGATAGAATTCACACGTTCGTCGCCTAAGGAAGTTTCCGAACCCGTTTATAAGTAAAAGTTATGTACATGTTTACATTTCCAGCTTACTACAGGTACTCAAAATAGCTACTGCCTGACAAAAAAAAAAGTATAAACGCATTACTAAGACACTCATGATCAGCTTCCATCACTAATCTCCTCGAGCTACGCTATTTCATCACAGTATTGCAGCACTAAATATTGTGCGATCAAGGTAACAGAAAGTTGCACAACTTCGTTCATTCTAAATTATTTTAACCTCAGTTAAGCTTGCAGCTTCAACCCTTTAACTCCCAAGATCTAATTTTCAATTCTCCCCTCTAGCTGCTACACGTATCCTTGTAAATTAATTATGAGAATTTGGTGTTAGATCAAGATAACTTCTACCTGATAAGTTAGAATATTCTCATTAGCTTTTTGCTGGACAATGTGAGCATGTAATAGGGAGAAGTTTCATGTTGATCACTTCTGGGAGTTAAAGGGTTAAGGAAGAAGTCTTCCATATAACTGACAAGAATTAATGCCAGTATCTGAGTAACTACGCACCTACCACTCCCCTATCCCAATAACAGTCAACTGGTAAAAAGTTAGGGTTAATGTTGGGTTAGGGGAGGGGTAGGTGCGCAGTTCACTTGCGTGACAAAATCCAGTAACACTAATCACGCAAACTTCTCACTTGAATGAACAGATGGCTGCCGAAATGTTTATAACTATCCTCCCAACCCTCACAAAATGGAAGGTCAATCCTTCCTCACACGGAGATATTATATCAATCTGGAAGGATTATGAACTATTTTACATGCAGTTTCTGTACCAACTACTACATACCCTAATAATATTTTAGTGAAATTTGACAAATTTAACATTTTACATTTAAATATGGCCAGCTTTATCATGAATAGCTTTAGCCAGCAGCCAAGTTTCAAATATTCTCAGCCTCGCTTTGTTAGTTAAGCCTTAGAGCACATCAAGGTGTGATATCTGTACTTTGCTGTGAAACAACTACTGTAACAGTAGGCTGTAATTCAAGACCATGCGTGCGCCAAAATGGTGTGATAACCAGATGACAAGAGAACCAAAATCAAAGATTAAGAAATAGATAAATAAAAACACATCAATCGATACCTACACCACAACACCAGCTATTTTATAATCATATCTTACAAAGAAAGCAGAAAATAACCTTTGCCTTAACAAACAACAACAATAAAAAGGGAAAGGTAAAGAAAGTTGAAACAAGCACGAAGAACAGTACTTCCCACAATCTTCCACAAAATGTTTGAAAATTTTGCCTTCAAGTTTCATTTATGAAATAAAGTACAGTTGACTGAACCACTGAATTCACTTTGTTACTTTCCCTGACCCAATGCTTCTAGCCCTGTTCACTATGAAGATATGAGCACACTAAGTACGGTACCCACAAAGTATCAACTTTGTCACACGGTAGGGGAATGGAGACAGAATATATGGATTGGCTGTTTTTCAAGTCAAATGGAAGGCTGCCTCAATCATTTTGTTGAAGATTGTCGATTGCATTAAAACATCCATGCTGACTGTAGCTGTGTCACTGTCACATAGCAAAGCAAAACTTCTCAATTATGCAACTTCAGGGCCAAAGTCTTCATACAGAGGGTCATGCATGGAGATATCATTGTAGTATGCAGCACGCAGGCGTGAACGGTGGTGATGCTTCTTCCAGTAAACAACTGTACCAATCACCACAAGGATGGCTACAAGTCCAGCTGCGCTGATGCCAATGATGGCTGCTGTGGATAAAGATGAATCATCTGGAAAAGTAAACAGTAGACAGTAGAGTTGGCGATTTCTTGACAAATTCGTTGATTTGTTGAGTGATTTTACAATGTATATGCACTTCACCTTGGTGGAGTGTGGGGGGTGCACCACAGTTTCACAAAGGAATTGTTTCAGGCATTCAATCACCTTCCTTCCTCATAATTTCAAAGCAATTACATATTACAAATTCATGCAATGAATGCAGACTATACTTGACATTATCTTAACCAAAAGCCAGTTCTTGGCAAATGCTAAGAACAGCTCAGAGCAAAAACCTCCCTAACCTGTTGAATTTTTTTTCCTTGCTTCAAAGTGAGAACCTGTGGGATGACCTGCATGACATTAAAAAATTAAAAAATCTTATCAACCTATATCGAACAACTGACAGAGCAAAATTATGTAGGATATATCAAAGTTCACATGGCAACCAGGTGGGCAATCAGACATGGTTTGATGGAACAATGGTTTAACGATTTAATGAATGCAACTAAGAAGTTAAAAACCTACCCACACCAACAAATGCCTCTCTCAACTCTCACCACCCTATTTGCCATAAAATGTCCATGCCAAAACTTTACTCAGGCACCCATGCCTAACTAACCATACAATTGAGTGGGATAAGTCTAAAATTATCACTACTAATTGACATTACCACCAGCATCTTTGTTTGGAAGCCTGGCATATCAACTCTGCCCACACTCCTTTAAATTGTGATGGTGGCTTACTACCTGACACCCATTTCACACCTCTTCAGAAAAAAGAGCAGCGAATTAGTGAGCATATTAAAGGACCTCTTGTTACAGTGATTAGATCACCCCTGATAAATGCACTAAATAGGAGTGTCGAAACATTGGGTCTATGAATTGTGACTTCTGGGTTACATTCATTAAATTTTTAAACCAGAGTAGCATCAAACCATGTCAAAAATTATCTGGTATTCAGTTATATAGTATTCACCTTGGCCTCAATTTTGAGATTAGAACATACTCAGTGGTAAAATAACTTTGGCTGTAAGTATAGCATGTTTGAGAAATAAAATAAACAGTTGTTGAGAGAGTTCTGAAAGACTCAAAAGTAGTGACTTATGTAGTCTTTTCTGATAATATCCGTTTGCAAGTGGTTCATAAACTTCAAGGCCTATTCACACTGCATGAATTTTGCATTTTTTTTTGGCTGAAAATTATGAATGGGGTTTAAGATCTGATGTTAAATGACATCTTGAAATCCTGAACACATTAGAGCGGGGAGTATGTCAGTCTTAAATTGGTGAACTGTTTTCCTATGATTAATCAAATTACCACATATTAAATGCTTAAATGTTATCTACAGCAATTGATAGCAGAGCATGGAAAACCTATGGCTACAATGTGGTATATTAAATGGATATAATTGCCTTGCATATATAACTACAATTGATACATGTGTTATGGAGAGATAGTAGATTTGTACAAAGCACTACTACTACTAATAATAAGACAATTTTAATCACAATTGTAATAGTTTAGTCCACAATTCCACTAGGCATCTCTGAACAAAAAATTATAACTTAAATTCTAAATGAGTTAAATGAATATAACTACCAAGCAGCAATCCTCTCACTGGCAAGGAGGGAAGCAACAAAGCACACTCAAAGTCCACTTTGGGCACTTTTCACCACATTAATTGGGAAAGTAGTGTGTGGAATGCATACTCATTGGATACCTTACTTTTACCGATACATTAAGTATGTGCCTACAAATTAATGTTGCAAAAAACAATTATAATCATAATTGTAATAGTTTAGTCCACAATTCCACTGGGCAACTCTGAACAAAAAATTATAACTTAAATTCTCAATGAGTTAAATGAATATAACTACCAAGCAGCAATCCTCTCACTGGCAAAGGAGGGAAGCAACAAAGCACACTCAAAGTCCACTTTGGGCACTTTTCACCACAGTAATTGGGAAAGTAGTGTGTGGAATGCATACTCAACAGATACCTTACTTTTACTGATACATTAAGTATGTTATTACAAATTAATGTTGCAAAAAAGGAGGAGGACATGGGCCTTTGCTAGACATGAGGGCCAAAAATTAAAAGTGCATTGAATGCAGATTATATTTAATATTATCCTATCCAACATCCAATTCTTGGCAAACACTAAGAGCAACTTAGAGCAAAACCTCCCTAACCTGTTGAATATCTTTTCCTTGTTTCAGAGTGAGGACCTGTGGGATGACATTTAAAAATTAAAAAATCTCATCAGCCCATATTGAATATCCGACAGAGAAAAAATTATCTACTTAAGCACATCCAAGGTCTACTTTTGTTACCATGTAATAAAATTTCCATGGCCATATTTTCTTCTGGTCTACAAAATCTGTTACTTCCCACTGCACTTATTTAATATGCATAGACATGTCTTTTTTCATGAGCCTAGAACAGACACATTTTACAGTTACACACTAAAAAATAAAAAACATACTGCCAACTGAAAACTAACTTGAAAGTAGTGATTTATGTAATCTTTTCTGAAAATATTGTGTTATAAGTTGTTCATAAACTTTGAGGTCTATTCACTTTGCACAAATTTTTGTGTTGAAAATTAAGAGTGTGGTTTCAGATCTGAGGTCAATCCTTGAAATCCTGAACACATTAGAGAGGAGAGTTTGTCAGTCTTGAATTGGTTGCCTGCTTTCCTATGATTGGTCAAATAACCACATAAATAAGTGTTTAAATATTGTCTACAGCAATTGATAGCAGAGTGTGAAAAACCTATGGCTACAACATGGAGAGCTAGTAGATACCTAGAGTATAATTATAACTAGGTATAATAGTTAAGTCAACAATTCCAAAAGGTATCTCTGTTAGAAAATGCATAAAAATAACTAAATAAAAAAAATTCATTGCAAAAAAAAAATATTATTAAGAAATAAAAATGCATCAAAACCCTTACTGAACCAAGCTAATATATCATGTTTCAGCTTATGTAGATTATCTTGTGTGAAAACAGGATTTGAAAACTTTAGAGATTTTGCATGTAGGGTTGTATAAAAGCCTGGATAGATTGTGTTGGAAAGATTCCCTTTGAGTGGAAATGATCAGGATAATCCACATGCTTGAGATTATAATCTACAACAATGAGTTTAGTTTAAAATTTAAAAAAAATTCAATACTCTTACATAAACCAAGAAGTTACATGTTTGAAAGCCATGAAAATAACTTACAACCTGAAATGCACATATTAATATTATTATTAGATCATTAGTAGCACGCTCATTGGGATTAGTTCATGTACACATGGTTATGTTCCCCTCTTATTTAACAAATAGAGAAGTCTTGACTGTGCTCTGTTCTGCTGTAAAGCACGCAGGAAGTGGCTAGAGCACGAAAGAAGTGTAGGGGGGAAACACGAGACGTAGTCGTGCTTCGTAAGTGCTTTACAATAGAACAGAGCACAGTCAAGGTTTCTCTAGTTGTTTTATAATAAAGAATCCATTAAGTTCCCAAAGAATTACTTTTAATTTTCAAAACAAACTTCATTTCCAAAGTGAACAACAGTGTCGTCAGCATGCTCTATACTCTCATAACGCATACTACAATAAGCCAATCAGATACCGCGTTAGAATGGTTCAAATAATCTGATTGGCTGCTTGTTCTGAAATTTCACTTTCAATTAACGAAAGAAAGCTAGAAAGAAGTCCCAGAAAAGGTCGGACATAGTACAATTTGGCAGATGGCAGGACAGCTTTAGCTCAATTCTATGCTCTACATGAGGGGACACAAGCAGCCTCAACTGTAAGTACTTTTTAGAAATGCTAGGATATTATCCTAGCATTCCTAACATTCCGAGCTGCGTGAGAGTGTCAAAATCCGTGCGTATATCACAGAAATGTCACTAGACCTAAAGTAAGCAAATGAGGGCAAATAAATCGTGTGGATATATTTCTCTTTATAATCTACAATGTAACACAAAGGAACTGGCCGAGGAATAAAGGCACTATTGATTACGTGTGAAACAAAAACATTAGCTGATGACATTTTGATATCAGGCATTAATTCATTTATCTTCTCATATTTATTCGCCCTCATCTGGCGTACTTTAGGTCTAGTGAAATTTCTAACATACGCACGGATTTTGACACTCTCGTGCAGCTCGGAATGTTAGGAATGCTAGGACAATATCCTAACATTTCCAAAAAATACTTAACAGTTGAGGCCACTTGCGTCCCCTCATGACTCTCATAGAGCTTGCTCTTTCAACCAATGACACTACGTGTTATATCTGAACTTTATTATAACCATTATTATAGCCTGCTAATTTATGCCTGCATACTTCCAACAGTATTTCGTCACATTATCCTCACGTATTGCTGTTTCACTAAGGGGGAGATAGGCTGGCCAATTGTTGCTGTTATGCAAGTCTTTGAAACATGTCTTAGGGAGGTGGATGGTTACTACACCCTAAAATACTAAAGGCAACTAATGATTTTGACAGCAAGGTGTAATCAAAACCTTCAGTTGTGACATTGCTGCACTGCTGTGGTTTGTCTTTGCTGATTCTGCTGCTCTGCCAACACTGTCCATTAAGGTAGAACTGAGTTTAATTAGAGTCGCTCAGCTCTTTAGGTAATTCACTCATTTTCTTCAAAAATAGCTTTTCACTATTTTTAATTTTCTACAAGTTTATCAATTATACCATCTTGAAATATGGAGTAAATAACTATCTTACTCAATATTTGCTTTAAAAAAAAGACAGATTTTGAGCAACCTGCCTGTGGCAGTCACACTATAAGTTTAAAAATGAATATTTGTAAGACAATATTCCCAAAACACTGAATACAACAATAAGGCAGAAAAGGTTAATTAAATTAGCGTAAACAAGCCAAAAAGGGTGAATTTTCACCACATGACCCAATTACGCTTAAGACCTATCTAAATTAGTTCCAAATTCAGGTCATGTACATAATTACATGCTTTGTTCGTACTTTTTATATATGCTTAACATTATGTGATGATGATCGTTATGACAATTTTAACAGATGTTTACTTAAGTGTAATTGATAAGAGTTGAGTAACAGCACTTTGTTGATAATGAGCTGTTCAATTTTGGTGGTAAGGAATCACTCAACATGTCAGATAATAGAAAAACCGTTTTGCCAGGTCATACTTTTATATTCACACTTAAGATTCAAGTAAATAGAACAAATCAAATTGTTCAAACAGTAGTGGTGGTCTTGCCCACTTGTAAACAGATATGTTTTTAAGCTTGATGTTAATCACAAACAACAAAATGGAAAATGATTTTCTTCACTTATCCTATGAAGCTAAAATCATTCTGGTAAAACATTAGGAAAATTTCTCCTGTTCCAGGAAACTGCATATAATTTCATATAACTTTACAGATGAACGAATGCAAATGATTCAAATCTTGCTGCTACCCGCTAGCTGTAAACTTTTACGACAACAACTTTATTAAACTTGAAACTGTCACATTGAAAAGAAATGGAAACTACTGTAGTGACAAACCTGTCGGTTCAGGTGCAGTACCACATGGCTTGTAATGAGTTGTACTTGTATTGAATCCTAAGAAATATAAATGAAATTAAGATTTCTTTTTACAGCACTCAGTATTTTTCATCTCCATTACACCCTACCATCAGCATCCATAATTCCCATACTATTCTTTACACATTTCTTTTAGTGCTGCCTAGGAAATTTTTGTAACAATCAAAGCTTCTTAGATTGGTGATCATTTTCTTTATTCTCATAATCTTAGTGAATCATGCACTACCAGTAGCTCTACTTTGAGACAAAATTAGAGGCAGGTCTTAGGGTTTTAAGTTATGGAGCTTTTGTCAGTCTCTGGGTGCATTACTTCCTTTTTGAATCACATCATTCTATCACTTCTACCTTTGTAGTAATCACATTTAAAGGAAAAAGCTGACTGTTTTACTCGAGTTTATCTTTTGTTTCTATATTTTCTTCCAACAACTTTCACCGCTCTATATCAATTATCGTTACTGTCAGTTGCAATACTCTGGAGCTACGGGTTTAAAAAGAAAAAAAAAAGCCATAACACATATCAATAGCAATTTATGGAGGTTAGTTTTAGCTTGATAATTATATATCTTGTGGTTCAATAGTTATGCTTGATTTAAAATTTTCCAAATTACCATTTTCATATATTAATTCGATCATATCTGTTTGCCTTCTATTTATCAGAAAAATCATATGTTAATCTAAAACAAAGGTCACTGAAGATTAAACAGGTTGTGAAAAGCCAAATCACTCTTCTAAAATCAACTCTACTGTCTGAACCTTACAAAAACCACTATACAAGCCACACAAAATAAATACTAGTACCTGGGCAGCTTTGCATTTTCACACAAAATTCCTTGTCCACTACAGTTAATGTACGGCAATTCACTATAGGAGGACAAAATTCCCAAACAACCTGGGGCAGAAAGGAAGTTAATTGTAAGGCCAGCTGTACCAATTTATCCAATAAGTTTTAAATTTTTCTACCAGGCAAATTCACTGCTGCAGAATCAGTAACATCAGTGTTGTGTCATAAATGATTTTTTGTTCTTTGTCATTGGGGTATGGAAAGTATTGCAAAATAGTTTATTTTCTCACAAAAACCCCTGTACCCCCCATCAAATGTCCACCTCATCTAGACACTGAAGCAAAATTGCGAATTTAGAAATAAATGCCAATGGTGTTTAACACTTTAACTCCTACAAGTGATTAACATATACCCGCTCCTTGTAATGTCCATATATTTATTGTCGAACTACAAGGTTATGAGAATACTCAAATTTATCAGGTGGAAGTTTTTACCATGATCTGACACCAAATTCTCATAACTAATTTGCAAGGAAATGTATTGCACCTAGGGGGGAGAATTAACAATCAGATGTTGGAAGTTAAAAGGTTAAAATTTAAAATTCAAATTAGGACCACTCTTTGACCCAGAAACAGTTTGTTACCACCACACGAAGGGAAAAAACAAGTTGACATAACCAACCAACCCTTGCTCTATGAGGATGGTGATAAAATATCAACCAAAAAAAGTTAAAGAAAATTGTCCTCTGCAGATAAAAACAGGGCCCTCACTAAATGCTTGCCTCATATAAATAAAGAGTTCAAAGGGACCAGTCTGAAAAAAATGGTACACATATACTGATTTACTTGGAAAAATGCAACAAAGAGGAAATAATGATAAAACTTTTCCCTAAAGAAGCAACTCATATTCATAAGTTAACTCTCTGCTTAATTAGAGTATGGAGCTCACTAGAGACATAAACTTACGTTGGTTGTTATGACATTCTCTTTTCGTGACAGAGTTTTCACATGTAGGTAAACTTCTCCCATTTTAGGATCATTATAAACCCTGAACTTTGTACCCTGCTTTAGTTGAACACCTTTGTCTCTTATGCCCTTGCTTGGAACATTTAGGAAAAGATGATAGTAGACAGGATCTTTACAGTGTTGTAAATCAACTTCAAGGGAACCCCCACCTGACCAAGTGCAGTTCACTCCTGTGGTATTGGTAGGAATATAAGCAACAAAATAACATTAGTTAACCATCACCTTGGTGAGCTTTAATCCACCCACATTTATCCCTATACCTCACACCTCAAGATGTCTAAGAAATAGAATAATTTATGGGAAGGGTGAGTTCAGTCTTCTAGGGGGCCTCCAATGATGAAAATAGTTGTTGATAAATTCATGACAGTGTCTTATATTTCACAGATTTTATAGAAACAAATTGGAAACAAGAATGGATGTGTATAAAAACTAGAAACAAGTACAAGCAATAATGATGTTTAAATATCCCCAAAGGTGCCTTGGGTTTGCATGACATAACACAGTTACCATTATTATCATCAATAATAACACTATTGTTCAAAATAGTCCCAAGGGAACCAAGCAGATAATAGGGGTAGTCATAACTTGTCATTCCATCCAACCTGATGGTCCCCCACCAATTCCTATTTAAAAATATCTGACAAATCTTTTGATCAATTTTTATCACAGTAAATACTTCATTCCCACTCTTACAAACAAACTTCTATTTCAAAGATCAATTTTGATAACTTAACCCTTTAACTCCCAGACATACCTTACACAATATACATTATCAAGCAAAACTGTAATGAGAATACTCAGACTTATCAGGTAGAAGTTGCTATCTTGATCTGACACCAAATTTTGCAACTAATTTATAAGGAAATATGGAGCAGCTAGAGGGGAGAATTGACAATCAGATCTTGGGAGTTAAAGGGTTAACAAAACTTTCTTCCAACAGTGGAAGTTTTCTTTAAACTTGAGTTTATTGGTCTGAAACAACTGTTATAAAATGACACTTCTGTTTTGTTTCTTTGTTGAGTTTATTGCATGAATAAGTTGTTTGTAGTGAACTGCTGGTAGTCAGCAACTGAGACCAGAAACTACTGAAACCAGCTTTCTACAACTGATAGTTGAAAATACTTCAAACCATACAATAGACATTATGCAGAGTTCCAGTATTTTATGACAAACTTAAAATTTGTTCCAAAAACACCTGACAAATGAATTCTAAGTTTTTCAAACTATTTGATGAAAGAGCAACAAATCAAATCTATTATATTTTGCCCTTAACAACCACAAGAGGAACAAAGCCAGCAAGAAACAAACGCAGATGTGTCAATGTATTATAACCTAAATTAGCAAAGTATGACTGTATTATTGTAGATTAGATATTTACATTGTACCTGTACAATGTATGTTTTGTTGGCAAACAGCATCTTTTTGCAGGACCATCTTTATATTTCCTTTTAAATGACTGGCAACAGTGCTCATAACTTTACATTCTGGAAAATTAGAAGGGTTCTTTTCTGCTTCAAGAAAACTTAGAAGACCTAAGAAAAGATGGGAAATGAGCAAACATTACTCACTACAAAGAAAAATAAATGTAAATAAAACAAACAACAAATCTGTTTGCATCATAACTCTAGGCATTATTCTAACATCAACCCCTGCCTAACAAAGCTACTTAATTCTGTTTATCACTTTTTCTAATTACAACAATAATTGTACTATACCCCCATGAAAGTCTTCTGGGGCAATATCAACATCACATGACACAGTAGAGCAAAAAAATTCTTGATGAGTTGTCATTAAACTGGTTTTCATCATTTCAGCAACAATAAACTTTTAGCAGTTCTTTCCCTGCTGACAAGCAATGCCACCATCATCATAAAAAGCTTCAGGTTTCCTTCAAGTCTAGGACAAGGTGGACTTACTGACCTTACCAAAAATAACTGTACAAAATGAGTAAGGATTAAAACTAACGCACTCTAAAAGTTTTTGTTCTGGGGATCATGGTTGACTGGATATCTTTACATTTTCTGATTTTTCATAGTATTCAAAATATGGGGATTACTGCCTGCTGCAACCTCACAAACAAACGTTGTTTTTATTAGCTGCCCAGAGTTATAAATTATGTAGTAGGTTCTTCCTAGCAGCACTTATGCCAAAGAATTACTAAGGAAAGGTAAAACATAAAACTGGTGAAGAATGTACCGCTGATCCACTGTAGATTAACGTCTAAAAGATTATAAATGTGTGACTGTAACATCGACCGCATACCAGAAATAGGCTAAAAGTTTAACCAAAATCATCGTGAAACAAAGACGCGACCTGCGTTAGGGATAGTGTTGTGATCAGGAACAATAATTAACATGTACAGGCATAAAATTTTCCAAACACGACCGAATTCTATTTCGTGAATCCTTATTTTTCACCGACCATAAGCATGACATAAGCATGACACACGAAAAATATGGCCTAAAAGCAAAAGAAAGACAAAGAGATCAGCTAAACGAGAAATCACCCCATATACTCAGGCCAATGGCAAACGATCATACCGGCCTTTCGTGCCGAAAACAAATACGCACCTAGTCATCTGCCGAACACGCTTGGTGAAAATCGAACCCGAGAACTTAAGTCAAAACGAAAAAATAAACAAGAAGGTTAATCGTCTTAGCAAAATTGCTCTTGAGCGACCAAGAATTTCTAAATCTATGTTAAACTGAAGTAAAAACGTCCACCGACGTAAGTACTCTACTGAGAAGGAAAGGAAAAATTGTGAGTGGGTTATAAGTAGATTGTATCTGCGGCATTATAGATGCGAGTTTTTTTTCAGGACGATACTAAAATACCAACAAAGACTTACAGGAAAATCCGAGGAGCTGGATCCACATCTTGGAAAAATTTACGAATGACGAGGCGAAAATTTTCTCACGAAGAAACAAGAGCGAAATCGAGCCAACAATATAGTTTGTTTTCCTGTTTGTCCCTCGAATAGAATCATGGGAGTAGAAGCCAGAGTCTATCTTAGTCAGCGGCGATGTGTTCATGGTTTATATGTTTGTGTAAGAACCCCCCATGAAACCTGTGTGACATCTTTTTTTTCGGTTATCGCAGCTAAAGCCTGAAAAGGGGAAGTGATGTTGGTTTCTTAAAGACTTGACTGGAATAGGTAATTCGTGAAGTACACGAAGAGAAAAGTTGATTACATATATAACAGTTTATCGTGGAGTCCTTGGAAACACGAGGGCAACCGCCACGTAGGCATGATCCGGTGTTTTGAAAATTTCGATGCTCAAAGGCCATTGAAGTTACTTTGGTTCCTGTGAACTACTCTACCCCTTAATTTCAACATGAGAGTGCATACAAGAAGCGTTCTTCTGGTCGGCATTCTCTGTTCCGTACTGTTTATCTTCTCTTTGGAACTGTGGCCGCCTCTTTTCAGTGACGACGAAACTAAAGAGAATTCTAATTCCCCTTTGGTCGACAGTGATGTTTCCGAAATTCGTTTGAAGATTGGATCGCCGGTTCCCGATGAACGAGATTCAAAGTGTTTAATGCACAACTGTTTTGACATTTTTCGATGTAAAGTCAACGAAAACAAACTGATATCCGTCTACGTATATCCAGACACTCGCTTCTTGGACGAGGAACGAAAAACAATAAACAAACCAATGTCGCAAGAATTCTATGAACTGCTGACAACTATTGTGGAGAGTAAATACTATACTCCCGATATCGGAAAGGCTTGCATTATAGTTCCTTCAATTGATACTTTAAATCAGAAAGGCCTCGATCTTAGATGGACGGCCAGAAGTCTTGCAGAGTTACCCAGGTAAGGTTTGATTGTCGTTTACGGTACATAAAGCATGATTTACTCGAACGTTCTGATGGAGAGTAGTAACAATCACTTACAAAACAAAAAACTGATTTTAGAAACTTATATGAAAGGTCTTCATGTCCAGGACCATATTTGTTATTGTTACTACCACTTGACAAGGAAATTTCAAGGAAATCTGCATGTTAGTAACATTTTCACGTGCAAGTCAACCGACAATCTGTCCCTGTTAATCTTTATTTGCTCTTGTAACAGAAACTACCATTTTTATAGGAAAGGTCTAAGTCATTTCACTTTAAGGGGGCAGTGAGGGCTTTTGAATACTGCATAGGGGAGGAAAATGAAAAAGTAAGTTGCAACTATGGCTAAAAAAATGATCCAATAGTACAGTAAAAACAGATATATTGTGTCAACATTTAACTGAATTCTGCAATTGCTGCAGAATTCAATTAAATGTTGACACAATATATCTGTTTTTGTGAATTAAGGTTAGATAAAACCAGATCATATTATTTTTACTGACAAAAGCATTAAAGATGCAAGGAAAGATAAAGGGTCAGACCCAATTTCTTAACAGAGTGAGATATTATCAGTTATTTGTGAAACCCTTTTAATGTAACTAGAATATTGCTGCTTTCTGGGCTGGATACATTACATCCCAGGGATTGCCAATTTTTTTTATCTGTCAATCTGGATTTAAAAGGCTGACTTCTTCTTTTCTTGATAAAACATTTTAAGTTGGAGTGATGGTGGAAAAAATCATTTGTTATTTAACATGCTGCCTGGTGGTGCACCTGAGTACAATTCAACACTAGATGTTGCAACTGATAAAGCTATCTTGGCCGGAGGGGGCTTTGCAACTTGGAGTTACAGGACAGGATATGATGTTAGCATTCCTGTGTTTAATCCGCTCACAAATAGAAAGGTTGTCCTATCACAGAAAAGGTCAGTGATTTAGCGAGTAAAAATGAAAAAGTAATAATCAATGATAATAATTTATTATGATAATACCTGTAACAATAGTAGTTTGGCAGACATTGTTTTATCACACTTTACTGATTATCATATTATGTTTGAAGGTGAGCTAGCCACTGTTGTAATCTTAGAAAGAAAATATTTCAAACATCAGCTCCCCCTTGCATGTAGGAATAATACACAACCTTAAGCTCTTTGAGATGCACTGTGGTGCCTGAATTGCCACAATTTATTAACTTATGTCAGTGCTTCACTCACACGCTGATTGATATAACACAGAATTTTCTTGGGATGATTGCCATATTAGCTTAGCTCTAAGGAAGCAGACTGAATTAACCCTTTAACTCCCAGAAGTGGTCAACATGCAACTTTTCTGAATAATATCCATACATTATTTAGTAAACAGGTAATGAGAATACTCAAACTTTTTAGGCAGAACTTTTCAACTAGATGTAACACCTACTTGTAACTAATTTGCAAGAAAATGTGTAGCAGCTAGAGGGGAGAATTGAAACTCAGCTCTTGGAAGTTTAAGGGTTAATCTACAGTGGATCAGTGGTATATGCACGAGAATGGCTCTAGGGAGGCACAAGTTTTTTTATTAGACCAACATCAAGGCCTACATTTTATTTTTCCAAAAAATATCCTTGAGAGGAGGTTACCCTCCAAGGTATCACTCCATGGTCAATGCATTATTGCCCAGGCTCTGTTACAGATAAAGGTAATTATAATACATTCAACCCACCATCTCTTTTCTGCTTGGCCAAAAGCATAGAGTGAATTTGCATGTCAAGTTCCCATGCGCTGTTTTGCGTGCTGATTTGTATATTTTTACATGTTTAGATTATCAGTTCCACTTAATGTTGTGACCACTTTGGTTTTTTTTTTTTTTTTTTGTTCAGTGTATAATAAAATAATTATTAGATTTAGTTTTTGTGATATCCAGAATAATCAAGGTCGAGATAAGGGGTTATCAGCCGAAACCTTTGGCTTTAGCTGACAACTCCTACCTCAAACTTAATTATTCTGGATATCACAAAAACCTCATCCAATAATTGTTTATTTTTGGTAGCAAACAGAGGAATGGTTGACTCTGTGTAATTTTTGTGCTTGTTGAGCAGAGATGCCAAGCAATGGCACTTTTCCCTCTTCTTTTTTTGTCTTTGACAATTTTGGGTCTTCGTTTAGAATAGATTTTGTCATTTTTTGACCATAAGCCTTCAGGTAACGCCTATCTTTATTTGAAAGAAGGCTTGAAGTAAATTGTCTCAAAATCTTGTAGGTTGCAAACTATTTAGCCTTCAGTTATTGGGAAACTTTATGGTAATTTGAAATTTAGAGGAATATTCATATACTGGGATGATTTTCTGTTGCAGGTCAAGTGATTGGTTGTTTTTGTCATCCCAAGCAAATATGAACCATCTCTTCAGAAGGCAGCTGGAAGAGATTGAAAGAGATAATTCAGGCTTCTTGATCCTAAAACGCTGCCCTGATGATCCTAACAATGTGTACAAGAGATGCAAAGGCTCAGAGACCTATCAGTATCCAGAAATTTTGCAAGTGAGTTTTCACTTCTACTAATCTAATAATTCCATAATTGCTCTTACAAAGGGCTAATTCTTGTCATGTTAGCTTTAGAAGCTCTAAGCTCTCACATTGTCAACTCAGTTAATTAAAACAAAATTGTCTTGGAATTGACTCTCTTCCCCCCAACCTCTCCACCAATGCAGCATAATAGTTTCTTGAGAAACTTACTCCCTTTATACATTTACTGGTTCCTCTTGTGGTTTTATTGTATTTTCAATCATTGATGTTTTGCAGTCTTATTTATCTTATTTAATGTCCTTTGGAAGGGAAAAAATTTTTGATATACAGTCATGTATTTGCATAGAGAGAGTGATATTCTTGCCAGTGGAAAATTAGTCAGTTTGATAAACAGTTGTGAGTTTTTACCAAAAAATTTGAATTTTCTGAAGTTCTTGAATCTGGCTTTTATTATTTTTCTCACCTCATGTTGGTGTTATAGTCTAATTCCAGCCAAGTCGTCCACGCTGAATTGCCCACTTCAACTGGTTACATCAACTTGCCTATACTTAAAATTACTTTTCTGTTGCCTTTAATCTTTCATATTCTACTATTCAAGTATTGCCTAAATACTTACTATTTTTGCAAATGAAATTATTCTTGCTAACAAGACACAGCTTCAGCTTTGACTTTTGAATCAAAATGGCTGCCTTTAGTCTCTCTCCAGTCCTGCCCGATATCATCTCCTATCCTGTTTTTTGCCAACATGTAGAATTTTCTTGTGACTCAATTATTTCTTATTGTGGCATGAAAGTATTGCCCAGTACTCTCTGATGGTGTCTCAATACAAGAATGATTCTCACTTCACTGAAAAATTCTAAGCTTCGGCTTTTCAGCTTCATGGGCAAGTTTGTGAGCGCAGTTTGGTATGTGGGTGACTTGATTGGTTACCCTATAATAATATATATTATACCTTGTATAATCATCAGTAGCCAGCCAGCCACATGTAGCTTACTCTCCAACTCTCCAATGATGTTCAAACCATGTACTCGACATGTCAACAAATATATATATTATTGTTAATAGAAAAGAAACAGGTATGTTAATTAATTTCTTGTAAACTTCTTAATTAATATTTTGCTTAACACTGCTTATTTTAGCATGCTACCTTCTGTCTGGTTATTCGAGGGGTCAGATTGGGTCAAACAACTCTGCTGGATGCTTTGATGATGGTAAGCTTTGTCACTGTACTGATGAATGAATATTGAATTTTCTTCATGAAAAAATTATCAAGTGTTGGAGCAATTAATGTCTAAATAAAGACCAAAGAATTTTAATTAATTGATTTTCAAGCTTTTCAGGCAGGTTTTATTATGCTTTAGTCAGTTAAAAAAGCTTGCATACTTAACTTAAAAGGTAATTTTGATAATCAGACATCTTTGGCCAAAATCTCCTTTATTCAGGATTGTATTTTCTTTGACACATTGGGTTAGGAAGAGGTGGAGGGGGGGGGCTGGAGAAAATCAGTTTCGTTCTGTGAAGAAGAAGACAGCAACAAGAGTTTCTCTACATTTTTAGTAATTTTATATGCTAACTACCATTGCTTTTTTTATTTGCAAACTTTCTTCTTTGTGTTTTGTGCAAGTTAGGTCTTCATATAGATAAACATGAGAGAACTGCCCTAAAATAATTACACATCCTGCTCATGAAAATACGTCTTGGTTATATGCCCAGTGTTCTCCTTTCTTTTAAGCAGGAAAGGTAAAAGAAATTTTAAAACCAGAAGAGCAACCTTTTTTACATTTTCTTGTTGAATTTTCAAGAATTCCTAATGATTTCAGGTGGTAATAAGGCTTATTTCAGACGGTGAATTTTACCAGTTATTACCTGAAAAGGAGAACAGTTTATGCCACCTCTTATATTGGGTCTTTTCCTTTTCTTCAGGGCTGCATTCCAGTGGTCATAAGTGATGACTACATTTTACCTTTCTCTAGTGTGTTAGATTGGAAAAGGTAATTAAAAGTAACTATTTCTTCTGCTTTTTATTGTAATTTGGTATATTCCACATAGAGGAATAGTGCTTTTTGCACATGTTGATTGGTTAGTTTGGGAGTAATTAGCAAGTACAGTAGAAAATAAATGTTTTTAGTTAGCTGAGAGTAAATGACCAAAAAAATGGGTTCAAATGTGTCAGAGAAAGTGGTGGCCGTCTACTTCCACTTTGATGAATAATTTAATTGTATTCAGGTGATCATGCTCAGAATATCGGTCAGATGAACAACTTATTATTGATCACAATGTTATTCATAAAGGGCTTATGAAGCAAGCTAGTGCTGCTGAAAGCACAAACTCTCTTGGTGCTCAACTTGAAATTCCTTTTTATGTCTTATTGTTTCATTACACAGTTGTATGAGTTTCTTTTGATCTCAAAATCTTCTTAAAATTTTTTTACAACAATGGTCTCTGTGTTTCGGTGTGATTTAGATTTTACTAGTCATCACTGTATTTGGGGTTAATTTTGGCAAGAAAATGTTTAGTGTAGCATCATTGTGTAATTCACTGTCAGTGTCAGTATACAGCTAGGATGGAGTGTACATGATCCAGTTTTGTGCTTTTTGTCATAGGGGAGCAGTTCATGTGGTGGAGAAAGAGATCAATCGCATCCCTGCCATTTTAAGAGAGATATCATCAAGTCAAATTAAAGACATGAGAAGACAGGTATTATTGTAACAATTTACAGAGGCTGAATTTTACATTAGTGTGTATATTCTTCATAGTGTTCTCCAAACATTTTATAAGATGCTTGCAAAGAGAATTTGTTGGGAGCTTCTTTAGTGTATCATCACTTTCTTTATATTTCTGAGCTTAATGTGTGATTATGTCAAGAGAAATTAGATGCTAGTTGCTCTTAGGGGTCAGAGGGTTAAGAAGTCCCCTAATTTCTCACTCCCAGACAAATCCAATAGAGAAAAACAACTTATTTGTCCTACCAAATGGCTCATTGGTGAGACCAAATTATTTCCCCTGCAGTTATGATTCTGTGTCTTTCAGCAACTTATGTGCAGAGTATGAATAAGTACTGCCAAATGTACATTGCACAAGGGACAGTTTGCTGTATACACTAGAGCATGCAAGACAATTGCAAAAATTGGAAAAATTGGAAAAATCACTATGCAAACATGCTCGAGTAATGGGAGATCATCTCTTAAAAACACCATTAAAAGTGAGGCAAATAGAATTTTAACTATTCAAGAGGAAAAATTTTCTTAGTGTCATAGGTATTTTAGTCTTAGTTTGTTCATTAAACTGCCTTTTATCTCAATGTTATCTCCTAACTGTGAATATCATAAATTAGTGCAAGAGTCACTTTAAAACCTGTTTCAATATCTCACAAATTCATAAATTTATGGTCTGAAGTTTCTTCTGCCTTGCCCATCTAGTCTCTATTAGTGTATGGGATGAGGCCATGTTTGTAAAAGTACAATTGATATCTGATATATTTTTATTTCATAGGGGAAATGGTTTTGGGAGAGGTATTTTAGCTCCATGGGCAAGATTGCTCTTACAACTATGAAAATTCTGAATGACAGAGTGTTCCGCTACACGGCTTGGCAGTATGAGGTAAACTACATTACTCAAAACACGCGCATAAAACGTGCATAAATTTGAAAGTAAGTGCGTTTGAATAAAACCCAGGCATGTCTCAATTGCGCATATGCGCGTATAATCATTTATGCACCTGTTTCATTAGAATGTATGAGCTAGCTAGATTTTCTTTTGCTGAAAGGTAATTGTTCTAAAGAATAGGCTAATAGCACTAAAACACTACATCATTATGAACTGCATGTCGACTTGTTCGTTTCAATCACCGCTCGAGCCGACCTTCCCCGCACACGGTTACATACGTATGCGACTTCGAAATTGGAACTACATACAAAGTAAAATGCTGTCCATTTTTAGTCAAGAGGATATCTTCCTTACCATACGATGGAAGTCAGTGGCACTTATATGATATTCAGTATTTTGAAGTGAATGGTTGTTCATAGAGCTTCACAAATAAGATAATTTTTTATCATTTGAGAGCAATTCGTGTCCAAGTTTTGCCATTACATAAGGCAATTTGAATAAACGTAGATATTTATTGTTCCTTTTCTTGCCTTTTAGGACTGGAATGTCCCTTTTGAGACTTCCTCAGGGAAGGAAACGGTAAGTATTTAATCAACTATTTTCAAGTGGCTACTATGTTGCGTTATGAAAACTTGAAATCCGGAACTTTTCGATGAAACTAGGAATTGTGCTGTCATAAAATACGATTCAGTAAGAACCTCCGTGAGATAAAGACCTATTTTGTGGTTCAGACAAAGAGAATGACTACCTAGAAAGAGTATGCTTACAGTTGTAATCATTAATTGTAAACATTCCTTGATTTCAAAAGGCAACCTTTCTTCTTCCACTGTTTTTCCCGCTACGTCCGTACACAAATCAAGGATTTACCGCAGTGGTGCTGTGTTATGACAGAGTAGACACCATGTTTAAAGTTATCACAAGAATCGCTGACACCCCCAGTTTGACAAAGGTAGGTTATTCAAAACATTTATTCAGAGTTCTCTCAAAAAAACTTCGTCTCCTGAAACTGCTTTTATAATATTTTGTGAGCGGCAACTAAATTTAACTTGGATGAGACTGCAAAATGTTAGCTTAACAAGATGAAAAACACAGAGGAGGATAAAGGAACAAGGATTGCTAAGGATGGAGAAGATTAAAACAAACATAAAATAACGAAGTGTAAAACCTTGGGCAAAACTCATCAAGGTGCATATAACGCAATGTAGCTCCTTTAGAAGGCTGCGAACGACCAAGAGAGAAAAAAAATATCAGTCGATTGATTTCTGGAGTTCTAAGTCTTTCTCCTTCCGCTTTCAGATTGTAGTTGTTTGGAACAATGTCAAAAAGGCTCCTCCCTCTGGTGAGTTGAGTAATATTCCACCTCTTCCTTTGGGCTCTGTACAGGGGAGCAGAGATAGCGCGCTAGCGAGTGGATTCGCTTCCCACGGTTGTTGTTCGTGTAGCGGACGGCAACGGGGATACTAAAATCAGCAAAAGGATTGGGGAGAGAAAGCCATTATTTTTCTTTCTTTTCTTTTGGCGGTGTTTAAATTCAAGATTCAGATATCAATAGTATTGAAATTCAATCAAAAAAGTTGCAGGAACTGGAACAGAATATATTGGTTTTGGAGCTAAAACCCGCACCGCTATTACTTAGGTGATTTTGAAATATGGCTTCGGGTACGTATTGTGACCGAAACTTTAAGAGACGGGGCCTTAATGTCACATGTGGGTTAATTTTTTGGTTGGTTTTCCTCCCGTGCTATAAGTGGGTCATTCGGTTTTTCTCCTTCCACAGAAACCAAACTTCTTAATTCCAATGCGACGAGCAAACAGTGAACTAAAAGCCGTTTGATGGATTTCCCCTGCTTTTAAGATTCGATTTACTTCTGTGATTTGGCAGGTTTACTATGAGATTTTACATGTCTAATAGTTGTTTACCTCCTTATAGCTGCCAAGTGGCCTCAATTATCAAAACCAGTAAAAGTCGTCAAGACGAAAGAAAACAAACTTAGCAACAGGTACATACAATGTAAAGAAATCTTAATCTAAATCGTTTAGACCTCAATTTCCAAATATTACCTCCATATTGTCGTGGATTGATCTGTCTGTCGTATGTGTTTATAAACGATATATACTTCTTTGTACGTTTATTTGTGATTTGTCAGGTTTTTCCCATACAAAGAGGTTGAAACAGAAGCGATTCTTGCCATCGATGACGACATTCTAATGCTGACGCCGGATGAACTGGAATTTGGTTTTCAGGTAAGTATCTCCAACAAAGTTTATTTCTTGAATATCTTAGTTGTATCCGTAGCATTCCCCAACCGTCATGGTGATCGTGATCGGAAGGTGCTGTTTTATTTCGTCTTTTACAATAATTACCAGTCAACCTTGGTCCCAAGCTTCTTTCTTTTCCTTCCTCAAGGGTATTACTTATGACTCGTTAGTGACAGATCGTCCCTGCTAATATGAATTAGGGCAGTCTTGATAGCGTAAATGCAGCTAAAAGTTAAGCATCCATCTGTAAATTATTAACATTACTCCTTTGACACCGTTTAACTCATCACAACTTAGAGTGTCCATGACAAGAATTTTTTTTGCGCATTAATTTAGCCTATCATATGTACAAACCAATTCGATAGGAGAAAAATCTCAAAAAACTTTAAACTCGGTTTTTTCGGGCCCAAAAGAACTCTTATTTTGTCTTAAAGTGGCTGTAGACTGGTAAAGAGTTAGTGGGTGATGACGTAAAAAACTTTGAAAACTCGTAATAGTTAGCGTTTAAGTCTTGAAATAATGCCCCGATAGCGATGTATACATACCTTCAGCAAGCTCCACCGGAAGTTGTGATACATCGTAACCAAGTAGTAAAGAAGAAATGGAAGTTGCGAGTACGGTTCAACCTGAAAGAGGACCGCATGCATCAAGCGAAGATTTCGACGAGTACTAGCTAAGACGGTTTCTCGAGATTAGGACAAAAATGTCCCGTTACTAAATGCTTAGTTCCGCTCACCATTGTTCGCTTGCAAAATGGCAGCGGAAAAGAATGTGAAACAATCGTGTCCGGTGTGGGAACGGGCCCCGTAATCAGCTTCCTTTTTAGCTGAATTCATTGGCCATCTTCCCCTGATTTGATCAGTGACATGTATTCGTAACAGCCGTCTTTCGAAGCGGAAGGAGCATAAGGCTGACGACATTGAAGAGTAAAATCTCCTCGATGTCGACGATCGGAACGTGTCCATTTTGGCCATGTACCTTCATCTTTGGAAAGAAGTGTTCAGAAATATCCTGTGTATGTGTATTATTCTTTTAGCTGACATCATTTGGCGCTCCGGTCGCGCAACACGTTCGTTCTCTCTTCTTGATTTCTCCTTTCTCCACCATAGTTGCGAACGTGTCTTCTGTCACGAAGCCAGGAGACGATTCTTGTTTTCCTTTTTAAACACTTTATTATTTGTCTTAAACTTCTGAAAACCTTACGATCTCGAATCTTATTTATAGTAGCCGATTACATCATACTTATTTCTGAAACACTATTTTCAGAAGCAAGAACATTCTAGACGCTAATGATGCCATATCCTTTAAATAACTCAATAGAATGTTCCGGAATATGAAGAAGTTTCTAGCTCAGCTTATGCAATAGCGTTATGGTAAATCAATGTTCTATTAATTTCTGGAGACTTCACAGTTTGCTACATCACAGTTATGTAACATGATCGTTTTGGCCACGTGCTAAAATTCGGACACTTTTTGGCTGCCAAATCGTACCCTCAATGCGCAAAAAATGGTCATGGAGAACTCGCTAGGCGTTAAGGTCGTTAGAAACAACTATCAACCAGAAAACGCAAAAAAAAAAAAAGAAAAGAATTCGTGTCATAGGGATATTCTTCACACTGTTTCCATACATTCCCAATGGAGCTGACAAAGAGAATCTGTTCAACCATTAAGGGCTTCTTTAGTTGGTGATTATTTCCTTTACTCTCATGAGCTTGAATATGTGATTCAGGAGTGAAAGCGTTAGGAGAAATTAGGTGCTGGTCACTCTTTGGGGTCAAAGGGTCGAGCACTCTTCTTTTCCTCGTGAATAAACAATCATTATGCAGTCCTTATGACCCCGTGAATGAACAAATCATTATGCTTCATTATTCAGACTTGGAGAGAGTTTCCTGACCGTCTTGTGGGATTCCCTGGTCGTGTTCACACCACTCAAAACGGCACAAATCGGTTCAAGTATGAATCAGAATGGACAAACACTGTATCCATGGTGCTCACTGGCTGTGCTTTTCATCATAAGGTAACAAAGTGAAATGTGTGTCTCTGTAGATCATCGAGGCTTTTTGAAATTTCGTTTAACAAAGGGGAGCTCACGGGAGAAAAAGGGGATTATTAGGTTACTTACTAAAAGAGCTATAGTATGTTATGAGACGCTTTCCGACTTTTGAAAAAAAAAGTTACCTTTACTATAAAAAAACTGAAATTACTTTTTTTCCATAGTAGAAAAGCGTTATTGAGGGAAAAATAAGACAAAAGTCCCTAAGACTGTAGGCTGCATGGGAGACGCGTTGACATGGCGAATAGGCGGCCTTCGAACCGAAAAAGATTCAGTTGAGCCCCGGCCGGGTTAGACTAAGAGCAGTCTCTTCTCTTCGACGAACTCCGTCGCGTGAGTCAAACAAAAGAGAAGCAGTGAAAAAAAAATCGATGTCAGAGTTCCACGCGGCGCTGTGCGGCGCCTTCTATTTGCTCTTTTTCATCAGGAGTTGTTGGACTTATCCCTTAGGCGTCTCAACTTTTCATCTTTCCTCGAATAAAACGGTCTTCAATTATGACTTTTGACGCTTTCTATTTAACGGCTCTAAATTAAAAGATGGAACTATTAGCTGCTGCCTCTGACCTATTATAATTTATGTTGCAAAGCTAGGCTTAGAGGACACAGACAAAGGAAAATTATCAATTATGTTTACTCATTTCCTTGGTTTGCATCCTCTAAGCCATGCCAATAGGCCAAATTTTAATATATCCATGACCTAATTCAAAAGGTGTTATGCGTTTTGTGTAACTTGCTAGTCACCCATGAAGGTATTTCCATCTTGGTGGAAGCAGTGTGGAAGAGTGGTCAGGGCGCTGGACTTATAATCTGGTGGTCCCGAGTTCAAGCCCTTCTCCCTGCTACTGAATGGATTGTTCTCGGTTGCCCCGCGTTTAACTCCTTGGTGGCACTTTCTAAATAGACAACTAGTCTGCCTTCAGCCAATTGGGATTTTTAAACTCCAGGTTTATTTACAATGTTTTTCTCAATTTGTCTGTGTTGGCCCTGGAAAGTCCTATTGAGTCAGTGTTCAATTCAGGTTATCATCATCATTATTATTATTACTATTAGTGTTGTTATTATAATTATTATCTTATTCCATTCTTTTTATCACACAGTACTTTAGCCATCTATTCACCTACATGATGCCTGTCTATATACGAGACTGGGTTGACCAACACATGAATTGTGAAGACATTGCCATGAACTTCATGGTCTCCAACTACACTGGCAAGGCACCGATTAAGGTAAGTTTTAATTTCAATATCCTGAATCTTGAGTTCACATTGTCGTGGCTCAGGACAATGAAGCATTTTATTTTCTGAAGGATTTAAAACAATGACAACAATAAAGATGCTCTACCGCGTAGCTGGTAAGAGAGTTTTTGGTTACAAGAAAAGTCATTGAAACACATCATGCGTCGTGGCGAGGACGACCAGAGATACTACCGCCTCCTAACCATTGAAAAGGGGGGGTTATTTTGTCTGAAGTGTGAGATTCTTATGTCACACTTTTCTTGTAAACTACTTGGATCAACCATGTCAAAAATGTTTTTTGTCATCTTATCTGCTGGTTTAGCTCCAGTGTGTCTCTTGTCTCGGCCTCTATCTGCTCGTTTTCCTAATTCTTCTCTTTTATCTCCATCCTTAAATGAGTTCGCTAATTTTTGATATTTTTTTAAAGGACTCTCAAATGAAGAGTGTTTATTTTATACTCTAAGAGTTATTTGTCATAACACTCTAACTCTTTTCAACCTAACCATTTCGCTAGAAATTTCGGATTAATTTGAGATTCTCACATGCATAGGTAACCCGTAGAAAGCGTTTCCGCTGTCCGGAATGTGTGACTGAATCATTGTGGGCCGATCCGAGCCATTTCGTGGAGCGATCAGAATGTTTGAACGAGTTTGTCCGAGCCTATGGTCAAATGCCGCTTCAGACGGTCGAGTTCAGAGCTGACCCGCTGCTGTTTGGCGAGAAACTTCCCACTAAATTAAAACTATTTAACGATGTTGGAAGCATTTAGGAGGATTGAAGTTAAAAAATATGAATGTATTTTGGTAATCAAGTGTAAGCAGGTAATGCATATTCTTTTGTCGATCCAGGGACTATGGTAAATTATTGTAAGATAAAGTCTAAACTTTAATAGAACATGGAAAGAGAGAGAAGATAGGAGAGAAGTTAGTATAAAAATGGAAGGAAAAGGCGGGCTAGTCCGTGTGCACTTCCTTGTAATCTTCTTCTTCTTCTTCTTTAAGCCCTTGGCTCCTTAGTGGAGCTTTGATGATTTCTGTCAATCGTGTGTGACCATCGATATCATCAGATCAACAGAATTCAGGCTGTATCTTAGATTTTTCACTTTCATTTGAATTTTATTTCAGTTTCTCATTAGTATTGATAGAGAGCACCAATATGATTATGATAAATCTAGGACCTACATGATGCATTTGCCTTTTTTTTTCCTTTTTGGTTCGCTGAGAAATTTTGTTTATTGAAAGGAAATCTTTCAATAGTAGTTTGCTTTGGATGACAAACACCAAAGAGGTATGATACCGGATGAAATCGAGAATGAACGAGGTTGGTTAAGAAGGCAGAAGATTGATATCATATGGATTGCAAATGACAAACGTTAAAACTGCAGGCAAAATTTATAAAGAATTTGAAGCTGTGACGTAGTTCCTTTAATGTGTTTCCTAAAACAAGTGAAGTGCGAGAAACAGATCCTCACGGGTGAACTGTATTTTGATAAATGACATTTTGGAAAGGTGGAGAAAAAAAGCTTGAAAAACTTCAGGCTTCTGAGGGATTTGAACCCTCGCCTCGTAAGTGCCCATTGGTTGAGGAACCCAACTGGGCTACATAGCCACATGTTGAGAGCGCGAAAAAATATTTCGGGTTCTCTAAAACAAGTGACTTTATCATCCTTTTCCTTGTACAGGTGTTTTTACAGTTTTTTTTTTTAAATAGTCTCAGGAAAAACACCTCTATTTGTCACTTCGCATCACGTTAGGTTGTGTTAACTCATATCATAAAAATTCTACCTTGAAACAATGGATTTAAAGAGGCTTACATGGAGTTTGTTTCTGTAATTGAAAAAAAAAAGTTGTTTTTTTTGGTTTTTTAGGTTTCAAATTTTCTCTCCATCATATATATTTGGCTAAGAGTTATACCACATATTTTAAACCTCGTCGATGATATTTATTGCATGTTACATAATGTATCTCCACTTTTTATTCCGGATTATAAGATTATTCTCGAATTTTTGTGGTGCTTTTAATGTTAAATTTGTGCCCCTACCAAATAAAAGCGATGGAATTATGGAGTAAATAATCGATTTGTATCTGTCTATATGCTCGTTGAGTTCACATTATTTTCTTCCCAACCCGTTAAGAAAACAACGACAATAAGCAAGCCTAGCTGTTTACCCCCAAAATAATTTGTTTTGTGTTAGTTTGTTTTTCATTGTGCGTTACAAGGCATCATTCCCGTCCCTAGAGATCACTCTTCGTCGCCAGAATTGGTATCTTACTGCGTGATTCCCATGCAACTGAAAAGCCCTTGGATTATAAGGAAAAGTGAAGATGACTCCTGTTCGTCCGTTGTGAAGAATTGACTGTAATTCTGTTACGTGACGGTGAATTATGTCGAATGGCGATGATTGATGTTTGACAAATGGTGGTTAATGGTAAATACATGTAAATAATAACGATAATAACACAACTATTTAAATAGCACTTAATACAAAAGTTCTAAAGCGCTTTACAGCAATAATAATAAAAAGTAAATTAAAAATATATAAATAAAAATTAAAAATAGCTTAAAATATAAAATATTGTTTAAAAAGACAAGTTTTCATAGATGACTCAAAGTTAGTAACACTGAAGGTTTGCTTTATATAACTGAGAAGACAGGTTCCAAAATTTGGGGACACATAGAGAGAATGCTCGGTCTCCATATACACAAGTTTCAGATTTGATGGAGGAACTTGAAGTTGAAAACTAGGTGAAGACCTTAATCGCCTATTTGGAGTGAGGTTACTAATGTAACAAGGAGCCAAGTTATTCAGTCTTTAAGGTTATCAAATGTAGTTTAAAAGCAATACAATGTTCAATCGGCAGCCAATGAAGCTCTCTGAGTAATGGTGTGATATGATCATATTTGCAGCCACCTAAAATTAAGCGAGCTCTGCATTTCTGCACAAGCTGTAATTTTATATAAAAGGCAACGAGGGAGACCATACAATAAAGAATTACATTTGTCAAGTCTTGAGGTAACAAAGGCATTACTGACTAAAATCTTCGTATGCTCGGTAGATAAAAATTTTCTAATACGATAAATATTAAGTATATTAAAATAACAAGACTTGCAAATATCAGTAACATGATGCTCAAAGTTCAGTATAATGTCGAATGTGACACCAAAGTTCCTGGCGTACTCAGATGGCAGAATCACGGATCCATCATCTAGAGCGACAGGTGGGAATCGCAAAGTCGGTCTAAATTGGGACCCGATAATCAGTAGTTCAGTTTTATTACCGTTTAACTTCAATTTATTCTACGAAATCCAGGAAGAAATATCAAGTAAACAGGCTTTAATGCGAGAGACTACCGACAAACAGCAAGAAAGGAGAATCGAAAGAAAAAGAACAAATCTGCGAGTCATCTGCGTAAAAATGAAACTCCATTCCATTTTGATGTAATATGTCATCCAGCGGAGAAGTAGAAAACACACAAAGTATATCTTGTAATTTAGCGTTATCAACTGAGTTGAAAACGTAAATTGGCCACCTTAAAGAATAAAATAGCTGACGTTTCGAGCGTTAGCCCTTCATCAGAGCGATTCAATTCCCATCGAAGGGCTAACGCTCGAAACGTCAGCTTTTTACTCTTTACGGTGGCCAATTTACGTTTTCAACTCAGCTGTTAACACTAAATTGCCTTCTATACTCTCCCACCGACGCAGCAGCACAGTTTCTTTAGAAACTTACCCCTTTATTCAAAGTATATCTTAGTGCGACCGATCGTCCAAACGTGAGAGAAAGCTAGTTTCTAGGTTGATTGTGTTATTTCTTTGCTCGAAACATTAACTATCAATTTCTGCTGTCTTCTCAAAAATTGTTCAGCATCCGCTCTCACACCTTCATAAATGTTGATCACACAATGTTTTACCTTATATGAAGCTTTTAACTCTAGAACTGGCAACAACTGACCATTGTTCCGTCTTGAAAGCGAGGTTAAGCCGCGAATTATTTGCCACGTTGCCGAGTGTGGAGTATAATTCTTCCTAACACGTATGGTATTCCACAACAGCGGAATTCTCCCCTTTAATTACAACGTTGTTTCAGTTTGACATCCTCAAATACCTCTACTTCATTCCTGGTTTTTTGCGATTAAATACTGGTACAATAAGCTCGAGGAAAGAGGTAAGGTGTCTGAAATAGTTGTGCCCTAACTTCTCCAATTTTTTCTCGGGTAGGTTTCAGTCTGTCGGGATTTCTCCAGGGGAATGATTTTTAGGGAGTTTTCTTTTTAGATCTGTCAGTGAGCTTTTAGGTTTGCGTTTTATGAAGATGTGTACGTGCAGATAAATGCAATCTCCATTGGCATAAATTTTTACATCAATCGCCGAAACATCTGTAATTAGCTCTGGTTAACTTTTGTTTGTCTGTAGCATAAAAAAAGGTAAATAATCTCACATCCAGAGTTAAGCAAGAATTTTTAAGTGATCGATGGGTCCAAAAATTACGAATAAACCCAATCTTAATGTTGCGAAAACTTTTGGCTATTTTTAAATCGTAAATTCAGAAAAAAATACATTTTCTCATATGGACCGGTCGGGTCCTGATGTGGGATATTGTTAATAATCATATTGTTAATAATCGACGAATTCGGTGCAAATATCTAGTAAGACTGAATATGTGGTCGTGTTTAGGAAGGTGTGTAGATATTTTTTGTTTAGAAAAAGCTATGTATGTTATATGTGAAGATGAAAAGTCTACTAGTTTTATATCATACTTCTGTTATTTTCTTAATAACAGTTGTTTGCAATGACAGGTGATAAACTTTTGTTTGTTCACAAGAATTACTATATACTTGGAACCAATCAAGGTCCAGTCTTGAGGAAGTTCAGTTCCAGTTTCTTTTATTACAATAAGTTATGATGAGGAAGTAGAACTGGAGAGATTTGGCTATCTTGTTCATAATAATGTTAGCTGTGAGAATTGTGAAGTATTCTATTTGCTAGCATTGTTGAGAGTTAAATTAATTGTGGAGCCTAATTGGTCCAATATTAACATTTACTTGCCATTGCAAATTATCACAAAAAATATCAATTCTGGTAAGTATACTGGGTAGATCTTATGATATTAATTTTGTTATCTGTTTCAACGACAAAATTATGAAATTAATGAAAATGTTTGTTGTTTCTAATAAGAGCAGTACAGAATCGGGTATCATTTCCTTGGTTGTTCTAAAATGTTGGACCCCAAATTTGTTCATCAACAACATTACACCTCTACCATTCTAGGTAAAATGAAAGTCAAAGACGTTAACAGAACAGCAAATATTGCATGGAGTCCTGCACCTCAGTACCCAATCTACTTAGCAGCAGGAACGGCTGCCCAGCAGCTTGATGCTACATTCAGGTATATACCATAATTTATATCCCAACTAAAATTGGTTTGTGGATCACTTTATACTTGGTAGCATGTTCTTTGGTAAGGATTTGGAAAATCAAAGAGTAGTGATATTAAACAAAAAGAAAAAAAATAAAGGGTTTGATTTTAAACAAGATATGTTCCTATCATATTACTGTTATTGTGGGTTGCAAGTTGTTAAAGACATTTTTGTATACCAAAAATCTATTAGTTGTGTTTGAAACGTGAAAGACCAAAAAAAGGGACCAAGAGAAAATTTGAAAATGAAAGATGAAATGACTTGTGGAGAATTTGAATTTTTTTATATGAAAATGGGTCTTTGTTGGCTAATAGGGTATCTTTGACCCTAAATCCAAATATTTTCACTCCTGTGAGGAATAACTTCAAGAATATTAAGTGGAGCAGGATTTGTCAAACTTAATTAGTAAAACTTGGAAAACTGACACCATGTAAAATGACCATTGTTTAGTCAAGACAGCGAAGGGATTATGTACATAGGGATAAAAATTCATGAAGTTATTGTCAAAAACCTGAGAACTAGCATCAGTGAAGTTTCACTGCATCAGCAAAATTAATATACATGCTGTAAGGATTTTTATCTTTTCAATATAGCATAGGGTATTAAGCTTCAAGGGGTGTTAAAAATTAATTGCGCAAAAATCCCTTTGTTTCCTTCTTTCAAGATGCTTGAAACTCATTTTGAGCACCTCAAAACTTGACTCAAAACTCGACTTAAGCCTTGATCCTAGAAGTTTAACCCTTTAACTCCCATGAGTGACCAAAACAGAATTTCTCCTTACAATATCAATACAATATCAACCCAGCAAGTGGTGAGAATAAAGAAAGCTATCAATATGGGGATAATTAGTCGATCCAATACAAAATTCTCTGAACTAACATTATAAGAATTGTATGGTTGGCAGTAAGGAGAATTACAAATTTGGTCTGGGAGTTAAAGGGTTAAGAGAATCGAGGATTGTGTTTTGAGGGATTGTCAACTTACTGTTGAGTGGTACTGTACAACCCATGCAAGATGTTAGAAAATGTGAGAAACCCTGCCTTTAGTTAAATTCTCACATATATTTGTAATTTACCCTGTTTTAGCACCAATGCTGCTCTTGAGATATTTGCCCTTGACCTGTCAAGTAGTGATACAGCGATGCCACTCAGAGGAACTGTGGCATCAGAACAAAGGTGAGCTCATACACAGTTCAAGGTCCAAGAGCTGTGAACATCATCACGTTTTGTACCCTCACTGATGCCATGATTTTTCTGTCTAATCTTTTAAACCTTTATGTTCATAAGACATCAGAGACTAGAGAATTCACAAGCTAATACTCAAAATGTTTTAGCTAAATTTTGATGTCCTGGGCTATTTTATACTTTGATGCAGAGAATGGTCTCATGTTACTTTACACTATTCCCTGCTACCACATTCTTATGAAAATTACCATGCTTTAAAATGAATCAATTTGGAAGTTGCTTAGGGTTAGGCTCTTGTGGTCTTGAACTGGAAGCTAAGTGTTCTTAACTCTTTAACTTACATGAGTGTCCAAGACACAACTTCTCCTTACAATATCAATACAACATTGAGCAGAAAAGTGATAAGAAGAAAGAAAATATCAATTAGGGGATTAGGAGTTGATTTCATATCAAATTCTTCAAACTAACATCACAAGAATAGTATGGCAGACAGGAAGGAGAATTATTAGTGAGATCATGGGAGTGAAAGGGTTAACATCTTATTGGCTAATGAGAAAAAAAACACCCAGTGAATTGCACAATTGGACAAGAAATTCCAGTTCTGTAGTCCCCACTATCTGTGGTGCTTTGAAAAAGGATCACAACTCTGGAAAAGGATAATTTACAGCATATATTCAAACATTCTTTGGCAATCTTGCAGTATTTGCTTACTGGCCATCACAGGTTAGGATGTAGAATAGTATTGTGTTATCACAATACTATGATCTTTCATGTTCTGTAGAAAATCACTCAGTTGCTAAACTTTTTCCTTTGAGGTTCCACAAACTGGTGTGGGGACCCCATGGTATGGAATCATCCAGTTCATCGTCAGGCCTTTTGATTGGTGGAAGTGACAATGGGGTGATCAGTATCTATGATCCAACTAAGATTTTATCTGGAGATATTGATGACTGTTTGGTTTTTCAATCAACTAAACATACAGGTACTATACCCAAACTTTTGCAAGTCACAGTAAACTTTTTTTAAAATTTTTATATGAAAGCATACTCAGTTGCCAAAAAAATGATTTTTATGCTTTACATTTTTTCAATCAGGACCTGTGCAAGCTTTGGACTTCAACCCATTTAAGACAAGTCTGTTGGCATCTGGAGCAAGTGATTCTGAAATTTACATCTGGGACTTGACAAACCCCACCAACCCTCTTACACCAGGAAGTAAAACTTTACCACCAGATAACATCAGTTGTGTAGCATGGAACAGACAGGTGCAACACATCTTAGCCTCAGCTTCTCCCTGTGGCCGCTGTGTTGTGTGGGATCTGAGGAAGAATGAACCAATTATTAAAGTCAGTGATCAGAGTGCAACAGTAAGTAGCAAGAATCATATAGAGTTAAATTTACCGTATACACCTGAATCCAATGACATTGTCATTTAAACCACTCTATCTATCAGATTTTGATTTTTTTTAAGAGTTAACTACATGTTTATGTTGTAGATTCGATGCAAAGCAGTTGAATGGCATCCAGATGTGGCAACTCAGATGATTTTAGCTTCAGAAGATGATAGATATCCAGTTATTCAGGTTTGTAACATAGTTATTTGACTCTAGAAAGTTATTTGAAACAACTGAAATATTTCAGGAATGTTTGTAGTGTCATTTCCATAAATTACAGTAATTATAGTTACCTGTCATGCTAACAACTTTCCTTTATCTCCTATTTTGTCTGTTTCTTTGCACAATAAACTTCTGGGATCATTTCCAGTGTTCACATTTCTGATTCTGACAGTAACATTGTAACATTCTAACACACCTTTTTATAATGTTTTTATATACATGTTAACCCTTTGACTTGTTAGAGTTACTAGCATCTAATTCCTCCTTATAATGCAACTCCTGAATCACACATTAAGGTCTCAAGAAATAACAGAAATGATCACCAACTAAACAAGCAAATCAAGTTTTCCTTGTCAGCACCCTAGGAAATGTGTGTATGGAGAGTATACATACTGATGTAGGGGTGTAAAGGGTGCAACCAGGGTACATCTTCTTAGTGACTGTTTTTCTTTTGCAGATGTGGGATCTTCGATTTGCTACGTCTCCCATGAAGGTGCTTGAGGGACATCAGAGGTAGGCACCTACGTGTACTTTGTTGGGGTTATCCCTTTAACTCCCAATGTCCCATTGTTAACTCTCCCCTCTTACTGCTCCATTTCCCTTGTGAATTGATTACAATAATCTGGGGTCAAATCAAGAAAACAGCTTCTACTTGATAAGTTTGAGAATTCTCATTACCTGTTTGCTCAATAATGTATGGATATCATGTATTTATGGGCTTATTTTCATGCAATAAGATGAACTGTCTTATTGATCATCTAATACTAGTTAAGATCTATGCTTTGTGGATTTTTCAAATGTCAGTATTGATGCCAACCTGAATTAAAGGATTTTTTATGCCTCTGACTTAAAAGATTAAACAAGATATGTTCCTAAACCCTAACACTAGCTACTATCTAAGCCCCAGGTACTGCAAATTATCTTGAAATAATATAATCATGTTTTATCATTGTTGATGGTATTGTTGGTTATGTTATCAGGGGAATCCTGTCAATAGCTTGGTGCCCACAAGATCCTGACTTACTCATGAGTTGTGCAAAGGTGAATTACCCTCATTCTCTCTTCTGAACTTAGCAAGCTTGAAATTAGATGATCTCTTTTGTTAGTTATAATATTAATCATGGTTACAGCATCTTCAATTACATCTTACTTAATCATTATAACTGTGTGCAACTAATCTCAAAGTATTTTTTATAAATGAACCCTCTGAAGTTACATCAAGGTCTTAGATATATTTCTATGAATACTGTGGTAAAATGCTAACTTTTTTCATTGAAGTAGATAAAAGCCTCAGGTGCTTTTGATTCTGCCTTTTGTGGTAGGAAATATTTTTGCACTAATTATGTGTACTTCCCCTGTAATCTATCTAAGGTTCATGTATATACTTACTGATAATATTTGGCTGCCCTCTGTTAGGACAACCGTATCCTTTGTTGGAATCCTAATACCCAAGTTGCAGGAGGAGAGGTACAATAATTATTTTTATTGAAATTTTATTAAGGATTGTAATGATATTTTGCATAGTCCCATTTACTTTTTTATTATTTGATTTATTTGCATTGACACTGCCTGTGACGGAACCTCGAATGCTGTTGTGTACTTCTAGATTGTTTATGAGTTGCCGACTACAGCTCAGTGGAGTTTTGATGTTTCTTGGTGTCCAAGGAACCCTGCTATGGTGTGTACTACATCTTTTGATGGGCACGTCAGCGTGTTTTCTCTCATGGGTGGAAGTGCCTCTGGACAAGATATTCAACAACAAAAAGTGAGTGCCATCAAATTGAAGTCAGTTACAAGTCGAGTTACCATCTCACTCAGTCATTCACACACACCACTCTCTAACCCTTCAACCTCTAAAAAAGACTAACATCTAATTTCTTCTTACAATATCACCCTGAATCACATGTTAAGGTCATGAGAATAAAGGAAATGATCATGAACTAAAGAATCCCTTGATTGTCAAACAAATTCTCCTTGTTGCACCCAAAGAAATTTCTCAAGAACAATATGGAGAATATGCATATGAATGTTAGTGTGTAAAAGGGTTAAGCTTGTTTTGAACTAAGGTCAAAACCATTATTTGTGCAATGTTCATTTATATACAATTGCTTATCATTGAATCTTTGAAATGGGGTCTCTGTATTAAAAAAAAAATCCTTTTGTGTTGTAGGTGATGAGTTCTTTTGATGTGGATGACCCATTTATGTCTCAAATCCATCAAGCTCAGCAACAACAACAACTGCAGCAACAGAAAACGGCAGCAACCAGTGCCCCCTTAAAAAAGCCTCCAAAGTGGCTGCGTAGGCCTTGTGGAGCCACATTTGCTGTGAGTTGCTATGATTTGGCACATACCTGAGTGCAAAATTTGTTTAATGATGTCCACCACAATTCAATAGAATGGAGAACAGTATTTTTTTTACTGCACACATGCAATGATCAATTTTGTTGGATTTTTGATGTACAGCATACCTGCACTTTCACAAGCTTACATATAAAAGGCTTGCAGAAAGTCTCTTCACTTCAACAATGTTTTTCTCTTTTAGTTTGGTGGAAAGCTGATAACTTTTGGGTATTCAAAAGAATCACCGTCTAGTCAGGTTTGTCAAAAGTCATGCAAGACCACAATAGCAAACATGTTTTTAGGAACCCCTGTATTCCAAATTTTCTTGAAGCCCTAATATAATTAGTTATCAAACAATGCAAATTCATAGGTGTGATAAAAGCGGGGAAAAAAGTATTTTGACACTATCATGTTACAAACATAATCCAGATGAGCAAGTATAAAAGCCATCAATAAAATCAACACACTGCAAGTGTCATATTTAACAATTGGTTCACTGTTGTTCTTACCACATTTTTATGTCTTCTGCATGACCCATTCATGTATTTGAGATATGAAGCATAGGATAGAGAGGAAGTTTGGAGAGCACAAAGATGGCATTGCTCGATATATCCATAGCTTAGTCCAACTAAGTAAGAGCTAATCAAAAGACTTTGTAAACCCTTGGAGAAACAAAGGTTTTGTTTGCTCTCCCATAAACAACTTAATGTTCTCCTCAGCCATGCAATTTTTTTGATTTCCTGATTTGATTGTGAACAAAAGTATTGTTTGGTTTGTTAGGTCAACATAAGTCAGGTTACAACAGAACAGGAACTAGTAGGCAGGTCTCATGAATTGGAGGGAGCACTTGCTTCAGGAAGTTTCATGCAGTATTGTAATGCCAAGGTGGAGAGCAGTACACAGGAGTTGGAGCGAACACTGTGGAGTTTCTTGAAGGTGAACAGTTGTTGAGACAGAACAGTATTTACATCATTAACTTGTGTAGAAAACTATCATGGAATATTTTCATGATAAGATGCTTAATGATTTACAGATTAAATTATAAAGAGGGAGCTGAAAGAACAAGGACAATCTAAGGACTGTTCAAAATTATTTGCACCTCATCCAGATCACTTAAATCTTGATAAAGGAAGTTAATACCTTCAAGTCACAAGATCTGATTTTTAATTTCTCTCTTCTAGCTGCCATGTATTTCCTTGTAAATTGGTAACAAGAATTTTGTGTCAGATCTAGACAACAACTTGTACCTGATAAGTTTGAGTATGTTCTTTACCTGTTCTCTGGATGATGTACAGACATCATGGGAGTTAATTTGATTATTAAGCCCGCGAGCACATTCCATTGAACTTCACGACATTCATCTGTTGATGAGTAGACAAATTGTTAGTAAAATTGGTTTCTACTAAATTGCTTTTCTTCCAGATACATTACCAAAATGCTTAAACAAAGATAAACAAATATTTGAAACTACAACACAACCTTTAATATCTCATCAGTATTCATTGGTCTTTCTGATCTATGCAGATAAACTTTGAGAGAGAACCTCGCAGACATTTCCTAACACTTCTGGGTTATGATCCATTGGAGCTATCAAAAAAGGTACAAAGGTTAAGGCATGTGTAGATGTATATGTTTGTAAATGGTTTGAGTTTCCCTGTGTTCATTAGTTCAGAGTATTTTATACTCTTGAGTAGATAAAGACACCGCTAAATAAAAGTGTCCTGGACCCGGTTCTTGGTGAGGTAGTGGTACTACATTGCTTTGATGGCTGTGTGTGAGAATTCTATTTTGCCCTCTTATTCATTGTTGTGATGTCTTCTTGTGTGGACAGGTGGCCTCATCTCATACATCGTCAGCCTCAAGTAGCACACAAGGAGGTGTTAATGCTGAAGAATTAGTTCAAAAGATGAAGCTGTTGAGCACAGGGGTATGAGTCTTTATTTCATTTTACATAAGATATAGGAGCTGTCTGTACAGTCAGTTGTTGAGACAATGCATAGAAGAAGGATTGAGTAGAGAAGTCATTACTGTTTAAAAAGACAATAGTACTTAAGCCAAAGGGATTCACTGAATCATAAAGTTATAGTAGTCAAACTGATCAATTAAAACAATTTCCCAGAGATTGTTGTTGTTGTTGTTGTTTTTTTGGCATCACCAAGGTAACTGCTCATGGAAATGCTATATAGCTTTACTCACATATCGTGTCTTGCCTTACATTACAGGAAGCAAGTGGGAAAACAGGGGAAGGTGTGTTTTCTAGTGGAGCAAGTACCCCCTCAGTAGCAGAATCCAAGGTATGATCCTTTCAGCTGTTGCACATTGGCTACAAAGCAAACAGTGTTCTAAGCATTGCAGTGTAACTCTTTATAGTGTGCCTGATTTATTCGTACAAATTTGGAGAAAAGTTGTTATAAGTGATCATGGATCACCTTTATGTCAATACATAGGCCTCTTGGAAAAGTAAGACTACTACTATGATTCATGTAGTAACAAACAATGGAATTAACTTAAATATTATTTGCATCTCTTCACTAATGGGAACAAAATCAATTAATGAGAAAATTTTGTGTATTTCCTAGTGTGCATGAGCTGATAGATGTTAGTACCTTACATCATTTAAGAAAATATTACCTTGTTTCTGTATGGACTCCACCTGAAACATTTACCTTGCAAAGTCATATTCAATCAGCAGTTTTGTATGTTTCAGACTCCATTGTCCGAGGCTGGAAGTTTAAATGAAGGTGCTGCAGCCTTTGATGCTATTGCTGCTGGAGGTCCATTATCAGTGGACACAGGGTCTGAGATTGGTTAGTGAGCTCAGTTCTATTAAGTCTTGAAAGTTCTAGTAGGTTCAGGTCTTCAATGTAGATAATTTTGAAATGCAAACAATCAAATTTTACGAATGAATTAGCTTGGATTGTTTTACCTGCTGAGATCTAAACTACTATTCCCTAGATAAAGGTTTTAAAGGGTGATTTTTGGGCTTGAAAGTTACCTGGACTTGTAACAAGTCAACTTCTGTGCATTCACTATTTTGATGTAATTTTTGGATTGTGGTATGCAGTGTTATTTCTGTTTCTTCAGTTCTTCAGGTAATAAATTTTGTTGCTTCTAGGAGTTAGTGAAGCTGTGAAGCCACGACTACCTTTCCAGATACCTACAGATGATGGTGAGAATACTGCAGTCTGCTTAGTAGGACTACATGTATCTTTGTTGAGTCTTCTTGCTCTAACCCTGTAATTTGAAATTAGTTCCAGTGACTAATGCAGGATATGACTTCTCATCCAGATACTGATGGTCTCATCACTCAAGCACTCCTAACTGGAAATTTTGAAGCAGCTGTTGATGTGTGTCTTCATGCTGATAGAATGGCTGATGCCTTCCTTCTTGCTATTGCTGGTGGTCCAGATCTTTTGGCCAGAATACAAACAAGATACTTTGAGAAGAGCAAGAGTAATGTTGCGAGGGTAAATTTTGTTTATCAGTTTTATGAACCATGCTATGTAAGGAACGCTTAATAAGGATTATGCTAATCCATTACAATGATCTGTATGTTCCCTTTCAGCTGATGTCAGTTGTTGTAAATCGTGACTGGCGCGACATAGTTGAGAGCTGTGTGTTGGAAAACTGGCGAGAAGCACTTGCAGCTCTTGTGACCTATGCCAAAGCTGAAGAGTTCACTGCCCTGTGTGATCTGCTTGGACAAAGATTGGAACAGGAAGGTGATGAGCACTGTGCTAATGCCATGGTCTGCTACATTTGTGCTGGAAATGTGGAGAAGTTTGTGTCCTGTTGGTAAGTGTAAGAATAAAACAAACTTCCCCCTCAATCTGTTTGAAAATGGTGTGGCTTCCTTGGTTTCCTGTAGTTTCACGCTTTTAACTCCTAAGATCTGATTGTTACATCTTATTCTCCCCACTAGCTGCTACACATTTCTTTGTAAACCAGTTACAAGAATTTGGTGTTAGATCAAGATAACAACTTCTACCTGATAAGTTTGAGTATTCTCATGACCTGTTTGCTGGATAATGTATGGATTTTATAGGGAAAAGTTACATGTTGGTCGCTTCTGGGAATGAATGGGTTTAAAAAGTCATAAGGGTGGATCAACATTTCATTGAGCGTGACCTTTCCCAAAAATTTTCCTTCTATAATCTTTTGAGTGATTGAAGTGTGCCTCTGGTTTGATGAGATAAATGTACTATTCTTAGTTTTTTCGGTCTGCTAATTTGAACTAGGTTACATTTGTTTGGGGAGTCATTTACTATTTAATTTAATAGTTCTTTTTTATCTTGTAATAGACATCACATGTGTTGTTTCATACTTTTCATTGGTAATTATGTTTCAGTTAAACCAGCTAGATTAACTGCTGTGCTAAGTTCATCTGTGTTTATTTTATGTTTCAGGTCTAGAAACATGCCAGCTGAACCTTCTCCCCTTGCTCTTCAAGTAGGTTCTTTATTTTTTTTTATTCTCCAAACTGGTCATTGCTTGCTGTCAGTCTGTCACCATAAAATGCTGCTGGATTTAAACATGCAGTTTTTTTTCTGTTATTTCTCTATGTAGGATTTGATTGAAAAAGTCATGATATTAAAGAAAGCTGTGGAGAGGGAACGTCGACTTTTGATTGACAGTGGATCATCTGTTCTTGCGGAAAAACTCAGGTAAAGGAATCTCAGATTGTTAAAATGTCATGTGTCACCTATGAAGCTTCTTGATAAGGGGTGAAACTATCACATAAATGTGTGAAATATTCATTACCATGAGTATGTCAATGTGATCAGCTGGCTTGAGAATAAGTAATTGATGTAGCCAGATCTCTTTTTAGCAATATCTACTATGTGATTACAGTTATAGGTATGATTAAGAGCAGGCAGAGTATGGGAAAATTTTTTAATTCTTTTCACAAAGTGTATTGGTGTTAATTAGCATCACACTCTCCTCTGCCAGTTAACTATTTACTGCACATGTCTCATGTATATTCAACAATATTATACTGGTGATGGATTATTTACAGATACCTTTTTGATTGTGCCTGTTTATAATTTTTCATGTACAGTAAATATGCAGAGATTTTAGCATCTCAGGGATGCTTGGAAACGGCCATGGGTTACTTGATGACTGTAAATGATCAGGTAAATTGTAAGACTATACAAGGATAGGTTTTTAGATTAGGTCATTAGTATACCTGCAGACAGTGATAAAAATTAGTTTCCAAAAAGTTAGGTCAGAGAACCAAAGAACATTCTATCAAATAGCAAAGTGAGAAGCAACTAAACAATCCATTAGTTGGGATTTATAAAATCTTTGTAAATAACAACAAGGGTATCAGGGTCAGTAAAGCATTCAATTTCCAAAGGTGAAATGGATGTATACAGGTCAGACTAATTACAGGTCGCTAACCATTGAACCACTAAGATCTGATTTTGAGTTCTCTCCAAGCTGCTACACTTTTTCAAGAAAATTAGTTAGCAGAATTTGGTGTTAGATCAAGATAACTTAAACCTAAGTTTGAGTATTCTCATTACCTGTTTTCTGGATAATTTATGGATATTATTGGTAGGAGTAACATATTACACTTATGGGAGTAAAAAGGTTAATCCTGATGGTTGGTTTTCAGGCAAGCCTGGGCGTGCTTAAGGATCGCCTGTACACTGCACAGTATCCAAGTCATCTTGCTACTGCTACAGCTCCACCACCATTCCCATTCCAAAGGATTGATGTCCAAGCAGAACCTCTCCCTCAGGTTCAGAATCAAGCTCAGGTTAGCTAAAACAGCCATTATGAATTCTTTCTATACCTTATGAATTCATGTGATGCCTTTTTGTGTATCTTAGACATGAAGTAGTCTGTATTTTCTCTTGCCGGCAGCAAATACAACTAAATTTTTATACTTGTTATGGTTCTTGAAAAGAAATCTTACAAAGATTTGCTGTCTTAAGTAGCTAAACACTTAATTTGAGTGATATTTCTCAAGTGGAAAATAAGCATTTGGTGTTATTTTTTAAAAATCATATAGAAAAAAGAAGCGATTTTTAAAAACGTTTTCTTTTTGTGAATGAGAATAAATATTTTCCTACAGTTTTTTCAATCCCTCTTTCTTCCATTTCAGTTTCAACAACAGCAAAGTTATGGTGTCCCTGCACAACAGCGACAACAACAGCCGCAACAGCTCTACCAACCACAGCAGCAGCAACCCTCACCAGTAACTACACCTACTTATCAACCATCAATGCCACCACAAAACACTCAGTTCTACAATCCAGTTGCTTACCAACCACAGGTATCCCAACTACCTTCGGTCTCTCAGCCATCTTTTAACCAGCCTCCTCCTCCTCCTGCCTCTCAGACAACTTACTACAGTGGCCCACCACAGCCATCACCCACTTCCAATCAGCAGCAGGCTTCATGGTCTCAAAATCCACCAGTATCAATGTATCAACCACAATCTACCAACACTACACCAACACAAGTGCCTACACAGGCCCAGTATAGTACTCAGATGCAAATGAAAGGTCCACAACAGCAGCAGCCTCCAGTGCAGATTTTCAATCCTGGTAGTTCAGTCACTCCTGGTGCACCGTATTCAGGCCCTTCCCTAACTGGAGCCCCTCCAGTTGGTCCTCCTTCACAAGGACCTTCTGTGCCCCCTCCTTCTACTGGTCCACCTCCAACTGGTATGCTTACTAGCCTCAATTTGTTTTTGTTTTTGTATGTGTGTGTTTTATCAGTAAAATATTTTTCATGACATGGTTAATCCTTCTACCTCCTGGGATCTGGAGGTCAATAATCCCAACTAAGACCATGCATTTATTTTTAATTGCAACTCCCACCAGTTTGACACTACAGGGTATGTCTAAATTACATCTCCTTGTCGATATTCCTTTTTAAATTCTCATTACGTATCTGGTTAGCAACATTTCAAAAGTGTAGGGAGAATTTAACCGTTAATCCCTCCAGGGAGTCAGATATCAAAAGGGTATTACTAGAATAAAATTACCAATACGTTCTTTGTCTGTACTGCCATGCAAATCGAACGGCATATTTCAATTGTATCAAGCATTTCCTTAGTGATACGCTTACAACAGAAAGGCAACTTAAGTTTTTGTTGGTTTTTTTTGTTTTTTTTTTCACTCATTTTTTGCACCAAGAGTTAATTCTGAAAGAAATAAGCTGCACCCTAGATTCGTAGACGGTTTTGAAAAAAAATCCAGTTGGGTTATTAATAACATTTATTACGGGCTGATTTAGGAAGGAAAGGTAACACTTTTCTGTATAGGTTAAGGATGCCACAATTGTTCTCTGTTTGTTTTTCAGAACCACCTCCACTCACAGGGGCCTGGAAAGACTCTCACATGATGAGGGCTAAGAAGCACCAGGTCAGTGATTGGTAGACAATTGATTTTCAACCCTGTCTGAATTTAACTACGTTGCCCCCTTGAACTCTGGTCATACCGGCTCTCTTATCTAGTGGAGTGAATTGAGAAGTGATTTATCATACTTCCCTTCATATGCTGTCGGTCGAATTTTATTCCATCCTTAATGACGACATTGCTAGTTTATATGGTTAACATATAACTACTTAATGACAATGTTCGAAACCCAATACTCTTGCAAGCAGACGATGGCGGAACTAATATGATGAAGTAGTATGAAAAATTTGTTGTATGGTTAAGCATTCAAACCAACATTGTTTCTAAACGTTATTCCTAAATCAAAAAAACACGGCACAAACTTTACCAGAACCTCTGTAGTAGCCTGTGTATATAGTAGGTCAATGTATCCCCTTTCAGTCAGCTCTTTTAAGAGTGAAATTTTGTTAGCTTTGAACCTGGTAACCTTCGAAAAATGTGCTTTTTTTACTTGCTATTCACGGTCAAATTGTGTTTCGAAAATAACCAAAATTTATTTTTTTTTCTCACAGGCTCAAACTTTCACTCCTCCTGCACCGATTACTGCTCCGCTGTTCGGCGCGGGAGAACCACAGCAGCCACAGCAGACCCAACAGCAGCAGCCTTCTTCCATTGGTAAGATAATTTACTAAGAGTATTGTGAATGGTGGGATCCTTGCGGGCGCAGAGAAAGAAAACAACTGTCCCTGCACGTTTTATAACTCTGCTTTTCCAAGGAAATTGTCGCGGCTTTAAGAAAAGTTTCGCGCTTTACTGCCATAATAGGTTGAGCCCCTTTTACTTCTCGTTTTAGTCGTGAATTTATTGAACGTATTTTGCACACTTTCACCCCTTCCCATCCCCCCGCCCGCGCCCTTCCCAAAAAATAAATAAATTAAAGAGTCAAAAGGGGAGAGTTTTCAGGTTTGAAGTGTGCTAAGCCAAGTCAATCTGGATTGTTACCGGATGGTATCTCTTTTGATGTGCATTTCTCCTCCAAGGATATATTTCATTCTCTCTTCCAGGAATGCCACAAGGTGTCCCCCCGGCAACTGGTGCACCTCCTATGATGCCTCCGGGGGGTGGTCCTCCAGGGGCGCCTCCAAGTTATGGAGATGTGTCCCCTCAACAACGTCCTCAGGTATATGATGATGGCAGTCCACCGCCATCTCCTCATCACCCCCCCATGCCACACCCATTACATATCATACCTGCTCAGGTAAAGCACGTAAAAGCACGCTTTTAATGCCATAAATGCTCAAAACATGAAACGCACACCCTTAACGTCTTCAGTGCACGCAATAAGTGCAAGCGTAATTTTCTTAGAGTATGGCAAGCTCGACCGCACCTAAGGGAGAAATTGCACAAACGTGTCAGAAAATTTTTCTTCTGTTGTTGATGACAAGAAAACGATTAAAGTGTTTCGCAGGTTGATCTAAATAACAAAGAGAACCTTTTCATGACACGTAACAATCAAAGGTGACACATAAGCTTAGTTCTAAAATTGTCGTTCTCTAAATATTAAATTTTCCAGTTAAGATTAGAGATGAAAATAATCCACTCTATATAACAAGTCGGAAATGTTTTTTTTGTTCAAGTAGTGATAATCAAACGAAAGAAAGGTGGATCGTTAAGTTCAAGTGTGTGAATTTAATTGCACACGTTTCAACATATATGCTCGCCCACATGACAATAAATTTTGCAAGCTCCCCGTGTCATGTTTATTTCACGTAAAATTGTCTTTAAATTAACACACCATTGTTCTTCTATAAGCATCTTATTTCTCTTGCTTTTAAATAATTGTAAATTATAACTTTTGTACAATAATTTAAAACAAACATTTAAATTTTGCACCTCTTTTCATTCGCACTTCATTTACATCACGCAACGCCATTTACGTTCTAGTTGCAACAAAATGTTTTATGAGAGGAAAATTATTTTGCCTTGGTAAAAATCTTTGCATTAGGGTGTAATTGCTTTTCAACAAATGTGGGGTAACAAATGTGGGTGTGGATTCTAATATGCTCATGGTTCATGGCAAGAGTTTAATCTTGAAACACAAAGCTCCAGCCCTTCCTTTTCCGTGTGTTTGTTGTGTCGAAAAGGCTGCAGGGCGTAAAAAAGATTATTTTACATGTCTCAAGTGTCTGTTTGCAGACCTGACATCATCATAATTTATGATAGAAAGGGTTCCCTGCGGTGCCCAGCAACATATCACGTCCAGTCATGTGAGCGAATGAACAGATCCTGTGACAATAATGCGAGCGGATATCACGTGATGTTTAAGGTGGAACCTAATTTTGATAAATGCAGTGCTATGTAGAGTGTGATTTACATGAAGGCTGGTTTTATTTAGGAACCTCCTGCTCCTGTTATGAAGGGTCCCATTCCTTCTGAACACCTGATACTACAGGAAACTTTCAGTGGACTGGCTGAGAGATGCAAAGGCACAGCTAATAATCAGGTAAGTTACCTTAGCTACCTAGTCAGTTAGTAAGAGGCTCATCACTGCGGGAGTTATCGACCCAGTGATGAGCTGTGTGCAAACCGGATGGTTTCTGAAGGGCTAGGTGTTATCCTTTTGTGAGACCTTCGCAGATCTCTCGCCCGCGGACCACTGAGCTGATATAGTTTGCAGATAACGTCTATATATGAAAGAATTGAGTACCCAAAACTTGATAAGTGGGTAAAAGAAATAGAGTGTGGACGACCATATAGAACCGTTTTTGCAAAGTTAAGAGAAAGGCTAAATAAACAACACTAAGATATTCACCTATCAATTTATGACATCCCCAGCACGCCTTAACCCAGCCTGAAACCAAACATTTTGTGTAAGAAACATACTTTATTATTCTATAATAAAGCGCATTAGATCATATACTTGTAATGAATTTTGCGCTTTATAAGTATTAAATTTATAAATTCATTTATCATGTTATTTTGAAATTTATTATGCCTCCTTTGTCTGCAGCATACAAAGCGCAAACTAGATGATGTATCCAAGCGATTGGAAGCTCTTTACGATAAACTAAGAGAGCAAAAGGTAAGGAAATATACCCGCTTGATGTATTTACCTTCTTTTGAAGTGGCGGGGAAAGGGGGGGGGGGGGGGGGGGTAGAGAGATTTGTAGCCGTAATTAGAACTGACGAACTTTTTAGGATCCTTTTTTCCCCTTACTCGGGAAGTTGATAGTCCATAGATGTTGCCTTGCTACTGGATGGGCAAGAGAGGTTTTTTCCTGCTGGTCAGCATCAGGGTCAAGAAACATAAAAAGATCAGATGGGCTGCGTCCAATCACATTTAAGCTATCTAACTTTATAAAATAAGTGAGAACTACGAGTGCCCTGATTGATTGAAAGTCTATCGTTTATTACACTGGTTAACCCACACAAAATTGAAGTTTATTTTACAAAAGCAGTAGATTGCACTTTTTTTCTATCGGCCTACCAGCGTGTTAACCCACTTGAGATGCTGAGGGAACACGCGAAAACTTGGTAAATCACGAGCCGGAAGTGAGTGATTTACAAACTCTACTCGTGTTCTCCCAACATCCAACGTGGATAATTACGCCGATAAACCGATTTAAAGTGCGGTCTATTGCTTGCTTGCTATCTTAGTTCGTAAATTCTCAGTGAGGTTTTTTTGTTTCGTTGTAGATGTCAAATCCAATCCTTGAGGGTCTACATGAAATAGCCCAGGGTGAGTACCACAAGAGTATGCTGTTAGATTATGTCTAAGATCAGAGGAAACTGCTGAGTTAAAGCAATGGAGCAACCCTAAGATCCTTTGCTTGCTTTGATGATGAGTTTCTGGTTCCTTGTTTGTTTGTCAATCTTTGGGAAAGTCCTTGTCTACTAATAAAGTCAGAGAGGAAAGAGAGAGAAAGAGTGAAAGCCATTTTGTTTGAAACTAATTTACTCGTGAATAAGGCAGTCAAAAACCTTCAGCTATTATTAAGAAAAAGGAGAAGAAGATAGTCAGAAAAGATTCTTCAACAAGGGTTCCATCTGCTAGCGTCAAAGTGGATTGCACGGGAAAATCAGGTTGTTTTATGATTGTAAAATAAATGCATTAAATTTCTCAACGGGGGGGGGGGTTGGTGAGGGTAAGGGGCTGTGACATGCTCAATAGGGTACACCCCCATCCATGTGGGTAATTATTGTAGCATTGTGGCATAAGTGTTTCGTTCAGTAGCATGATTGGTGGTTGGTTATCAGTGAACTTCTCACATTCAACGTAAGCCTTTGTTTTTGTATTTTCAGCGTGTCAAGGAGGGGACTACCCCCGTGGTCTGATGGCACATACAAGGCTCATATCCAGCGGTAGTTTTTCGGAGATCAGCACGTTTATGCCTGGGCTCAAGTCTCTAATGCAAATAGCCACACAATTACGTGTTTAATGATGTCTGCTGTTTAGAGAGATTAGAGCCTTTTCCACTTGAAATAATTTTAAAGAAGAGTCAGCACGTGACCCTTACCCTAATTACGGTGTGGTGTGGACGTTGTGTCCTCATACCGGAATAACCTCGAAATTACTCCTCATTTTGTACGCCCTGGTTGCGGGGCTTTTGATTGATAAGATTTGAACTTCAGCAAGAAGGACGGGAGGTTGTTCTGAGTGAGGATCCGTTGTGATCCGTCGCCTATTCGAATTCACTAATGGTGGGTATCAGAAAAAGAGAGATTCCAAAAAATGTCGCCAAGTTTATTTTTCCCGCTGATCAAAGGAACAGGGAACTAGACAAAGATACGAATAGAAGATTACAAATTTCAAAATAAGTTATGAATGTAATTTTTTCACTTTTTCCAGAAAGGAAACAGAGATAATAAGGCCGTGCAACCCTTTAGATTTTAGGTCTGTTTCTTTGTTTTTCTCGTGGAGAAAACTTTCAAATCGAAGGAAACTTGCGAAGGTGATCATGGTCACACTTTAATTTTGGAAATTTGGAAAGTACCCTTTTTCCAAACAGTCTTCGATTCAAAGCCAGTTAAAAGGGAAAGATTGCAATGTTCTGTGATGATTTTGCTACTAAAAATATGCGTTAACCAGTATAATTTTACAGTTCTTCTCAATTACAGATCGTGTTTAACTGGAATGTTGTGCCTTTTCATGTTGTTTGTTTACAGCTGCTCTTGCTTAGGGGTTTTTGTACGTGTTTTTAAAGAGGAAGGGAGGGGAGGGGACTGCAATGCTAAAGCATCATTGTAACTAAAAGCTTGCCAGGAAGATTTCAGTCTACAGATAATTAATTTTCACACTAGAGAAGGGGATTCATATACGCCACATAAGGAGTCCCCCACTGCGTATTTACTTCCTTTAAGTCTCATTTTATGTACTTCGTTTCTCTCCTTCGTGCACCTTCAGCCCGGGAACTTTGTTTTTATATTCTCCAAACGCCAAGGACAAAACACGATGACCTATAGGCTGACCTGAAAGTGTTGCTTATTGCATTTTCGCCTCACTGTATGATGATTTCGAGTAGTTTGCATTGATATAGATTCTCCTCAACTATTTCTTGTCTCATGTCATTAAACCCAGTTTATCAGCATTTAAACCTCTTCTAACTGGACACTAGAGCATCCGTTATGCCACATGGAACTGAATATCCAACGCGGTCGTTTATGGAAGCATAATGAATGAGCTTATTTAGTACTCTCTACTAGCTGCGTGAAAAGATGTTGGTTTATCCTTAAGGTTTCACATCGGGATTGAATCTCCTACCAATTCTTTACAATCAACATACCGAAGTATAAGATCAGCCATTTCTGCTACTGGATAGTCATAGTCACGATTAAAATTTTGAATGCTCAGGCAGAAGTCGAGCCAGTTTCCTTGCTGGTTGTCTGGCACGGGAAACTCGACAATCATAACTTCGGGTGCTTTACCACGAAAGAGGGAAGAGAGTGGCAAACAACAAATCCGCTCATCTGGTTAATTACTTACTCCCTCCCCCCCCCCCCCCTTCCAAATATGCGTTACACGAGACTTATTGAAGCGAAAAGGGTTTGATACGCCAAAAATTTTCACGTGAACGAGACATTTCCTACATATGATATGATACATGATGATATATGATACATATGATACATGTGATATGGAAATTAACACAGAAGGTCACGCGTGAGACATATGACTTCAAAATGTTGATTGTGTGACAGAACGGACAGACGATGCTTTGGTGAATATGTACGCAAGCAAAACAAACGACGACTTCTTCAAACTGCGTCGTTTTGATGTTCGTTATTGTACCTCATTTTGACCATGACTTTGGCTGTGAAATGAAACGATTCAGCGCCGGATCATGACGAGGTTGGTTACACCGCAGTTGGTACGGTTAGGTTTTATGTGTTCTCATTTATAATCGGTTCACTTTCATGGAACCTTTTGAAGGTAACATAAATTCAAGACTTTGTGTTCGGGATGCTTTCATTTGCTGAGCAACATGTTACTAAATCTAAAATCAGTTAAAGGATTTGAATACCATTCGATTCCGTATAGGGGTTCGAGGCAATTTTGCTGTGGTTGGGGCGAAGTTAAGGAAAGACAATTGATTCCGCGTGAAATCCACGAGCAACATGATCTAATGGTGGAGTGGCTTTATGCTCTATATGTTTATGTGAACGTAGATTAGTTGGGACAGCTGACTACAGAAAAATACTAAGCTACTAAGAGATACCAGGTGAAACCGATTTGTGCCTTGTCACTGGCGGCCGAGGCTCGTTATGCACAACCGAGGTAAACTATTAAAGGTCGCGGAGAAGAAATATTCAAATTTACTGTAGTTACATAACATGACTTGGGCCAGGAAAAGGGTCCCCAATAGAGACCCGAAAAGGTCCCAGTTTTAACCACACTGAACTAGCTTGCCACGCTTCATTCGCCTGCTTTTTTGCCCTCGGTGTGGTGTTCGATTCGATTAATTGAGATTACGACGGTCTCTAGTTCCTCTGCCTTTCCAATTTTAAAGCAGCTGGGAAACGCATAAATGAATGTTGGTTAACAGCTGTATTTTCAGCGGGACCCATGAATGTGTATCATCACCAGCTGCAACCGTTTTCTTCTGGAAAATCTATACATTACTGCTGTTGCAGGACGACTTAATCGCATCAATGTACTCTGAATGTATTCAAGCGTTGCTATCTGCGTCTGGAAAAGTGGTGTTGATTTTGCGGGCCGGGAACAAAACTGGTAGTTTCGCTTGGTTAAATATGTAGATTTGCAAAGGGAAATAAGTATTTGTGGTGCTCTTATAGTTGTTACTTTTCATTTTGTAACATGATAGCTATTTTAAATATGTAAATTTTCCGCTTTAGACTCATCACCATTTCAAACCCAAAGTTCTTTGACTTACACAACAGTGCAACACAAAGGAAATTTACAGCACTGAATAACACATGCATATAAGTCGTGCATTTTTTCGTCCATCCGCGCACAAAAACCCAATATGCGTGTGCGCAGTTAATATATATCTAAGAAGAGATAGTGTATGAATTTTCGTTGCGGGGGTAAACCATGCGTGGGTACAAAACATATTACAGCGTCGGTTTTTCGCTAGTTTTCTTGGGATGCTATCATGTTTTAACATATCTTTTTGTGTTTTCGCGATATACATCTTAGCTCCTCAATATCCGTGGCTGTTGTCTTCATCTTGTTGGTTCGCGGGCTCATCCGGGTATTAAACACTTATAATGTGATCTCTTCTTTCAGTTACACGTACTGCAATTTAGATAGATTTTTTCATCATGAAACAAGGTTCCATAGTGCTTTTCCCGATTACTCGATACAAGCTGGAATAGTCCTACTCGCTATTGCAATTGAAGTATAATTTTTTGCTATATAATTCAGTTTCAGAGTGATAATTTCAACAACTCGCTCAATGTGTTATCGCTTACGTATTCCTTAACTGGTTGCTCTTTTATGTTGCAGGTTCAGCAAACAAAATAAGCAGGTTGCACAAGCGGATCATATCAACTCTCCGGTAGGTTCATTGTGCTTGTTAGAACCATAAGCTCCATAACTGATATTCTTCTGATTTCGGAAGACTCAAATCAATGAAGGAATTTATTTTCATTTCCATCTGTTCGGTTGTTTAGATCCAATAAATTTTTGCATTGATCTCCAAACCATCTTAAGATCAAAGAAAAAAAGTCAATTCTGAATACAGCGGTCACCGTCTGCGTCAACGTACCTTGTAATAGGTGCCAAGTTTGCTCAGATCTCGTTGTTGTAGTCCAGAGAATTAAAAAAAAAAACGGCCAAATCAGGGGGGAGGGTCGACACCCCGGGTGGGTTCGACACCTCGCGTGGGATCTTATCGGAAGGTCAAAACAAATCGTGTTCATACAAAATTAACCGACCTACCTCCAGAGGAAGTAAAATTGGTTCTTCTACCGCAGGTCTAAATTATTTTCACCATTCCTTTCAGAATCCATTCCAACCTGCAATGAGGCAATTTTTCCGCTTAACTAACTGCGTCAATCATCTTCTTGGCCAGATGCCGTCTTTCCTCTTTCTATGCAACAGATTTCTCAACATGATCATCATTTTAACTTTACTCACACCAGCTGTTGTTAATTACTATCGAGCAACCTGGTACATGTTAGACTTGTTCGTTTTTCCAGATGATAAACTTCTCAGCGCATCATTTACGTTTACAGTAAGCTTTGGAATGTTGTTCCTAATCATGCTGGTGGGAGATTATATTAAGGAGTCTTTAAATGCGAGAAAAGCAAAAGAAGTGTGGTATCGTGCCCTTTTTTTCCCTCTGGCATTTTTAACCGTTGCAGCTTGGAAAGGTCCATGGATGCTTTTAGATCAAATCACAACGCCTTCTCTTCCAAGTGCCTGTGTTTCTCACGTAATGGGGTTTTTAGTTCTTGTATGCACAAGAACTACCTCATCCATAGTTGCCATGCCGGGTTATTGCTCAAACGAAAGACACATCGACCTATCCGAGAGTATTCTTCAAGGAAAGCATTGTGTAAAGAACACGTCGAACACCATATGCGGTGAAATCGCCGCAAGGATCTTCAATAGTTTCGTTACTGTGTTTATTATCGGAGTTGCAGTGGTGAACTACTGGCGAGGAACTTGGCTTATCATTTTGACCACACTACAATATCTTGACAACGATCTCATCCTATCATCAGTTTTACTGATTATCGTGGGATACAGCATATGGATTGTGTGTTATGTGTTCACTGAGTTCCTGTCAACGATCCCAATGAATCCACCTCATTCCATATTAAACCGTGCCTTGGAGCAGGTCTTTGTTTACATATTGGCATTTGGAGTGGTGTGTTCTTGGGCGGGCATTTGGCTCCTGATGGATGCTTGTCTTCCGTCGGGTAAGTCCATTATATTGTAAGGAAATAGGCGACAAGTTAAACGGGAGGGTTGAAACTTACGAATATATATGCGTGGACGTCTTCTCAGATTAATTTTGCGGGTTTCATTTGGCGGATTTTTCAAATTGTCATTGAACGATCTTCAGCGATGAGAGGCAGCGCCTTGTATCTATATCTATATTGGGGCATATATAACTTTACCATAAGGGGTGAAAAATTCCTTCAGTTCTCTGGACTTCACTCTGTAGCTCACGTTACCAACAAAAACCTTGCACTTGTTAGCAACTACACGGGTTTTCTGGCAAAATCATTATATCTAGTCCACTGGCTGTCTTAAGTTATCTTAATGCACTTTTCTTTAATATATTTTCAGATCTCCCAGTAACTTGTGCGCTGATCGGCCATTTTGTATCAATCGCTGTCCTTTATGTTTTGCAAGCTTGCATTAATTTGATTGGTTCGCCCACTGGATGTACAGTTCACAACAGTGAGAAGCTTGACGGTTTCGATATGGGAGGCTACTTCGAAAAGCCTCACAGGATAGAACCTAAAAAACAGATAGAAAACGGGGCAATCAAGCAACAGTTGATCCGTAATTATGAATCCACTCAACTCAATTAGTCAGTAGCTTTCATCCATGCAACCTTCCTCAAATCTCCACCAGAATTCTGAAAGCATTACCTCGCTGGTACTGAGTGGTTTTGTTTGTGCGTACAGCATCACTATGATTTCAAGTTGGTCGTAATTTGTGGGTTTTTAAAGCCTTCTCACAAAACAATACTCGCCATATCAATTTAATTATAGCGTTGAATTGACAACTACACCGGCAGAACTCAAAGGAAAAAAGAAGCTGGAAGACAACTCCCCATGAATTCACTGACCATATACTGTACCTCATAAATTTAAATCGGGGGAAAAGGAGTTAAATTACAAATAGAAAGGGCAGATCGAATGAAGGGAGAGGCCTGAAGTGGGTAAATATTTCACTTAAACAGAAAAGGTTCAATTTCTTTCTTGCATTGCTTCTGTCATAAAGTCGCGAAAGAACCACACTCGTATCGTCGATTAAACCTTTTTATTATCTTCTAGTCTCGAAGCTTCAGAAACTATACACAAGTAATTTGATTCAAAGGCGGTAAATCAAAATCAAGTTTTGTCCTTTACACGCGTGACTAATAGTTACATAAGTAAAAATCGATTGAAATACACGTAACTGTTCGTAACAGCTTCAATTTTAATTAAAAGGCTTAAAACTGTCTCTACAGTACGTATTCAAATTCAATCAGATTTGAAATCTCGCGAGACACCTGAGAACAGCGACTGAGGCTGACCGAGGTCGACCAAAAACTTACTATTTGAGCTACAATCCGAACTTCCTATCAGACCACAGGCGGCCCAAGCTCCAGCTGTATGATGATCATCTTGCGCAATAACAGTCATTTCAATTCACTAAAAACTCAATGTTCCCCGCGCAACCGACACTAAGCCGCAGTTTGCTTCAAAAATTTCCAGTTTAGAGGTTTCTAACAGCCCGCGGCCACATCAACCTTGACACACGACCGTTGAAAACCAGCTTGGTAACCCTACCTCCTTTTCAAACTGAGCCTCGCCGGTGACCATACCGTCAGTTATGGTCAATAAATTGTTTTAGAACCACGGGTCCCCTCCCAAGAAATCGATCAAGAGGCTATTGTTTCGATCGGCCAATCGAATTGAAATGAAGTGTTCAGCCTTGGGCTTTTCTTATGTACGTTGAAAACCTCGAAATGAACAACTCGCTAAAATGGGCTCTTTTCATCAAAGTAAGCGGTCAGATAACAAATGATACACTGTAGAAGTAAGGTGAGGTATTTTTTTTGAGAATTTAACGTATTTTTTTTTATTCCTTAGGGCAGTCGTAAATATGCCCATACAAACTCTTATAATTCCGCCATGACTGTTATTGCGCAAGATGATCATCTCACAGCTGGAGCTTGGGCCGCCTGTGATCAGACAGAATCGGCAATTACAGCCTAAATATTTTAGCCGAGCAATGAAGTAATTAATTGATTAATTAACGAAGTAACTAATTAATTATACTATTTATATTATTGGCCAAAATCCGCAGTAAAATCGTTTTCCTAGCTATCGTAGAATTTCCCGCTTGCGTTACTGAGTATTCCCTTACACACCAGTTCAGTTATCTTGGACTGTATACTTTCACTTGATACAGGCTTTACTGTCGACAATTCAATCTTACACGTTCCGTTCTACGATCTATCTAGTTTATTCCATTATCGCTTAAGGTTACAAAAATCGCTATATTTTTAGCTAACGAGAGAATATCGATTGTTCATATTCCCTTGTTAGCTAAGGAAATCCATTCCCAGATTCGTAATTCCGTGTGTGATTCAAGGCTTGCACACGTTCTACAACGCTTCGTGGGTACTAATATCCTTTCAATCGTGGGTTTACTTCTCAATCATGCTGCTATGTTCCTACGGGCTTACCTACCTATAAATACTTGATTAGATACATCAACGTTCGCAGAACTAATGCCGCAACGCTTTCTGTTGCATTCTATTTTGGCGGTAGCGAAATAACATCTTAGTTGATAAACATTTAAAAATATAATAAAACGAAGAAATCAATTTGAGCGAAGAAACGCTTCACGACATTGGTTAAATACGCCACCGATCCTCGTAACCCCATTAAAAACGTCAAGAAAACGCTGTGACTGTTAGAAATGCAACTACAATAGAATACATAATAGACTTACCCAGCGCGAAAATTTAGTACAGGTATTCAGCTTTTGCCTCCAATCGGTAAGCACTTGCTTAAACAACAAACAGGCTAAAAAAAATTTTGTCAAGATACGAGTAAGAAAACTTTTCGGCTGTCAAAAACTAGATCTACTGACTTTTTTTCGTTTTACTTTCTGCGAGGACATTACTTACGAGATCAAAAGTATACAGCGGCTTAAAAATATCTTCCCACAGCAGCAGTGCGGTTTCTGGGTCGAGTGTTTGCCATTTCACGTTAGATTCGAATTTCTTGAACCCCGGTGGACATTTCATCTTCAATTCTCGCAGCCTCTTTTCCGCTGTCAGCAAGGACGCCTCATCCGTTTTTCCTTGATAATTGTTGTTTTGAATGAGAAGATATCCATCTGCTTCATCTCTTGCTTCCTTCTGTTTGAGGCTATGGCGTTTTTCTATGCCCCAACGACTTAATGTGTTTTCGATTTGGCCACTCCGCAGGATTCCAGAAATATCTACTTCTCCTTTCAATTTCGTTTGCTTTGTTAAAGGTGTTACAACTCTTGATTCCTTTTGTCTGAAGCTGTGGCATTTTCCTGTGCTCCACGTACTTAATCTTTTTTCAGTGTGGCAACTCAGCGAGAGTCCAGAAACATCTGTTTCTCCACTCATTTTCACTTGCTTAATTAAAGATAATCCCATTTTGACCGAAGCTCGTCGAAGTCGCGAGGTGAATGCTTTCCAGGTAGAACGCAGAACGCATATCTGTGATGAAGAGATTCAGTAACCATGACACTAGAAAAATTGACAATCCTTTCGGTAAACATCAAAGGATCTCGTTTCCATGTTAAGACATGAAAATATCTCAAAACACAGTCTCCTGATCCATTCCATTTCCTGAACTCGTGATGGAAAACGTGAGAATTAGTGGCTCTCCAGATGAAACTCTTTCACTTTTTCCAAAAGGTTCTCTCAATCATGACCTATTAATAATCCAACTCACAACCTATAAAAAGGCCAGTTATGCTGTATTCTGTCGGAATGTGCGAGGAAATGTTGTAAAATCATGACCCAATTATGTAAGAACATCGCAAGATTTCCAAGACCGAAGTCTCATAATTGCATAAGAATTTAGTATGTTTTTCATAATATCAGAGTTCTTAATTCAGTTATGCAATGAATTTAATAATCGGCAAAAATCAGAGTAAGAGTCTGACTCTTTACCTCAATTCGTGTAATCGCAACAATTGAAACAGAATGGTCCCAACATCAAAACAAATTTTTACAACAGAATTCGAAAGTACCGAAGCAATTACACTAAACTGAATTATTCGCCTCAGGCTCGATGAATATTGTTGAATAATCCTCGAGACGAAGTCAAAGGCGAATAATCGTTTTAGTGTAATTGCTCCAGTGATTGCGGTGTGCGCACTCTGATTGCGTTGCATCGTGGTAGCTTCATTTTCAAAATGGCGCTGAAAGCAGCAGAAATCGGCAGATTTTAACTGAACATTCCGTAAAAGTTAGGCCGTTCCTTTTTCCTTTCACCATAGGTAAATGTAATTTGATTTATTCTGAACGTGTTAAAGTATTTTTTGTACGTATTTGTCGCGTATTCTATGGTTCACAAGGACAAACGCAATCACTGTTTTTCAGTAAGTAATTTGAGACCGGTTTTCGAGAAGGTCAAATTTGATGTACGTCGTAGTTTGGAGCCTTTCAAAGATTTGGATGGCCGCTTTGATCCATCTTCAACAGCTCTGACCAAACGCTCTCAAAAGCTCTCCAACAGTACATGTGTTTCTCGCATTTTAAGTGCTAGTGTTTGAGACCGATTATGGCCGAGGAGAGGCCTATTGTTGCGTCACACAGCATTACCATCGCATACTCAATTGTGTTGTAAATCTACTTTCTAAGTAAAAGGAAATTTTCTAATGGCGAGTGTTGTATGGTAAATCTACTATCTTGATCACTGAATGAAGGACAGATGAATTAGAGCTATGAAAGGGGTCACTGAGAGCTATGAAAGGAGTCACTGAGACCAATGAATAACTCTACAGTGCACACGGCGATACGCCGGATAAGCCGGAAAGCAGAAGGCAATCGATCGTTAAAAGGTGTTGATAGGCTTGTGCGATTCTGCCATTCGCTTGCCTTTTTAAATCTTCTGACCTCAAAGCTTAGCTGTTATTAGGATATCTTTAAATGACTTTTGTTTGCGATGTGATACTAAAGGTTAGTTTAAAGGTGTCATTTCTCCATCTGTGTGTTCTTGGTCTTCTTGAGGTTTGGCGAAGCCGTATGAGATTGTGTTACAGGAACAGCAACAGACAGTGAATCCCTATTACATTCCACGTTTATTCACACTATCTCTCTGCCACTAGAGATGCTCACTCGACCGCGACAGGATGCAAATAACTCGCTTTTCGTTTTACGACCATGATGCAACGCAATCAGAGTGCACACACCGCCCGAGTGATCATAGAGTTGCGCGCGCTCTGATTGGTCGACGATTGCGTCCTATCTCGTGCGAGGTGATCAAAATAATAATAATAATACCGGTAATAATGGCTGCCTCGCGAAATGATAAATTTGAAAGAAGAAAATGCACTTCTGAACAGCACAAAAGATGTTTACGAGTTTGGCGTGACACTTTTCAAAGAGAAAGATATGAGGGTTTTGCTGATGGAATTAAGTGAACCTATTCAATTCTGGTTCAAAAACTGGCTGCTTATCCCGATACTCGTTATCCAAACAATTGCAGCAGAGTTTACAATTTTCAATTTACAATACGAATGTACCACGGAATTTGAAAGCACCCTAGCAGTTACACCAAAACAATTATTCGCCTTCGGCATAATTGTTAAATAACGCGATTCATATCAAACTTACGCTTGACATCTGCCTCTACATATTTTCGTGACATGTCACGCAGTCCGTGGTTAGTCAACGCGCTAATTTTCGAACATATTCTCTAATTATTCGTGTATTTCATTTGAATCGCAATTGCGATCTCGAATAAGAGAAGATAAACTGAACAAGAGAAAAGGATAAGATTTCAAAGAAGGCTCCTTGATTGGTTGTTGCCTATTTGGACTTCGCCCCCTGTGTGTGGAAAACGTGGTAAGATGCAGGTTGTTTACAAGGAAAGAACATGCGATGGGTTAAGTCCAAAGCAGCTAAAAGTTAATTTCATTTGTAGAGTCAAAACGCAGGAGAATTGCGTGAAAAATTCACTATCAGTAGCATTTAGTTCCATGAGAATTTTTCTCAGAAGGGTTGGCCAATGTGGTCAGAATACGTGATAATATATAGATTTAGCCAAGCCTAAAAGCGCAGTTCGCATTTTTTTTTCTCTGCACGTCTCAAGGGCACAACGCCTTTCCCCGGCCAGGACTAGAACCCGGGTCGTCCGACTCGGAGCCTAGTGTACTGACCACTGGACTACTGAACAAAGCCGTGGCGTTAGCGTGCCCGCGGTACAGTTGACCACGCATGTTAAAAGTAGCACCTTGTACGGTCGTACGGTCGTACATCCAAATTTTTTCGGCTTGATGGGTTACTACTATTTTGTATAATTATGGGGCTACGCTCTGCGAGCTCCGTTAAAATGCAGGTTGTTTACCAGGAAATGGCACGTGATGGAGCGAAGTCTTATGCGGCTAAGAGGAATTTAACTGGTGGAAGACAATTCAAGTACGTGGAAAAATGGCGAAATGTTCATGTAGTGCAATAATTGAGTATGTTCTGATTGGTCTCGTCACGCAACGCACTCACTCTCTAACGGAGATTGTAAGGCGTTGTGTGACAAAGCCAAACGACGGCACAGTGAGCGTAGCACCGATGCATTTTATTTTTGCTCAGAATTATTCAGACAATAGAGACAATAGACCACAAAATACCTGTGAGAGTCTGGATAAATAAGGTTTTTTTTCTTTCTCTTAAAGTGAAGTAATGCGATATTTTCGTTCTTTTGAAAGTAATGAAAATACTAGGAACAGAAAGTGTCCCATCTCGACCTACCCGACTAAAAAAGTAACTCTTGCATGCTACGCATGCCTATGTTTTAAACCCGTTTCACTTTTTTCATCATTTTTTTTTCCATCGAACTGTCTTCATCGTCTTCAGGAAGAGGATTTCTGTCCATTCAGCGTTAAAGAAAGCGTCACAAAGCGGGAGGAAGAGTACGAGGAAGCTTAATGATTCGGGGAAGGAAAAAACCACTCTTTTAAAATTTCCTATCATGAGTTTCAAAACAATTCATTGAAGAAAACCAACAGCTCCGTGGACAGAAAAGGAAAGCTGAACTGGATTTAGCCACAGAGTAGGCAAAGAGACTAAAAATTGAGCAGAAGCTTGAGGGTGTCATTAGGGATTCGGAAGAAAGAAAAAAAAAAGAGTTAAAAGAAAATTCAGGAGATTAGAGGAAAAAGCAGCAAGAATGCAAAAGAAGGACAAGGAGGTCCAAACAATAGAAAAAATTCACCGATTACCAAACATCACCAGGCAAGGAAAGGGCGAGGATTTAAAGAAGACTGCCACCCTGTTCGCCATACTTCAGGCCTACGATTTTATTGCCACCAAGGTTTTAAGTATTTGACACGTAGCAGTATGAAACTATTTCTTGGGTAGAAGAGGGAGAATTACAACTACAGAAAACTGAACCAAAAGAACTGACTGACAGTGATATTGATGACATCAATATGTGGAGGGCTTACTTAAAAGACAAATTTTATACATCTAATGAATCCTGGCATGAGTTGACCATAAAGTGTAAAGACACAAAAATACAAAATATAAAATATGCAAACACCTAGTACACCAAGGGAGACAGAAGGACTACAAATTTCTTTCAAAGAGAGTCTTGAGGAACAGATGAAAAGGCTACAAAAAATGGAGTATTGGACGAGGCTGCTACTGTTTACCCTTCAATTTTCACCTTCTTTCAGCATGCTGTCAACACTTGGGGCATCTGTTTCTAACTTACTTCATTTACCATCATCCACATCACTGTTAGTAGTTGGCATGTCCACACCAAGCTTAGAAACACCTTGAAAACTGGCCTGAAAATCATCGCTGACACAGGGCTGATGTAAATCATCGTCTGGGGGGTCGGGATCTTAAAAAATATCTTGTTCTTCTTCAACTTGCCAACTTACCTGGCCCCCGTTTCTACTCCTTCAGCACCTCTAATAATACCAGTAGTCTCTCCTTCTCTTACATCTTGTCTCCTCTGGTACAACCGTAGATTATTGAAATGGACCACTCTGGACCTCCTCGAGTACCCTTGAACTTCCTTGACAAGATGTGAACCGTTTTACAATCTCGTACAATCTCGCCCCTGCCACTGTCTGTGAAACTTGCTTCCTTATCTTATGCCCCATTCACACCAAAGCTTAAACATGTTTAAAAGTTGTTTTGTTAAACACAGTTTAATTTTTTTTTTCTTCATAGTTTTAGCCAATATTTTTGACTTGAATGTGGCGTTGTCGCAAGTACTTGAATCCAATGGAAAATCAAGTTTTTCAGTTCTCTGTTTATAATTTTCATTCAATGAAAACCAGTTTAACAAAACATGTTTTGCTGGTGTGAATGGGGTATTAGTTCCAACTGTGGCGTGTAGCGCAGGACAAGATTACCAGGTTAAAAAACCGTGTACCTCACTCCCTTGTCATGGGTATCCTTCTGGCGTCGCTAAGCAGCCTAAAGGTTCTGCCTAACATCTCGATATTCTTCTTGAAGATCCTCTTGAACATCAGCAACGAAGTCAGTGTAGGAACGTTAATTGTATTGTCTTTGTCTTTACCCACCATCACATCCAAAGGTATCGTCATCTCTTTTCCAAGCACGAGCACAAACGGGGTGTGCTTCGTGTAGGAACTATCACTGCTGTGATAGGCCATCATACAGACATTAAGGTGTTCATCCCATGTAACTGGACTACCTGAAACTTTAGCTTTCAACATGCCCTTTAAAGTCTTGTGCAGATTCTCGACTTGGCTGTCGCACTCGGGCTGATAAGTGCTCGTGCGCGTTTTGTTAACACTTAACTGCTGGCAAATCTCCAAGAATATCTTAGACTCGAAATTTCGGTCATGATCGCCATGAATGCTGTCAGGCACTTTTAAGCAGGTTATGGCACGCTGGTTGAAGATTGCAAACGCCTCCGCCCATTTGGTTAAACTGCACTGAACTGTTAAGATGTAGCAGTCTCCTCTCCGAGACCGTGGCAAGGACCAATATGAATGCAACGCATGGGGTTGCCAGAGGGAAATGACTGCAGTGGTACTCTTGGTTTTGCTTGCCTCACACTTGGCACATCTCAAGAAAAACCGTTCAGTCCCTCTCGTACATTTAATTGAAATTCTTATAAGGAACTTCGCAGAAAAGATGCCATTTACGAGGTATTTGCTTTTTGAAATGGGTTTTGTCGAAACAGGTATAGACACATGGCTGGGTATGAGGAATTTGTAAAAGACCTTGGGATTAGTACTGAATGGAAAATCAATAAGGACACCAAGAAGTTGGAGTACAGAGATCTTACAGGGCCTGAAAACTCTTGCCTTTTCAACACATAAATTTCTATTCACTATTATCAGAATGCCATGACGCGAATAAGCTGCAAGCCCTTTGGAGTAGTTTCACGAATATTATAGGTGATCTTAAACTAGATTACACAACATATTACGCTATAAATGACTGTAAATATATGAAAATCATATATGTGAACTGCGAATAAAGAAATGAATATGGAAGCGATCTCTGCATTAATGAACACTATTTGAGCAGTAGCAAAATATTTTTTAGGCCTTATTTTAACTACCACTTAAGTAGTGTTCATTACTGCGAAGATCGCTTCCCTATTCAGATTATGCCATCTCTAACTGTAGAAGTTGTGTAGAATAATTTCGCGATACCTGTGAAATATGTTTCTCGTATACAGTATTCGAGTAGTCTTTTTCAAAATGACGACCGCATCGGTTACAACAGAATCACAGACTGAAATACGTGGGTATTTTATACCCATATGTTTACATTGTATGTAAATAATGCAAGTACAATAATTCTTCATCAACTATTCATGGATACAGAAAAATCAACGTACATGTGTTAAATCAAATGTATTAATGACGGAACACATATTTGTATCCACATATGTTGCTATCTCCACGGACAAAGTAAGGCGAGTTATTTTCAACGCATGGCCTCCATTCGTAAAATTTCTTACTGTACCCATTGAAATGAATTTTAACCATGTTCCTCACTTTTTCATCCTGTGTTGTCTCTACTGGATAAATGTTTCTATCCGTAGTTTATTTTTTTGTAATTCTTAGGCTTAGCTTCGGCGAGTTCGTCAATAACATTCTTCGGAATCTTACGCTCCCGCTTCGCTCTGTTGTCCGCCTTTTAAACATTGGCGCTCTTTGCATATCCAATAACACTGCACATGTCAGGTGAGTAATGTGTTCAGCTTTCTATGGGATAAGTTTAATATGCCTCGAATGTTATTAGTTAAAAAAATCAGTCCCTGACAATCTGCACTTCATGACGAAAGAACGCATTTCAACTGAATGCCGCTATTCAAAATAATCACAATTGACCGATCAGAACAAATGCGATTATCACCAGGAACCAACGAGAACTCAGATGTTATTGAGAGTGACTAGAATGATGTAACATTCTGGACTTATTAAACATTCCATTCGCAGTGTTATGCTAACTGTTTCCGTAGGGAACAAACCAGAACGCATATGCAGCGCCTATTGATTAAGATAAAAGAAAATAGGCAACTCCTATTGAATAACGAAACGTAAACAATGCCGCACTCGACGAACCACACTCAACCAGAATGCATAGCGGGCGAAGTGGCCGTTCTCAGCATTAAATTGTATCACAGAAACATAAAGCCTACCGCGTGTGTAATATTATACGACTAAATCTTTACAAACCTGATCAAGAGTAGTCTTTTTAAAGCCTCCTATGGTCTTTTTGAGGGTCTATCGTCCATTTGCTTTTTTTTTGTTCTATTCATTCCGCTTTAGCGATTATGAAGTCATCGAACACGGAGGGAAAGCAGCCATATTATATGGGTCTCTAAATCAACCTCTAAAAACATGAAATGAGCGAAAGAAAGCTTCAGGATTTGGCAAGAAAACAAACAACAAGCCCGCAGAGTCCCTGCTTGACAGCATTTCAGCGGATAGTCAGACAGAAAGCTCCTCTCGGCGCCTGGGTGACCGTCAGGCAAGGAGAAGTTTACGATCCAAGACATCGATCGCGAGCCTAATTGGTTAATTGCAATATTTTTAGTGACCTTCCTCTCACGTGGGAAAATTAAACTCAGAGATATATTTCTCCAAAATTTAATCTGGGTATCCCATATTCGCATTTTGTCTGTACGTACTTTGTCTGTACGTACTCTGTACGTTTTTATTTATTGTGAAGCATGACGAAGGCGTAACGCTTGTCCTCTTGCGAATCCTTTCTTTAGGCCTGGTTGATGACACCAATAAAATTTCATGCATTGAAAGGTCTCCGTCTCTTTGAAATGCGTTTGCACGTTGAGGGTCGATTCCCTGTGAAATCTTTAGCCCTTGTGCACTTGTGTGTCCAAGAAGAGAATCTTCGTGTCTGGCCCCGGTTATTCAAAGGGTGGATAACGCTATCCACAAGATAAATCTCTATCCAGTGGATAGCGCAATACGTTTTGTTAAATCGCTATCCGCTGGATAGCAATTTATCCGTTGGGTAGCATTAGCCGTCCTTTGAACAACTGGGCCCTAATCGATATTTTAGCCATTAATTTAATTGTATCGTGGTAGCTGTTTGCCTGTCTTGCAAATTCTTCTATTTTGTCTAAATTGTGTTCCTCACACAGAAAAGTTGTGCCGTAAAATCAGAGTTAATACATACAACTGACATAAAGCACCGTAAACGTCACGATTTGATTTAGGTTCTACCTGGATTGGTGCAAAGGCTGGCACGACGGGTTGTCGGGACTAATCACAAAGCGAGGCGAGGGATTCTGGTACGCGTCAGGAGTTCCGTTGTCACCTTTCGGACGATAAGTGTTAAAACTCGCCAGATCGAAGTCTTAATTTTCTCTTCCTATAATTCCATTCCTTGCGATTTATGACAAGGTAACACCTTGTTAATAGGTTTTTTCAATGACATCACCTGTTTATTGAATAAAGTTCGTACCCGAGCTGGCGCCTTGTCAGAGTTCTTGTCTGAAGCGCTAAATTTAAACTGTTTAACAAGGGATACCCAACTCGAGATGGTTGAGCAAGCAAAAGGAAGAAACTTATTACGCTGGTTACTGCAATTGACGTTTTCTGTGATCTAGCACTGAACGTTGAACGTACTTGTTTTATGTGAAAAAGAAGCAGATATTTTGAGATACCATCTAGGCATACTCCAACAGATCATAAGTAACAACAGGTAAATATGCGTGTGGGATCCAGCTCACCAAACAAATGCTTGTAGATGGGTATCATTGACGTATTACATCTTTTGAATGCTCCTTGTCTTGCTTTATTTAAACTGCAGTATAATCAGTTAACATAGTTTCGACACTAGTTACTTAAACCTACAAACCAAGTTTAGTAAAATGTTCCTTACAATAAAGTTGCCTATAAAAAACATTAAAACACTCCAAAAACATCCATTAGCTTGAGATCTAGAAATGCTTTGGAAAAAGTTATAAATCTCTTAAAGAGTTTAAATGTATCTAAGTAAGAACCGAGACTAGTCAAAAATTATTTTAGATTAAACATACTGGCATAGCAACAACTAGTAAAAATTCAGTCCGTAGAGACGTTCGTCACAAGAAAAAAAGGTAAACAAAAAAGAAGCAAATACAAAAAACGAATGAGCACGAATCTTAAGAGCAGAGGGAAGAAACAAAAAAATTGATTTAAATATACTTTGGAAAAAATTACTTTTTTGCGCTCCTCTTTAAGGGAAAAAAAATCAATTTGTTAATTTATTACTTTTATTTGCACTGGAATGTTCCGGTGTCAAAGAAAACAAACGATGACAAAGAAATAAACCAACATAAACAAAAATCGAAGCCTTAACTTCGAAACGTTGACTTGAAATAATTCTAAACAAGAAAAACACGTTGTTGCTTCGCTTAAAACCACTCTCCTGTTAAAGGTGATATAATTCAAAACTAATTTGATTTCAATCTGTACTCTAAGCAAGACTTTCACTAAAGTAATGGAATGCAAATAATTCGTTCCTTCTCCTTGTTTGATTGTTTTTGTTTTGTTTCTCACCTATTTTGCTCTTTTTGCATTTGTGTATATGTTGATAGTCGCGCCGAGAATGTAGGGGAGACGCAATTTTTTTTTGGTTAGGAGTAGTACAGTTTACTCCAATGAAACCTTTTATGCACCACTTCCAGCAAGAAAAAAAATTCCGTCTCTTTTACATTATTGGCGCAACTATTTTGATATAAACAGGTACAAAAAGAACCAAAAAAGGGGAGAAAACAAAACAAACACAATAAAACTAAGTTATTTGCATCTCACCACCTTAAATCTACTCAAACTATTTGTAGGAAATGGTCGTCAACATTTTAGGGATATCATGACATAATGACTCTCCCCACTCCCTTTCTACTTGCATCCACATTCAGTGATGATGTGCATCTCCTTCTCTTTGTGATCACCCGTGTGAACATGTTCTGTGGTGTAGTTGGTGGCGATACAAGCCCTCTCGCGAAAAACCAAGCAGTGCTGGCTACAATACTTGTTCCTGTATTGGAACAGATAAATAAATATATAAGTTGAAACGTTATTGGTGACGTCATCCACGTGCTTGTCCTATAATAGATCATAATTAGGAACCAACCAAAATGCCTGTATCACTCAGCTTATCATAATAATTGCTGATTCTGCTTTCAAATGGTTTACAACCGCTGCCACAGACTCTGTCAACGAAATGCATAAAATTGCCTCAAAAGATAAATTATATGGAATGGAGCGACTCACCCAAAGAAACAGCGAACACAACTCCTGGGGCAACCAGTACCGACACACGTTCCAACATCTTTTTCCTGAAAATAATCTCAACATTGCATGAAGGAACAAACTTGTCGATCTTTACATGCCAATGTATTTACAAGTATGCTTAAAATTCTCTAATCGTCTTTCATTCTTTTTTATGTCCTTCAGTATTTTTTTTTTACTTTTCGTTTACTACTGGTTTTTCATTTAAGAAGGATGCACTTTTTTGGAACAGCTTCTTAACCATTAAGCTCCTAAGACCGAGATGCTTATTGTCATCATTTTTTTTCTTTAAGATATATCAGTACGTTATAGGAAGTTACGTGTTCATTCCACCTTGTCTTTATTTCGTCTTATTCATTAATTATTTCACTTTTTTTTAGCTCAGTGTACTTCTTAATTGTCGTCACTGCTTGGTTTATCACCTTCTCGTCGCATGAAAGACTTTGGAAGACTTTGACTCTTGCCGGAGTGAAATTTTTCAACCTTTTAAGGCACTGGTTTACTGAGTCAATAGAGTGAAATTTGGTCTGAAATCACACGCCTGATTTCAAAATCCAACGTGCGCTTAGCTCATGTTTGATTTGAAATCACAAGTATGATTTCAGACCAAAATTGCACAACATGAAGTTCAATTACCACTTTTTCACATCTATTTCGAAATCGCAACATTCAGTCGCTCAAATACAGGTTTTTTATTATTGATATGTACAAATGTTTTATTAATCCAGTATTGAGCTGGTTTGTAAAAAGTTGCAAAAGTTGTCTTTTATTTTCCTGCAATTTGATTGGTTTTTTCGAGCAAGCCTTTAAATCTTACTGATTGTCTTAGTAAAGCTCTCTCATTGGCTAGGAAAAAGAGGCGATTTAGAGCATAAAATGGTGCGACTCGTGAATAAATGGCACCAATGAGAACCAATCAGATTGCAAGGATTACCAGTGATTTCAAAATGGATGTAATGAAAACAAAAATATTTCCGGCAACCTATTTAAATAATTAGGTAAGTGAACTAACTTCCGGTCTTAAACTTTGTTTCAGCAATCGTTTCTCTAAGTGCACACCAGTGACCACGAGTGACCACGGGTGACCACAAATGGCCATAAGTGACCACGAGTGACCACGAATGGCCACCAGTGACCACCGGTGACCACGAGTGACCACGAATGGCCACGAGTGACCACAAATGGCCACGAGTGACCACGAATGGCCACGAGTGACCACAAATGGCCACGAGTGACCACGAATGACCACGTGATTTTGATACCAGACAAATATTTTAATTACTTTTTAATTGTAGTCTCTTATAGTCACTCGTGGTCACTCGTGTGTACTCTTAGACACGACCATCGTTTTAAAAGTATATTTGACACGGTACCAAACATAATGTAAGTTCAACGTCGCACAAGCAACGAAATATGTTTCTCTCACGATGATTTTGATTGTCATCAGCGATCTTTAAATTATGATTTCTTTTACCGATCACTTTCTTGTTACAGTCTCCATTACACACCTCTTGGATCCACGTGTTGCCCGACTTCCTCTTGAAAACTTCACGAAAAGCAACGCGGTGGCAAATTGGGTTCACGCAACCACACTTCTTAATAACGCGATGAGTTAGCTCACCTTTTCCTATTTAGAAACGAGTGGTCAATTTAAGTATATCTGGATGACCTAGAGCTATATATTTTCCAGTCTAGCCCACCCACTTAGTTAACCATCACTTGTTTCTAAAAAAGGGAAAGCATCACCTGCTGCACCTTCGCAACAACACCTCTTAAGAATATTCAACATTTACATCTAGATCAATATCCTACCATTTGGCCCTTTTATGGCCATCATTAGGCTGTCAATGGCCTTGCACGCATGTCCACTGCTTCCACAAGAACCATGGCAGACACCTATGTCATGACGAATGCTGTACGATGTTCCGTCAAAGAAGGTTTTGAACAAAGCTTGGCGACTGCAGCCGCTAGAGGTATTTTGATAGCCACACTTAGCAATAGCGGTCTTGTACTTTGAGCCACCAATGAGAGGATAACTTCTGCTGGTCACCTCAGTCGGGTTGCATGAAGAGGACCCACTGGACATCTTCTATGATCAAATCAGATTTTTCGAAAGGTTTATTGGATCAGTTTAACTTCACTTTTAGAACGAGGAAGGCCTTTTGCGCCGCTCTGTAACTTGGGGACTGTGCTGAATTCTTTCCTAAAGCGTGTAAAGATACGCTGTAAGAGCTCGGATACCTCTCGTGTCTAAAAACCCTTTGAAATTCATGACAAGTACTATTTAGAAAGAGACAAGTGCGATGCGAGCATGAGAGAGGTATGCGAGGGTTCCTCGAGGTTTCTGGGCGCGTGCTTAGTTCGCTGGCTCGAGTCTCGCGGGCTCTTCGCCGCTCGTGTCGCAACGCTAATGTAATAAGCGCATGCTAGTAGGATCCATTCTCACCTCGGGAGTAGCTTTGATGGTGTCTGAGTCAGTGGCGTTGCAAGTTTCTACACATCGCCCCATATCTGCTTCATGAAGCCTGCGACGAACGTCTAAAAGCAAGAAAATGTAAAAAAATATCGTAAATTCAGTCACTGCAAATAAAATACCTTTTAATATAGTACACTTTTTGGTTTGTATTTGAAATGAAATATTTTCCATCCAGTCTGCAATTTCCAACTCAGAGGTTGATCAGAAGTTGACTTCATCGTCATTAACATTAGGTTTCGAGTGATTGTACCATAGAGTTTTCTCTGTATGTGTTACTTAGGCTGTGCAATGATTACTTGGAAAATGATGAAGGGCTCACATTCAGATCCACACTTCAAAATGGCGCTCCGAGATGCAACAACATCAACAACAACAACTTTAATTGTAACCTACATTAATTTACATGATACAAAATAAAATGGACTTAAATTTTTTCTTAAAATGTTTGAGAGAGAGAAGGTTTATGTCATCACTTATATCATTTTATAATAAAGTTCGTATATAACGCGCGCTGTCATTGGTTGAAAGAGCGTCCTCTGTGAGAGTATAGAGCATAGAGCTGAGCTAAAGCTGTCACGCCATCTGCCAAATTGGACTATGTCCGACCTTTTCCGGGACTTCTCTCTAGCTTTTTTTCGTTAATTGAAAGTGAAATTTCGAAAAAAGCAAGCCGGCAAGTAGCAACAGAACAACCAAACAAAGGTTTATAAACATGCCAAGCGCCGTAATTGACGTTATTATAAGGTGAGCAGAGACGAAAATCCTCAAAGAGAAAACGAAATGGACAGTCCGAGTTTTGAAGGTTTTCACGCTCAGTTAGATTGCAAGCTTACGAATGGTAATAAAAATCAAACACAGCTAACACTCGTATAGTATATAAAGTTCGAGTTCAAAAACAAAACAGAACAAAACAGGAATGATAAAAAATATAGCCAAAGTAGCATAACTGCTATAATTCATACTAATCATGACGGTGTCAGAGCGACTGCGATCATGCTGAGGTCCAACGTGGCAAGCTCGGAGATCGCCAGTGAAGCAAGCCTCAGAAATTAGATCGACCACCCTTCGAGTGAACAACTAAGAGCTTGCTCTGATGTCCTTTCCGATGCGTTGAGTGGTGAAGGCCACACCAGTCAGTGCAACCGAGTTTTACGGCTCTGTCACCCCGAACAATCTTCATGTTCCGGTGAGCATGCTCTATGGCTGTCGTTCTTTCGTAAAACTCGCCTTGAGCAATTTGTTTATTATTTGTTATGTGAAAAAACTTGCGTGTTTTTGTGAGCCACAATTCGGCCGGATTGCACTGAACATTTCACTTCCACATTCTGTAATGATTAAGTGTAACAGGAACAACTGTCCTGTAATGTGTACTTAAAATTGGATGGAGTCTTCTCCAGAGTTTTCCACAGAAAAAAATTATGGCGCATTAAGTAAAATGATATATAATAGGTATATGAAGTGTTACATTTATGTAAATTACATTTGGCAAACGTTGCTGTTAACTGCCGACTGCCATTACTCAATTTGGCAATGTTTAATGTATGATATACACATACATTTATGAATAATTTTTTCCAATAGATTGTGTCAGAGTCACCGAATTTCTATGATAAGTGACTCCTAAACTCGGCAGCTATACATACGCGTCGGCGATCCCATTCTCAAGTTGAAATTGAGTGAATAAACACGAGGTTGTGACCAAAATTGCATAAATTAATGTCAGAGGTCACGTATTTCAGAGTGACGTGATCACGAATCTTATGCAGGGCCCAAAAATTATTTTATCACAAACGTAGTATAAAGATAGGTCTTTCCTGTGATGGTATGTTTGTCGGCATACAGTTTTGCCCATTGGAGATAGTTGCAATTAAAAAACCCTAATTTTTTTCGTTTTTTGAATAGTTGCGTGACACAGTTAATGATTAACTGCTTTAAATTGGCAGAAGTTATATCAAGTTACCCCAACTTTACGGAATGTTTTCCTGAAGGTTCAAACAACCATTGGACATAATAAGATTAACATACATCGCATTCTGTTAGTGTGAGAGAGATTCGTTAAAGTGCATTTTTCGAGCTAATTTTAGCCTTTTACCCCAGGGATTTGATGAGGGGGCTCTGATACCCCAGGGATTAGCCGGGAACCCGAACTACTTTGGATTCTCGAATAACTTAGTGACCTTCATAAACTGTGAAAGTTTGAAAGAAATCGGTGAGATGGCATGTGTCACGCCTGCCCAGTGTCACAGCGGATTTGGACCCCCGGTCAAAATCCGCTAGCGGATATGGACCCTTTTCAGATTTGGACCCCCCCAACCAAACTTTTCTTTTAAGCATCGTTTGTATCACATTTGGTAACTAATTCTATTCGTAAGCTTTTTGTCGATGTTCTTTTCAATCACAACACAAAATTTCCTCAATCTTAGGGCCTGTTTACATGGATACGCATGTTTTGAATTTAAAACATACTTTAGTACGCACTGGAACGTAAAGTATCAGCCATTTTTACTAGAACGTTAAAGGGTAACTGACGCCAAATTTTTTCTTTTTTTTTGTCCCAATACATTCCTCTTATGTTAAAGAATCCTAAATGAGCAATTTAACGAAATATTGCGCAAAACCAAATTTTCTACAATTTTTTTTGGACGCTCAATCGACGGCAATTTTGAAAACGTTCCGATTTTAGGTCACATGATGTGATACGTCACACGTGTGTAAGGCAGTGAAAAGAGTCATGTAAGACCTGAAAGTAACAACTTCGCCCTCGCTGTTCGGCTGCTGCCGAAATTTACGATTGGAAAAAATAAAGAGATTTGTGCCATTCTGTTATAGGTCACCATTTAGAGACTATGAAATACGAAGTGAGAAATAAAATAATGAAGGCTGAATAATCGAAACGCGAGGGATGGCATGTCTGTAGTCAGAGCCACAGATAAATTGCACGCCTTTCCAAATAGCTGTAAAAAAAAAAAAAAAAAAAAATCCTATAATTTTTTCCTCTGAACCATTATCGAGTCCTATACTCAGAATTATCTTTTAGTACAAGCCGAAAAGTATTTGGCTTTAGATTTCGTCCAGTGTATATCACTGTGACCTCAGGCCCATCGGTTCTGGAGTGAGCGCGACTAGGCGCAAAGCGTTGTCGCGTATTATGGGAGGTCGTCATCTGGTCTCGTGAACGAAACTCTTCTTCCACGCTCCGTAAATATACAAATTTATCCTTTTTTAATTTTTTTTTAACGGAGACTAGTGAGCAGCACAAAGGAAGACTCCTTGCTGTTGTAACTTTTCGTTTATTTCTTTCGACGCTAGCTGAGAGCTCTCCAGGGATGATGACAACTAACATTCAGCAGCATATATAGCACATTTGTGTGCTTAAGTTAAGTTGGGCGGCATATATAGCACATTTATGTGCCTAAGCTAAGTTGAGCGCATATATAGCACATTTGTGTGCCTAAGTTAAATTAACTTCCAGTGGAAGTGAATAATAACAGAAACGTGCTGCAAGAAACGCCTTGTTATGAGCGACACACTCAAGTGTTTTTTCTTATTTGCGACCGAAAGGATGCTCGTTTCAAAAGTGTGTTACTGTCAGCTGTGTGAACAGTAAATTACTTTCGCTCGTTTATCGTAAATAAAACAAGCCGCGTTGACTTTTAAAATATGGACGGAAACCAACCGGATGTAAAACGAAAAAAACGGAAACCAGGGAAGCGCTGTGTCGTGATGTTTTGTAACAAAACAAATGCAGACGGAGTCAGCCTTCACCAGTTTCCAGCTGATGAAAGTATGCGGCGACAATGGATTGCATTTGTGCAAACAAAAAGAGAACCTAATAGTTGGACACCAGGTTCGGGTCACATTTGTAGCGACCATTTCTCAGTTGATGACTACGAAGGATTCGGTGCAAAAGTAGCTGGATTTAGCTCTAAGCTAGTATTAGAGAAGTCCGCAGTTCCTTCTATTCAAGCGTCTCCTATTCCTGAGCAAATAAACGAAGCTCGAAGAATAAAAAGAAAACTCTCACTGTCTAACGAAAAACTAAGGGTAGAAGACTCGAGCTCCGTGGTCACACAGGAGACTTACACTACACCAAAACGACAAAGCCGGGCCTTATCAAAACTAACGGCAAACAGGGTATGAGAAAGATATTTCTCGCTTTTGCTTCTCTTAGCTTTTGTAGACCTGGTGTCAGTTTATGTATGTAAATTAGTTGCTTTGGTCACTAAAATAGTAATGTATTTTAAAAAAAAACAGTTTTTACAAGAAAAATGGAAAATACTACCATTACACATTCAAAACATTCATGTCAATGCGGAGAGTGACCTATATCCTGAATGTGGGCATGGCAACCTGCAAGGAGACGCAGCTGATCGGCTTTGGCTGCAACCAGGTATAGTAATGGCTATATATTACACCTGACAGAAAAATAAAACAATTTTTATTTTCATAATTTCTTGTGTAAGGACAGAAATTAAAGTTGCGTACAACAGAAACTTTCAACAATGTAAAGATTTTTCGAAGGCCTGAGGGTACTTATATGCTGTTCATAAGTCTATGTAATACATTGTAATTTGAAGCACTAGGTTTGCAATAATATGATTTCATAACTCATAGGCTCATGCCCAGCTGTTAAACTGGAGGAGTTGTTACTGAAGCCTCAACTGCTGGAGGATGTAGCACAACTATCCCCAAAATACCAGACATCTACTCTGGAAGCCAAGCACAGCCTGGACATCCAGTTTGTGCCAAAGCATACTGCCTTCTCTTACTGGGGGATTTATACTAGGTTTGACTATTTCCCTTTGCTATTCTTACTCTGTTTGGTTCTTTACAAGTTTTGCAGATCACAAAGTTGCAAACATTGCCCTGAGATCTTCACTTATATTTATATCATTTAACAGATTGTGCCTTTCTTCCCTGCATTACAACACCAATGCAAACAGGATGCAGGCAGTGACAGATGAAGGCAGGCTACGCTACTCAGTTGTATTTCCAAAAGCTAAAAAAGGAGATCATGCTATCAAAAAAATCAAAATACAAGCTTTTCATGGTGGGTATGATGTAGATGGGGCACAGGAAGTTAGATATTGCACTTTTTAGCTTATGGATTAACACAAGCAAAGAATTAGCCTGGGAGCCATGAAAAATAACAAATCCAAGCTCCACCTCATAAAGAACAAAGAAGGAAATTAATAATGCATTTCAATTTACAGATTACTGCTACAGCATTATAAAGGACTTATTTGCAAAATATGAGGCAAATCCAATGAATCTCAAGGAGTATGTGACAAACTTGGCCATCAACACCCCACCACCCCTTACTGCAAATGCACAGAGACCTGAAAAGGAGAGGCTGTTCAGAATTATGTCAGCTGATACAACCGCACTATTCTGGTGAACTAGTTGACCTAAGTATATAAAAACCAATACTTAAATTTTTGTGATTTTAAAACCTAAAATATTATTGTAAATTGGATAAGGGTTATTTTGTGTGAAATAAAAGCATGTATCAGAAAAAAATTGTAACTTGCATGTGCCAATTTCAGCTAATTTGAGCTCCTAAGGGAGACTTTGAAAACAAAAGTTATCTCCTAGTGACATAAGTAAAGGTTTCTTCAAGAAGAGGATTCAACCACAAGAATACAAGTAGATGTATGATAAAAACTTATTTTTTGGAGAAAAATGTTAATGGAATAACAAAAGGAAAGAAAAGATAAATTCAGGGATTAGGAAGGTTTAACAGGCAAATGAGCCTATGGCCCCTATCATTGGAAAGTTATGGGCCATTTATACAACGTTTGGGCCATTAGGGTAAATAAATGGGCCAGTAAAAATTTTAACAAAGGTTTATTGCTTGTGTATTACAGTCTATACCTATATCTGTTTCGTCCGTTTCACGGTCGTTTTCGCTCACAGTATCACGATTCTGCTCCGCTGTTGTGTTGAAAAATGTAGACAACGTTCTCTGCGAGCTGTCCAATCTCAAGATTTTTTTCGGAGGCATGAGGCTAATCGATGCAAATACATTCAAAGCGACGAAAACGATCGAACTCTGCTCGAAAACGAAAGCACATGGAACTCCGAGCAATAGCCTCGTTTGCATGCAAAGTCCGACTTCAGGATCTGGGAACAAGAATGAAGCGAGCGTGATCAAACGAGCGAAGGCACCGTAGTTTTTCGCTTGTTTATGTCTCACCAAAGTGAAACTTTTACAAATTAAAATCCTTTTCACAAAATAGTTTATATTTCACTAGCTTTGTGCGGTCAGGGCGCATCACAGGCCCGGTAAGTATTTTTATAATGGGCCATTTCGTAGCTTTATGCGCCATACGCGCATGGCGCACGGCCTTCCTAATCCCTGTAAATTTAACCCTTGCACTAAAGTTTACTCATCTGCATAAGTAAAACCAGTAAAAACCATGTCCTCCTCCAGCTGGTTGGGCTCTGGGAAGTAGGCACATATGCAGTTCACAGCACAAGAAGGCAAAGGGATGCGGATATTTTTGCCCAGAGTACCCCAACACCAACTGACCAGTTGCCTGTAAGCAATGTGGCAGTTTTTCTTATGTTCAGGCCCCTCATAAGCAGAAGAGCCATACTGCTGCTTGTATTGTAGCCAAGCTGTCTGCAGAACTCAGATATTGAGGCACACTGCCATAAGCCCTGGATGCTGCACAATACATCTGGGTTCTGCCTGCAACCGTTCCTCCATGACATCCGCCAAAATTTTATTCCTAACTGCATCTACTTCTTGGCAACAGATGGTCTCTTCCTCCCTTTCCATCGCTCGGCAGTTTCCACACTGACACCTTGTAATAAATAATCAGTAAAGTAACGAATTTTTTCACAATGTTGAATTGGAGAAATAGAGAGCACAACTTGTTTGATTGTTTTCACCAAAGGGGACAGTTGTAAGCACTGTTACTATCACAAACGTGAAAGACAACTCAAACTTTAGGCTATAAACAAGGTGCAAAGACCACAAGTCAACAATAAGTTATTATGAAGACTTTGTTCAATTCTACATGTCCAATGCTATTTTTCGCTGCTTCGTGTTTTAAAGTAAAAGCCTAGAAATCTATAATCGTTCGCCAAATTCAACACAGGAAAACTTAAAACCGATTCAATCGCGTGGAAACGTGTATAATCCATCCAATTCACCTCCACAAGCGTGTTACTTTCAGTCTGTGAAACCTAAGCTTCGGAAGGTGCCGGCGTGTAGCATAAATCACTTCGCTTCCAAGCTACTCAAGAGTCTGCACATTTGGTTTTTATTTACCTAATCGCTTCAATATTTAATAAGCGACTGATTTTCAGACACTAGATTTAAAAACGTATTGTACTCACCATTCGTCGCTTTCCTGATTGAGGCGGCCGCGGCGCACAGGCTTTTGATTCTCTTCCAACTTTCGCCCTGTATTCTCGGTTCGTCCTGGCGGTTCAAATCGCCAGGGCCTAATTTCACCAATAGGTTAATAAATTCTCTCATTATCTTCAACCTCTATAAAGGCCTCAAAATCGGAATAATCGGACCCAGAAGTAGAACTGCTTTCAGTTGAGCTACTGTCCGCCATATTTACTTTGCTTAGTGTACACACGCGCGACGTATCAGGTCACATGATCAAAATCGAAGCGTTTATGGCAGATGACTCACGAAGCTGCATTTAGGACAGTTTTCCCGGCGAAAAAAGGCACAAAGAGGCATTCGAAGCACCTTATTTCTGTTTCAATGTGTTACCTGAGGCATTTAGACGGTATTCCGAAAAAGTGACCTTCTAGCCGTCAGTTACCCTTTAAGGATGATGTTTTCACTCAGTTTTGTTGGGGGTCCAATATCCAATATCCATATCCATATCCATATTGGACCCCCCGGTCCATATCCGCTACCGGATTTGGACCGGGGGGTCCATATCCGCTAGCGGATTTGGACTGGGGGGTCCAAATCTAGGAGGGTCCAAATTCGCTAGGACACAGGGTCCGGTCCAAATCCGTTAGAACACCGGGTCCGGTCCAAATCTGTTAGGACACCGGGTCCGGTCCAAATCCACTAGGACACCTGGTCCTCTCGTGGACAGACTCTTTAAAAACTCTTCACGGTGGCTAATTTACGTTTTCAACTCAGTTGTTAACAATAAATTACCTGAGAAGAAATACAGTTCAATATGAAAAATATTTACGCAATTACTCACGTTTTCGAAAACGATACACGTGTAGTTCATTGACACGTTTTGCGAATTCACGTGGCCGGTGGTGAGCGTAGACATTGCTGTCTTTCAAGTCATTATTTTTTTATCAGTCGCATTTTGTATAGCCCGAGATTGTACTGTTGCTATTGGATCAGTCGCATTTTGTATATCCCGAGATTGTACAGGTACTATTGGATCGAAATAACATAATGATCCCAATTAAGATTCGCAAATTTGGGTTGTGTCCTCGTGTACCGGTACACAAAGGAACGAAACATTAACGAACTGTGTCACAACTCCATGTATGGATATGAAAACAATAGGAATTCCCCCGTGTACCGGTACACCAGGACAGCCCCCAAATTTGGTCCAGTCACAAGCTTGGAACCCGATTCCTCACGAGGAATAAACGTAAACACGTTTTCTGTGAAATTTACGTGGCATGTCACGCTTATGTTTGTAGAAGTCCTTTACGTTGAATCGCGCAGTTTAAGTCACGTTGAATGTTTACATCTAGTTTGGAGCTCTCTTAGAACTCCCGTGTAAGGTTTACTTCCAGTTTGCATCACACATCGCTGGGCTCTTTATCTGCACAGCTCCTAGATACGATTTTATCTGAGAACATGAATATCGGTTGGTTAAATGGTTACTTTTCGATCACCTCATCCGAAGAAGATCGACGCACGTTCTTGGGCACATGCTTAAAAAACCACGTGAATAAAAAATGTGACTTTGAGAGTTCCCATGCTAATATAAAATACACATATAATTAAAACTCGTCGAGACCGCTTCTCAGTCTGTGCAAAGTAGACCAACGAATTTTCAGTGCAGAGAAACAAGGCAGAAAGAAGTTGTCCCTGCTGTTTATTTTTTTTGAAATATTCCTTCAGGTATCAATGATGTCTTGAATCTTTGGGTATGTCTTTTATTTTATTGCTACTTTTTTCCTCAGTCTTAACAAGCACTAACGCACTATTGTATTTTAAAAAATTTCTGAATCATAGCAGTTACTAAGGTCTTTCGTATGCTGATTCTCTAAGGAGTAAAAATGTTTCTTGGCACAAATCCTATCCAGAGTGTATGAGAATGCAATCTCAAAAAAGCATTTTTAGTTTTTGTAGTTCGACGTTTCCGGGACCGAATTGACCTCGTCTGGTGTGGGTCACGCTTTCAAATCAACACTCTGTTCTCTGTTTAGAGTACTTTTGTTATCTATGATGTATGTGATTGTCTTTTTTCGTGTTTTGCTTTTGAGGCCAATTTTGGCAGAGTGTATTTGATAATCCAGTAGTCAACTTACTAGACATGTCACTTATTCAGTAATTTTGAGATTTATTTTGTATTTGAGAGTCATCAAATCACCGGCAAGGCTGACGATCCATTTACAAGAACTAAGTATTGCTGATAAAGAGATTTCATATGTACTGCCCAGTCCATATTTTTTGCACCGGTGATCTTTTTATCTTTTCCATAAATGACAGAAAAATCACGACCAGAATGTTATGAGTCAGTTTAGAAAACGTCGTGGAAATTGGTAATGTTTAAAGCTCGGATTTCTGCTCAACGACCTTCCGTTAGTTTCTAAGGTTCTTTTACCATGAAGCATGAAAACTTTGCGGCTCTCAACTTTTTACGGATATTCCTCGATCCGTAGAAATGAGTTCTGACAGATGCCGTCCGATGATGAGAAAATCTGTACTAGTAGATAATTAAGATGTCAACCTCGTGCATGGGTAGAGAAATAAATATCATGTTTCGATCTTCTACAGGCTTCGCCTTCACCGCGTTCGCATAACCTTTTTGTCTTATCTGTCCTCGCTTCATTTATGAGTTTTCTTTGTTTCTCGCGTGATTTTTAAGTCGATTCACAGCAATTTAGTCGATTTTTAAGTTCCTTCGCCTTTTGGATGTAATTAAACTTTTGTAAAAGTAAGATCCTTGAAGACAAATCGCATCATCTGTTGTTATAGAACCCTCATTAAATCGATTGTTTCGCTAAGTTGACGGCTAACTCCTAATTCTTTTTAAAAGTTCCTGATGCACGCTTAAATTCTTTTAAATTATACGTGTCAACTTCGTTGATCGGTCGTTTGAGTGAAAGACAGAAGTGAAGAGCCTGCAACTAGCTCGCAAATTGCTTTTTGTCAGTATAATTAGGTTCAATCTGGGTGCGGAAATCGGGACAGTTGCGAAGAGAAAATCTTTAGGCAGAGACTAGCGCACAGACGTATTTCATGTCTTAATAGTCAGGATATGGTGAACTTCATGGCGGAAATAACCGATGCCCCTAAAGTGATCGGCGAGCTGAAAAATCTCAAAAACAAAATGAAATGTGCACCGTACATCATGAAACATCGCGTTCACCAGGGTAATAAATTACTCAAACTGTTTAACATTGATGTTTGTTTCTTGGGCTTTGAAAGATTAGGGGCGCTGTAGGTCGTTGACTCCTGAGCATCTTCCATGAGCTTGCGTTCAGTAAGGGTTAGTTATGTTTGAGATACTGCGCAAGTGAATACATCGAGCAAACCTACGTAATCAATTTGTAACTGCTCTTGACTTAAATTCGATGGAAATTAAGGAATATGTACCAGCATTCATGATTCGCCGTAATAAATGTAAAAGAATCTTAAGTTAGCTGCCCTCTTATTTGATTAAATAAGTTCATCCATGTTGAAGTCAGGACATCTTGTTTTAAACAAGTATTAGCATGTGCGTCATGGCGGGGTATCGAGCTCGCTAAAATTACTTTTCTTCTTTAAATAAATCAAACAAACTTTTCATATAGCTAAAACGCATTTGCATGAATTCTGTATGATAGTAATAATAAAGAACATTTACCAATCCCGATCGTAGTTGTGTTGGGTAAGCGGTAGCAGCTGCAACCTTTCTTTCTCCCTATTCAATAGAAAACGGGAAGCAAAAAATAATTATTTGGTAATTGGAGCGTTTATGCCATTTCTTAGCTGCAAAAGTCCATTGATTCTAACAAGATTATCAGGAGGGGGAAGCATATAGAAAGCTAGGTCTTATATCACGTAAAAGTATCTGTAAATCGTACTTTTCCCGTTATGTTCGGCCTCACTTTGATAATCAGAGCCACGGATCCTACTTTCAGAATCCTTGTTATTCATTACTCAATAATTATAATCAATTCAAGTTTCAATTTCTATCATTTACCAAAAACTGTTGTTTGAATGGTACCAGATACCAGGACAAGAAGAATCAGAGTTTTTAGGATGTCCATGTCTTCTCAGTAGATTCGTGTTCGCACTGATAAAAGCGGTCAGAAAAGCAAGGCATTTATGGGCGAGCAGGAATTTTAAAGCCACCTTTCTCCGCCCAAGTGTCACGTGATTTTTAATGTAAACAAGCCGCGAAAGTTCTGACATTGAGTCAACCACCTACTACCCGTGTACGAACTTCGACTTTGGCATTTTGTTGCAAATAATTTCCAATGTCGTGAAGCGCGCGTTTTTATGCTCAAAATTGATTGTATAGCTTTCCAGGCCACATGAATGACGGCCAATGCTACCAGGCCATTCTGCGTATTGGACATGGCAGGCTATGCAATTTGCCTAAGCTCATCTACTGGCTGACAAGCGCTACATGGCGAGAGTTCCACTTATAGCCTCTAGGCGGATTGCGCGAAATCCCAGACAGAGGCAGGCAAATAAGGCTTTGCGCTCTCTATTGAATGCAAATAAAACACTCCATGGGATTCCACAAAGTGTATGCATCTGCCCACTCTATGGCGTAAGCGATGTTTTCTACCATTTGCTGTATGTAAGAGTGGCTTTTTATCAAAAAGGAAAAAGTTGGTCATTCGTAGTTTAAGAAATTTGGATTGCGGATTTTCACGGAGAATGCAGAGAAATGAATCCTCCTGTCTATCTTATATTAAAGGCAACATGCGTGTTCTCCAGCAAGACTTATTTATTGTTGACTTCCGTGATTCAAAGAAACTGTTTAGGCCCATTTCATTATTACACTACTTGTGTGCAAGTCGAATTGGATCATTAAATGTTTTGTTTGTTGAGTCTATTCATGTAACTAATCTCAAATCCCTTGAAATCTTTACCAAACAAAATCCAAACTGACCGAGTTAAATGGCAAAACAACCACAAAAAAATCCATAATACTTCTTAATTGAATATGTAAAAAGAGCGAAGAAGATATGAGCGAACCTCGTTAAGTCGGAAAACCCTTTTTCATGAATTTGAAACGATTACCTCTGTGTTTCCATCAAAAGTGTCTTCTTGGAGTACCCGAGATGTGGGTATAATGGATCTTTTGAGTGGTTTGCTTGCGGTAAAGTAGATAGTGAAACTGTGGCTTGAGTAGGGCTTTGGATGGCGACAGACCTCACTTCTCTTTTTTTAAGAACGGAGCCCTTCTCTTCGCGATTTCCTTACATATTTAGGCTTCTCGATTTCTTCTTTGATACTGAATACTATGCTATTCTGATGTCGAACTCGAACTGTGTATTTGATAATTTATCACATACACAGGTTCAGAGTCTCAGAGACTTAGCAACACATCCATAGCGCTTTTAGGGAAGTACACTAAACATGGAGAGATGTGAGTTTTCCAAAATTTTTCGAATTAGTGGATCTCGGTTAAGGTTAAGAGTTTCCCATTTTTTTTCTGAGTAAAATGAAAGATGTGCAGCAGTCGATAGAAAAAGGGTTTTCCGACTTAACGAGGTTCGGTTTGACATGGAATTTTGAATGATACACATGTATATTGTAATTGTGGAAAAAAATGCTTATCACAATGCAAACCAGCTGTAAATGTAGCATCGTGTGAAACCTTCATACCTCAGGATTTCTATGGCCAGCCTTCTCAAGTATTTCAACCCCTGTTGATTGCTTGGTCAAATCAGTGTTAAAGTATACGTGACAGAAAAAGAAGATTTAATATGTCGCAAGATTCATCGATGAATTTGAAACGATTACCTCTGTGTTTCCATCAAAAGTGTCTTCTTGGAGTACCCGAGACGTGGGTATAATGGATCTTTTGCTACATTTACAGCTGGTTTGCATTGTGATAAGCATTTTTTTCCACAATTACAATATACATGTGTGTCATTCAAAATTCCATGTCAATACTGATATTTTTGTCCAATTTACCACGATCAGAAATATTTGATGAAATATTTACCAATATATGGAGAGTTACATTTTGTTTATATGTACTTCAAAGAACATGCAAATTCTGAAATAAGAAGTATATATACTATGGGTTGCATCGCAGACAAGCCTTTCAGCTGCAAAAGCAAAACTTATTATGTTGCTACCTACTTGTAGTGTCAAAGCATGTGCCAAAGCATGTGCCAAATATCAGTTTCTAGACGAGATTGATGAACAGTGCAGAAGTCTATGTGTGCAGAAACCTGGAACTGCTGACTTTTGTGTCTTACGTGCAACTAGGAATAGTACCAAGTCGTCCCTTGAGGATTTCAGTCGGAGCAGCTTATTAAAGAAATGATAGGTTGAGCTCCTAACTTTCTTGATTTTAAGACCGCTGGGCTAAAAGTTGTAACAGTCTGAAAGAAATAATTTATTTTACCTTTCTTTTTATCGAAGCAATGATGTAATTTTAATCTTGAAACATTACAATTGCAAAATGTAAATCTTCCATAAGCTTGATTTATCAAACTGAATTATGCAAAAGAAAGAAGCTAGAGCGAAGTCAAAGCTTGTGATGTTTTTTCAAGGTTCAAACTATATCCTTGCCTATCTTTTTCTCTTGATCTTTAAGAGGGATGTGAATATTTGATTCCTATGCACCTGTTTTCAGTAAACTCAAGGTCAAGTGAGAAAAAAAAATTTGTAAAAATATAACACATCAAGTAACGACTTTCATTTTTGCTTCCTCAAGTTATTTTGGAACAAGTAACTGGTACAAAAGTAGTAAAATAATTTTATTCTCACTTTAAATAATAACAAAGTACATTGAAATGGCAGGAAATATCAAAGCAGTGTCAAAAGAAACTTGTTTGGCATGTTTTCATTGTTAAGTAGGTCAAAGAAAGTTAGGAAAGTTGTCTAAGGTATGTGGTATATTAGGGCGAATAAAAGGGTGTTTTTATAAGAGTTTCAAAACATTGCTGTTTTTCTTTGTTTTGTATTCATCCCAGCTCAAGTGCAGTGACCTGTACAATCATCAGGATAGGATTCACGAAAAGCAAAAAATGTATTCTTTAAAGACTCAGCATACGAAAGACCTCAGCAGCTGCGATGATTCTTAGAATAACCTTTTTGTCATCTTTAAGGGTCAGTTACGAGTTCAGAAAAAGCTCTTCAGGGCTTTTAAGAAAAAAAAGATTAACAATGAAATAGAAGACATACCCAAAGATTCAAGACGTCGATACCTGATGTAATGTTTCAAGACATCAACTGCTTTTCGGTCGTTTCCATACACTAAAGATTCGCTGGTCTAGTTTACATAGACGGAAAACCCGTCTCAATAAACTTTACATACCCTACATCTAATTCATATTAGGGTCTCAAATTCAAATTTATTGGGAACGTGTACACCCCGGCATGTGACCAAGGACGTGCGTCGATTTCCTTTGAATTTGGTAATTGAAAAGTGTTAAATTGACCGACAGTAATTTTTCTCTCATGTAAAATTAATTTAATTCAAGAGAATTATGACCAATCAATAGGTAGTATTTGAGTGACATGTTTACCTCTGTAAACCCCAATATATATATACTGTATGAAAGCACGGGGAGGGTTTGAAAAGGTAGCGGGGAAAGGCTGGAGTTGATGATTATGAACTAATTAGTAGAATTAGCAATAGGATTAATTCCCATAAAGATTACCAATTCCCCTACTTAGCGTGCTTAACTTTAATAAAGATGAGTCCTAAAAATTTGTACAAAGTTTATTAATCGATCACTAGTTATTCATAGAGCAGCCTTTACTGTGCTCTGTTCTGTTGTAAAGCACGCAGGAAGCGGCTAAAGCACGAAAGAAGTGTGGGGAGAAACACGCGACGTAGTCTCTTGGTGCTTCCTACGTGCTTTAAAATGGAATAGAGCACAATCAAGGCCCATTTATTTGTTTTATAGTAAAGAATTCCCACGCAGTACTTTCAAATTTTAGAACAAACATTATTTCAAAGCGAACAACCGTGTCGTCAGCATGCTCTTTACTCTCATAAAGCACGCTACAATAGGTCAGTCAGAATCCTTGTTGGAATGGTTTAAATAATCTGATTGGTTGAACAAGACTTAAGCTGTCAAAAAATGTCAATCCATCAAAAAGTCCACAAACTAAAATAGTTCGGCAGGTCGATTTTAACACTTGCCTGAAGGATTTGAGTCACTGGTACAAAATTTCAAAGAGAAATGTTCAGAGAAATCCGGCTGAATTGAAAATCATAAAAACACACACGATTTTTTAAATGACAAATGGTAAAAAAACTGCTCAAGGTGTGTGTTTCATGAATGAACGACAGCTGAATTCGCAGGAACATAAAGATTGCTCGAAATGACAGCGCAGTAAAACTCGGCTGCTGTGACTGATGTGGCCTTCTGGTCAACGCATCGGTAAGGATATCAGAGCAAACTCTTAGTTGTTCACTCGAAGTGCGACTGATTTAATTTGAGGCTTGCCTCAATGCGATGACGGGAGATCGCCCTGATGAGCGCAAGCAAGCCGCGATGGACTTCAGCACGACCGAAGTCGCTCAGACACCGTCATGATTAGTGTGAACTTTAATAGTTATGTCAGTTTGCCAATTTTTTTCATCATTCCTGTTTGTGAACACGAAACTATATATACTACATGAGTGTTAGCTGTGTTTGATTTTTATTACCATAGGTAAGCTTGCAATCAAACTGAGCGTGAAAAGCTTCAAAACTCGGATTTCACGTTATAATAACATCAATTACGGCGCTTGGCATGTTTACAAATCTTTGTTTGGTTCTTCTGTTGCTATTTCCGGCTCCCTTCTTCCGAAATGTCGCTTTCAATGAATGAAAAACAGGAAAAAAGAACAAAAATTGGGAAAAGTTCGGGAAACGGTCGGACATAGTACAATTTGGCAGATGGCGTGATAGCTTAAGCGCTCTTGCTTTAAATTCTATACTCTAACAGAGCACGCTGTTTCAACCAATGCGCGTTATATCCGAACTTTATTATAATTTAACATATCAATCACTAGTTTGATATAACATAAAATACTAAACTGCAATTGGAATTTCATCTTCCTATTGTTTACGTACAATCTAAACGTTTACATGCCCGTAAATATTACTTTTTCTCGCAGCAAAAGTTGATAGTGCAGTTGTTAAATACTGAATTGGCACAAAAGTTGTTGATATTACTTGTTAACGTATTCTCTGGCACTGGAATATTGGCTAATACATCATCTTATTAGTCAAGTGTGGTATCAAACGCGAAAATATTTTCGGAAAGAACATTCATGCGTGTTCTGTAGGTTTTAGCAATTCATCCTTAACACTACTGCGCTCATTCTCCGTTTCTGTAGAAGCAATGACTGCCCCTAAAACATTGCTAACATCATCTAACTCCTTTTCGCTTGGTTTTTGATACGAAAGCAGTGCGTTCGATTTATGCCCAGTTTGTTCTCTTGCTAACTTGTCTCCAACATTGTGCTGGAATAGTCTAGTAGCGCAAGTAATACACAAACAGTGAACTGTTTTCCGAGGCAAGTTCGCTTTCAAGCATAATTTCTCTGGCAATATCTTATTTAAACTGCATAAACCTACATGTTTGATTTTGATTACAACAAGCATTTTGCCCTCAAAAGTTGCAGGTTCCATAACTAATTAAAAAACACTCATTATTATCTTGTGACAGTACCTTTACATGTGATTTCATCTGACAGGTGTCAATCAACGTCTAATTTTTTTCCCAATCACTAATAAAGAATGGTTATTGGTATACTAGTGTGAGAAGTTTAGTTTTCTAAGGTCACAAAGGGAATATTCTAGCCCTTTTAAAAGAATTATTGGTAGAAAATCCTCTTTGCCGTGAAGATAAATTTGGGCCACGAGGGGTTATGGAGCAACTGCACGTGCAAGTGATTGACACGACAAACGCAATCTCTTGCCACGGTCTCATTTCACAAGTAAGACAAAATATTCGCGAAAACCTAACACCTAACCGATATAGACTGAATACAATGGACCCAAACATCGCTCATGTTGATGACTAACCCCATGGCACTTATACTTTATAAAACAACGCATCTTTTTCAAATCTTTCAGGTCAGGCCGCCGTAAAACGTTTTAAACAACCTTTCATTGAGAGTAATGTAATTTTCTTTAATAAAAATATTGCAGAGCCTAAGTAACCTGTGGTCGCCAGCTCGAAGACCAAAAAGTTTTCCGTTACAAAATAAATTGTATACATCAATGACTCAACTGAAAATCTTCTAAGAAGGTCTTTTCCCCACAATATCTGTTATTTCTTTGCGGTTGTTCATTTTGCACTACACTTCGCTGAATCCTTCATCTCCGCGTCTAAAACTTTACGAAACATCGCGAACCTGTTATAATAAAATTATACAATCTGGAGGGCAATTTCATTTTTTGTACTGAGACGTCGTCCCCACTACACGTGATGGAAACTGGGTGAAACTGGACGTTAACATTCAACGTGATTTAGCTCATGGCATCCGTCGAAGTATAGAGGACCTTTATAAACACGTGTTATTTGCCACGTGAATTTCTCAAAAAACGTGTTCACGTTAATTACTCGTGGGAACTCAAATTTTCCTCTCTTGTTCCACGCTCACGACAAGACCAGATAACATCTTCTTTATTGAACAAATAGTGAAGCCTCGACTGTGCTCTATTCTGTTACAAAACACTTAGGAAGCGGTTAGAGCACGAGAGAAGTGTTAGAGAAACACGAGACGTAGTCAAGTCCTTCTTCCCTCTTCTTTAGTGCTCTAGCTAGTCGCTTCCTAAGCACTTAACAACAGAGTAGAGCACAGTCAAGGCTTCTCTATTTGTTAAATAAAGAAGATGTTATCTGGTCTTGTCGTGAGGTTGGAACAAGAGAGGAAAATTTGAGTTGGCAAATAGCACGTGTGTACATAGGTGTACACGTTCCCGATAAACATGAATTTTAGAGGCCGTTATAAGATATAAATGTGCTTATTCTGAACTCGTAAGTGACCTTTAAAGATGACAGAAAGGTCATTCTAAAAATAATGGCAGCTGTTAAGGTCTTTTGTATGCTGAGTCTTAAAAGAATATATTTTTCGCTTTCCGTGAATCCTATCCAGAGTGAATGAGAATGTTACCACTGTTGTTTGGTAGTTGGACGTTTCCTGAAGCGATCAGCGAACCTATTCATTAGTGTGTATAGATGATCTGCTCGGAATGTCTCGCTTGGTGAGTGTTATGAATCTGTGACAAGGTGGATCACGCTTTCCAACCAGTAATCTGTTCTTGAACTGTTAAAATTACTTTTGTTATTTATGACGTGTGTGATTGCTTATTTTCGTGTTTTGCCTATGCGGCCAGTTTTGGCAGAGTCTATTTGATAATCCAGAAGCCAAGTTGCTAGAAATGTCACTTGTTCAGTAATTTTGAAGTTAACGTTGAGATTCGAGAGTCCTCAAATCACCGGCAAGGCTGACGATTAATTTACAGGAACTAAGCATTGCCGGTAAAGAGGTTTTCACATCTACAAACCTAATCCATTCTTCGAGCACCGGTGATTTTTTTCATCTTTTTTCTATCTGCCAAAAAATACCTCCGACGAAATGTTCTGAGTCAGTGTCAGAAAACTTGTGAGAAGTTCGTAATCTGTTTAGAGCTCAGAATTCTACAACCTTCGACGGCGTGAAAATGTTTCGGCTTTCAACTTTTTGCGAATTTTCCTCAATCCGTAGAATTGAGTTCGACTGATACCAAACTCTCGCAAATGAGTCGCCTCTAAAGAGGTCAATTGAAAATATCTGCAGGCGAATCAATTACCAATACGTATCCTTTGTCTATGCGGTCATATTATGAAGTATCCATCTATCCAGTGAGGGGGAAAATCTATAAATATTCTCAACCTGTAGTATGTGAAGTAATGTTTTACACTTCTGATGTTTAATCTTGATGCAGCTGAAGTAAAAAATATCGAGGCGAATGTATGTGATATCTGAACTAATTCATTGTAGCACTGCATGGTAATTTATCGCAGGACTGAGTAATAGTTTCGTTCCCAACACATAGACATGATCTTGACGATAATCACGACGGGCTTATAAGTTATTGTACCGTATTAGTTAATGTGCAGACTGCTGCGGATCTGCTTGATTCAGAAGATTTTCCCTTATTACTTCCAATAAGTCATGTTATTGTGCGGCTTGGCCTTTAAGCAAGGGATTAAAGGACATTTTACCGAAGTGAAACCCCGTACAAACGAGAGAGTGAATCTAGTGATGCGTAAGATTTAATCAGAACGTATCTGAGAAAATGGTAAGTTTTCGAGTCTAATTTCTCTTGAAAAGACATGCATGAGAAACCTACGAGTGAGGATCAATCGCGGAAAAATATTATAAACTTGACCTCTAGCACAAGTAGAGCTAAAGAAGGTACCGCTAAAAGAAGCAAGTATCATGGTTCTACTACAGGGTTAGAATTTACCACCTGGCTATTAAGACCTTTTCTCTTAAACTGGTCATCGGCTGCGTGCATTAAGTACTTGCAGCACACGAATGACACGGAATCATGCCTTCATCTTGATAGAAGTTAATAATTAATTAGTAGTCATTGCATCGGAGTTATATTTGGGCGTATTTTCAGTTAAATTCATCGCACAATTTTCTCTTTATACACATGCAATGTTAGATCGATCTTTCAGTATGCTGCTGCTGCGCAAGTGTGGCAATATATTCCTGCATACCTTTCTGACGCTAATGAATCTATACAAAAAAGAGCTTTAAGAATAATATTTCCAAACTCTAGTTGTCAACAAGCCCTAGATCAAGCAAATTCAGTTGACATCGTTAGTAGATCGCAGGATATTTATATGTAAAAAGTTGATGGCGGATATGAGGAATGAGAGCCATCCTATATCCTTCTTAGCTCCGCAAGTTTTGACAAGATCTATCCCATAACAGTTAAGATCAGGACATACTAAAGCCACTACATCAACAAATAGGACAAAGAGAATAAATGACTTTGTCACTTTTAGGTTCTCGTGATTCCAATTATTTTTATAATACTTCTTATTCTAAATAGATTTAATTATTAGTATCTGATTTTGTAAATTGCACTGTTTATTCAGTTTTTAACCGCCAGAAGTGTTACGTTAATACCGAACTTAACTGGTCAACATAGGAGCTCAGAAGGAAATACCTTTGTTCGGTGCAGCTTTACAAGATAATTTATGGCTATTTTGATGTGGACTTTACCAGATATGTGGATTTGAATGGTCGGGCAAGAACTAGAAGTAACCATGACTTTAAATTAAGGCCTAGAGCAGCTAGGACTGACTATTTTAAGATTTGATTTTTTAACCGTTTCGTTAATGATTGGAACTCTTTGCCTAATTTTGCTATGTCAGCTTCCAGTTTGAATTCCTTCAGAGCTCGATTACTGAATTATCTTTGTACATAGTTTTATTTTGTTATCTCGAAATGAGATTTCAGATTTTAATATTTGTTTATTGTTTAGTTATTTCTCCAGTTTCTTCTTTCTTATACAACGTATAGTTATTTATATTAGCCTTGGAGAGCAGTTTTTATATGGGAATTCAGTTTCCCCCTATTGCTTTCCTTTACCTACTGTACTTTTATATGGTAATTAAGATTTAATGAATATTATATGGTTATTATTAGTCATTAATTATTGTTGTGATTTTTATGAGTTGTTATTTTATTAGTAGGATTTTGTACAGTGGTAAAAAGCATTATTAAACATGAAACATTAAACAATAAACTATTATTTATTTATTTAACCCCTCAAGTGATTTGTATTGATCTATTTCAGGATTTGAGAGAAGAGAGGTGCTTTGAATCATTGCCTCCTGAGCCTCTTCCATGAGCTTGCTTTTAACAAGGGCTTATTTACGTTTGAAATAATCGTTACTTGTTGAAGTGCATGTATCTTACTCAGTATCTGACTGCAAATAAGTTTGGGAGATGTTGCAATGTTAATTATGGCAAAGGCAAGCTTAATCCGGGATGCGTAAGTTTGCATCAGCACACATTTGTGTGCGTGTTCGGGCTTGTGGTATTTTTTGGAGTCTGTTTTGCCTTGTATAGTTTCAAAGTGCACGAACAAATAAAGAACAAAATTAGTCTCTGCTAGAAATTTAGGATTTCGTGCATGGGTAAATGAGAAATAAGAAGAAGTAAACGTTATTGTTCGATTGACTAAAGGCTTAGCTTTCACCCAAAAATTAAAGACTCTTTGTATAATCTTACCTTGTCTCAGTCGAGTATTTGTCTTGCCTCTGGTGTTATTTTTAAGTTGATTCATAGCAATAAAGTTGGTTTTTAATTCCCTTGCTTTCTAGTATACAGTATAAATCTTTCCCCCTAAAAGTGGGGCTCTGTAAATCACAAGAGAGTAATAATATTAGCAGGCAAGTCAAGACTTTAAAGAAAGCGACAAAACTTTTAAGTAAAACATGTTTCGACAGAAACTTCTGTCATCTTCAGTTAATTAATGTACAAAGCGTTGGAAGTTGAATTTAGGTAGTAAGTAGAACGATGCTAATTATGCATTGTTATTCACGTGTTATTTGCCACGTGAATTTCTCCAAAAAACGTGTTCACGTTAATTAATTGTGGGAACTCAAATTTTCCCTTCCTGTTCCAAGCTCTCTACAAGACCACATACCAGCTTCTTTATTTAACAAATAAAGAGAAGCCTTAACTGTGCTCTGTTCTGTTGTAAAGCACTTAGGAAGGGGCTAGAGCACGAAAGAAGTGTAAGGAGAAACAAGAGACGTAGTCAAGTCTTTCTCCTTACCTCTTTAGTGCTCTAGCCGCTTCTTAAGAGCTTAACAACAGAATTCACGTGGCAAATAACACGTGTGTACATAGGTGTACACGTTCCCAATAAACATGAATTTGAGAGGCCCTTATATGAAATAAATGTGGTGCTTATTCTGAACTCGCAAGTGACCCTTGAAGATGACAGAAAGGTTATTCAAAAAATCATGGCAGCTGCTAAGGTCTTTTGTATGCTGAGTCTTAAAAGAATATATTTTTCGCTTTCCGTGAATCCTATCCAGAGTGAATGAGAATGTTACCACTGTTGTTTGGTAGTTGGACGTTTCCTGAAGCGATCAGCGAACCTATTCATTAGTGTGTATAGATGATCTGCTCGGAATGTCTCGCTTGGTGAGTGTTGTGAATCTGTGACAAGGTGGATCACGCTTTCCAACCAGTAATCTGTTCTTGAACTGTTAAAATTACTTTTGTTATTTATGATGTGTGTGATTGCTTATTTTCGTGTTTTGCCTATGCGGCCAGTTTTGGCAGAGTCTATTTGATAATCCAGAAGCCAAGTTGCTAGAAATGCCAC